ACTACTATTACTTCTACTACCACTATTACTACTTCTTCTACTACTACTACTAGTATTACTGTTATTACTACTCCTACAACTACCACTTCTACTACTACTACAAGTACTACATCCACGACTTGCTCCTCTTTGGTGAAATGTACTGTAAAAGATCATCATACTCTCAGCCAAGTTACCGCAGCCTTCTCTGTGTGAGTTTGTACTTTTTGGCAGCACACACGCCTCAGAGGTCAGAACGCTCGTTGTCATGGGAACGGCGGGTCCAGACCTGGTTTCTGGGTCCAGACCTGGTTTCTGGGTCCAGACCTGGTTTCTGGGTTTCGGTTTGAGTGTCCGGTCCACAGCAGCTCAGCGGTAACTGGTGCGGCCTGGATTATTTAGCGTTTGTGGATCAGCATGTGAATTATTGATGAGACGTGGCTTTTACTGTACGGCTGGAGAGAAAAAAGGCGTGCTTCACAGGATGGGGCCTTTCTGTGTGGAGTTTGCATGTTCTCCCTGTGTCTGCTTAGGTCTTCTACGGGTGCTCCAGTTTCCCCTATGACTTAAAACAATAAGTGAGGGTTGAATGAGTGTCTGACTACTACTGTCACTAGTACTGTTACTACTACTACTACTACTAATACTACTACTGTCACTACTACTACTATAAATACTTCTTCTTCTATTACTTCTACTACTACTAATACTACTACTGTCACTACTACTACTATAAATACTTCTTCTTCTATTACTTCTACTACTACTGCTACTACAGTGACTACCACTCCTACTACCACTACTATTACTACTAAAACTACATGTTGATTATTCCTATTTTGTTTTATTTTGTTTTTAAATAGATTATTTTCCTTTCTACATTGATAGATAAAAACATGATTTCTGTTTGGCAGGACCTGTCTTTTCTCAATAAATCATATATTAGGAGTGGACTGACCAAGTGCGACATCACCATAGTGTTGGCCTTAATGCGGAAGAGGCCAGTTTGACCATAAGCTAGCTGGAGCCAATTTCCTTATATGGTCATTTCTTTGGACACAGCCAAGGTCTAGAGTTTCCCCCGTGAATGAAGGCATCTGATTGGTCAATCCTTATATGGCTCAGATCTAGATTAATAAAAACAATATCAGATTATAAACACCAGGATCACACAGAGCGTTACAGCATGGACTTTTAGATCAAAAAAGCCAGAGTGAGTTGGAGCAAAACTTCCATGAGCACTTCCCTACAGGGCTTTGTTGGGCTAGCGGGTTAGCATTGTCCATCTATATGAAGCAATATCACCAGTGCGCCATAGAACACATAAATCCCTCTCTGTTTAAACACGCGGAGGCATTACCACACAGCTCCAGCCGATGTGTGTGATCTGAAACAATAGATTTAACTTCGCGGTCACTTCTGCGGCTCCATGTGACGCTGGGACTTATGACGGCTCTGGAGGAAAGTGTGCAGAGGAGTTCTCCGTGAGCCCAGAGAAGAAAGAACGCATTCAGCTTCAGGACAAAGGGACGATAATCCTGTCGCGTGCGTTGGTTTAGCGGAAAATAGAAAAGTTATATGAGAGGTGGAAGGTGTTTTGAGATGTGGACCATCAAAAGGAAAGTTCAATTTGTGAATTTGACTAAAGCAGTCTTGCAGAATGGGAGCAGAGAGAAAGAGGAAATAGAATCGTTCCAACACACACACACACACACACACACACACACACTGACACCCAAAGGCTTTTCATACACCACTCCAACAACATCATATTACCTTCATCAAAAATCAGAAGAAAACTTTTGTGGCTCTCTCTGGTCTCTCTCTGGTCTCTCTCAAGTATCTGGTTTCTCTCTAATCTCCCTCTGGTCTAAACCAAGGCCTGCGGGCCAATTGTGGTCTCTCACTATCGTCTTTCTCTGGTCTCTCCCAATGGTCTCCTTGGTTTCTCTCTCTCTCTTTGGTCCCTCTTTACTCTCTGGTCTCCCTCTGGTCTCTCTCTGGTCTCTCTCTGGTCTCTTTCTGGTCTCTCCCTGGTCTTTCTGGTCTCTCTCTGGTCTCTCTCTGGTCTCTCTCTGGTGTCTCTCTGGTCTCTCCCTGGTCTCTCTGGTCTCTCTCTGGTCTCTCTGGTCTCTCCCTGGTCTTTCTGGTATCTCTCTGGTCTCTCTCTGGTGTCTCCCTGGTCTCTCCCTGGTCTCTCCCTGGTCTTCCTGTCTTCCAGTCCTGCTCCTATAAAGTGTGTGTGACGGGTTTACAGCTTTAAAACATAGAGCTGCTAGTTCAAAGATTTCACTAATTGCAGGTTTTTTCAAGAACACATTGCCCCTGTGATGAATGAGGGTCCACTTTAGTCGTACATAAACAACCAATATTCTTTGTAATATTGGAAACACTTTGAGAATACCTCTGAAATATTTGGCATGCACAGTGGATTTGTATTGACGCCTGTTTACTTCCGATCATAGCAACATTATTCCTTCCACATTGCGCGTTCCTGTGTTTCTCTTTGAGGCAAAAAAGTGAAATCGACCAAAAATATCCTGTTTTTGCTCAAATTCAAAGCAGCTGGATTCTTGGTAGTGCTTTCTGTCTCACGCGCATCAGCTGTTTCCAGTTGAGACACAGAAAAAGCCAAGAAATAAAATATCGTCTGTTCCATTACATCAGGCATATCCGAACCAAGGCCGACAGGCCAACTGCGGTTTCTCTCAGGTTCTCTCCGGTCTCTCTCTGGTCACTCTCTGGTCTCTCTCTCTGATCTCACTCTCTGGTCTCTCTCTGGTCTCTCTCTGGTCTCTCTCTCTGGTCTCTCTCTCTGGTCTCTCTCTGATCTCTCTGGTCTCTCGCTGGTCTCTCTGGTGTCTCTCTAGTCTCTCTCTCTGGTCTTTCTCTGCCAATTGCGGTCGTCTGTGTCATTTTATGGTCCTCTGCCGCTAACACCAAAGTAATCTTTGATATAATAAACAAAAATTTAGTGTCATCCAGCAAACTTCAGCAACACTTTGTCCATGAGCACTTTCTCCTCTCCTCTCCTCTCTCTCCTTTCTCCTCTCCTCTCTCTCCTTTCTCCTCTCCTCTCTCTCCTTTCTCCTTTCCTCTCCTCTCTCTCTCCTCTCTTCCCTGTCTCCTCTCTCTCTCCTCTCTCTCTCTAACATAATCTCAGCCACAGAAAGCCTGCACTGGTCTGGCTGATCTCACTTTTCTGTCTGAAAAAGCTGATCCAAACATGTGAAAGAGCTCAAAAACACACCATTGAAGCGAAACGTTTTAGAGCCAGGACCTAGCGACATGTATTTTGGTCCGGTGTCATTTTTTGTTCTGTGGTCCGAAAGTGAGGTACCCCAGCTTTAATCGGTGGGTCTACAGTAAAGCCGTTGTAGCGCAGACATCTCTGTGGACTGAATGTAAAGCAGCAAATGTCAATCCTCTAAATGCCCTCTCCTATGCAGACACACGAGCCCGCTGCCTCCTGCTGACCACCGCTTCCCTCAACAACAACAAAAAATCACAACAAATTCAAGTATAATCTAAATGAAAGGACCCATATTATATAAAATCAAAACAGTCTTCTTGAAAATGTGAGACAGGATTCACCACTGACGATGTTCAAATCCAGATAAAAATCAGTTCTGTTTAGCGTCTGAAGTAGTGTATAAGAAGAATCAGAAAACATGTATTAGTCCCACAGTGGGGAAATTTCAATGTTGCAGTGCACACATGCTGGACAGTAGTAAGAACACACAGGGAGCACACAAAATATACAAAATAAGTAGCTGCTATGTTTCTTAGCTAGCTGTAAATGCTTCAATAACAATATATCGACATTATACAGTAGATAAAGTGACATTCAGTTTAGTCTGAAGGTGCACTCTTTTGAATATACTGTGATTATTTATGATTTTAAAGCCCTGTATTTCTATCTTGTTTTGTTAAGCCTTGTGTATGGTAAAACTTGTCTTGCCTTACCTAAAATAAAATCATGTTTGTAAATATTTTGAACCCAAGACTGTAGAGGAGCGGACTGACTGGATGTTGTCATGGTGTGAATTTTTGTTATTTGGTCCTGGGTTTGGTAACGTATGTGCCATGGTGGAGGCAGACGCAACTAAATGTGTTGCTAAGACGGTTGCGAAGGTAAGGTGGAGTTTATCCCCCGCAAATGAAGGTATCTGATTGGTCGATCCTAATATGATTCATATCTGGATTTACAAAGACACAATATAAACTTCAGTGCCACAGAGAGCGCTAAACCACGAGATTCTCAACCCCAAATTGAGTGAGTGAGTGTGTGGCACGAGTGTTTACTGAGCTCGAGGAGTTTACTTTTACGTGTAAGTCAGCGGGAGCCAGAGCGAATTGTAGCAAAACTTCATCCATGAGCACTTCCTTGAGCTAGCGGGTTAGCATTGTCCATCTGCATACAGTCTATACTTTGAATCATGTTGCTGCATTAACTCCCTCATCAGACACAGACTTGGAGTGTTTTCGAGTTCTTCAGACAGCTAAAGCTTTACATTGTGCCTTGACTGTTCTGTGGTGTTTCTACTGTAGCCACAGCTGCCCTGGGGCAGACTGCACACGTCACAAATAGCCACGTTGTTTCCAGAAAGTGAAGTTTGTTTTGAACAGCTGTGTTTTCCACTTTCTCTGTGAGCGGCATGTGCACCAGATGTCTGCACTCTCTCTCTCCTCGCGTCTCTCTTCACTCTCTCCTCTTTCTCCTCTCCTCTGATCTCTCCTCTCCCTCCTTTCCCTGTGTCCCCTCTCTCCCCTCCCTGCATCTCGTTTCCCTCTCTCCTCTCCACTCCCCTTTTTCCTCCCTCTTCCCTCTCTCCTCTTTCTCCTATCTCTGGCACCCCTCTCTCCTCTCTCCTTTCAATCCTCTCTCTTCCCTCACCCCCCTCTCTCTCTCTCTGTCTCTCTCTTTCTCTCTTTTCTCTGTGGGCTATAAAGTCTCCGCTCTCGTTCGTCCTCCCTCATGGGTCTGATCACAGGTTTGTCCCCCTCCCCCCTGTGTGCAGGTCCCCAAAACGGCGTGTCCCGGTGTCCCCCAAACCAGTTCCAGTGCAGGGGGACGGAGCTGTGCCTCCACATGAGCCAACTCTGTGACGGGACCCCAGACTGTACGGACGGCTGGGACGAGGGCCCCCACTGCAGAGGTGAGTCTGGCCCTGGTACCCCCACACACCCCCCCAGCTTCTGCCCCAGTCACACACACACCCGAATCTCTGTTTTGCGACTCCTGTTTTTGTTGTATCAAATTAAATACAGACGTCACCATAAAGAGACATCTGTCTGAAGCTGTAGATCCAGGACTGAAGCTGTAGATCCAGGACTGAAGCTGTAGATCCTGGACTGAAGCTGTAGATCCTGGACTGAAGCTGTAGATCCAGGACTGAAGCTGTAGATCCAGGACTGAAGCTGTAGATCCTGGACTGAAGCTGTAGATCCAGGACTGAAGCTGTAGATCCTGGACTGAAGCTGTAGATCCAGGACTGAAGCTGTAGATCCAGGACTGAAGCTGTAGATCCAGGACTGAGGCCGTAGATCCAGGACTGAGGCTGTAGATCCAGGACTGAGGCCGTAGATCCAGGACTGAGGCCGTAGATCCAGGACTGAGGCCGTAGATCCAGGACTGAGGCCGTAGATCCAGGACTGAGGCCGTAGATCCAGGACTGAGGCCGTAGATCCAGGACTGAGGCCGTAGATCCAGGACTGAGGCCGTAGATCCAGGACTGAGGCCGTAGATCCAGGACTGAGGCCGTAGATCCAGGACTGAGGCCGTAGATCCAGGACTGAGGCCATAGATCCAGGACTGAGGCCGTACATCCAGGACTGAGGCCGTACATCCAGGACTGAGGCCGTACATCCAGGACTGAGGCCGTAGATCCAGGACTGAGGCCGTAGATCCAGGACTGAGGCCGTAGATCCAGGACTGAGGCCGTAGATCCAGGACTGAGGCCGTAGATCCAGGACTGAGGCCGTAGATCCAGGACTGAGGCCGTAGATCCAGGACTGAGGCTGTAGAATGAAGATCCGATGCAGCTCACTCAGATGCACATCTGAATGTCAGGACAACGTATTCTCACTTTACAAATGTCATTGTTCATATATATACTTAAGACCAGACCCTGGTTTTGTTCTGATCGGTTTTGAACTGGTTTAATCTGGTGTTTGTTCTCATGTCCCTCTCCTGGGAATAACCGTCACCAGTAATATTTGCTTTTAACCTCATCCTCAAAAACAGACCTTAAGTTGTTTTTGGCTGTACATCAACTCCAATATCAGGATCTTCTACAAAAAGCATGGACACATCGCCCCGTCCCTTCTGTCTAAATGCTCTGCTTTTAAACTTGTTACAATCAGAGTAATCCTCAGAGTATGATGCTGTACAGCGGGTTAGGAGAATTGACGAGGAGGAGGCGGGTTGCTGCACGAATGGAAGCTTAATGCAGAGACTGTGAAGCACCAGGTATATGCAGTCTCCTTCCTCGAATTGATATTTTTGTGTTTTTTCTCATAATAGCCATACCTACAGAATCTTTGTAAATTTTAGTCATAGGTTTAGTCCTGGTTCAGACCGGTTCAGACCTGGTTCAGACCTGGTTCAGACCTGGTTCAGACCTGATTTAGTCCTGACATGCTTGGCTGACTGCTGTAGCTGCTGGACCCATGATTGAAGTGGAAAACCTGTTGTTTTTCGGTGTGAAAGCCGCAGGTGAAAGAGAAAAACACCGGGGAGACGGCCACAATCAATCCTCTTTAAAAAAACTCACATAACACCATCATTCCGGACTTTTACCTCAAAACAATCTTAATGTTATTCAAAAGGTAATTTAATCCAGACTAATTTTGTCATTGGTTAAAAGAAATGAGAGAAACTCGAGGGAGACCAAAGAGAGAGAGAACAGAGAGAGACCAGAGAGAGACCAGAGAGAGACCAGAGAGAGACCAGAGAGAGACCAGAGAGAGACCAGAGAGAGACCAGAGAGAGACCAGAGACAGACCAGAGACAGACCAGAGAGAGACCAAAAAGAGACCAGAGAGAGGCCAGAGAGAGGCCAGAGAGAGACCAGAGAGAGACCAGAGACAGACCAGAGAGAGACTAAAGAGAGACTAAAGAGAGACTAAAGAGAGACTAAAGAGAGACCAGAGAGAGACCAGAGAGAGACCAGAGAGAGACCAGAGAGAGACCAGAGAGAGACCAGAGAGAGACCAGAGAGAGACCAGAGAGAGACCAGAGAGAGACCAGAGAGACTAACCAGAGAGACCAGATCCAAATCCTAATCTTCTTCAGAAAAACATTTGTTTTATCGGTGATTGTGAGAAACCTCCTTTTCTTCTTTAATTCTCTTGTTCCTCTTGAGTTTTTACTATTGTTCCTCATCAAAAACAGACAGATTTTAGCTTCATCCAATCAAAAAAAATCCACCCGCCCGCCGCAGTCCTCATTATGTACAGTCTCTATTTCAAACCCTCATTTTTCTCTGTAAATAAAAAACTTTCCAAACGCATCACGAGACCTTGTTTACGTCGTTCTGGAAGGTTCTCGACATGCCAGTCCTCTGCGCCGCGGTCGGGCCAGCGTCCTGTCTGCTCTAAATATACAACACGTGTGGTCGGCCTGCGCTGCTCAACCTGTGGGCACGCGGACGCTTTTGGATTTTGTTTTGTCTGCGATGTTATGTGGGGAAAAAACTCTGCAGCCTGTTCCTCTTTTTGTCACTCAAAACTGTGAACTGGGCAGTGGATATTCAGGGCAGAGTGACTAATGTGTTTCTGTCTGGGATAAACTATGACACCTATGAGCGAGGGCCACGGGATTAATGGCTCTATGCTCGGACTGATGCCCCCGCGACAAGGAAAGGGATAAAGTGGAAGGAAATGGATGGATGGATAGTTCCCAAAACAGTTTGCTTCCATCTTTAGTTTTCATATGTATGTTTTTTTGATCTCCTTCACATCGTAAGATCAGCTTTTACAGACAGAAAAGTAAAAATGAGAGGACCACCTTCACTCAGTCCTTAGGAAGAGAGACCAGAAAGAGACTAGAGAGAGAGCCCTGAGAGAAAGAGAACAGAAAGAGAAACTAGAAAGACACTAGAGAAAGAGAACAGAAAGATAGACCAGAAAGAGAATAGAGAGAGAGATAAGAGAGAGAAAGTTCAGAGATTCAGAGATAGAGAGACCAGAGAGACTAGAGAGGGTCCAGAGAGCGACCAGAGTGAGACCACAGAGAAAAAGAACAGGAAGAGAGACCAGAAAGAGACCAGAGAGAAGGTTCAGAGATAGAGAGACCAGAGAGAGACCAGAGAGAGAATAGAGAGAGACCAGAGAGAGGAAGTTCAGAGATAGAGAGACCACAGAGACCAGAGAGAGAGAACAGAAAGATAGACCAGAGAGAACATAGAGATATCTGACTATTAAGATTTTTCAGACAGAAAAGTAAAAAAAATGGAAGGACCACCTCTCACTCAGCCAATCAGCTCACAGCTCAAAGAAGTGAACGACTGAGCTACCAAGAGCCAATCAGAAGCGTCGCCGGTCTGTCCCTGTTGTGCAACTCACTGCTCAAGCCCAATTTGGCGACACAAGGCTCCTAATTGGTCATTTCTTTGGATTCCTACCTGAAAATACATTAAGACATTATCGCAATATAAACACCAGGATCACAGAGAACTCTAAAATACAAACGTTAACGCCCAAAATGGTGAGTGTGACACAAGCAGTTACTGAGCTAGAGGAGTTTACGTTAACATGTCAGTCAATAGGAGCCAGAGTGAGTTAGTGGGTTAGGGTTAGTCCAGGGTATGTCAAACTTCCTTACAGACTATGATTCCAGGTGACACATGTCTAGTCTGGATACCAAGTAAAATGTGTGAAATTGACACCTGTAACTTGGACAAAAACTGAGAGAAGACAGAGTTGCGTGTGTGTCCTCTGTGTCATTTCTCCATTTCTTCATCTTGGCTCCGAAACATCGTAACTATTCAAAACATCTTGTGTTTGGAATTCTTGATGTTGATAACAATGGTAGCAGATATAAGCCCTGTTTCCACCAGTTCTACTCCACACTCTAATCTATCTGGTACCGTATCCTAGCATTCTGCCCCCAACAGAGGAAATTCCTTGGTAACCAGAACACTGTAGTACCAGCTCGGCCTGTAGGGGTGGGAACCTAAGGGTACCTCACGATACGATACAATACACGATACAAAGCTCACGATAACGATAATATCACAATAACGATTATTGATATATTGGTCAGAAATATACAATATGCCAATTTATGGCATAAATAAAAGAAAAATTACTCTTTATTTCATGATAAATAGAATGGAGATGCGTAATGTAGCCATATATTAAGTATATTCCAAAAATGTTTTGTAAAAAATAAATAAATAAAAATCTATTGTATTTATTTTTTTTTTTTCAAAATCGTCATTGATACTTGGCAAATGCATATTGATAATCGAATCGCGGGAGAAAGTGTCGTCACACCCCTATCGGCCTGTATAACCAGGGACAAGAAGGACTAAAGGAGCTGGTACCGGTTAAACAGGACAGAGCAGAATAGAGTAGGGCTATAGTTGAAACAAGCAGGTACTTTTTTGTCCCTCTTGGCCTTGGTTCTATTCAGGCCGAGCTGATACTAAAGTGTTCTAATTGACCATTTTACCTTGAATTGTCTCCGGATACTGATTTGTTGTGGGTAGGATTCTAGGATGCAGAACAAGATATGAAAGTGTAATGGAAACACAGCCAAGTAGAGTAGAATAGAGCAGAGCCGAGTAGATTAGAGAAGGGTTGAGTTGTATAGAGTAGAGAGTAGAGAGTAGAGAGTAGAGAGTAGAGTAGAGTAGAGTAGAGTAGAGTAGAGTAGAGTAGAGTAGAGTAGAGTAGAGTAGAGTAGAGTAGAGTAGAGTAGAGTAGAGCTTTTGTTTCCCTGTGGGTGAAACACCGGGAGTCGCACTCTTCTTATCCTTTCTCTCGGTCCTCGCTCGAGCTGAGTTGTAAGTAATTAGTAAGTAATCTTTATTTATATACCGCCTTTTCACTGCAGATCTGAGTCTCAAAGCGGTTTACAATTGTTAATTTTTGGGCATTTGTCTCTCACTCCACACAGAGATGGGAGCGGGGTCGCCAGTACAGGAGGTGCATGCTAGAACTATTGTACATATTTTTAGTGGTAGGGGAAACCGGAGTACCCGGAGGAAACCTACGCAGACACGGGGAGAACATGCAAACTCCACTCAGAAAGGCCCTGGTCCGACTGGGATTTGAACCCAGGACCTTCTTGCTGAGAGGCGAGAGTGCTATCCACTCAGCCACCGTGCACACCGAGTTGTGTAGAGTAGAGTTAAGTAGAGTAGAGCCGAGTAGAGTAGAGTAGAGTAGAGTAGAGCCAAATAGAGTAGAGTAGAGTAGAGTAGAGTAGAGTAGAGTAGAGAGTAGAGTAGAGTAGAGTAGAGTAGAGTAGAGTAGAGCCGAGCCGAGCCGAGCCGAGCCGAGCAGACAGGGAGTTGCTCTGTTCTTATCCTTTCTCTCGTCAGTCTCTCGGTGCTCGCAGAATTTTTTCACTTGAGGAATTATTGATTGAAGAGCGGGAGAGACTTCACGCTGCCAACGGTGGAATGGGATTTGGGCGTTCATGCGTTTGCTGCACAAACAGGCTGAAAACAGTTTTTTGAAAAATGTATGAAGACAAAATATTCTGAAATATTCAGAGATACTGTTCAAGAGCTACTGTATGGGTTTTGTTTTCGGAGGACGATTTAAAGCGACAGTGTGTATTATGCTCTCAGTGGTCTATCACACCAGAACCAGAGCCTTCCTCCTGTGACACATGGAGCTACTCAACACTGATTACTGATGTAATCCACCTGCTGGGGTTCAGAAACAGTACAATCTCTGTGTGTTTCTGATGACTACTCTCCTCCTCCTCCTCTCTAGTCTAGTCTAGTCTAGTCTAGTCTAGTCTAGTCTGTTCTGCCCTTTTGTCCTCTTCTCTACTCTACTCGGCTCTACTACCTGGTTGCCATTACGTTTTAGTATCTGGTACCATTTCGTAGCAACCTACCCAACACAAACTGGTATGCTTGGAAATTCCTTGGTGACCATGCTTTCCAGCAGCACTCTGGCCAATAACTGTCAGTTAGCTTTAGCACTAGCTTGGCCTGGATAGTACCAGGGCCAAGTGGAACTAAAGAAGGACCTGGTACTGGTTTAAAACGGCTGGTGGAAACGTCCAAATCGGATTAGAGTAGAGTAGAGTATAATAGGGCCGAGTAGGGCTGGTGGAAATGAGGCTTATGTGATGTGCAGTTTTTTTGGGGAGTTTTTTTTGCTTAAACAAACAATAACAATAGAAAGAATGAGGCTAAAATCAACAAAATGTCACCCTTCAAACTGGCAACCCAAATGAAACTTATTCTGCTCTCTGATTGGATAATATTCTTGATTGTGTCCATTGTGTTTTTGATTACGAATAACTCCCCTTTAAACTGTTGTTCAGAAAATGCCAGATATGAAGTGTACATGTGACCTGTTATCTGGCAACACATGTGAAATATGTAGATGTAATTTAGAATGAAAATATTTCATACTGTCCCTTTTGAATGACCAGTTTTTATTCTTTATTCGTTTTTTAAGTCTACATAACAACATTGGGGCTAATGCTAAAGCGCTAGTTAGGAATCAGGACATTTTTTGAAGTGATTTCATAGTGGCTTTATGGATAGAGATGGGAATAGGTTTAGTTTAAAAGCAGAGTTTTGGTATTTGTGGTTATTTTTGTGAATTCACTTTTTGCATCTTAAATGTTTATGTACTTTTATTCATTATGGGTTTGAATGTTCAGTGCCCACGTTGATTCATGCTGTAATAGCAATAATAGATCTATGTTTTCAACCTTTGTCCTACACCAGAAGCCAAGAACAATAGACGGGATACAGAAAGAAAAGTAACACAGTTTGAGAAGGGGTTGGACGAAGCGGACGTTCACTTACAGGATGACTCACGGTGCGTTGCTCGAAGCTGGAGAAATATGAAAAATGAACAGTCAGCGAGGCGTATGTGACAATGTGCATCCCGGTTCAATACACGTTTTCGACCCGAGTTTAACACGAGAACCCCCAGAGCAGTCAATTTGATGGCCTTTAGTTCTGGAAGTGTAATTCCTCAGCTCATTTGCATTTTTGTTCTTCACAACCTTTTCTGTTTCTATCATTATTTCTTTGACACTCTCTTTTATTACCGAGTGGTTAGCACATCACTTCTCAGCAAGAAGGTCCTAAGCCTTAGTGGCATCAGGATGGGTCGAGTACAGAGGATAAATTGTCCTACGGGGATCAGTAAAGTGCACCTTTGCCAAACTGTTTTTTTATATATGAATGTATATTAAAAAACATATCAATTGCTTACTTTCCATTTATTTGAATGGGAGCTGTCAAAATGACTGGTTTGGACGTTCCAATAATTTCAGAATTCTGGGAGTCCGAGTGTTAAGTTATTTCACAAACTGCTCCTTGTGACAACAGAGACTGTAGAGGCTCTACTGCTCCTCTTTTATCTCTCCAGATGACCCTATCCCTGACAGTGACCCTGACTCTGACCCTAACCCGTTCCTTAACTCCTTCTTTGTGTCTCCGCAGAGTTGATCTCGAACTGCAGCCTGTGGGGTTGTCAGGAGCACTGCGCGGTCTCTCCGGACGGACCAGCCTGTTTCTGTAAAAGCGGCTACGAGATCAACCAGGATGGAAAGACTTGCAAAGGTCAGTCTCCAGTTCGGGCCTCAGCATTTTGGGCTAAAGGCAGGAGCACAGACTGGTCAAGCTTGAACAGGCTCCACACGGGAAACTCTGGAGACAAATTTGTGGGACATATACAGGCACCTGATGGGATTGTTCTCAGGGGGCTTATCTGAATTCACAAACACCATATCACAATAAAAAAACACCACAGACTTTTTTATTGTTACTCAATCCATCCATCCATCCATCCATTTTCTTCCGCTTTATCCGTTGCCGGGTCGCGGGGGCAGCAGTCTAAGCAGAGACGCCCAGACTTCCCTATCCACACACACCTCCTCCAGCTCGTCCGGGGGGACCCCTAGGCGTTCCCAGGCCAGCTGAGAGACATAGTCTCTCCAGCGTGTCCTGGGTCTTCCCCGGGGCCTCCTCCCGGTGGGACGTGCCCGGAACACCTCCCCAGGAAGGCGTCCAGGAGGCATCCTGAACAGATGCCCGAGCCACCTCAACTGGTTCCTCTCGACGTGGAGAAGCAGCGGCTCTACTCCGAGCTCCTCCCGTGTGACCGAGCTCCTCACCCTATCTCTAAGGGAGCGCCCAGCCACTCTGCGGAGGAAGCTCATTTCGACCGCTTGTATCCGCGATCTCGTTCTTTCGGTCATTACCCACAGCTCATGACCATAGGTGAGGGAGGGAATGAAGATTGACCGGTAAATCGAGAGCTTTGCCTTTCGGCTCAGCTCCCTCTTTACCACAACGGTCCGATACAGAGACCGCATCACTGCGCACGCTGCACCGATCCGCCTGTCAATCTCACGCTCCATCCTTCCCTCACTCGTGAACAAGACCCCGAGATACTTGAACTCCTCCACTTGAGGATGGACCTCTCCACCCACCTGAAGAGGGCAAGGCACCTTTTTCCGGTCGAGCACCATGGCCTCGGATTTGGAGGTGCTGATTCTCATCCCAGCCGCTTCACACTCGGCTGCAAACCGTCCCAGTGCATGTTGCAGGTCCTGGTTTGTTGGAGCCAGCAGGACGACATCATCCGCAAAAAGTAGAGATGAAATCCTGTGGTTCCCGAACCGGACCCCCTCCGGCCCCTGGCTGCGCCTAGAGATTCTGTCCATAAATACAGTGAACAGAACCGGTGACAAAGGGCAGCCTTGGCGGAGGCCAACATGCACCGGGAACAGGTCTGACTTACTGCCGGCAATGCGAACACAGCTCTGGCTCCGGTCATACAGGGACCAAACAGCCCTCAGAAGAGGACCCCGTACTCCCGGAGGACCCCCCAAAGGACACCCCGGGGAACACGGTCGAACGCCTTCTCCAAATCCACAAAGCACATGTGGACAGGTTGGGCGAACTCCCATGAACCCTCGAGTATCCGATGGAGAGTATAGAGCTGGTCCAGTGTTCCGCGACCGGGACGAAAACCACACTGCTCCTCCTGAATCCGAGATTCGACCATCGGACGTAGCCTCCTCTCCAGTACCTTGGAGTAGACCTTACCGGGGAGGCTGAGGAGTGTGATCCCACGATAATTGGAACACACCCTCCGGTCCCCCTTCTTGTAGAGAGGGACCACCACCCCGGTCTGCCACTCCATTGGCACCGCCCCCGATCGCCACGCGATGTTGCAGAGACGTGTCAGCCAAGACAGTCCTACAACATCCAGAGACTTTAGATAGTCAGGACGGATCTCATCCACTCCCGGCGCCTTGCCACCATGGAGGCTGCCAACCACCTTGGTGACCTCGGCCAGGGAGATGGAAGTATCCGCCCCAACATCTTCAGCCTCTGCCTCCTGGACGGAGGACGTGACGGGGGGATTGAGGAGAACCTCGAAGTATTCCTTCCACCGCCCGACAATATCCCCAGTCGAGGTCAGCAGCCCTCCACCCGCACCATACACGGTGTTGGCAAAGAACTGCTTCCCCCTCCTGAGGCGCCGGACGGTTTGCCAGAACCTCTTCGAGGCCGACCGATAGTCATGCTCCATGGACTCTCCGAACTCCTCCCAGTCCCGGGTTTTTGCCTCTGCAACAGCCCGGGCCACGGCACATTTGGCCTGCCGGTACTGGACAGCTGCCTCAGGAGTCCCACGAACCATCATTGCTCGATAGGACTCCTTCTTCAGCCTGACGGCATCCCTTACTGCCGGTGTCCACCACCGGGTTCGGGGATTGCCGCCGGGACCAGCACCAGAGACCTTGCGACCACAGCTACGAGCCGCCGCATTGGCGATAGAGGAAGAGAACATGGTCCACTCGGACTCGATGTCCCCCTCCTCTGCCGGGACCTGGGAGAAGCTCTCCCGGAGGTGTGAGTTGAAAGTCCGTCTGACAGGGGGCTCACCAAGACGTTCCCAGCAAACCCTCACTACACGCTTGGGCCTGCCAGGTCTGACCGGCCTCCTGCCCTGCCAGCGGATCCAACTCACGACCAGGTGATGATCGGTTGACAGCTCCGCCCCTCTCTTCACCCGAGTGTCCGAGACACGCGGTCGAAGGTCAGATGATACGACTACAAAGTCGATCATCGACCTCCGGCCTAGGGTGTCCTGGTGCCACGTGCACTGATGGACACCCTTGTGCTCGAACATGGTGTTCGTGATGGACAGGCCGTGACTGGCACAGAAGTCCAACAACTGAACACCGCTCGGGTTCAGATCAGGGGGGCCGCTCTTCCCGATCACCCCCTCTCCAAGTGTCACTGGCGACTCCCACATGGGCGTTGAAGTCCCCCAGGAGAATAACGGAGTCCCCGGGCGGTGCACTGTCCAGTACCCCTCCCAAGGACTCCAAGAAGGCCGGGTACTCTGCACTACCGTTAGGCCCGTAGGCCGTCACAACAGTGAGAGATTTGTCCCCCACCCGGAGGCGGAGGGACGCGACCCTCTCATTCACCGGGGAGAACTCCAACACGTGGCGGCTGAGATGGGGGGCAATGAGAATGGCCACCCCAGCTTGCCGCCTCTCCCCGCGAGAAACACCAGAAAAGTGGAGCGTCCAACCCCTCTCAAGGAGTTGTGTGTGGAGGTGAGGCCGACTATCTCTAGTCGGTATCGCTCAACCTCCCCCACAAGCTCGGGCTCCTTCCCCCCCAGTGAGGTGACGTTCCACGTCCCAAGAGCCAGATGTTGGGTGTGTGGACTGGGTCGTCGAGGTCTCCGCCTTCGACTGCTGCCCAGTCCTCTCTGCACCTCGCCACCACGGACCCCTCTGCAGGTGGTGGGCCCACACCATTGTTACTCAATCATTGGTTTCAATGTAGTTGCAAGGATTTATTATACATTTATGATATATTATATTGTGATTAGATCCAGATATCAGCCTTATGATATGAGCCAGGACCTGAGGCTGTAGATCCCGAAGTCAGGCTGTAGAACGAGGGTGTCCTCGCTTTGCTTCCATATCTCTGGAAGCAAACGAGGACACTGAGGCCACATGTGGCTGAAGTCACTGTGGTTTCTTCCTTGAACACATTTGACAGGCATGTCTTCTTTTGGGACATGAAAAGAAGCTCAGTCTTTGTTAGTGCGATCTCGTTTGACAGAACACAATCTCGAGTCTCCGATCATTAAACAAATATCATCACATTTACTTTTTCAGCTCCAAACTCAAATGTTTTCTTCCTGTTTGCGTCGCACAGCTTTGTAAACCACTCCCGTCTATCTGCAGCTGTGTTTGCTCTGGCTGTGGTTTAGTGTGTGTGTGTGTGTGTGTGTGTGTGTGTGTGTGTTTCAGATTTCGATGAGTGCACGGTGTATGGGACGTGTAGTCAGACCTGTACTAACACTGAAGGGGGCTTCAGCTGCTCCTGTGTGGAGGGGTATCTGTCCCAGCCAGACAACCGGTCCTGCAAGGCTAAGAACGGTAACACACACATGCATACACACGCACACACACACACACACTATACACACTAGGGCTGGGAAAACCAAATTCCATATTCAAATATCATACTGGCATGATTTTGGTGTGTATTAGCTTGCAAATGTCTTTTTGCTTCAGATTTTCTGAGGCATTAGTTTGCCTGTTACGTGTTCCTATAGTAACGTGACGGCGGCTAAACAGGCCAGAATCGACCAAATGCTACCACTCACTAGTGCACGGGCCTTCCCTATGACCGTCAAAAAAGAGCATTGGATCTGCTGATACGGGCCATTTGCTTTGGTCTGAAGCCTTTAAATCTTTACACGTTTATTAGAACAGTGAAGACACATCTTATCTACATAAAGAACTGGGGTTGACGCATAGATCCATGCATTGACAGCGTTTCTTCTAAACAAAGCATTGATTGCCTTCATGCACTACCCTCTGGTGGACAAAACATTAGCCACTATAACTTTTTTTTCTAATACCCAGGGAGATATTATAAGTGACAATTTATTATTAGGTCTTTTTAATAAATGTTATGACAAATAATGGTTGATGCTGCATATCTCACTCTGCTGTAATCAGTCATATATTAGTTTCATGTTTTAAGTAAATGGACTTGTAAATGGAGAACTGTTTTTTACCTGGATTTAAACATTTTCATTGTTGAGTAGAGGCCCGTCTCACATTCTCAGCTTCTCATAACTAAATCATAGTTTTGAGAACAATTAGTACTTCAGTGGGTTAATTCCTTAGATGCTCTTCGGGTCAGCCGTGGAAATAAAGTAAAGTAAGTGAGAAAAACTATTACATAAATCAATGGATAAACTAGGGCAGGGCAGGGCAAGTTTATTTATATAGCACAATTCATACACAAGGCAATTCAAAGTGCTGAACAAAACAAGAAAGCATTAAAATCATAAATTATCACAGAACATTAAAAAGAAAGATAAAAATACAAAATCCCTCAGTTGTATGCACAGCTAAACAGAACTGTCTTTAACCTGGTTTTAAACATTGTCAGAGAGGAGGCCTGTCTCACATCTTCAGGAAGACTGTTCCAGATTTTAGCAGCATGAATCTGAAAAGCAGCCTCCCCATGTTTAGTTCTGACTCTGGGCACTTACAGGAGTCCAGTCCCTGTGCTCCTCAGAGTCCGGGCTGGTTCATATGGGACTAACATGTCACTAATATATTTTGGTGCGAGGCTATGGAGAGACTCGTACACAAGCAGAGCTGTTTTAAAGTCTATTCTCTGAGCCACAAGAAGCCAGTGCAGAGACCTGAGGACTGGACTAATGTGGTCGTACTTCCTGGTTCTAGTCAGGACTCGAGCTGCTGCATTTTGAATGTACTGCAGCTGTTTTACAGCCTGTTTGGACAGACCTGTGAGCAGGCCATTGCAGTAGTCTAACCTACTGGAGACAAATGCATGGATAAGAATCTCCAAGTCTGCTTTAGACACTATGTTTTTGATCCTGGCAATGTTTTTTAGATGGTAAAAAGCTGCTGATGTTACTGATTTGATGTGGCTATTAAAATTTAAGTCTGAGTCCAGTATTACCCCTAGATTTCTGACCTTGTTTGAAGGTTTTAGGGAGAGAGACTGTAGATGACAGATGACGCTCTCTCTTTGTTTCCGGGGACCAAAGACAATCCTTTCAGTTTTGTCTGCGTTTAGCTGAAGGAAGTTGTTTTGCATCCACTCACTGATCTGTTGGATACAGTGAAGGAGTGAGTCCACTGGTCCATGTTCTCCTGCAGTCAGTGAGACATAGATCTGAGTGTCGTCTGCATAGTTGTGATAGGAAACTTTGTTTCTGCGTATTAACTGACCTAACGGCAGCATGTAGAGATTGAACAGAAGAGGTCCCAGGATCGACCCCTGTGGGACTCCACAGGTCAGGGCCATATGATCTGAGACACAGTTTCCAATCTCCACAAAGTACTTCCTGTCTTCAAGGTAAGACCTAAACCAACTTAGGGTGGTGCCAGTGATGCCAACCCAGTCCTCTAGTCTCTGTATGAGGATCTCATGGTCGACGGTGTCAAAGGCAGCACTTAGATCTAACAAGATTAAGATTGAGACTTTGCCTGCGTCAGTGTTCAGCCGGATATCGTTTGTAACCTTAACAAGAGCAGTCTCAGTGCTGTGGTGGGGTCTAAAGCCGGACTGAAACATATCAAATGAGTTGTTGATTATAAGAAATCTAGTAAGCTGTAGGTAGACAACTTTCTCAAGGACTTTCCCCATAAATGGCAGATTTGAGATGGGACGATAGTTGTTAAGTACCGTAGCATCGAGACTGCTCTTTTTTAGCAGGGGCCTGATGACTGCAGTTTTCAGGGCCTTTGGGAATATTCCAGAATGAAGGGACATGTTTACTATCTGTGTGAGTGAAGGTAACAGACTGCTCAGAACAGACTTCAGAAATCTAGTGGGTAGTACATCCAAGCTGCATGTGGAGGAGCTCAAACTGGAGATTATCTCTTGGACAGTTTTATCATTTACAGGTGCAAAGTGAGTTAGCTCAGAGAGCCTTTCTGGTTGTTGGATGGTTATCTGTGGATTGGAGACAATGGCGTTTTTGATGCCTTGAACCTTGTCATTGAAAAAATTAGCAAACTCATTGCATTTACGTTTGGAAGTAAGCTCTAATGGCATTTGAACAGGGGGGTTTGTTAATCTATTAACTGTTGAGAACAGAACACGCAGATTGTTGCTGCAGCCTTCAATCATTTCAGAAAAATACCTTTCTCTCGTACTACGTAGCACCCGGTTAAACTCGCACAACTTATCTTTGAAGATCTCGTAATCAACCTGGAGGTTGGACTTGCGCCACTTCCGCTCGGCCCTCCGGCACTTTCTCTTTTGTGCCCTGACCGAGTCTGCTTTAGCCCACGGCGCCTTCTGCTTATTTTTCACTATTTTAACCTTCACAGGGACAACGGTATCCAGAACATTCAAAACACTAGAGGTGACAGAGTTAAACAGTTCATCTACAGTAGAATACGATGCATTCTCAAAGTGTATCATTCCCATAAATAGTTCACTCGTATTTTCATTTATGCGCCTTCTTCGAACAGTTGCAGAGTCCACTGGTGGTTTGTTAGTGAAACACATGTCAAAAAAAACACAGAAATGATCCGAAAGAGCAACATCGACCACGTTTACATTTGAAATATTCACCCCCTTTGTAACTAACAGATCTAGAGTGTGCCCTCTGCTGTGGGTGGGGCCACTTACGTGCTGAGTGAGTTCAACGGATTCAAGTACAGAACTCAGCTCATTTGCATTTCTGTCATCAACATTATCCACATGAATATTAAAATCACCTGTAATAACCAAACTATCAAAATCTGTGCATACAACTGAAAGCAACTCGGTAAAATTATCAATAAAACTGTGACATGACTGCGGTGGCTTGTATAGGACAACGAAGAGTATTGGAGATTGTTTTTGTTGTATTTTAAAAGACACATATTCAAAAGACGGAAACTTCCCAAGAGACATTCTATGGGAGACAAAGTGGTCTCTAAAAATGGCAGCTAAGCCTCCTCCTTTTTTGTTTTCCCGTATTTCAGATTCAAACTTGAAATTTGGTGGTGATGCTTCTATTAAAACTGCATTTTCTGAATTTTGGTCAAGCCAAGTTTCAGCCATGAACATAAGATCAAGATTATGAGAACAAATAAAATTATTGATTAAAAAAGACTTGTTACAAAGAGATCTGACATTAAGCGTAGCAAGTTTCAAAGTTTCAGTATCAGCGGTTGCGGTCGGCTGATTCTTACACGGAACAAGAATTAGATTTTCCAGATTAGACTGATTAACTCCAGATGTTTTTCTGTAATGTATTCTTTGTGTTATCACTAAGGGAATGGCACAGGTGGCTTCATGACAGGGCCCCAGCTGGGTCTCTCCTCTAACTAGACTGCCAGTGGCTGCGAAGCAGAGACCCTGTGCATCCTAGTGTTTAGAGAAAAGAGGGGAAGGGGAAACCTATAGGCAAACTATAGGTCCTTTTCCTGTTATAACCTTTGTTGCGTCTCAGCCACTAAGCAGATTTTTCAGGGCATACATTAGGGACATTTCTTCATCCAGTCAGTGCCTCTGCAACTTTTTTCAGTTACAGTTTCAATACAAGTGCAAGATCATTAAAGTGCTCTGTCATCACCGTGTGAGAATGGACAAATATCGGAAAATCTGAACATTGTAAAGCGTGTTGGGTGACCTTGGTCTGTAAAAATGAGCTATATAAATAAGATTAATTACTTACTCTGTTTAAACTGATAACAGCTTGTGGAAAAAACCAAACAACAACAGAGAGTGCACACCAGAGCTTTTAAGAGTTCAGTGATGTAGCTTGGAGCCAGACCTAAACGAGCTTCAAAAGTGATCAGTAAAATCTTAAAATCAATTCTAACAATTTGTGCTCCTTTCCTCCCAGTCCCCGTGGAGCGTCTGCCCGTCCTCCTCATCGCTAACTCCCAGAACATCCAGGCCACGTCTCTGAGTGGCTCCACGGTCCACAGCCTGGTTTCCACCAGCACCAAGCAGACCGCCGCCATGGACTTCCTGTACGTCCAGGAGACCGTCTGCTGGATCCACGTGGGCGAGACGGCGTCCGGAACCCACCTGAAGTGCGCCAAGATCCCCAACCTGAAGAGCTTCACGGAGGAGCGGGTCATCAACGTCTCATTCAGCCTGCACCGTGAGTCACTGTCTGTGGATTTGTTTTGGTTTTGTTGTTTTATTGTGTCATCTTCATTCGATCTTGCTTTTTCATGTTACGTACAGCATGACACATTTTATTGTCTTTTATCCTTTTTTCCCACTATTCAAAATAAACAAGGCACTTATTTACTTGCGCCTACTAATCCTCCTCATCACCTACAAAGCCCTCCATAACTTCGTTCCTCCATACCTCACTGAACTTCTACAGCCCTACAGTCCCTTAGCTTGACTCTCGCCAGACCCTTGTGTAGAGCGCTGCGCTTTTCACAAGGGTCTGGGTCTGCTTCATAGCGGATGAATTTCAGCTGGTGGGACCTTGAAAAAAATGCTTGTATGTGATTGGATAAAACACTTGTGTTCCTTCAATCACTCACATCGAACCACATGATTCAGCACACGACTCCCATGGATTGCCAAATGGCGGCGAGATTTTCCAACCCAAAACCCGCGAGAATGCCCAAAAAAAAAACACCCACAATGATTTTTTGGCTAAAAACGTAATGTAATCAACTTGGGCTATCATGATTCTGTTTATTGTCTTTCTGTTTATTTAATACCTACAAGTCTCTTTGAAAAAAATATGCGGGAACCACCAAACCTGGCAACCCTGCTGCGTAGTGTTGTAAACAGGAACACTTAAACCAGTGCTTAAACCAAACTTTACTAATGGGCCAAAAGTAGTGCTCTACTGGAGCTATCCAAAATGGCAGCGAGTGGTCCCGCCCACAAGAAAATTGTGAAAAAACGTATCTGCGCATGCGTCAGCCGGAGCAAGCTCCGTTCATTTGAGAAAAAAAAGTTGCCCTAGAGCCAACTTTTGGAGCATCCTGTAAAGACTTTTTCGAGAGGTCTGCCAATGCTATATGTTAGCATTGGCTAATTCTTATTCCGGGTCCACCCCCATCGGCCCGGGGTGGTATTGCAAGCATGTTACTGCACTTCATTTTAGCCACTTTTGAGCCGGGACCCGCCCCCACTGGTTCAGCCAAACGCCTCTGGTGGAGCAAGGGTCTGGCGAGAGTCAGGCCAACAGTCCCTCCCGTCGACTCTGATCTGCAGACTCACATCTCCTCACTCCCACTGTCAAATCCAAGCACCGAACCTTGGAGGACCGAGCTTTTGCCATCTCTGCTTCCTCTCTGGAACTATCTCCCCCCTCATCTCAGAAACTCGGACTCACTAAACTCCTCCATGCATACGACTCTTAGTTTCAGCTTTGTACTTTTCTTTCCTGCTTTTAGTATTTTAGTTTTGTGTGTCTGCCTGAATGTGTATGTGTGTGTTTCCTGAATTTTGAAGCGTCTTTAAGTCTTTGAAAACTGCTATATAAAACCAATGTATTATTTTTATTATTATTACTACACCTCATGGGCATAGGCCACCGACAAGAGATCTCCATCTCGATCTTGGGCTTTCTGCTCCAGCTGTGTTCACGTGTATCCCGTCGTCTTGGTGTCTGCCTCCAGGTCTCGGCGCCACGTGTCTCTGGGCCGTCCTCTATTTCTTTAGCCTTGCGGGTTCCAGGTCTCTAGGTGTCTAGTTATGTTGGAGAGTGGCTTTATCCATTTCCAACGGCGTCTCAGGATCCATTCGTCTGCAGGGAGTTGGTTGGTTTTCTGCCACAGTTGCTGGTTGCTTCTTGTGTTCGGCCAGCGGATTTGAAGAATCGTTCGCAGACATGAATTTATGAATGTCTGTACTTTCTTTGTTGTTGCCAATGTGGTCCTCCAGGTTTCAAATAGTCGGGCTTTGGTTTGCAAAGTCAGATATTTTGAGTTCCAGACATTTTTCAGTTGTAGGAACGCTGCCTTTCCTATTTGCGCCTTCACGTCTGCATTACTTCCCAGATATGTGAAGGAGTCTACTTCCTCTAAGGCCTCGTTGTTCATTATGACTGGGTCACTACTTGCACTGTTTACTTTGAGTAAAAAAAAAAAAAAGGTAGTTATGTATAAAACAATAGTTATAACAACCAAAATAAAGACAAAAACAAACCAAAAATAAAATAAATATCCATCCATCCATCCATTTTCTACCCTTTAATCCATTTCTGGGTCAGGGGGGTGGCAGTCAGAGATGCCACCCAAGTCTCATAGCACCAGCCCCAAATAAATATCATTTTCCGCATATACATGAGTCCGCGGCCTTTCCTGAGCCGTTCTGATCCGGGTCATGTGGCGCTCACTCAGCACATTCCTATAACCCCTGGAGGCTTTTCTCCTTTTCCTTACATTACCCCGAACTACATGAGAGAGAGAGGACCAGCTCAGAGAGGACCAGCTCAGAGAGGACCAGCCCAGAGAGAGGACCAGCTTAGAGAGAGAGGACCAGCTCAGAGAGGACCAGCCCAGAGAGAGGACCAGCTTAGAGAGAGAGGACCAGGTTAGAGAGAGGACCAGCTCAGAGAGGACCAGCCCAGAGAGAGGACCAGCTCAGAGAGCACCAGCCCAGAGAGAGGACCAGCTTAGAGAGAGAGGACCAGGTTAGAGAGAGGACCAGCTCAGAGAGGACCAGCCCAGAGAGAGGACCAGCTCAGAGAGGACCAGCTCAGAGTAAGTAAGTAAGTAATGTTTATTTATATACCGCCTTTCACAGACCAGAGTCACAAAGCGGTTTACAATTGTTATTTTTGGGCACTTGTCTCTCACTCCACACAGAGATGGAGCGGGGTCGCCGAACAGCAGGCGCATGCCAATCCTATTGTACATATTTTTTTTAGTGGTAGGGGAAACCGGAGTACCCGGAGGAAACCTACGCAGACACGGGGAGAATATGCAAACTCCACTCAGAAAGGCCCTGGTCCGGCCGGGATTCGAACCCAGGACCTTCTTGCTGAGAGGCGAGAGTGCTATCCACTCAGCCACCGTGCCGCCCAGAGAGGACCAGCCTAGAGAGAGGACCAGCTTAGAGAGAGGACCAGCTCAGAGAGGACCAGCCCAGAGAGAGGACCAGCTTAGAGAGAGAGGACCAGCCCAGAGAGAGGACCAGCTCAGAGAGGACCAGCCCAGAGAGAGGACCAGCCCAGAGAGAGGACTAGCTCAGAGAGGACCAGCTTAGAGAGAGGGAGGACCAGCCAAGAGAGAGGACCAGCTTAGAGAGGACCAGCTCAGAGAGGACCAGCCCAGAGAGAGGACCAGCTTAAAGAGAGAGGACCAGCCCAGAGTGAGGACCAGCTCAGAGAGGACCAGCTCAGAGAGGACCAGCCCAGAGAGGACCATCCCAGAGAGGACCAGCTCAGAGAGGACCAGCCCAGAGAGAGGACCAGCCTAAAGAGAGAGGACCAGCCCAGAGAGAGGGGACCAGTCCAGAGAGAGGACCAGCCCAGAGAGGACCAGCCCAGAGAGGACCAGCCCAGAGAGGACCAGCCCAGAGTGAGGACCAGCTCAGAGAGGACCAGCCCAGAGAGGACCAGCTCAGAGAGGACCAGCTCAGAGAGGACCAGCTCAGAGAGGACCAGGTTAAAGAGAGATGACCAGGTTAGAGAGAGGACCAGCTCAGAGAGGACCAGCTCAGAGAGGACCAGCTCAGAGAGGACCAGCTCAGAGAGGACCAGCTCAGAGAGGACCAGGTTAGAGAAATGACCAGCTCATATACTGTATATCTCTTAAGTATACTTTCCAGGCAGCTAAAGATGGGGGCATTTATCCGCTCCGTGTTGCGTTGTTCCCAGAGGAGCTGAGAACATTTCAATCCATTACTCTCACTTTTCTCTGCTTCACATTGTGCCATAAAAAAATCCTCTCACTGTGTAATTTGCAAAGCACCTTTCCCACCTTCCCCATTCCCCTTCTGCTTTGCAAACGTGTTATTGTCCTCAGAAAAACAACACCTCTCTCGGGGACGTGGTGATAATGTGGACTGATGGCGTCTCTGACTCTGGGAGCAGCAGATGAACTGGAATAGGATCAGGCTCTGGCAGTTTTTATACTATACTAATGTATGAACAATATAGTCCATACGAGGGACTCGTTGGCCTCCCTGCCCCACCTGGGAGCCTCTTCAGTCCTGGATCGACAGCTTCAGTCCTGGATCTATTGCCTCAGTCCTGGGTCTACAGCCTCAGTCCTGGTTCTACAACCTCAGTCCTGGATCGACAGCCTCAGTCTCGGGTCTACAGTCTCAGTCCTGAATCTACAGCCTCAGTCCTGAATCTACAGCCTCAGTCCTGGATCTACAGCCTCAGTCCTGGATCTACAGCCTCAGTCTCGGGTCTACAGTCTCAGTCTCGGGTCTACAGTCTCAGTCCTGGATCGACAGCCTCAGTCCTGAATCTACAGCCTCAGTCCTGGATCTACAGCCTCAGTCTCGGGTCTACAGTCTCAGTCCTGGATCTACAGCCTCAGTCTCGGGTCTACAGCCTCAGTCCTGGATCTACAGCCTCAGTCCTGGATCTACAGCCTCAGTCTCGGGTCTAAAGTCTCAGTCCTGGATCTACAGCCTCAGTCATGGTTTTTTACAGCCTCAGTCTTGGATCTAAAGCCTGTCTGTCCGTGGAAGCAGATCCCTCTCTCAGTCTTCCTCAGTCTTCCTCAGTCTTCCTCATTCTTCCTTAGTCTTCCTCAATCTTCCTTAGTCTTCCTTAGTCTTCCTCAGTCTTCCTCAGTCTTCCTTAGTCTTCCTCAATCTTCCTTAGTCTTCCTCAGTCTTGTGTAGTCTTCCTCACTCTTCCTCAGTCTTCTTTAGTCTTCTTTAGTCTTCCTCAGTCTTCCTCAGTCTTCCTCAGTCTTCTTTAGTCTTCTTTAGTCTTCCTCAGTCTTCCTCACTCTTCCTCACTCTTCTTTAGTCTTCTTTAGTCTTCCTCAGTCTTCCTCACTCTTCCTCAATCTTCCTTAGTCTGCCTCAGTCTTCCTCATGGCTAGTTGTGCAGCAGCTGGAAGAGTTTAAACACAGTGTGTTAGAATGACACGCAGCTCTGGGAAACACGTTCCCTCCCCAATTCGCACAAACCTCCAAAAATGCCCCGGAGGAATCGCCAACTTTCCTTCCTCTCTCTCCCCCTATCTTCCGCTTGCCGCTCACTCGACCGCTTTTCCACGTTTACGTAAAAGGCCAAATATTTGGTCTGGGTCCACGCTGCTCTCCTTTTCCTCGTGACACATGGTTCCTCCTTTTGGAACTTTTCATTTCACATGAATTTTATACAGATTTTATACGTTTCTGTGATGCTAGAGTTAGAGATTTTGTTTTATTTTAATTCGTGTAGCTTGTTCACTTATCTTGTGCTGTGTGCTCCTCGTTTATACTGTTATATAACTTGTGATGCAACACTGAAATTTCCCCGCTGTGGGCCGAATAGAGGATCTCTTAATCTTAATCCTAATTTAAGGTAAAAGAGACGTATTGCGCAACATTGTGTTGTTTTGTGATTTTTACTGTTACGACTAATTACAAACAGGATCCACCCGCCTTCTCCTTTCTCTTCTTCTGTCCCCTCTCTTCTTTCCTCCCCTTTACCCTCTTCGCTTTCCTTTCCTCCTCTTTTCTTCTCTCCCTTCTCTTCTCGTCTATTCTCGCCTGTCTCCTCTTCCCCCCCCTCTCTCCTCTTTTCTCTCTCCTCTCCTCTCTTCTCTTCTCTCAACTCTTCTCTCTCCTTTCTTTATTTCTTCTCCTGTCTCCTCTTTTCTCCTCTTCCCTCTCCTCTCTCCTCTCCCCTCTCTCTCCTTTCCTTATTTCTCCTTTCCCTTCATTATTTTCTCTCCTCTCCTGTCTCTTCTCCCCTCCCTTTCGGCTCGTCTCTCCTCTCGTCTTTCCTCTCTCGTCTACTCTCTCCTCATGTCCTTTCTCTTGTCTTTCATCTTGTCTCTCCTCTCCTTTCCCCTCTCCCTTGTCTCCTCTTTACTGTCTTCTCTCCCCTCTGTCTCTTTCCTCTCATCTCTCGTCTCCCCTCTTTCTCATCTCTCCTCTCCCTCGTCTCCTCTCTTCTTGTCTCTCCTCTCCCCTCTCTCTCCTCTCCTCTTTCCCGTCTCCTCTTCCCTCTCTCTCGTCTCCACTCTCCTCGTCTCTCCTTTCCTCTCTCCTTTCCACTCTCTCTCTTCTCCTCTCTCCTCGTCTCCTCTCTCCTCTCTCCTCTCCTCGTCTCCTCTCTCCTCGTCTCCTCTCACCGTTTTACGACAGCGCTGGAATCTCCCCGTCATTTCCTCCGTCTGAAATACTCCAACACCAAACACACACCAGGTCTATGTTAAGAACAACCCACCAAGTCCTGCTAAGACTGCACACGAGAGTACAGTCACAGTAGTAGTAGTAGTGGAAGTACAAGTAGGAGTAGAAGAAGCTGTAGTAAAAGGAGTAGTACTTGCAGTTTAGTAGTTGTAGTAGTATTACTAGTAGTGGTAGCAGTAATAGTAGTGGTAGTTGCATTTTCAGCAGTAATGGCAGTAGCAATAGTTGTTTGGTAGTAGTTGGTGTAGTAGCAGTAGCAGTCACTGCAATAGTAGATTAGTACTAGTTTCAGTAGTTGTAGTAGTAGCTGTATTAGCAGTAGTAGTATTAGCAGCATTCGTAGTAGTAGTAGTAGTAGTAGCAGTAGTTGTGTTAGTAGTAGTACTAGTAGTAGTAGTAGTATCAGTGTAATAAGAGTAAATGCTGGAAGAGCCACCACCTTCTGGTCTTTGAGTTGAACAATGGCCGCCTGTGTCTGCTCTGCTGAGTGGCTGTGGTCTGGGCTCTTGTTTGGGCAGAGGAAGGAAGCGGTCGACAGATTGGGCCGAAGCGACAGCGTTATTAATGTCCCGTGTTGATCCAGCACCTGATTTAGGTCTCTCCTGGTGGTCCGCGGCCCGGGGTCTGGAGCCCGGGGGGTTTTTGCTTTCGTCTCTCTGGTCGGTGCGATGCCGGAGGTCGCATTGTGGTGGAGCTGCATTCTTACGGAAAACTGCAGAGAGTGCGTTTGTATCGTAGCCTGCATATACAGTAGATTTACACAATGCTAACCCACTAGCTCAATGAAACCCAATAGGGAAGTGCTCATGGTCAAGTTTTGCTCTAACTTGCTCTGGCTCCTATTGACTTCCATTGAAAAGTTAAGCGGTTTGTGTTGCACTCTACTGTACTTCTTTTGTCAATTCTATTCAATATATTTTTGTACAGTCCTAAATCCCAGAATTAGTTTTCTTGGAGGACTTTACAAAACCGTTGAGAATCAAACAGTTTAAACCACTGTGAGTATTCACAGACATAGTGACGCCTATTTCTGCCATTGAAACTTTTGTGTCATCACTTTTTCATCTTGCAATCTTTTTAAAATGGTCTTGAGCGGCCTTTCCCGCAGAAAAATGTGAAAACGCATTTGCGCATGCGTTAGCCGACACATTCAACGAGTGCATTCCAAAGTCTACAACGTTTAAAACTAGTAGTTCTGTAACGTAGCGTTGAGCCAAGAGCCAACGTTTGGACCAGACTGTGAAGCCCTTTTTGAGAAGAAACAAGGTGACGTAAGAATTCAGAATTCAGTGGATATTTCTGTTTCTCGGTACGCCACCACCGCCAAGGAGTCAGATTACAGGCATTTCGGGGCACCTCCTCCTTTTGAGACGGGACCCGTCCCCTCTGGTTTAAACACAAGAAATGCAATGATAACAAACACATAGAGCCATTGGTCATTGGGGCAGATGACCAATGGCCATAAATATCAGATTAAGATTAGAGATCCTTTATTTGTGCCACAGTGGGGAAATATCGTTGAATATCGAGTGTCCTATGTCCTTGGAGTCAGGCTTCATGCTCACTATCGCCCCCATTGGTGAAGCACAGGTACCGCCTGCCTCAAGGCAAGCTTTCTCCTGATTTTCTCGGATCAAAATACTTAAACTAAATATAAATAGTATATACTGTACATACTGCAAGTATGTACATACATTACTAAACATTACGACAAGTAAAACAAATGTTTTCAGAGCAGGATATCTGAAACAAACTGCGATGTGTCAACCAGCACGAGCTGAGTGCACACAGTCCACTGAGAGGGAGCGAGAGATCTGGGGTGAGACTGCTGCATCTCGACTCTTTGATTAGGAAACATAGGATTTTAGCAATCTTGACTACAGAAATGATTCAAACTAGTCGGAAACGTGCCGAAAATACAATATAAGCATAGGGCAGTGGAAAACAATAACAAAAAATGATAAAATAAAATACTTACCGGCTCTGCTTCCCCTGTCTGTCCTTATATTTGTTAAAATTGTACTTGGTTTAATTGTACTGGGTTTACCAATTAAGTCCTAGTGGCTGTTACTAGAATTGATCGCTTGAAGTCTGCCTGGTACTTTATCTCTGGTTTTGGGCTGCAGAGAAATGTTCTGTTTTTTTTGCTCAGTTGTTGGATTTCTTGACTAAAAAGGGAGCGTGGCATCTGCTTTCCAAACTATTACAGGGTCTGACCCACTTAGATTTCCACTCCATGCAGAACAACGAGAGCACTCTCAAACAACGCAGCAATGAACAAAAATATATTCTATTTTTTATTGAAGATTTTTGTTCTGCCTTTTTAAACGCTGAAAAACCAAAACTTCAGATAATCCATTCCTTCTATTTTTGTTGTTGCAAATGTTAATAATTGAAAGAATAAATAAATCAAGTGGTTTCTTGCCAAAGCAGGAGGGTCTAAGGACAATGGGGGTTAGGGACATTTATCTACAATTCTGGACAGTGGTCAGCGCTCCGTATGGACCCATGAATTAACCTCATTGTAAAGTCCTCTGATTGTTGGTGTGATTTAGGGTTATACACAAACATTGAATTGAAATGAGTCCAATATTGAAGGATTTGTTCCATGTCACATTTCCAATTTTGGACAATTCTACCCATATTTGTCCCTAAGACATGAACAATACATCACATTTACAGACCATTATAAAACACAGCACAAATATTTACAATAGAATATTAGGGTCTTGCATTGTGCTCTAACTTTAATGTTAAGCTCTTTTAAAAACGTACTAACAATCGAATCACTTTCGTACAATGCTTCTGGATTTGAATCTCTCGTTGTAAATATGAATAATTACTTTTCAAAACCAGTTAACATTAGAAAAATATGGGAAAGACTTACATTTTGCTCTTTACCAAGTAGTGTTTTGAAAAGCCAGATATAGTCCATTTCAATTCACTTTTATATTGCCCTAAATCACAACAGTAGTCATCGCAAATGGCAAAGTGGCACGCTCTCTGCCAAAACAATTTCCAAGTGGTAACTTTTGTTTGTTACTTACGTGGCAATAAAAATGATTCTGATTCTGATTCTGATCTCAGGGAACTTCACAAAGTTGTCGATTCACCAACAACAGATCAGAGAAAAACAGTTCACACAAAAAAATGCAACAAACACATAGAGCCATCGGTCCAAAAGAGGCGGATGACCAATGTCCATAAATGTGAATAATTGTCCTGGATCATCACCACTGTCCTTAGACTCTTTCTATAGCAAAAAGGTCCTACAGGTTCAATTCCACCTCCAGAAAGGGTCTTTCTGTGTGCATATTCTACCCGTGTCTTCGTAAGTGTCCTCCGGGTGCTCCAGTTTCCCCTACCACTAAAAACATGTACAACAGGAATAAATGTAATGAGAGAGTGAATGGATTATATTGGCCAGGGACGTTGATGCGCCAGTGAAAGTAATGTTTATTTATATAGCGCTTTTTACAGACCAAGGTCACCCAAAGCGCTTTACAATGTTCAGAATGTGTCCTGCGTCTCGCTTGTGTGTGGAGAATGGAGAAAAAAATCAGTACTTGGTTTTGTGTGACCTTGGTCTTTGAAATGCTTTATATAAATACAGATGACTTCTTTAGTGTTGTCAAGGGACTACAACACTTTGCCTCCCGTCACCGCCTTCACCGCGCTCCTCAGACCTCTCACGTTCTCTTGTTTTGTGCAGACGTGGAGCAGATGGCGATAGACTGGCTCACGGGGAACTTCTACTTCGTGGACGACGTGGACGACCGAATCTTTGTGTGTGACCGTGATGGCCTGACGTGTGTGACGCTGCTGGACCAGGAGCTCTACAACCCCAAAGGCATTGCCCTGGACCCAAACATGGGGTCAGTACCGGGACCAGGTTAGGGGGCCTGGACCAGAGACTGTAGACACATGGGTGATGCTGACCTGCTAGCTCAATGAAGCCCAATAGGGAAGTGCTCAAGGATGACGGGTTTTTTTTAATGTTTAAATTTCTGTTGTTTGTCTGTTTTTTGTATTGTCTATTAGGTAAAAAAATAAACAAAAAAATCCTATGTTTATATAGTGATATTGTTATCCATAAAAGGGTTGGCCAATCAGATTAATTCACGCACAAATCTCCTGTTTGCCCTAGCAACTGTCTTAGCAACCCGTCAGCCCCCATCATGGCCCAAAGCTTACTGCCTCATAACATATGCCCATATAAGGAAATTGGCTCCAGCTAGCTTTTGTTCATGTCTCTTCCACATATTTAGCTAACAGTATGGTGATGTCACACTCGGTCGGTGCACTCCAAATATACGCTCTGTGCTTTTAACAGTGGTCCAGTTGGAGGTCAAAAACAGACACTAGAAATAACCCGTGTTACTCTGAATATTCAAACGGCCCAAAGCGGTTAACCCTGACGCAGTAATAACAGGAGGATGAGAGACGGAAGGACGGCTTTTATCACCGCAGCGTGGAAATTAGAATGATTGTTCCATTTCCTTTTGTCTGAGATATCGGCAACACCGGAATCACACAGGAGGGGGTTGCATTTATTTATTTATACCAGCAGAGTAAGCAGTCTTATTCCTTTTTGAGCACAGAAGAAGACATTAGAACTAGGACTGTAGGAAATCAAAACTGAATGTACTACTCTACTCTACTCTACTCTACTCTACTCTTCAGTTCTCTACTCTACTTCATCCAAGAAAACTCCCTCAGTGGGTTACATTTTTCACTTTTCTGTCTGAAAAAGCTGATATAAAGATGTGACAGAGGCCAAAAACACATGTGAGAGTTCATGATAGAAGCAAACGGTTTATAAGAGTCATGGACTTGTGACATGCAGTTTATTATACAAAGCTTCAAACTTATGTAGAGATTTAAGTTAAAGTTGCAGTATATTTGAACACAGTAGTGGGAGAGGGTCTGTGTGGCCTCGTGAACAGAGACAAAAAATAAGTTCAAAAAATTATTGAATTGGTCCAAAAAAGAAAGGATTCCACTGTGACTCCCAGAATTGTGAAACTACCAGACCTCCCACTGCTCCCTTTCAAATTACCCCAAAAGGTTGATTTTCCACCTGCTTTATTAAAAGTCATTTATATTTTTTTTTACTTTTAAGTCACACACCTGGTGAGTATCACACAGCAAATCAGTTTGGTGAAAGTACTAACTGCTGACAGTAAACAATGTGTTGCTATGGTAACTGGCACTCGCTCGTCTCTGATGGAAAAACAAGCTGAACCAGGACCAGTACAGAACCAGGCTGTAACTGCCTAAAAATAATGGTTGCCAAAAATGGCTACATTTGATATTTACACTCAAATGATTGGAGCTGTCAAAATGACTGCTTTGGGAGTTAAAAATAGAACTACTGACATTTCAAAAATAAAAGATAATTTCAAAGTCATTACTTATAAACTGCATATAAAAACAAACAAACAACAAAAAAAGTTATGAAGAAGTACCAGCTGAGTCATTGCACTTCCAAAATGTAAAGCCGTCATATTGACTGCTCTGGGGGTTCTAGAGGTAAAAAAGAAAATTGCTCTTGGTAGAAACTCCCATTAGAAAATCTTCTCAGAAAGTCAAAATGTCCTTAATTCAAACTAAAACTGCTTAATTCAAACATGTACAGCTTACTGTATGTTTCCTCATTCTCATGTGTTTCGTGTGTTCCAGGAAGCTGTTCTTCACAGACTACGGTCAGATTCCCAAAGTGGAGCGCTGTGACATGGACGGGCAGAACCGCACTAAGCTGGTGGACAGTAAGATCGTGTTCCCTCACGGCATCACGCTGGACCTGGTGAGCCGCCTGGTCTACTGGGCCGACGCCTACCTGGACTACATCGAGGTGGTGGACTACGAGGGCAGGAACCGGCACACCATCATCCAGGGACTGATGGTGAGAGGCGACATCACAACATTCACCCCTCATCAAAACCAGAGAGCGTACGTTAGGAGTGGACTGACAGAGTGTGACATCACCAAAGAGTTAGCCTTAATGCAGAATGTAACCTAAGCTAGCTGGAGCCTAAGCTAGCTGGAGCCAATTTGTACGTTCCAACAGCGTTAACAGGGGCCGACAAGGATCATGGAGTGCTTCTATCAGTAGTTTTCACATGCATGTATTCTTGGCCAGAGAGGGAGACCAGAAAGAGAGACCAGAAAGAGAGATCAGACAGAGAATAGAGAGGGACCAGAAAGAGTAATCAGAAAGAGATGAGAGAGAGACCATAGAGAGACCATAGAGACCACAGAGAGACCCGAGAGAGAGACCATATAGAGACCATAGCGAGACCACAGCAAGACCAGAGAGAGAGGACCATATATATAGAGAGAAAGACATCAGGGAGCGAGACCAGAAATAGTAACCAGAAAGCGAGTTTAGAGAAAGACCAGAGAGAGACCAGAGAGAGACCAGAGAGAGACCAGAGAGAGACCAGAGAGAGACCAGAGAGAGACCAGAGAGAGACCAGAGAGAGACCAGAGAGAGACCAGAGAGAGACCAGAGAGAGACCAGAGAGAGACCAGAGAGAGACCAGAGAGAGAGACCATAGAGCACATGTGTCAAAGTTAAGGCCCGCGGGCCAGATCCGGCCCGCAAATGAATTTGCTGCCAATGACGCACTATTACGTCAATTGCGTTTTCCGCTATTTTCATGTTCCCAGATGTCTATTATATTTAATATGTATGGGGATAAGCTTGAGAGCATATTGAATCGAGCCAGCAGGTGGCAGCAGCCCTCTCTGAATGGTTTGAAAACAGCTAGATGCACATGTTGTGCCTCTTTTTTCTCAGCTTTTTGGTGATTTCAGTAAAACTTCCCTCTACTCAACTGGGGATTACAAGCTTGAAACAAAATTATTTTTGCTGATGAAAGTAGACAGTCTATTCTTTCAGAATCTGGTTTCGGATTTCAGTCATAGTACACAATATTCTGTGGGTCTTGAAAAGTCTATAAAAATCATCAGAAACTGCTGGCACTATGGGAGTACCTGTTCTGAAATAGGCTGGCAGGCAATGAGGTAATAAACATTGAACCAGTCCGGCCCTCGGCTCGCAGCAAATTTGTATTTTTGGCCCTCTGATATTTGACTTTGACATGCCTGCCATAGAGAGACCAGAGAGAGAGACCAGAGAGAGACCAGAGAGAGACCAGAGAGAGACCATAGCGATACCAGAGAGAGACCAGAGAGAGAGACCAGAGAGAGAGACCAGAGAGAGAGACCAGAGAGAGAGACCAGAGAGAGAAACCAGAGAGAGAGACCAGAGAGAGAGACCAGAGAGAGAGACCAGAGAGAGAGACCAGAGAGAGAGACCAGAGAGAGAGACCAGAGAGAGAGACCAGAGAGAGAGACCAGAGAGAGAGACCAGAGAGAGAGACCAGAGAGAGAGACCAGAGAGAGAGACCAGAGAGAGAGACCAGAGAGAAAGACCAGAGAGAGAGAGACAAGAAAGGGTCACAGCCACAGACAACCGGTTTTTATTGCCCCTCATGACCCCATGTGTTTTAGTCCCTGACATTTCTGGTCGGACAGTTCCACCCACACAGTTCTCATGCTGACAGACGCTTGAGAAACAGCCTTGGGTTTTCTTGCTGTTTACATTGAGATTGCGTCCCGTATAAATATTCCTATGTTCACTTTTTTCACACCGCTCATCTCTTGCCGCCGTGTGATGTCATCCCGTCAATGGGCAGACACATCCCCCCGCCCCTTCTGTACACACACTGGCTTCACTGTGACAAAAAGTAACATTATAATGGAAAGCTATTTCCGTAAAAACACAAAATCCTCCAAAGGTTCTTTACAGCTGTGTGCGTTCAATAAGTGTCAAAAGTCAGATTTGGTTCAGAGCTGATTTCTCTGTTATTCCAGGAACAATCCACAAAGTAGCACATCTTCTTCCAAATATATCAACTACGGCTTCCATCGTCTCCCTCTGGTCTGTGGTCTCTCTCTCTGGTCTCTCTTTTTGTCCTTAGTCTCTGGCCTTTTAAGTCTCTTGTCTCTCCCTGGTCTTTTTGGTCTCTTGTCTGTCTGTCTGTCCCTCTGAACTCTCTCTGTTCTCTCTGGCCTCTCTCTGGCCTCTCTCTGGTCTCTCTCTGGTCTCTCTCTCTGGTCTCTCTCTCTGGTCTCTCTCTCTGGTCTCTCTCTCTGGTCTCTCTCTCTGGTCTCTCTCTGGCCTCTCTCTGGTTTCTGTCTGGTCATTCTCCCTCTGGTCGCTCTATGGTCTCTATCTCAGGTCTCTTTCTGGTCTATCTCTGGTCTCTCTCTGGTCGCTCTCTGGTCTCTCTCTCTGGTCTCTCTCTCTGGTCTCTCTCTCTGGTCTCTCTCTGGTCTCTCTCTGGCCTCTATCTCTGGTCTCTCTCTAGTCTCTCTCTGGTCTCTCTCTGGTCTCTCTCTGGCCTCTATCTCTGGTCTCTCTCTGGTCTCTCTCTGACACTCTCTCTGGTCTCTCTCTGGCCTCTATCTCTGGTCGCTCTCTAGTCTCTCTCTGGTCTCTCTCTGGTCTTTCTCTGGTCTCTCTGCTCTCACATAAGACTATCATGGCTCTTTGTGAATCTAATCATTATCAAAAAATGATCTTTAAAAACGACAGGACATTTTCTTCTTTAACATTTCTTCCCTGAAGAGATTTCTTGTCACTTTTTATCACATTGAAGGCTGTTTCTACTCATGGGACATAGTATGAACTCACTTGGTTCCACCTCAGTCTATAAAATAGTTATTTCTTTTATAGTCCCACCATACTCGGCTCGTGTCCCTCTGCTGTGACTGGGCTGCTTTTCATTAAAGCGTCTCTGACAAATGCTCTGTTCTAATGTGGTCTCAGTGTGAGGCCGCAGACACAAGGCTCAGACCTGTCCTCCTCCAGAAAAACGGCTTTCATTTAACTACAGCCTCAGGTGACCCAGGAGACTAGAGAGAGACCGGAGGGGAACCAGAGAGACAAGGGAGAGAGATCAGAGGGACCAGAGAGACTAAAGACAGACCAAAAAAATACTAGAGAGAGACTAGAGAGAGACAAGAGGGAGACTAGAGAGACACCAGAGTGACTAGAGAGAGACCAGAGTTAAACGCTTTTATTGAGGAGACCTCTGGTGTCTCTCATGTCTATCTCTGGTATCTCTCTGGTCTCTCAGGTTTCTTTTACAGAGCTGTTATCTAATCACTTCTGTTGAAGGTGCCGAGGTCTCGTCTCAAAACTGAAAAACCGGGCGATTGCTGTTCCCAAACTGAGGAATAGTTACCTCTGTGCATTAGAGCAGGATGAAGGACCATTGGAAGTTTTTTAATCTAGTCTAAAGACACATTGTGTCTTGGCGTTTAACAACACCTGTTATACATGTTACATGTATTTGTGTGTATCTAATCCTGTTTTGAATGTGAATCACCATGGGCTGGTGGCGTTATTGTAAATGTGCTATACAAATCAATCTGACACTCGCTAAACACTTGTACTTTCCCCCCTTTTTTCTCTCGCCTCCAGATCGAGCACTTGTACGGCCTCACAGTGTTCGAGAACTACCTCTACGCCACCAACTCGGACAACGCCAACATACAGCCGAAGACCAGCGTGATCCGCGTGAACCGCTTCAACAGCTCTGACTACCAGGTGGTGACCCGTGTGGACAAGGGAGGAGCTCTGCACGTGTACCATCAGAGGAGACAGCCCCCCGGTGAGTACCAGCGCTGGTTCTGTGACCAGAGCCACCAGAAAGATACAAGAGAGGGACCAGAGAGGGACCAGAGAGAGACCAGAGAGGGACCAGAGAGAGACCAGATAGAAAGACCAGAGAGCGTGATCAGAGAGAGACCACAGTGACCAGAGAGTTTGAAGAAATGTACCAAAACGGGTTTACAAAAAAATACATTTTTGGTAACCCTCACTTATTAACTGTTAATTTCCACACGGGAAAGTGTCAGTGAGTAGTTAGTTAGATGTCAAATAAGGCAATGTAGAATAGGGACTAATAGGTGCCTAATAAATACCAACTAAGAGCGAATTAACCATAATTGATACACTAATTAGCTGTTAATTAGTAAAGGCTAAACTAAGGCTGAGTTTATACTGAGACGCTGCGCAGACGTTTCCAGGCTATTAGCAGAAACGACCAGGCTCCTAATGCAAATTTCTCAGCGTTCATACCATAGACTGTATATATTAATGGACAGAGTCACGCCTATCTCCGCCGTTCTAACTAATGGGCCAAAAAATGTACTCTACTGGAGCAATCCAAAATGGCCGCGAGTGGTCCCGCCCACAAGGAAATTGTGAAAAAACGCATCTGCGCATGCGTCAGCTCCATTCATTTGAACGAGAGACTTCAAAAATTAGAGAGACTCAAGTAAACTAGAGTAGACCAAAAAAATCCACCCCCCTCAGCATTGACACACATGTGGAATGGAGCTTTGGGCCAAGAGCCAACTTTGGGCCATCCTGTAAAGACGTTTTTGAGAGGTCTGTCAATGCTATATGTTAGCATTGGCTAATTCTACTTCTGGGTCCACCCCCATCGGCCCGGGGTGGTATTGCAGCATGTCAGCGCACGTCATTTTGGCCACTTTTGAGCTGGGACCCTCCCCCACTGGTTCATACGAGGTTGAAAAACGATGTAGTTCTAGCGCCCGACCAGTAGTGGGCAGAGAAACGTTACAACACACACACGCGGCCCCTGTTGGTAGCAACCGACATCCAACTGTAGCGTTTTACTGCCACATTGTCTCCGTGTAAACTGCCCCTAATGTCTGACCCAATTTGTTGCCACGTATTTGAAAGATAACAAATCTTAAAATAAGATAAGATGAAGATGGTATACTTTACACAGACTCTATTGAGACAAAAGGTCAAGTGTTCTGACAGCGATTGGCCACAGCGCTGCTGGAAGACATCTGGGAGACAAAGTAATTTCTGTAATTGCTGGTTTATTGTGGGTAGGTTGCCAGGATGCGGTACCAGACACTAAAGTGACCTGGTAGAGTAGAGTAGAGTACAGTACAGTAGACTAGTGTAGAGTAGAACCGAGTAGAGTACAATTGAGTAGAGTAGTATCTTGTCCTCTTCGTACATGAACACTTCTCCCTCTGTCTCTCTCTCTCCAGTCCGCAGTCACGCCTGTGAGGTGGACCAGTACGGTAAACCTGGAGGCTGCTCCGACATCTGTCTCCTCGGCAACGGACACAAGAGCAAAAGCTGCCGCTGTCGCTCCGGGTTCAGCCTCGGCAGCGACGGAAAGTCCTGCAAAAGTGAGTCCTCTGCGCTGTAGGGGGATGCCAAAAGAACCACTGCACCTAACAACATGGGGGTACCAGAAGACCCACTGCACTTAATGCCATGCAGATCAATCACTCATTTGTTTGTATAGCACAATTTGTGTACATGGCAATTCAAAGTGCTTCACAAGAGAAACAAAAACTACAGATCAAAATGCATTAAAAAAATATATCAAAAAAGATACAATTAGTTCATATAATTGTATATTTTTACAACATACAATCTGTTCTCTCCTACTCAGGGCGACATGTTTTTCTCTCCCCAGAGTGGAAACTACTTGAGTGAATGGGCCTTTTCACTTTATAAATAATAAAGTTTAAAAAAAAAAAAAATCCTGAAAATGATTGAAAGTGTTTTTGTGAAAAACTGAAGGCCGTCCTTTGTACTGGAGGCAGAGGACGATCACAATAACTTGGTTTGTGGCATGAGGTGAAATGAAAGCCAGAATACAAACCTGTATCTCAAATGTAATTTAATTCAATAGAAACAAATCCAGGGTAACTATAAAACGCAAACATTTAGAATGAATTAACAAGCCAGGAACAATCGTGGGGTTGACAAGCGGCGAAAATACACAGGTGACTCGCAAACATTAATTTGAACAGGAAGGAGAACTCAAACAGGGAACAACAGATTACTCACCAACATAAATGATGAGTCCAAATTAATTAAACTTGAGCTGAGACACTATTGAGAAAAATTCTTTCTGTAATAAAAAATCTTGACAATGATTTAAAGAAGCAATATGTAAGATTTTCATGTCAAGTCATCATTTAATGGCCCTACTCTGTAAAAAGGCATTAATAAAAAATGCTCTTCTCAAATACTTCTTTAACTGAGAACTGTAGTTCAGTCGAGATAATAGAATTTCTGAATAAGTTTTACAGCCGCTAAATCTTGTTATGGTTTTTGTTTCGATGTCCCGCCCTCCACGTTTCACCAATCAGAAAGTCCATGATCCGGGTTGCCAGAACTCCACCACGTCGAGCTTATCTCAATGGTAAAGTAACATATGGCCAGGGAACTATAATTGGTCTCGTTATGATTCTCAAATCATCAACGACAAAAAAAGGAATAAAACCAGGATATCTCTCTTTGTGAAAAAGGTGTTGGTTATAGATTTGTTGTTGACAAAACTCTATTCCAATGTCATCGTCCCAGCTGGATTTGTCTGCATATCTGGCAACCTGAGTCAAGGCGAGTTGGAGAGGTTGCAGTACCACTTTTGGCCAGATTTTAACATACTGCTCCTTTAAATGGTTCAGTTGAAAAACGAAAGGGCGTCTTCTGTATAGGAGGCTGAGAACTACAGTAATATCACAATAACTGTAGTGGTGTTTTTGTCTCATCATACCTCTTTGGGCTTTATTCTTCATCGATCGGAATCCAAGGTCGCTCAAGGTTGGACCAGAGACGCTCCGAGCAGAAATAATAGCTCAAAACTTGTAACAAACCTTAACTTGTATTGATCTGTGAAAATCTTCCCCGGAAACAACACACCCCTCGGAAACGCAAACATTTATTTTGGCAACAAAGTATATCTCTCTATTTCACTTTAACAAAATAATCGATCATGGTTTATTTACTTCCGGGAACTTGTCCAAAATACATACCGTACTTCTTTGTCAAAACTGTCTGAAGGCGGCAAACGCTTCAAGTTGTCTTTAGCTTTATCCACACTAATATCAACACTGGTTCAAACATGTCCCTGTGTCCCTTTTGTAATGTCAGCGATAAAAACACAATCTGTTATTTCAGCTGTTGCTCAAATGTGGCTAGTGTGGATATCGGGAAGAAGGTTCTAAAACTACACACGAGACAAGCCTTTGCACAAGTCTGAGTTTGTGCTGTTTTGAAAGTGCTGTTCTTTCCTTTTTAAAGATGTCCTTGTGAAAAATACAGGTTGTTTGAAAATGTTTATTTTTCCACAGGATGAGAAACTTGCCGTTGGCCATTATGATGTGATTCCCTCCATCTCTCTCTGATCTCTCTCTCTCTGGTCTCTCTCTGATCTCTCTCTGTGATTTTTCTCTCTGATCTCTCTCTTTGGTCTCTCTCTGATCACTCTCTTTGGTCTCTCCCTCTGGTCTCACTCTCTGGTCTCACTCTCTGGTCTCACTCTCTGGTCTCACTCTCTGGTCCTGGGTGCACTGCACTGTGACTTCAGAACAAGCAACATGCCAACCTTTCCCACTGTTGTCTTGGGTCGACAACTTAGACTGTCCAAGAGTGTCCAATTTTAACATAAGCTGGAGCCATTTTCCTTATGGGTAATTATTTCGACGACATTAGCTGCTCAGCGTTGCTAAGACGGTTGCTAAGGCAAGTTGGAGTTACCCCTGCAAATGAAGGCCTCTGATCAGTCCTTAATTGGCTCATATCTGGATTCACAAAGACATTATCAAAATATAAACATCAGGATCATAGAAGGCACAGGATCACGCATTGTTACTGAGCTAGAAGAGTTTACTTTTACAGTGTATGGTCCAAGCCCACATTTGTCCATTCAACACACAGGTCTCTCTCTTGTCTCTCTTTCCTCAGAGCCAGAGCACGAGTTGTTCCTGGTGTACGGTAAGGGCCGGCCGGGGGTCATCAGAGGAATGGACATGAACGCCAAAGTCCCAGACGAGTACATGATCCCCATCGAGAACCTGATGAACCCGCGTGCCCTGGACTTTCACGCCGAGAGCGACTTCATCTACTTTGCCGACGCCACCAGCTACATCATCGGGCGGCAGAAGATTGACGGCACGGAGCGAGATACCATCCTGAAGGAGGGTCAGTCTGCGTCCAAATGCTCTCTCTCGAATTCTAGAAACTCCACTTTTTCTCTTTAATGATACTGCATTGGTTTTAGTTTTGGACGCTCAAAAACACTTTACATGTTCATTCAATCAATATACAGTGGTGATCAACTACTACTGTAGCCAAAGCTGCCCTGGGGCACACTGACAGAAGCAGAGCGACTAGAGAGAGACCAGACAGACTAGAAAGAGAGACCAGAGAGAGAATTGAGATTGAGACCAAAGAGAGACCTAAGATAAGAGACTATAGAGAGACTAGAGGGAGACCAGAGAGATAGAGACCAGAGATAGAGACCGGAGATACCAGAGAGAGACTAGAGGGAGACCAGAGAGATAGAGACCAGAGATAGAGACCGGAGAGACCAGAGAGAGACTAGATGGAGAACAGAGAGATAGAGACCAGAGAGACCAGAGAGAGACTAGAAGGAGAACAGAGAGATAGAGACCAGAGAGACCAGAGAGGGACTAGAAGGAGAACAGAGAGATAGAGACCAGAGAGAGAGAGACGGGAGAGAGAGGGACCAGAGCGAGTGAAGCGGCCAAAAACAGGACCTTTTTTTGTGTTTTTACTAACTAAAGTTTCTCGCATGGGTTACTTTAAATTTGAGTTGGAAAAGACGCGAAGAGCGCTTTTGTGAGCCCTGATTTCAACTTAGGAAAAGACAGAGCAAGATAATGAGGTCAGAGATTCTACATTAGCATTTATTCTAACAAAGTAAAAACACATTTTGGATTTGAACTCTTTGAATAATTCTTTCGATCACTTTCTCCATGAAATTCCACGCTTTAATGAGTGTTCTCCTGCAGGGATTCACACTGTGGAGGGCATCGCCGTGGACTGGATGGCTGATAATTTGTACTGGACGGACGACGGCCCCAAGAAGACCATCAGCGTGGCTCGTCTGGAGAAGGCCTCACAGACCAAGAAGACCCTAATCGAGGGGAAGATGACGCACCCCAGGGCCATCGTGGTGGACCCCCTGCATGGGTGAGTGAGGCCTGAAAGTGTGTTGATGGGTGCTACTCATAGTTTGTATAGAGATGGATAATGCTAACCTGCTAGCTCAATGAAGCTCAATGGGAAGTTTGGACCTACTCGCTCTGGCTCCTGTTGGCGTACACTGAAAAGTAAACTTCTTTTGCACAGCAGCCGTTTGTGTCACACTCACAATTTTGGGCTTAGAAACATACCCACAACAAACCAGTATCCAGGGAAATGTACTGGTAACGATGGCTTCCAGCACTACACTCAATCACTGTCATTTAGAACACTTTAGTACCAGCTTGGTCTGGATTGAACCAGGGCTACGAGGGACTTAAAAGCAAGTTCAGTTCAATGGATTTGTGTATTGCCCTAAATCACGACAGCAATTGTCAAAGTTGTCGATTCACCAACAACAGATTTGAAAATCAAACAGTTAGAACACAAAGCGGCAATGAATAAAAAAAACACATGGAGCCATTGGTCCATAACAGGCAGATGACCAATGTCCATAAATGTTGATAAATAAGTTGGAGCCAAACTTCGTCCATGACCACATCCCTCACTGGCTTCATTGAGCTAGAGGGTTAGCATGGTCCATCTGTATACAGTCGATGATTGTTACTGGACTTGTGTGCATTCACAGGTGGATGTACTGGACAGACTGGGAAGAGGACCCCAAAGCCAGTAAACGTGGTAAAATCGAGCGCGCCTGGATGGACGGTACCAACCGTAACGTGTTCCTCACCAGTAAAACCGTCCTGTGGCCGAACGGCCTCAGTCTGGACATCCCCAAAGGAATCCTGTACTGGGTGGATGCCTACTACGACCGCATTGAGATGGTGTACCTCAACACGTCCGAGAAGAAGGTGAGCCAGCCCATCTGAAATACATGTTTGTACAAACCAAAATCACAAATGCAGTTGTCTCAAGGGACTTCCATAAAGTACGTACGTACGTTAGTACGTTTTTATTTATATACCGCCTTTTCACTGCAGATCTGAGTCTCAAAGCGGTTTACAAACTGTTCATTTGCATACATGAGAGTAGAAAACCAAACAATTACCAACAATTGGACTAACTGTTATTGGAGTCGCCAATATTCTTAGCAAGCGCTGTAGAACCAGGACTGAGACTGTAGATCCAGGACTGAGGCTGTAGATCCAGGACTGAGGCTGTAGATCCAGGACTGAGGCTGTAGATCCAGGACTGAGGCTGTAGATCCAGGACTGAGGCTGTAGATCCAGGACTGAGGCTGTAGATCCAGGACTGAGGCTGTAGATCCAGGACTGAGGCTGTAGATCCAGGACTGAGGCTGTAGATCCAGGACTGAGGCCGTAGATCCAGGACTGACTCTGTAGATCCAGGACTGAGGCTGTAGATCCAGGACTGAGGCTGTAGATCCAGGACTGAGGCTGTAGATCCAGGACTGACTCTGTAGATCCAGGACTGACTCTGTAGATCCAGGACTGACAGCTTATTCCATTGGATAATGGCCACACAAAGGACAACCTCACGTCTGAAGTGTCCTTGGATGTAGACTAGAATTGCGTGAGTTCATCTCTTGGTGGAATATTTAGTCTTTCTCGTGACATTTCACCTCGCTGTTCTGTTTGCTCGAATGAGAATCAAAACAACTGAAATCAAAAGGCACATATTGGATACTGAGATGTGATTCGTACTGAGCGGTCGCGTCCCGAGCTGGTTGATTGTTTTGACAGGGTGAGAGTCGCTGCTCATTACAGGCGCAGTGTGTGGTCCTCCGCCGCACACTTGCTTGTCTCCGCTCATTAGTGTTTACTCTCCTGACTAATGCACCGTTCATTTGTGCTCAATTAATTGCTAATGCTAATACTAATGCTATTTTTAATCCAATAGTTAAAATAAACGATGATGGTTCAGTTTGTTTTTATTGTTTCATAAAAGCGACCCCCGCTTACAGGTATGTATGTACAGTAATTTAATATACCGTAATAATCTCAAGCAGAGAGCAGAAAGATTTATTTAGATTTTTATTATTTGAGTAATGTATTGTGCTATTCTTAAAACTTGCTTCAGTTATAGAGTTCACTTAATTTCACGAGACTTGTCCAGGGGCCAACAACCCAGTTTGTAAAAGTATTTTGACTTCTTAGGGAGCTGAAGTTGGCTGAATAACAAATTACCATCTTACCAGCTTTATAATTACCATTAATGGAATTTGGTGACACAATCAAAGACAAATATCAGTCAAACAAAGTCAACAGCCAAATGCCAGAGGTTCTGAGCCTCCCCATTCGCATCATATATTGCAAAGCTGAAGTTGGCTGGATGACAGTGTGAACTTGTGGTTATGATCTCAAAGACGACTTTGTGCCTGTGCTATACAAATATTAAATTACATTTCTGTTTGTACGGCCATACATCACAACAGTACTTATCTCGGAGGACTTTACAAAGTTGTCAATTTGCCAACAACAGATCAGAGAATCAAACAGTTCAAACACAAATAAAGCCATTTGGACATGACAGGTGAATGACCAATGCCCATCGGTTTGGAACAATTCAAAAATAACCAGTGGGAAAAAATGAGAAATCTTGGAGAAGTAAATTTTTATGCTGTATTCTGAATATAGGAATAAAAAAAGCATAACAAATGTAGCAGGGGAAATATTTCTTGGGCTTTCTTTTATTGAAACAGCAGCATGAAGTGTGCGGTGTGTGTGTGTGTGTTCTCAGACCGTGTACGAGGGCCAGGAGCTGAACCACGCCTTCGGCCTCTGTCACTACAAGCACTTCCTGTTCTGGAACGAGTACCGCAGCGGGAGCATCTTCAGACTGGACACCAGCACCGGCACCGCCACCCTGCTGCGCACCGAGAGACCACCCATCTTTGAGATACGCATGTACGACGCACAACAGCAGCAAGGTACACAACACACGCATACAAAAACATCCATGCACATAAACACCCACACAAGCATACACAAACATACACACACATACAGAAATTTACACACGCACACACAAGCATACACACTCTTACACACACAAAAACACGCACCTACACACACACATACGGGCAATTGCGTGCATATACACACAGACCCACGCACATACACAGACATACAAAGACACGCACACATAGACACACCTACACACACACACACATGCACACATTCTTACACTCACACATACACACACACATTCTCTAACACACACACACACACACACACACGCACACACACACATGAGTCAGCTGGCCACAGTTTATGGGACTCATCACGACGTGTTTAGGGCACTGGTTTACCACAAACTCCACCTCAGAGAAAGAGTCCAGAAAACCATTGGATTATAAACTTTCCTATTTTTCATATTCCAGTGCACTCTCGGATGATTCAGGAGACTTGGGGGGAACTCTGGAGTTATTTATATTCTCAATGTTAATAATAAATACAACTATCCCTGAACTATGAAGCTGAGAATGGAAGTGCCTTGGCTCCATTCAACTACATAGGAAAGTAAACTCCACCTACTCCACACTCAATGTAATATATTTGTAAATCCAGATTATAGACGGATAAAAGATGGACCAATCAGATGCCTTCATTGGCGGGGAAACTCCTGCTTGCCTTAGAAACTATTTTAGCTACACTTCTGTTCCTGTAACGATGCAAAGCTATTGCCATCAGTACAAATGCCCATATACAGAAATGGCATCAAGCTAGTTAACTCTATTTTAAATTTAAATTTATTCTTTAGAAGTGTTTTTTATTCTTATTTTTATTATCTCTTTTTGACTGTTGCACTGAGCCAAAGCAATTTCCTAGTCTGTGACCTCCTGTTACTTACGTGGCAATAAAAATGATTCTGATTCTGATTAATGTTCAAATCAGTTTATTCTGCATTAAGGCTAACACTATGATGATGTCACACTCAGTCCACTTCTGATGTACGCTCTATGATACAGATACATGTTTCTGCGGATTCCACCTGTTTATACTTTTCATGTAAATCTGTGTTAGGATCGAACGCCTGTCGGGTAAACAACGGCGGCTGCAGCAGTCTGTGTCTGTCCACGCCTGAGGGCAGGAGCTGTGCCTGTGCCCAAGACCAGGTCCTGGAGCCGGCCGATAACACCAGCTGCAGAGGTACGGGATGACCACAATCCAGAAGTGTTAATTGATTTAAGCAGTGGCGTTCCGAGCATTTCAGAACGCCACTGCAGTCAGTCGCCTGCAGTCATGTCCTAACCCAGCGATCTCAAACTTTTTTAGTGCCACAGACCCCCCCCCTCCCCACAGCAGTGTGCATCCTGTGTTAAAATGACAGGAGACAGATCCCTGTAGTTTGCACACACACACACACACCTGACTCGTGCACAATGCCTAACTTTCTTCTCAGACAGTATCTGAGAACATGACCGAGTGCAACACGAGCGTTCAGGACCCAGTTTTGAGCATTAATGTGTAAAGTCCAATATAAAATGTAAGTATAGCGATTGAGTTGTAATGTTCTGGTTTCTTACTGGTGGTGAGGCAGGACGTGGTGCCGTGTCTTCTGCCTTAGCTTAGCTCTGCAGGTTAGCTTATTGACAAAGTGTCATTCCCATCGGCTTTTAGCCTCAGCTCTGCTGCAGCTGTGTATCCTTTGGTCGGGGCAAAGTCCTGGCTCCTCTGGTCCCCTTGTCTCTGTTTTTCTTGAGAAAGGCGTTCTATCTACCAGAACAATATAGTCACCTCCTTCAGCCGTAGAGGGTTGAAAAACTAAAACTAAATGTCGTGCTACACATTTTAGCATTTTTGATTGTTTCTGTTTATCACATGAACGTCTGCATTGTCACGTCCCTCTATCGTGTATCCAATCAGAAGACATGCATGCTCTGACACCGTACAGGGCCTTCGAGCTGGCTCTCGAGAAGTATACTTGACACTGATTGGCTAATGCCACAGGTTCTTTTTCATTGACTTTCAGTTACCGTGGGCCAGCAATGTAGACTCTGAAGGCCCAATGCAGATTTTGGGCCATAGCAACACATGATCCTGAGTAATGATTGGATAAAAACTCTGTTGGACGCCAGACCTCCCAAATGTCGACCTGATATTATAAAAAATATGTACAGATATATACACTGTATATACTGTACTGTATTGTACTGTATATAGTGTATATAATCATGTTTAGGCCAGCAGTGAAGGCTTTGCAGGCCACGAGGGTCTGCCACTGGATTTAAGTGTCCTGGATCATTGCTGACCCTCCTGCATCGACAAGGAACCACTCAAAATGCTGTGTGACGCTAAATATGACGAGATCAGCACCACACGGCCAGAACACGTGTATTATCTGTATCTAAAATGACACATTGTAACTTCTGTTGTAGGAAATACTATTATTTAGTTTATTCCACATTCCTACTGTCTGGAACTTGTGATGCTCTCTTAATGATAATCTTAATTTTAGGTCAGGGGTGTCACTTACACAAAGTAGCCATTGTGGTTCTTTCACAGTGTCATTCAGCTAACTTCAGCTCCACCACTAGAGTCATGCTGTGCCTTATTGTACTGTACTGTTTTCGACTGTGTCACAAAATTGTGTTTATGGAGCAAAAATAGTTCTGGTGTGATTCAATGGAGATATTTCATACCCCATTTTAAAGCTTGGAACAGCCTGAATCCAGTCCAAACAGTTTTACAATCGGGCTTGTCGGCCCCTGGATAAATGTGGTGAACTAATGTGGCCCTCTAACAAAATAAAAATAAAAAATAACATGAGAAATGTAAGACACAGCGGCGCTTTATCCTCTTTCAGACACTAGCGCCGTTTGCAGTGGAGGTTTCAGATTCCCACCACAACATTGTGTCTTCATCGTATTAGAAAACGATCTTCTGTGTAAAGATAGAGCCCAGTGGCAGTAGTCAAAAAACCAAAGTTGTTGTTATCGTAGTTTTGAAGTTAGGTACTCCAGCTTTAAAGTCCCTTAAACTTGATTAGGATTGTCATATTGCATTTCAATTGATATTATGAAGGATTAACCAAGTGCATTTATACCTCCAGAGCTTAAATGTTCTTATTTTTTGTTATTATTTCATTTTATATTATCTTAAATAATAGATCCTGTTTGATGTGTGCAACCTTATTTTCTTTCTTATTTTACCCACAACAGTCATGCGTTTCCCCTTTTCTCACATTGCATGCAGACACAGCCATACAGTTGTAAAGAATATATTTTCACTGGAGAAATTTGGAAGCTATACTTTCGCTTTAACTCATTGACTGCCTGCCGTTTTTGATGATTTCACTGATTCTCAAAATCCATAGAATATTATTTCCTAAGACTATGTGAAATGTGAAACCTGATTCTGAAAGACTGGATTGTCTACTTTAATCAGCAAAAATAAGTTTGTTTTTAGCTATTTTTATTGTCATGTAATCCCCAGTCGAATATAGGGTCCAGGAGAAATTTGTCAATGGCAGTCAATGAGTTAAAAGGCAGAAATTGGAGACAGTCGGTCTGGCAACCATCTGTTCATTTTATTGTGTGTTTCAGGATTGTTCACAGCCGATTATTGGGCTGAATGACTTTGCACGTATGCACCAATCTTATCAATTCAACCTGATAACGTGTGAATAGAGATACACAGGGAAATGCAGAAATTGCTATTTGCACATACACTAAATTAATTATTCTTTTATTCCTAGGACTCACAATTATAATCATTCAAATGAATAGATTTCTGAAAAAAATCACAAAAATCAGTTTCAGTTTTTCCTTACTACAACTACATAAAGGTGGTGAATATAACTTGCAACAGAGCAAAAACAGTTTGTTGAACGGCTCAATGCTACCCACTAAGCAAGCCGACGTTGAATCAACGTAATTTGAACGTCGTTGTCCGACGTAGAATATAGGTCACTGGTGGGTGCAGAATGAAAGTTTTCTCAACGTCGTTTCCCGACGTCACCTCAACCTCCAAATGTTACGTTGATGGCACGTCAATTCAAGGTTTGAATGTGGTACGGAACCGGTCGGGTCTGACGTCCTATCAACGTCTCATATGACCAAAATATTGACGTTTATATGACGTTCGTTTTCAGTCGTTCCCACTAAGCAAGCAGATGTCAAAACTATGTCATTTCAACGTCATCTGGACGTTCATTCAAGGTTGCAATGTGGTACAGAACCGGTCGGGTCTGACGTCCTATCAACGTCTTATATGACCAAAATATTGCCTTCATATGACGTTCGTTTTCCGTTGTTCCAACTAAGCAAGCAGATGTCAAAACTATGTCATTTCAACGTCATCTGGACGTTATCTGGACGTTCAAATGACGTCGCGGCCACTTCATTCAAGGTTGCAATGTGGTACAGAACCGGTCGGGTCCGACGTCCTCTCGACGTCTTATATGACCAAAATATTGACGTTTATATGACGTCCATTTACAGTCCTATTGACCTATTAACCTCTGCAGAATCACTCACTGGTTGAGACATACTTTTTGCAATAGGCAAGGCAAGTTTATTTGTATAGCACAGTCAAAACAAAGGAAACTCAAAGCACTGAACAAAAGATAGAAACAATCAAACAAGGCATTACAATTATAAATATTGACAGTAAATTAAAAAGATACAAATAAAATCTCTCATAAAATCTCTCAGTTGAAGCAGAAACAAAAGTGTTTTAAACCTGGAGTTTAACATTGTCAAAGAAGAAGCCTGTCTCACATTTCCAGGAAGACCGTTCCAGATTTTAGCCTTGTGAATCTGAAATGCAGCTATATCATGTTTAGTTCTGACTCTGGGCAATAAACGATAAACACAGCATTCAAAAATCATTAGAACAACTGTAGGAGAAGGATATCAGTCATTATTGCAAATGGAGCTGCATTAAAAATCATGTTTCTCTACATCAAAGTACAAGTTAAAGCACACAGGGCACAGTGTTATGAACACTACTGTACTGAACAGTTCATGCCAAAGTAAAAAAACATGATTGTAGCGCCTATGTTTGGATCAGTATTAAAACAGGCACAAGCTACACTCTAGGTTCCCCAGATGTAAAAACACAATCTGTAAGGCAGAAGAATGCATTTATTGAATGTTGATGTTCCAACATGTGTCCTCTCTTGGTCTTCAGTCTCATTATAAGGTCCAAGCACAGCACCTGAAAATGTGGAACATGTTTAGTTTCAACATAATGTGGCAAAGTGATATAACAACACATAACTTTCTATTAATGCCTCAAACCACTCGATCCATCACCATGTGATACAAACCTTGGCACTTCACTAGCTCGAGACACTGGAAGACACTCCGTCTGAGAAACTTGGGATAAGGCTTTGGTCATTGGAGTAATTCCATGTAAAAAAACAATTGCAAATGTGCATTTGTTTTGCACATGGACACAAATGAGCCCTGAAAGCTACTTACCCTGTATTATTCTACACATGTTGCATTTCCGAGGGGGCATTTTCCCCTTGTTGCTCTTTTCCCTCATCTTGAGTGAGTTGCTGAACAATCTGAGAAAAAGATAGATGTTTTCAAAGAGAATACACCAAATAATGGTTTATTCTCAAAACAACATAATACAGAAGAACAATCAATGTGTGAGAGTGTGATTCTTACCTTTGAACACCTTCAACACAGTCTGACACCTGTAAGACTCAAACACACATGACACATTAGGAATACACACAGAACATTAGTTATTGCAACAATCATGAAATTATACTCTATGGATTTCACAATAATTGACTGCATTAGCAAAGGTAAATGTATTTTAATTAACATATGGCTGGTTTTAAAGTTTATAAGAAAAAGTAAGAAATTGAATAGAGTTGCAAGCGCTAGTTAGCTTGCTACCAGCAGATGAATGGATATTTAATATTTGCAGCTAACAATAACAAAAATAACAACTGTAGTGGCTCATTTAAACAGCCACAGTGAGAAGAAGTGAAAGTCTCTGACATTGAAGATTTAATGGGAAGACATTAAATCCATTTATTAAACAAAGCAATACACGAACATTAAACTCTCTTTCTGCAGCAGGTAACATCTGTGTGCTCCTATGGTCCCACATGGTCCCACATGGTCCCACACCTGAACTCAACTCCAACTGATGACATCACAGGTGTCTAAATGATGGGAGTGTCCCAAATATTAAAGCTGATCTCCTTGTTTTTAAACTTAGTTTACTAAGTCTTTTTGCAGTTTATAAACCATTGTGAAATATACAGTAACTTTACATTTTGGAATTGAATTATTATTTTAAAACTCAAGAATCTTAACCTTTTTTAACACATAGTTTGTTGGACAGTCTAACCTAAGAATTCTAATGTGTTAAAAATAGTTTGAAATATGAAAAACAATATCATATTTTAAACTCACTGACTGCCAGGCATTTTCAGATTTGAGAAGTGCGTTCTGCCAGCAATTTCAGGTGATTTGACCCAACTTTGAAGTGCCACAGAATATTCATTTTTTAGACGATGTAAACACCAAGGGCACCAAATTAAAGATTAACCTCTTAGCTTTACTCGGAAAAATACAGTTTGTTTCTACCTCTTACCGTTCTTGAGCTATTCGCCATAGAACAAAGCATACTTTCACCCATAACACCTGGTCTGAGTAAGAAAACAGAGAAAAGGAGCTGTATGTAAACCGGAACATATCAAGCAGAAAAGAGACTTTAGATGCATTTTTGCTGCTTTAGTGACAACTCAAAACATCTTCACACTTGTTCCATTACAAAAATTATAAAAACATGACTCTGAAATAATACTTTTGATGGCAAATTGTTGGCAATTTATTCACAGATAGAAAATTTTACTTTCTTCTATTCCATCAACCAAAACGTCAAACAACAACAACACAAAGATCAATAAAACTATAGCTGTATAAAATAGAATGAAGCATGTGAATTTGAGTGTGTGTGTGTGAATGTCAGTGTGCGAGTGAGTGTCTGTGTGAGTGAGTGTCTGTGTGAGTGAGTGTCAGTGTGAGTGAGTGTCAGTGTGCGAGTGAGTGTCTGTGTGAGTGAATGTCAGTGTGCGAGCGAGTGTCTGTGTGAGTGAGTGTCTGTGTGTGTGAATGTCAGTGTGCGAGTGTCTGTGTGTGTGAATGTCAGTGTGCGAGTGAGTGTCTGTGTGAGTGAGTGTCTGTGTGTGTGAATGTCAGTGTGCGAGTGAGTGTCTGTGTGAGTGAGTGTCTGTGTGTGTGTCTGTGTGCGTGTGAGTGTTCGTGAGTGTGTGTATGAGTGAGTTTATCTGATTTTTCAGTCCTCCCAGTAGTTCAGCTTTGAGTTGTAGAGGTTGAAACACTGTGTGCAACGGAACTCGACACGCTGTGTACCATTTGTAGTTCTCCCTCCGTGAAGAAGAGCTCCAGAAAGTCTGGATCAGATGAATCCAGCTCCAGAAAGTCAGCTGGATCAGATGAATCCAGCTTCGCAGCCTCTGTCCGCAGCCTCTGTGGTCCAGCAGCTCCTGTGAAGGGCAACTGACTCGGCTCCCACTGATCCTCCTGTCAGCCATCTTCCCCAGAGCTTCTGGGTGACGAACGTGCTGGAAATTTGATACACACAATAACTATATTATACAGTGAATTTGTTACAATAAATCAATACATAAAATACAATGAAGGCCTTCCTCCCACATTATTGACTGACTGCTTTTGGACGAAACAAGTATACTATATTATTATTATTATATTGCCATGGGATGTACAAGAATAGAAATAGTAGTCCTTTTACCTTTTTTGTGCACAGTAACTGCCTCTCGATGCACCACCTGTAAATAATATAAATTTGTAAATCACTATACCAGGAGAATATATACAAAAATATGTACAATGGTATGAGGAGGCATTATCTTTACCTCTGCTCCTTGCCCTGTCAACCCCAATGGGGGAGGGCTCTTTTATCAGAATCTGTGAATGAACACATTTCATTTAGTCAGAGCTATGACACTGCAACAAGATGTTCAAGTATGAAATAACTAAACATAAAAATAATAAATACAACAATGATAAAACGCATAACTGGCATTTACTAAAGAAATAGTAGGATTTGAGCGCTGTGTTACTTTGCAGATCAGAGCAAGTTTCCGCGCCTTTCCCTCCTCTCAAGTTAGCATATTCTAATCTAGGCAATTTAGCAAGTTCTTACCTTCGACTCTTTGTGGAGCTTCTGGAGAGGATGCTCTGCTGGTTTGAGACTGCAACCACTCATCCGATAAATCATGATCAGGTTCTCTGAACGAATCCGAGGCATCAGTAACAACAGCAGCTGATACGCTGCGAGAGGCGGAGGGTGTGTCCCTGCTCCGGGCTCTTGCTCCGCGCAAATGTGGCTGCTGAGACGGACCTCCACCGGGGTCTCCACTCTCTCCCCTCTCAACCTCACTCACTGATCCGCGAGTCAATCTCTGAAGCAGTGTACACTGCTTATAACTATTCTTTTCCGCCATCACTCTTGCTATACTATCGCTAAACTAGATCGCTGATCCGTCTCAATGCTACGCTATCATCGCTCGCTCTGCTACAGCAGCACGCTCTCCAAACACTCCCACACTCCTCCTCCTTCTCTCCACTGACTTATGACCTCTCCTGTGGTGCAATACTGCATCCTACTGGTGTTGATTTATCATTACAGGTACATTTGCACTATATATCAGTATTGTGGGTCATTCACAAGGTGCGCCAGACATTACTGTAGCCTCCCGTGTAATAACATGAAAAACTCGTCAAACTCGTCATGGGCAGTGAGCGTTACTATTCAACATGACGAGTTTTGTCGTGATTGGGCAGTGAATGAGTTAAAAACTAAAAAAAGGTGTCTCCCTTTCAGCTGAGCAGTGCCAGCCGTTATTATTATAGATTCATGCACTGGCAATTCAAAATACAGATAATATACAAAATATACTTAACAAAATCCACGTATACGTGAGAAAACAACTTACTTTCTGTCTCCAACTCTTTTCAAAGTGGAAATGATACATCTATATCTAAAAACTGTGCAGACTGTGTACTTACTAGAGAGGGTGATTCCAAGTAAATAAAGCAGGGCAGCGACAGAGGTACAGATTCAACGTCATATCAACGTCTGGGAAGGCATTGCTTTACGTCCAGATGCACACCTTACGTCGTTTAGACGTGGAAAACAGGTCCTCGACCGAGCGACTCACGTGTCAGGCTGTAACCTCGCATAAGTGTGCGTCGTTTGTTTAGGGTGTTATCTATTATTTTTTCCCAGTAGTTGGAAACATGCCTGGCAGTGGTGTAGCGGTTGAGTAAAGAGACTTCAGTCGCAACGACGCGGGTTCAAATCCCCGTCGGAAATTTTTTGACTTTTCACTTTTTAGCGAACAATTTTTCTGTTTGGTTAAAAACGAATAAACACTCAACATAAGATTATGTAGTGGCTAATAATAAAACTTGTGAACCCATGCATTTGCATAAAATCTCAAGTGCTCACCCCTTATTTGCAAACTTGAGATTGTTAGCACAACAAATGCATACATTCACAAGTTTTATTATTAGCCACTACGTAATCCTATGTTGAGTGTTTATTAGTCTTTAACCAAACAGAAAAAAATTGTTCGTTAAAAATCAAAACAAATATGTAAAGATAATAATACACACACGTGGGCTCGAACCCACGTAACCAAGGCTGCACACATTTGCTTAACCACTACACTACCGTCAGGTTCACTTATATTGCTTCACAGCCTATATATTGTATTGCTAGATCAAGACGTACTGCGTCGGACGGCCAATGACCTGTTTTCGACGTCTAGGGGAGGTCGGGATTGAACGTCATATCCACGTATATGGGAGGTCATTGTTTTACGTCCAGATGCGCACCTTGCACAGACGTCGTTTGGACGTAAATAAAAGGTCACGACCGACCGACGCGATTTTGACGTGATCTGGAGGTTGAGTGGACGTCGGATGTTTAGTGGGTAATTGCTGTCAAGTAAATCGTGTGTTGCTATGGTAACTAGCACTTGGTCAAAGCCGAGACTGTCCTGAACCAGTCCAAGACCAGAAAAGTTGCTTTAACTAATAAAATAAAATGTTAGTTATTTGATGAAAATAGTGACATAGAAATAAACTACACATAGAAAAACAGAAAAAGTCCCAACATTATGAAGATCACAAATGTACATAAACTGAGGAACTACCCTTCAAATTGACTGCTCTGGGAGTTCTAGCGTTAACGAAACCCGGTGTAACTTTGAGCGTGTTTGTGTCCAAAGCCAACCCGTCGTACGTGCCCCCGCCACAGTGCCAGCCTGGAGAGTTCGCCTGCAAGAACAGCCGCTGCATCCAGGAGCGCTGGAAGTGTGACGGAGACAACGACTGTTTGGACAACAGCGACGAGGCCCCAGAGCTCTGCCGTGAGTAAAGCCCTGTACTCTACTCTACTAGGCTCTACAATACTCTACTCTACTTGGCTCTACTCTACTCTACTTGGCTCTACTCTACTCTACTAGGCTCTACAATACTCTACTCTACTTGGCTCTACTCTACTCTATTAGGCTCTACTATACTCTGCTCTACTAGGCTCTTCTCTACCTGGTTGTGTTTCCATTTCGCTTTGGTATCTAGTATAGTATCCTTGCAACCTCACTACAATGAACCAGTATCCGGGGAAACTTCTTGGTAACCCTGGCTTCCAGCAGTACGTTGGCCAATCACTGTCAGTTAGAACACTTTAGTACCAGCTCGGCCAAGAGAAACATGTTGATCACATTTTGGTCACTTTAGGGTTTTGATACTAGTTGAGGTTGTTAGTCTTACACAGCTAAACCTGCCAGAGATCAGTTTGATGAAAGTCAAGTCAATCAGGGCAAGGTGTCTTTAAGTTCCCCATGGGGAAAATCATACACCAAAAACAGGTAACAAGGTAACAATGATTTGTTTAAAATAACAATGACAATTGGATTAAAGAGTTACTATTGGATACTCGAGTACATGTCAAAGGATTAGAATATGGTGGTCCTTGATTTTTTCACTTTTCTGTGTGAAACAGCTGATCTAAAGATGTGACAGAGGCCAGAAATACATGCCTGTGAAATCTAGTACAGTAGTTTGGATTTTATCACATCCTTTTTTGATTTGACAGAGTGGTGTTGGTGAAGCTTTTACCTTTCCTTTTTTCCGTCATGAAATGAATGAATAAATGAATGAACATCTTGTGTTTTGGGATTTTTTTTCAGCTCTGTGAGACTCAGATTAAAAAAATTTAAAAATATGTTTTTCTGGTTTTGTCCGTCAGACCAGCACACCTGCCCCACAGACCGCTTCAAGTGTGAGAACAACCGCTGCATCCCCCTGCGCTGGCTCTGCGACGGAGACAACGACTGTGGCAACGACGAAGACGAGTCCAACACCACCTGCTCCGGTACGGCCCAGTCCACTGCGAGCCCGGGTCTGTGGGGGGCCAATGGGGAGGGGGCCTGGGTCTTTGATGGTCCAATGGGGAGGGATGGTACTGACCTCTGCATTCACACTGCACTGAAACTAAGGGTGTGCTATAAAAAAAAAAAAGGATTGTTGGATAAATATTTTTATTTTTTTATCATTTTATTATTAATATTTTAATTAGACACAATATAGATTTTTATTTTAGTAATGTACATTTTTACTCAACTTTCCTCTTTCCTTGTTTTAGTTTTAAATGGAGGATGCCATCAATATGATTTACTATGGAGCTGAAGTTGCCAGAATGATTGGTTATCTTCTTACAAACTCCTAATTGGATATTTAACATATTTTAAGTATTTTTTATTTATTTAGATTTTATATTTAGTGGACGGAGCGTTAGACAAGCGGCCAACAGCTTCTAATTGTTACTGAACCAAATAAAACTCTACTATTTGTGATTAAATGAACTTTTACAACACGTGCTGTGATGTCATATATATGTCTTCAGCTCGGACCTGTCCTCCAAACCAATACTCCTGCGCCAGTGGCCGGTGCATCCCCATCTCCTGGACCTGCGACCTGGACGATGACTGCGGAGACAGATCTGACGAACCGCCCTCTTGTGGTCAGTTACGGAAACTATAAACTTTACTTCATCATCGCACACTGTGTCGTCCAATCACAGCATTTGTTCAACAGATATACCCCTAAATAAAAAAAACAGCAGTCTCGGACCGCTTTACAAATTTCTCGATTCACCAACCACAATAATAGCAAAACACATAGGAGCCATAGGTCTATAAGGATTGGGATGACAATATTCCAAAAATGTTAATAAATGTCCATAAATATCCCGGATCATCACTGTCCATAGAACCTCCTGCTTCTGCACGGGTCAGGGTTAGGGTTAAAAAAAAGTGAGAAACCCATATAACAGACCTTAGATGCAGGACTGAGGCTGTAGAACAAGAACTACATGCTACAAGTCTGATAAAGATTCATTTATTTCTAAACCTGCTCAGAAAGGGTCTGATTTTAGTCTCTGTACTTCCTCAAATCCTCCCAATTCCAATACTTGCTTCAGAATAGATTCATATCTGATTTTCAATAGTATTGTAGTGAGGTTTATATTTTTTACTTTTGACGTTTCGCCCGTAGAGTGAACATGATGATTGTGAGTTGTTTTGTGTTTTCAGCGTACCCCACCTGCTTCCCTCTAACCCAGTTCACCTGCAACAACGGCCGCTGCATCAACATTAACTGGAGATGTGACAACGGTGAGTTTTGACCCGGTTTCCCTTCGATTTGTGTCTGAGAAAGTCGGCTTCAAGCCCCCTCCTCTTCCCAGACCACCGCGGAGGTCGCCATCTGTCAAAACACTCAGCTCCACACGTCACAAAACACACAGATGGAGGCAGGACTCTGGAACACATCAAAAACAACTTAAGGACAATAAGGTTGGACTGATTGACCTTTACCCAGAGGCGCTGATCCCACTGAGAGATCCATCCTCCAGGGCCCCAAACAACAAACAATCCCCTCATACAGACACCAATGGAGCGGAAAAGGGCCATCCACCTCGTAGTTCAGAAAGTAAAAATTAAAAAGTCCTCGAAGCGCCAATGTGGTTGCAGATTTTCATTCCAACTAAGCAGGTGCACACCAGACTCCATCCATTTCCTCAAGTGAAATCCTCAAGCAAACACTGAATTCACTTGAAGAAATGGGTGGAGTCGAGTGTGCTCCTGCTTGGTTGGAATGAAAATCTCCAGCCACACCAGTCCTTTCTGGAACCAGTTTGACCCCCCTGCTAAAGACCCTATTGAATCCTTCACTGTTGGTAAGTTACCAGAAAGAGCCACGTCTTCACCAATGACCAGTTGTTGATACCTACAATAGATATAGGTACAGTGCCTTGCGGAAGTATTCGGCCCCCTTCAACCTTTCAACATTTCGCCACATTTCAGGCTTCAAACATAAAGATATAAAATTTGAATTTTTTGTCATGAATCAACAACAAGTGGGACACAATCGTGAAGTGGAACAAAATTCATTGGATAATTTTAACTTTTTTAACAAATAAAAAACTGAAAAGTGGGGCGTGCAATATTATTCGGCTGTAGTTATCTGCAGTTCATCCAGAGTGATCATGGGCCTCTTGTCTGCATCTCTGATCAGTCTTCTCCTTGTTTGAGATGAAAGTTTGGAGGGACGGCCGGGTCTTGGTAGATTTGCAGTGGTCTGATACTCCTTCCATTTCGATATAATTGCTTGCACAGTGCTCCTTGAGATGTTTAAAGCTTGGGAAATCTTTTTGTATCCAAATCCGGCTTTAAACTTCTCCACAACAGTATCTCGGACCTGCCTGGTGTGTTCCTTTGTCTTCATGGTTCTCTCTGCGCTTTAAACAGAACCCTGAGACTATCAAAGAGCAGGTGCATTTATACGGAGACTTGATTACACACAGGTGCATTCTATTTATCATCATCAGTCATTTAGGACAACATTGGATCATTCAAAGATCCTCCCTGAACTTCTGGACTGAGTTTGCTGCACTGAAAGTAAAGGGGCCGAATAATATCGCACGCCCCACTTTTCAGTTTTTTATTTGTTAAAAAAGTTTAAATTGTCCAGTAAATTTCGTTCCACTTCACGATTGCGTCCCACTTGTTGTTGATTCATGACAAAAAATTAAAATTTTATATCTTTATGTTTGAAGCCTGAAATGTGGAGAAAGGTTCAAGGGGGCCGAATACTTTCGCAAGTATAATGCAACTGCGTTAGCTAGCCTAGTTGTCAGCACACTACAGCTCAACACCTTACATTCCCAGCCTTTGTGGATAGCATTTACCACTTAGCTCTTAGCCTCCGCCGTGCTTTAAATTACAACTATTTTCAAAACTTCTCTGGAGAAAATAGGTGAGGTTTTAAAACCAGAACTGGGGAAGACGGTGAAGTGGGTAGGACTTTTCAGCTCTAAGTCCGGAGCCCAGATAATATTTAATAAAAACTGGAAAAATCTGAAATTGGACAATATTAAAACTAATAGTAATCCGAAAGGTTTGTTTTTAAGTCTGTTTAATTTCCTCAACGTTGCCATGTAATGAAGAGGGCAGACATTTTACATCTAGCTTACAATGAAAGTTGGCGACCTCTGCTCCATCCGTCTCTCTGTCTTTCCCTTTGTGTCGTCATGTTAATGGTTAGCCTGTTTTTGTGTTTTTTTGTGTGCGTGTCACTGTCCCACTCTTTCCTCTTGTGTCCATTGGTTTGTTTTGCAGAAAAGGATTGTGCTGACGGCTCTGATGAGTTGCATTGCCCAAACGTTCCACCCGGTTAGTGCATAGATCCACATGCACCACCACGGCTGCGATGCTAGTCTTAGCTTTAGCCTTAGCCATAGCGATACCTTAGCCCTAGCATTTGCAGCCTTTGGGATTAGCTCGCTTCCCTTGCTGTAGCTGGGTGGTTGGGTGATATTCTTAAAATAACGTGAATATTTATTTAGTCTTTGAAAGGTAACGGTAAAGTAAGGTACATTTCATTGTCTCGCAGGGAAATTGATCCTCTGCATTTGACTGATTCTTGAAGTTAGCCGCAAAAACAAGTCTGGAACTAGCATTTTGGCTGGGTTAGACCCCATATAAGGCACTGACTGACCGAGTGTGATGTCACCATAGTGTTAGCCTTAATGCGGAAGAAGCCGGTTTAAACATTTCTTCCACTGCATTAACTTTACACCGTAACTAAGAGCTTACACTTACATTCAGCCCATGAGTATTTTGGCTGCGGTGGCGTGGCCTCTAAGCACATACTGGAGACAAACTTGAGTGCTTGGAGGAAACCCACCCTGGCAGAAACATGCCATCCCCACACTAAAAAGCTAAGGCCTGGTTGGCCTAGTAGTATAGTATGGTTATTCCTACAGTAAAAGCAGCAAGGCAAATACTGTAAGTAGTGTAAGTCGATGTAAGCTTTTCGCAGATGCAAATGTGTCCATATTGTTCCAGCTTCAGCCCAGGCTTTAGTCCTCGGCAGAAAAACTACATTCTGCTGAGCAAAGCAGTATGAAGCAGTCCATTAGCGCAGGCCTAAAGCAGATAAATGTGGATTATAAGTGAGAACATACCAGGATTAATTGGTGGGGATGTTACGGCTGCCAACAATACCGACACACTGTAAATGATCGCCTTCTTATGGGAGTTAATAGTCGTAGCTTTAAACTGTCCATTTGTTTTCATTACTAAAGGCTCGGCTCAATATTTCAGCACTGGGGATTCGTGGTGCATGGAGGATCTATGCAGTTTTTGTCATTAAACCTTTCTTCTCTGTCCCACCATCCATGTGTCTCATGTTGTCAATGTTTATGTCTTCTATTGTTATTGTAATGTTATGTTATTTTCAAAAGACAGGACTTGGAAACGTTTACATGCTTCTGATCATGCACTAGTGCTGTTTTATATTATAATGATGAAATATAGTCTTAAGAAATAGTACTCACAAACTTGATATTGATAATTTGGCATTTCATGGTTTATAATGGTAAATAATTAATAAAACTAACGAGTGCTGAAGCTACCGTAGAGTTAGCCTTAAATTCAGAAGAAGCCAATTATAGCTAACTCGAATAGGCTGTTTGAGCAAGAATGTGGAGGCAAATGCAGGCAAATTTTGTTGGTAGCTCTGGCCAAGATACAGAGAGCCGATCAGGAGCGACGCCTGACTATCGGATTTAGCGTCAGAAGGCTCATTTTTGGATTTACAAAGACAATATCACATTATAAACGTGAGGGACCACGGGGAACGTACAAGAACAGTATCCACAAACCCCGTGTACGCTCCCTCAGTTCCACCACTCTAGCTTCCCAAAGGTCACGCTGGGATCTTGTCCTTCTGCATCAGATCAACCCCCACAGTTCAGATTTCTCCAAACAGGAAAGACAACAAGACGAATATCTTTGATGCAGAGGGACAGGTAGTGATGAATGCATCTGCAGAAGCACAAAGCAGCTTTGAAAACTGCTTGGCCATAATGTGACCTGCGCGTCAGGACCGTTCTCTATTTGACTGTTAAAGCTGAGAGCTGATTGGCTGAGTGAGGGTGGTTCTCTCTTTTTCACGTTTCTGTCTGAAAAAGATGATATACAATGCAAAAAAAAAAAGCATTATATTCTTGAATCAAGTGTTTTTTATCTTAATAAAAAATATATAAGACAATTCAAGAGATGTCTATGTTGGAATGGGAAATAAATTGAACAGCACTTGAAATAAGACTAAATAGCTTGTTTCATTGGTAAATCTTGTTTTAGGATAGCCAGAATATACTCAAATTAAGATAAAAAGCAATGATTATCACCTTTTTGCAGTGACGTGACACAGGCCAAAAGCACCTGTAAAAACAAGGAATAGAACTAAATGGTTTGAAAGCCAGGAACCAGTGACATCGAGTTTCTCACCTTCTTAAACGTTAAAAGAAACACATTTTCACCTCTGCCTCTGTGACAGGCCGCACACGGCTTTAGCCAAACTCATAAACATTTTCTTCTTTCATTTTAAAACATGAAATGCCTTTAGTCTGTTCAAAGAAATCCTTCCAACGCCTCTGGTGCGCGGTCAGGTGGCCGTACAGCTGTGTGTGTTTGGTGTTTTGTGACGGCGTCTCGTTCACAGACAACGACTGCGGGGACAACAGCGACGAGGCGGGCTGCAGTCACTCCTGCTCCAGCGCTCAGTTCAAGTGCAACAGTGGGCGCTGCATTCCGGATTACTGGACCTGCGACGGAGACAACGACTGCGGAGACTACAGCGACGAGACGCACGCCAACTGCACCACGCAGAGTCAGTCACAACCTTTGACCTTTCATTTCTGTACTTGTGAATAAACGATGGTTTAGATCCAAAACTTCAGCGACTTCTCGGGGTGGGGAAATTTCAGTTTTGCAGCGCACATACCTGACGGCAGTAAGATACGCACAAAATATACACTGATAAGTCCCAGTAAATGCTTCTTCACACCAGGACTCCCAGTGTTTTTGGTCTCCAACTTCAACCTTTTCTGTATGTAGTTTATTTCTGTCATTATTTTTTTTAAATGATCTTTTATTTTGAAAATGTGAGTAAAACAAAAAAATAATCTTAAATGTAGCCATTTTCAGTTGCTAACTAACTTTCTGTGGCAGTTAATGCCCATTTTTTAATTTGCTGGTCCTGGTCCCTAGTTCTGGTTGTTTTTCTACCGTAGCCTTTCAATGATTGAGCACACATTACCAGTGAGTAAAGGTAACAAATCGTATAAATTACTTGGTGGAAAACCAAATATTTTTTGGGGAATTTCTCAGAATTACTAATGGTTCGAATGGGAGCAGTCACAATTACGGCTCGGCTGGAAACATCTCAATCGGGGAAGAGTGGAGTAGAATAGACCAGAGTTGAGTCGAGAAATAATGGTAAACAACTATGTTTTATATCATATAGACCACTGACCATTTATATTTTTCTCAATTCTTATCTATCTTGAATTTTAAAGAACCTTGAACCTGGTTGAGATGTTTACATTAAAAACTTTATTCTTCTATTAAATGTATTCAGGATTATAATAGTAGTTAAATTTAAGAACCACATTATCCTCTAACTGACTGTCCTGTCCCCTCCAGCCCGTCCTCCCGGCGGCTGTCACACAGATGAGTTCCAGTGCCGGATGGACGGACTGTGCATACCCTCCAGGTGGCGCTGTGACGGAGACACGGACTGCATGGACCTGAGCGACGAGAAAAATTGCGAAGGAGTCACTCACATGTGTGACCCGGCCGTGAAGTTCGGCTGCAGAGACTCGGGTGAGGACAGAATTCGGACCGAAGACAGACCTTGGACCTGAAGACAGACCACACTAAAAAAACATGAGAGGAAACCTGGCAGAGATCTCCCACTTGATTCTCATTTAGATTCTAGTGGATTCCAATGAACAAAGTGGGTCTGGGCCATAGATTGAATGTTTTTCTTAATGTGCAAGAAGCCAATTAGAGCGAACAGGCTACTTGAGCTGGAATGTGGTTTTAATTGGTGCGACGGCCCAGCAACCAATCAGGAGTGGCATATTCTGGCTTGTTAACGCCAAATACAGCGACAAAGGTCAGTGAGTGTGAGTGTACCTTAAATTAACTTCTGCAGGCTGGCAGGGATGCTGGAGAGATAACTCGTCTTTTTAAATATTACAGTTATCGTAACGTTTTGCAGAAGTTACCGTGACACTCCTTTTGCATAAGTGACAAACTTTTGAATGTTTTGCCTCCGCTGGGATTGGATCAGCTCAACTTCTGCTGCCAATCAGAAACTAGTCCAGTGTCCGTGTCCATGCCATAGACTGTATGCAGATATGCTGTATGCAGATGGACAATGCTAGCCAGCTATGTATGAACGCTCTGGCTCCTATTGACTTACCCTAACTCCTCTAGCTCAGAACTCGTTTGTGTCACACTCCCCATTTTGAGCTTAGAAAATCTGTGGTTTATACTGTGATATTGTCTTCAAATACAGTTATGAGCGATATCAGGGTGGAACAATTAGATGCCTTCAGAAAACTCCAGCTTGTCTGAGAAACCCTGTTAGAGACACAATAGTTTGTTTTGCCCCTGCTATAGCACATACCTCGCCCAGTCATGCCCATAAATGGAAATAGGCTCCAGCTATCTTATGTTTGAATCAGCTTATTTTGCGTTCGGCTAACTCTACAGTGACGTGAGCACTCGGCCGGTTCATCCTCTACGGTATGTGGATTGGATGTCACTTTTGGAAACACCTCTGTGTAAGAATGGTGCAAATATTGTACTATAAGTGAGATTCCACACAGTTGTTACAGTCCGTTCCCTGACTTACGGCCAACTCAAGGCAGGCAAACGTGAGAAAAGTGACCGTTTGAGCCCTGTTTGTGTCCGCAGCCCGGTGCATCAGTAAGGCGTGGGTGTGCGACGGAGACAGTGACTGTGAAGATAACTCTGACGAAGAGAACTGCGAGGCACTGGTCTGTAAACTCTCTCATCACGTTTGTGCCAACGACTCCACCATCTGCCTGCCCCAAGACAAGCTGTGTGACGGCAACTACGACTGCCCCGACGGCTCCGACGAGAAGCTCTGCGGTGAGACCTGATCTACACAGACACACCTCACGTTTCATGGCCTCACTGTTTTTTTGTCTCTCTGGTTTGGATATTGTAAATCCCAAATCTCTGGTCAATCTCTGGTCTCTCTCTCTCATTAATCTCTCTCCGTTGTAAAGTGCAGCTGCGACTGTAAAGTGCCAAACTGCCGTTGTGTCCTTTGGCAAGACACTTCCCCCACATTGCCTAGAATGACTTTGGTGTGTGTGTGAGTGGTTGGTGGTGGTTGGAGGGGCCGATGGCACATACTGGCTGCCTCGCTTCTATCAGTTTGCTTCTGGGCAGCTGTGGCGACAGTAGTAGTTTGTCACCACTGTGTATGGAGTGAATGAATAATGAGGTGAAGCGTCTTTGAGTGTCCTGAAAAGCACTATATAAATCCGATGCATTATTATTATTATTATCTCTCCGGTCTCTCTCTGGTACTCTGGTCTTTCTCTCTGGTTCTCTGGTCTCTCTCCGGAATCTCTATGGTTCTCTGCTCTCTGGTCTCTCTCTCTGGTCTCTGTTTCTCTTATCTCTCTCTAGTCTCTGTTTCTCTGGTCTCTCTCTCTGGTCCTCTGCTCTCTCTCTCTCTAGTCTCCCTCAGGTCTCTCTGATATCTCTCTCACTACTGTCTTTCTCTCTGCTTTCTCTCTCTGGTTCTCTTTTCTCTCTCTGGTCTCTTTCTGGTCTCTCTCTCTGGCCACTTTCTCTGGTCTTTCTCTGGTCTGTATGCTGTCTGCCCCTAAACAAGTCTAGTGAACCAAAGTGTCCCTCTCACTTAAAAGCTATTGTCATAACATCCATGTCCCGTCCACAGACCTGTGCTCCCTGGACAACGGCGGCTGTAGTAACAACTGCAGCGTGTCTCCGGGCGAGGGCGTGCTCTGCTCCTGCCCGCTGGGGATGGAGCTGGGAGCCGACAACAAGACGTGTCAGATCCAGAGCTTCTGCGCCAAACACCTCAAGTGCAGCCAGCGGTGTGAGCAGGACAAGTTCCACGTCAAGTGCTCCTGCTACGAGGGCTGGGAGCTGGAGGCCGACAAGGAGAACTGCAAGAGCTCAGGTCAGTGGGGAAAAAACACAAAGTTCCAATGTCAACACTGGTCTACACTCCAGCCACTGTAGAATGCCTAAACATGGATTTCCTATACTTTATACCAGGGGTTAGGCCAGAGATGCCATCCAGTACACATAGCACTAGCCCTTCACTGATCCTCCTGCAGGTGGTGAGTCCACAGGGGATCACTCGGTTTTATACCAAGGCAAAAACACAATAGCTCCCCTCAGCGTCTGCCTCAGCATCAGGAAATAAGCAAATAACCAAAAAAAGGAAAATTACTGGCTTCTGCAGACTGCTGTAATGACCAGTTTTAACATGATTGCACAAAAAGTCTATAAAAGAGCCATAGATGCCTTCATTGGGGGGATGAAATTGAATTGTTCTACTATAGGTGCTTGAAACAACACTAAAGCTGGTTGTTCCATTATTTTAAGAAATGTTTTCAAGATAAAATCTACCTAATCTATTGTAGCACACCATTTTGTCCCAAAAAAGTAGCTCTTCCATGGAAAAGCTTGGAGACCCCTGGAATACACAGTAATGATCCACAGGTGTCGCTCTCACAGCAGACAGAAACACGTTATGTCGTTTGGATTGTGATAAAACACGACCTGTGGAGCTCTGTCTCTCGCATTGTTTATTTACGAAAGGCTGCGTCTCGAGGCTGAACGACGGCGAACAAACAAGCGTCATTCTGAGAAAAGCTTTGTTCCATGAATGCCGATCAGCTGCGGCCGCCATGAATTATTGATGTGGAGCCAAGTGGCCATTTAAATAAGCTTTTGTCTGCCGCGCACAGGGACGCACGGGGAGGAGGGGTCCAACTTGTGTTTCTGAGTTAGAAATGATGTAAACCGAGATTAATTATTTGTCTCACCGAAGGCTCTGCCATAGATCTGTTTCTAATTCAATCATTAAAATGGTGTTTTGATTGTGAAGTAATTAGGAGAACTTTTGATCGGATATACATTTTCTCTATAATAATAATGGTTACTGAGTTGTTAGCACTCTCGCTTCTCAGCAAGAAGATCCTGGGTTTGAATCACGGTCGGAAAAGGGACTTTTTGAGGGGAGTTTGCATGTTCTCCCTGTGACTGAGTTTCCCTGATGCACTAAAAACATGTACAATAGGCAAAATCCTCCAGCTCTAGTCTCTCTTTCTGTTCTATCTCTCTGCTCTATCTTTCTGGTTTCTCTCTTGTCTCCCTCTCTCGTTTGACTTAAATGTGAAAGTATACTCTTCTTGCTCGGTAACTTTGTGTCATACTCACCATTTTAAACTTAAATCTGAGGTTTAGTGCTCTCTCTGCGACCCTGGTGTTTATATTGTGATATTGTCTAAATCCAGATATGAGCCATATAAGTATTGACCAATCAGATGCCTTCATTTTTGCCGGGGAAACTGGTGATAGCCTTAGTAACAACTTTAGCAACACCTTTACACGGTCGGAACTAATACCCATAAAAGGAATTTGGCTCCAGCTATCTTATGGTCAAATCAGCCTCTGTTGCATCAAGGCTAACACTATGGTGATGTCACACTCGGTCGACCCACTCCGATAATTTGTTGCGGTTACAGCTCTGTGTTTGTGGAAAAGCAGGTTCCAGATGGAGCGTCTGCGTGCGGCAGATAACTCATATTTACACTGGTTTTAATGAAGCGGGATTACGCCCTCGTTTAGCGGCTGTAGAGCAGATGCACCAGGGAACGTGTAATCAACCACAACATAATATAATTAGTGCTGCGATGATGTCAGTGGTTGATCTTAAGGGGAAACGGTCCAAGAACACAGAGAAAAAGATGTGTTTTAATGACGTGGTTTCCATTCGGTTGAAATTGGAGCCTCTGCCTGAGCCTGAGCAGGCAGACCCTCTACTTTCTGACACATGTGATAACAGAAATAGTCTGTAGAGGGTATATTAGGAGTGGACTGGCCAAGTGTGGCATCACCATAGAGTTAGCCCTGATGCAGAAGAAGCCAATTTGAACATAAGCTAGCTGGAGCCGATTTCTTTATCTTTATTTCCTCTGCAGCGTTAACTTCGCGCAATAACAGGGGCAGACGTGTTACTAGCATGGTTGCTAAGGCAAGCTGGAGTTTTCCCCACAAATGAAGGCTTGTGATTGGTCTTTCCTGATATGGCTCATATCCGGATGTATTAGTCCGGATGTATGTAGGACAATATCAAAATAGAAACACCCGGATCACAGAGATTTTTTAAAACCAAATTGGTGAATGTGACGCAAACAGTTACTGAGTTACTGTTTATTTTTTCATGTGAGTCAACAGAAGCCAGAGCGATTTGGAGCAAAACTTTGAATATGCATCAGATTTCTCCTGCATATGGTTGATATTTTAGGGGGCACCATTCGCTCACAACTCTGCCTGGTTTTCCCTCAGACCCGTTCAAGCCGTTCATCATCTTCTCGAACCGACACGAGATCCGCAGAATCGACCTGAACAAAGGCGAGTTCAGCGTCCTGGTGCCGGGGCTCCGGAACACCATCGCCCTGGACTTCCACCTGAGCCAGAACGCCCTCTACTGGACAGACGTGGTGGAGGACAAGATCTACCGCGGCAAGCTGTCCGAGAACGGAGGTGAGGGGGCACACACACTGATAGACACACACAGACACACACACACACACACACACACAGTTTGCTAGACTGATGCTCACAAGTGGCTCAGGGGAAGAAGGCTCCACAACTACACAAGGGACTATTCTTCGCATAATGACAGTGTAACGAGCTGTGTCACGCTCTGCTTTTTCCTTTATAAAGTTGTCCTCGTACAAAATATATTTGAAAGACTTCTCTACACAAGGATGAGAAACTTACCTTAGTCCATCGCAATGTAATGCCCTCTGTCCTCTCTCTGGTGTATTTGGTCTCTCTCTGGTCTCTCTCTGGTCCTGGGTGCACAAAATAACATTGTAATTGTAAAGTCTGATGTCTGCGCTGACCCTTTTCTGTTTTCTCCACGGTGAAACGCCATCACGGGTCCAAACAACCCGCAGTCCTTTCCCACTGTTGTCCTGGGTCAAAACAGAATTTCAACAAAAACATATCTGCATTATATAAACGGCCTATGACTTTACACATTGGTTTGTAGACCTCCTTGGATAGTCTTTGACACAGATCGTCAGCCACACCCCTCAGTTCATGGCAGTTGTGACTTCTAATCATAAACATACTGTTGATATTTGGAAAATGAGTGTTTATGTTTTGCATCAACATTGACAGCTATAGATTTCGTTGTCTCAAGTTTTTCCATAAAAACTATACAAGCAGAGCACTCAAGTCAAAATATGGTGCTCTTTTCTCCATTTTGGGAAACAGCTAACTATTAACTATTAACTACTACTATTAACAGGATTTTCTAACTCAAATCTTTTCAAGCAGTTGGCCTTTTAGTATTAATCAATCCAATAATGAGACGTAGTTGAGTCAGAGCAAAACAAGCCCTTATGCCAGTGTGTGTGTGTGTGTGTGTGTCTGTGCGTGTGTGTGTCCTATTCCAAGGACTGTTCTTAACGACACGAGAGGAGCCTCCATTATGCTGTTTACAATCCACTTTTTTCTCTCTAAATACAAGCCTTTCAAAACACAGTAGTCATCGCACTTCTCACATATGTAACAGGCTCTTAGTCGTCTAATAAAGTGGATATGGTGTTGCTGCTCCACATGGACTAGAGGCCAGCCGCGGTACTGCAGCTTAAAGTGTCTATAGTGTTCGCTAAAACAGCTCGTCCTCCGCTGACAGGGAACCTACAGCTTTCACAAAGAAGGATTCTGTGCAGATTTTAGTGTCTCTTGTCATCATGAACTTTTTTTTAGTAAAAAAAAATCCATAGTTTTTTCTATAAATCCACGCTTTACTGGAACACACTCTGCTGGCTCTCTGGTCTTTCTCTGATCAGCAGGGCTCTGATTGGTCAGAACGCTTGTTACTCTGGTCCTGTGGAAGTAGAACCACCGCACACCTACTGCACAAGACCAGGAGAACCAGAGCGAGCCAGAACGAGTGACTACTGTTTGGGACGTCCATGGTGCGAGAATGAGCCAATGAGCACAGGACATTGATCTGAATGGACAGACATCTTGGAGACCTGGGGATAGGTGGGGCTGTATTTCCTGTTGTGTGTCTGTGTCTGTGTCTGTGTCTGTGTGTGTGTGTGTGTGTGTGTGTGTGTGTGTGTGTGTGTGTGTGTGTGTGTGTGTGTGTGTGTGTGTGTGTGTGTGTGTGTGTGTGTGTGTGAGACCCTCATGATCTAACCTTATATCATGTAAAGTCTATATTCAGCTCCTTGTTGTCCTGGTTGTATTTCTTTACAGCCATTCTCTGCAGAGAGTGTGTCTACAATGGGCAAAGCCGACAGTAATGAGTCACTCTGATAATTAGCCATGTCCGTGTGATTAGCACGTTAGTGGTTTAAAAAGTTGTTTATCCAGACCCTCTCTCAGACCGCCACTGTGTGAGTAAACAAAAGGCTTTGAGATGTGTCGACCAGCATCCTGAGCAACGAAAAAAAGTGGAAACTAGATGCAGAAATCACCTCTACCCGTCTCTATCCCTGTGTTTAGATGAGAAGCTTGTCAATTGAATGGCTTATATTCAAACCTGCACAAAAACTATTTCCCTATAATGGCAGACACAGATATATGTACATTTAGCTTGTTTTAATCCTGTACTTTTTAGCTTGTTTTATGTATGTACTTGGCTGGTGCACACATAAACAACAGGATGACCAATACATCAAAATAAAACTGGTCAAAAAATGATCAACAAAAAGTCCACACCATGACAATACTGGGGCCTCTAACCCTATTTGGATGTGGGGCTTCTATCCTTCTTACATATTTTGCTTCATAATATAAAGTTTCTTTCATCACTCTTTGTTTTATCTCTTTCCACAAAGGTTTTTCTTGTTTATTTTTGACTTTACATTTCTTCCACACATCATTTGCACTTCCAGATGACTTCTTCAGCTCTGAATACAAAACAGCCTTTTTGCATTTCCACAAGTACAGTGGCTCCACTATAGAGCTGCTGATGTTTGCCTCTGGCTCAGTCTCAGCCTTTCAAAGCAGATTTTCTCACGTTTGTTAATGATGTTTAAATTAATCAAAAAGCGCTGCGGGCAAAGCTGATTTTGTGAAGCAGAGACTTGAAATATTAGCTTCTTCAGTAGATTCAAAGACAGATCAGGGATACAAGCGGCCCACATGAGTTTGTGAGGAGCTCTGTCACACGGGATGAGCTCAGAGTAAAGTCGCTGCTTCTCCACGTCAAGAGGAGCCAGTTGAAGTGGCTCGGGCATCTGTCTGGGATGGAGGAAGACCCAGGACACGCTGGAGGGACTGCGTCTCTCAGCTGGCTTGGAACGCCTCAGGATTCCTCTGGATGAGCGTGAGGAAGTGTGTGTATATAGGAATGTCTTTGCCACAACCCAGAAGTGGAAGAAAATAGATGGATGGATGGGAAATAAAGAAAACCTAGGCAGAGAGGGGGGAACATGCAAACTCCACTCAGAAAGGCCCTGCTCCAACTGGGATTTGAACCCAGGGCTTTCTTGCTGGGAAGCAACAGTGCCAACCACAAAAAGAAAGTTAAAAAAGTGAGCACACAGATGAGTTTGAACAGAGGCTCATTTCTTATCAGTCGCTTTCATCAAGTTCTTCAGGAAGATACCAGTTAATCCATGGAATCAATCAAGGGATTCTGAAAAGCCGAATTTAGCCCCTGCACCGTCTTTTAGGATTCATCTTTGAACGAGGAATATTTTTTTTTATCTCTATTCTCCAAGTTACATCTTTGTTGCCTCATCAAAAACAAGAGTTGTTTTTAGATCCATTCACGCTAATATCAGGAACCTCTGGCACAAACATGTAGCTCCTCCCCTATTTAAAAAAGAAATCTCGGAACCTCAGAAATATCCTTTCATCATGGAGCAACTGGTAACACACACAAAGAAAAACCCACACGCACACACACATATAGACATACACACAGACGTACACTCATACAAATACATACACATACACATGCACATATTCACACATAAAAGTACTATTTTTGGACCTGTCTTCTCTCACTATTTTTTGCAGCTGTATTTTCAAAGATATTTCTGAAGCCTTGACCTCCTCCTCTTCTCTGCAGCTCTGACCAGTTTCGACGTGGTCATTCAGTACGGACTGGCCACTCCCGAGGGACTCGCCGTTGACTGGATCGCGGGGAACATCTACTGGGTGGAGAGTAACCTGGACCAGATCGAAGTGGCCAAACTGGACGGAACCATGAGAACCACTCTGCTGGCGGGGGAAGTGGAGCATCCAAGAGCCATCGCGCTGGACCCAAGAGACGGGTGAGGAGGCCGTTTACCCACGATTCACTGACCAAATTAAATCAATAACAAGAGAGGGCAAACTGGCTTCTAAACTTGCCACTGCCACTGAAAATCCCACTAAACTACAAGATCCCACTGAAAATGGATGGAAAATGAGGCAGAACTTGTGGTAGCTCCGACAAAAAAAAAAATATAATCCATATTTAAGAATTAATAACAAAGCTAACAAGCTTTTTTTTCTTTTGCCTTTTCCTTTTGAGGTCTTTATAGACTGTATTTGTATCATGTCTTGTAAACCTTGTCATGTAAATACAGATGGATCACATCTCACTTAAGCTACTTTTTAAAATCTTCTGCACAGGATCTTGTTCTGGACAGACTGGGACGCGAGTATGCCTCGGATCGAGGCTGCGTCCATGAGCGGACAGGGACGAAAAACCATCCACAAAGAAACAGGCAACGGAGGATGGCCCAACGGACTTACAGTGGACTACCTGGAACGCCGCATTCTCTGGATCGACGCCAGGTCAGACACCTGCAGAAACAGACCCACAACAATGAGTATAGGCTACATTACTGTGCTAGGTTTAATTTGATGTGTTGATAGTCTTGAAATCATCAAACACTATTTATTTATTTACCCATTTCCTAAAGTGAGTCCAGCCTTAACCTAGGAAATGGGGGGGTCCACAAGTTCGCAATTTTCTCTGAATCACTAGATAGATAGATAGATACTTTATTGATTTCAGTTGTCCAGTAGCAGTAAAAATAAAAATAAAATTGATCATTCTAAAAAGCTTACAATAGTAATAATAAGCAACAGCCCTTCAGGTCACAGCAGCAGAGATGGTGCAGCCGCTTGATTCGGACCATTTTCTCTGCTCTAGTCAAATTGTCCTCTTTTTTGCCTGTTCCATCTTCAAGATCCTCCGAATACTAAACCAACAACACAAGATGTGCCTTTTATGTTTCAAATGACACAAGGTGGCCGAGTGTTCCCCAAACCAGCAAACTACTTCCTAAATCCACGTGGTGCGGCGGTTCAGGACGGTTCAAACGTCATCAAACCACCGAGCCACGCTTTGCTTTGAGGCTGCACTGATTACTTGACACACGCTTTGATGCCTCAGTTCATTTCACCCGTCACCATTGCTCAGTTGGAATGAAATCCTGCAGCCACTCCTTCCCTTTCGGAAACCAGTTTGACACCCCTAGTTTAGAGGCGTCTTTTCACAATTATAAGTGACCAGAGCTTTGGCGTGTGACACTAAAGCAAGCAGGAGTTTGTCTGACTTTGCTCAATCAGCAGATTTAACACGACTTAACCACATTAGCTTCATACTTCTAGTTCAAAAATGTCTGTTTACCACAACTGGGACTATTTTTGCTCACACGTTTTGAACAAATCCCTGTGTGCGCAGATCTGATGCCATTTACTCGGCGAAGTACGACGGCTCCGGTCTGATCGAGGTGCTGAGGGGCCACGAGTACCTGTCGCACCCGTTTGCAGTGACCATGTACGGGGGCGAGGTCTACTGGACCGACTGGAGGACCAACACTCTGGCCAAAGCCAACAAGTGGACGGGCAGCAACGTGACTGTGGTGCAGAGGACCAACACCCAGCCCTTCGATCTGCAGGTGTACCACCCCTCCAGGCAGCCACAGGGTGAGAGGACCAACTGTAATGTTCTATGATAAGACCAGACTGTACTTTGTAATGTCCTATGAGGTGATCAACTTAAGTTATTTGGTCCTTTTTCAGTTTAGTTCGGACCCTATTTGAAAAGGGACAGTGCACAGCAAAGACAGATATGTTCTGGATCAGATTATAGCTACGCAACTAATGCAGATGTTTATAGAGGTATTTTTTCATTTTACTTGAATTTTAGATTTTTCTTCTGAACTAAGTGGGGACATGCTTGGACTGAACCTAAATTGGACAAAAACAACAACTTTACATTGCCGAACAATAGAGCATTTGTTATTCTAACTTTTTCGGGTTTTGGGTTAAATGTTGTTCATGAAAGAAGACACCTGAGTTTTTTCTCATCCTCATAGCGCCAACTTTCCAGTGTATTGAGGTCTCTGTGTTTTCCCCTCAGCTCCAAACCCGTGTGCAGCTAAAGACGGAAAAGACCCGTGCTCCCACCTCTGCCTCATCAACTACAACCAGAGCTTCTCCTGCTCCTGTCCTCACCTGATGAAGCTGGGGCCGGACAGACGCACCTGCTACGGTAAAACAAACACACATATACAGGCGCTCCGAACTGCCCTGGTTTGAATGACGGTGATCAAAAAAGCGTCTGAATTAGGCTAAGATTATAATTAATAGATCCTCTATTTGTCCCACAATGTGTGAACTTTACAAATAAATGTGTCTTTTTTCATATAATAAACACAATATTAGTAAGTAAGTAAGTACTTACTTACTAACTACTTACTAGTATTTTCCTTGTGTTGAAGTGTGAATGTACATTGTGTGTATGAAGTTTGCAGTAAATACTTTTGCATGAAATGGAAAAAAATACTATTTTTAATAGAGCAGAGCTTCAGGAACATCACACTTTTTGTAATTTTTAATTTTAATTTTATTTATTTATTTATTCAGCCATGACATTATTACAATAATAATGAAAATAATAAGAACACAAATAGTTCAATTCCATCACATGTTGCTGAATAGGAGCATGTGGAAGACAAAGTCTTATGTTTCATGCCCCTTAACACATACAGTATTTAGTTGACAGATTAAAAAATGGGATGGCTCGCCTTTATATGTTTATTATCATTATTATTATTTATTTTTATATATATATTTTTTCCTTTGCACATAGCAATCTTACACTTTGCTGTAGTTATTGTTGATTTTATTGTGTTTACCTCTATTTTGTAAACAATTTTGAACAACCAATCATTTACCATAATTTGCAAGTACTTTTTTTTAATACATTTTCTTCAACTGTACAATGGTGTTACAGGATTGTTCACAAGGATCCAGAGAGTTCCAAAGCTTAATACCTGCTGCAAGGAAACCTTTCTGTTTCAAAGTGGTGCGTGAAAAAGGCACACAAAAATGTCCTTTCCTTCTGTTACTACTTTCTGTGATTAAAAAGAATTTATTATGGATGTGCACTGGCACCAACTTGTTCTTCACCCTCCACATTGTTTGAGTAATTTTTATTTCACATTAGAAGTACCAATAATCCCAGATACATTTTGAATCACAGGCTGCAAGAACACGTTTGTGCAAATAGTTCATGGCTTCAAGGGAAGTAGGCCATGTTTCAGTCCAGAACTCTGAGAAAATAGTTTTTACTTCTCAAAACTTGAACGAACAGCCGCACATGAGCAGAGATAATATAACACATTCATGTAAGAGGCCGAGCTGCGATTGGTAAAGAGCAACACCCCATCTACAGGTAGAAGTCGGACATTTAATTTCGAACAAACTTTAACATGGTGCACACTAGAGCTTCAATGTCTCTCAGAAACAGAAAAACTGGGCTTTTAAAGAGACCAGAGACCTGCTCAATATACTTTTCTTGTTAAAGGTTTTCTCCAGAGGCAACAAAGACAGACTTGGTTTATATAGCATTCAGCACCAACACAATGTTAACAAATGACAAATTATTGCTCTGCATATATATATATATATATATATATATATATATATATATATATATTAAGTTTGGGGTCACCCAAGTGTTTTCCATGAAAAGTCACACTTATTCACCACCATACGTTGTGAAATGAATAGAAAATAAAGGTTAGAAATAATGATTTGTATTTTAAATAAGATTTGTTTTACATCCAACTTTGCTTTCGTCAAAGAATCCTCCATTTGCAGCAATTACAACATTGCACCAAAAACCAGACATTTGCAGCTAGAATAGTCATTTACCACATAAGCAATGTATAGAGTGTATTTCTTTACAGTTAAGACTAGTTTAAAGTTACCTACAGTGCTTTTCCTTCAAAAATAAGGACATTTCAATGTGACCCCAAACTTTTGAACGGTAGTGTATTTGATTTTATTTTTCATCCGACTAGAATTTAGGAGCTACATCCCAAAACTAGTTCATGTACAGCAGGGCGCCGATGTTGTTAAAACACTTGGAACAACTCGTGCCTCCTCAAAAATGGTCAAAGTCCTGGTCCTGCTGCGGCGGGGTCTACTCCTTAGTCTGGAGAAGAGCCATGACAGCGCAAACATGGGGCGCTCTCTGCTCAGTGTGTATATGTTTCACTGCAGCCGCTTCAACAAAACACACTTTACTCCTCCCTCTGGTGGTACCATGTCAGAAGTTATTGATATTAACGCGGATGGATCTAAAAACAACGAATGAGTGAACAATGTCGTTAGAAGCTCACGTTCTCAGTCTAACATGGATCTGTAGGAGCGAGTGTAATGCACCCTCTTTCTCCCCCTGGTGGAGGCTGGAATACCTACTTTTGTTGCTTGTGTGGACGTGATGGAGACGCAGACAGGCAGATCAGAGTCTCAGTGAGGTGTTTTTGCTCCGGTCGGCTGGTGCGCTGACAGCTCGAGTCTGGGGTGAAGTGCTGCGGTGAGTTTTTTGTCAGTGTTTAGACCAGAGCGCTCCATTATCCTCGGGGCTAATAGGAACGGCCAGCCACATCAGGCCCGGCACACTGGGAGCTCCAAACCGCACGGCCATTGGGTTTATTTACACTCATCCTCTCCTCGCTCTTTCTGTCGCTTTGACTTTTTTTTTCCTCCTGCTCGCCTCCTTGTTCTCTCTTTCTCCAAACCAATTTCAACTCGGAAAGACTCAGATAAGAAGCATTGCTCTGGTCTGTGAAAGGCGGTATACAAAAGCTTATAGATTGCGTTAGATCGGCAGGAGGTAGGACTGTCAATCTTTAGTTGTTTAGTGAATAATCGGTCGACCAAATAAGTTGTGGTTTAGAATTGCAGCTAAAGCGGAAATTAAGGCTGGGAGACATGCTTCTGCTGTGTTCATCAACAACAGCTAATGGAAATAAAAATTAATAAATCAAAAATAGGGTTATAGGGCTCAATGTACATCAGAAAACAAAAAATAGAGTTAGAGCCTGTTGTGTGAGAGAGAACCTACACAAATAATTCTATTGCAGGTTCAAGGCCTGCACTATTTTCCTTGCACCGTGGTATTCATGATTTATGATGTTTATTTTATTTTTTTGTTTGAGATGCCTTGTGTATGAAGTGTGCTATACAAGTAAACTTGCCTTGCCTGAATACAAATACCATGTAAGAAGCTCAGACAGTGACGCCAACAGGAGACAAAGATCACGCCCATTTTTAAAGATATTTTTCACTTACATTTCTGTCAAAATCAATCTCTCAGTGCAACTTTCTCCCACTCTTTCCCCTCTATCTCTCTCCTCATCCAATCTCTCCAATCCTTCGCCTCGACTGGCTCCATCTCTAATGTGTATTTTGCCTCTGAATGGATTCGTGGTCCGTGTGAGTGAAGCTGCCGCGATCAGCGACGGAGACAGTGATTGGATTAGGTGTTTTCTTTCTCCGCTGCAGCGTGAGGCGTTCGGGCGTTCGCAGATGTCTCAAACCTGTGATCACGGCTGCCGCTTCTGACAGCCTGATAGCGATGTTTGAGTGAACGGCTCAAAGCGGCAGGTGACGGGACTGTGAAAGTTGTTCTTGTGCATTTTCAACACAGAGCTGAACAAAAGCAATAGAAGTCTAATAGCGATTTCTTGAACAAACATGCAGCTTAAGTGAAAATTCAATCTGGTGGACTATACCTCCTGCTGTCCCATCCAGGGCCAGCCACCTTCAATTCAATACTGTTTATTTTTGTATAGACCTAAATCACAGCAGTAGTTATCTCGGAGGACTTTACAAAACCGTTGATTCGCCAACACAGATCAGAGAATCAAAAAGTTCAAACAGAAGAGAAGCAATGAAAAAACACAGAGCCATTGGTCCAGAAGGGCCAGATGACCACTGTTCATAATTGTTGATAAAGTCCATACATGTCGTTGAATGTCGTGTGTCCTGGCCCACATTGAGGGAGGGATCTGCTCTCACGGACAGACGGGCTATAGATCCAGGACTCAGGCCGTAGATTAAGGGCAGAGGCCACAAGACCGGGCTGGGGGCTCTCAGCCTTTCACACAGCGCTGCCACCTTCCTTTCCAAACCATGTCAATCAAACTGGCAGTTTACTTCCCAAAAACTAACCTCCTCCTCTAGCCCTTCAGGAATACGCTCTTATCTCACCTCAGCCCTTATGCCATTACTAGTGCCTAGGCCCCGGGATCCTAAACGTCACACGAGCAATGATCTTCCCTGACCACGTGCCGGGGTCTAAGCGCCAAACAAACAAAATCAATAAACTCATTTAACACATTTTCTGGGTGTGCCTTTCTTTCCAGATTAAAATTATTGACATGAATGTGTGATGGATAGAGTGTTGCTGCTTAAACACGTCTCCACATGGACAAGTCGCCACCGGTCGTACTGCAGCATAAATCCACTTTGGCTTTAAGATTTTCCCATAGACTTTTTTTTTTTTTTTTTACCATGTTACAAGGACGTTTTGTGACATGAAAAAGAGCTCCATTTGAGGCTTAAAGACCTTATGACGGGTTTGATTTATTTAGAAATACAGTTTTAATACCATTTTATATTAGAAGAGAACTACTAAAGGTTTCAAAATCAGTTGTTGTTTTTTTTGTCTGATCCCCCCAAATCGAAATAACCCCATAGCAACGCCCTTAGAAACAAAAAAACTTCACAGCCCTTGGTGACGTCAGAACGGGTACGTTTCAATGCTGTAAGTTGTTTACAATTTGGTATTCGTTCTTTTTTCGCGGATATTCAAGATGACAAGGCCGTGTACAGCGAGTCTAAGATAACTACTAGAATGTCACATTTCGTTGTCACTGAGATAGTCCAGTGGTTGTGTCGATGGACTGCCAATCCAGATACTTGGGTTCAATTCCCACCTCGGACAGTTTTTCACACTCAAAATGGCAATTTATGTGTAGTGAGCAATTGTCACCTGTAGAGTGCAGTATTGTGTTGGGCATCAGTGGAGAGAAGAGAGAAAAGGCAGTCCTGTGGCATAGATCCATGGTTTTCAATGCATGGGCGTAACCCGCTATGACGTCACACACAGGTTAGAGCATAGACAACTTAAATTCATGAAAAACACGTTCTTTTTATAAAATATAGGATTTTTTTGCCGGAATATTTCTTTAAAATTGACATTGTCATGCAATTTTGATATCCACTATTTTTAAAAAAAAAACCCGTCATAAGGTCTTTAAAACCTGCAACTTCAGTATCCAATTAAAGAAGAGTAGGGCCGAGTTGAAAAATATTGTTAGAAGCAAACTGTTTTGATACAACATTGTTCCATTGTTATGGTTTGAAAGTTACACACCCAAGCTTTAATGCTTCCTTTTGTTGGCCTTGTGTTCCAGAATCGCGTCAGTTCCTTCTGTACGCACGGCAGATTGAGATTCGTGGTGTGGACATTGATAACCCATACTACAACTACATCATCTCCTTCACGGTTCCGGACATCGACAATGTCACAGTGGTGGACTACGACGCCGAGGAGCACCGGATCTATTGGTCTGACGTCCGGACCCAGACCATCAAGAGGGCCTTCATCAACGGGACCGGGGTGGAGACTGTGGTGTCTGCGGGTAAGTGAGGAGGGGCCTGGGCAGTTCACAGGTGCGCTGGTGAGAACCTACTACTATAGCCACAGATGCCCTGGGGCACACTGACAGAACTGAGGCAACCAGTATGTGCCATTGGCCCCTCCGGCTACCAACAGCCATTCACGCACACACCAGACTCGTTAGGCAATGTGGAGGAAGTGTCTCGCCTAAGAACACAATTTCCAGTCATTTCCAGTTTAATAAAGTCATTATCAATTTCCCTCACAGCCCCCACCTCTACTACTCACAGATATTGTTGCTTACTTCATGATTTCTGCTTTTCTCTCAGATCTACCGAACGCTCATGGTTTGGCCGTGGACTGGGTTTCCAGGAACCTGTTCTGGACAAGTTACGACTCCAACAAAAAGCAAATCAACGTAGCGCGACTCGACGGCTCCTTCAAGAATGCCGTGATCCAAGGCCTGGATAAACCGCACAGCCTGGTGCTGCATCCCATCCTGGGGTGAGGCCTCCGCAACACAAACGATAACATATTTAACCAACAACAATACCTTAATCTAAAACAGCTCCTCCCCCCATGTGCTTTCCTTCATCCATGCTGATATCTGAGGTTTTAGGCACAAACATGTTCTAAAACCTACATGTTCCAAAAGTTAACTCCTTGTTTGTGTCACCATTATGGGCTTACACCGCTCTTTGTGATCCTGGTGTTCATGTTGTGAATGTAAACAAAAGACATTTTAAAATCTTAAATGTTACATCATGGCGTAAAAAATCTGCAGAATCCGCTTTAGAATGAGATAAGGTTTGACAGCTGAGTGGCAGCAGGAACTTCCAATGATCAGCAATATTGTCAAAAATCTGCAAAATCTTGTCGGAATGCCAACTTCTTGCTTCTCGTACTTCAACATCGGCTGGTTTAATTGGCCAAGCTAAGAACATAATTACAGCACAGATTCCAGGTAATCAGAAGTTTTCCTTACGTTCAAGATGTAATCTCCTTTAAAACTGACTCTGAGGATCTTGTTAACGCGAGTAAATGAGAAGCAGATGTCTTGTCCAAACACTGGCTTTTCTCCCAGAATGCACTGGGGCAGAGGTTTAGGCATATACGGTTAGCACTCTTGCTTATCAGCAAGAAGGTCCTGTGTTGGAATCCCGGTCTGAACAGGGCCTTCCTGGGTTACTGCTAATTTACACAGGACGCGTTACAGCACGTACGCGTTATATGCGTAAAATAATTTAGGATAGATTTCTAAGCAACGCGTCTCCCATTGAAATCGCATGTAAAACATGATTTTTTTAGCGGTCCTTGGCTCTATATCACATCTACACACACACACAGCACTTGTATCTAGACCTTAGCAGGAGGACTGGCAGGTTTTACAGCGATTCTGGACATCGTTTTTTTTTCTTTCATAAAGTCTGGCGTCTGGTCAAACCAGCGCACAGAAACCATGAAATAAAACACATACATGTGATTTGTGTTGCTCTACATCAGTCCTCTGGCCCGTACTGTCCTCTACACTGCTCCATAGACTACACAGAGACAGTATCAGAAGCATGTGCGCGCAGACCTGTAGATACACCCAAATAATGTTACGCGCACATCCGTGCAGTCAACGCGTACGCGCTGTTAACGCCTACTGTGTAAATTCCTTGTAAGCATGTTCTCCCTGCGTTTGTACAAAACATGTACAATTGGTAAAATCCTGACCAAGAAATGGGCCCCTGGGTGCGCTCTGGTCTCTCTTTCTCCGGTCTCCGGTTTCTCTCTCTGGTCTCTTTCTCTCTCTGGTCTCTCTCTCTCTCTGGTATCTTTCCGGCGGTCCTCTCCTGTCTATATCCCAGTGTTATGCCGGTGTTCTGTCTCTTTGTGTCGCTTGTCGAGTTGTGCTGCCTCAGCTGTTTATGATGTAATGCAAACCTGCGCATTTGCGTTTCACGGCAGCTAAAGCAAACCAAGATAACGGACAAAAAGTCTGCGAATTGTAAAAAAAAGTTTAAAAACGAACAAAGACACAAATGCCACTTTTAATACAATTTGAGGCGAGATGTTGATGGTTCCATTTGGTGATATGTGGATTGTGGTCAAACCACACTGCTGCTGTGTGATAGCAGTCCCTTTCTTGTGGAGTTGAACTGCCGCATACGTCATTTTATTGACTGTGGCTAACTCTACAGCTGTTAGCTGTTGGGTTGATAATGGAAATAATAAACTTAATTTAAGTTGTATGCTATCTCTTATTCTATTAATCGTCCTTTTCTTGTGCAGTAAGCTGTATTGGACAGACGGAGACAACATCAGCATGGCCAACACGGACGGCAGCAACCACAGCCTTCTGTTCTCGCACCAGAAAGCCCCCGTGGGTACGTGCCGCTCCACCTCACAGCGCCCCTGCTGGCCCAGTGTGTCTCTACAGCTCTGTGTTTGTGTTTATCGCAGGTTTGTCCATCGACTTTGACGCCGAGCAGCTGTACTGGATCAGCTCCGGGAACAGCACCATCAACCGCTGCAGACTGGACGGGACCGGGCTGGAAGTGCTGGAGGGAGTGAAGGGAAAACTGGTGAAGGCCACGGCGCTGGCCATCATGGGTACGGCATGAAACCATCTATGAGAATATCTGGATAGGAAATAGATTCAGATTCAGTTTATTGGCCATTTGCAGTAGAGACACATTGGAATACATGTGCGAAGGTCACTAGTGTGCACCAGACAAGTGCATAAACAAACCATTGTCACTTTGAAACCAATAACAAAAACAGCTTCAATACAAGGCAAGATCATGAAATTCTTTGTTCAAACTGATAACAGCTTGTGGAAAGAAGCTGTTAGCAAAACGAGATGTCCTGCATCTCAACAAAGGATATCTTCTGTCAGAGGGAAGAAGCTGGAACATGACTTTTCCATTGATTATTTTAAGAGCAGGATTCATAACAAATCCAGAAGAGGCAACTCCCAGCTCACAGTCCTCTTTCAGAGAGGAGAATCTTGCTATGAGCTCTCCTTTCTTTGGATTGTTACTCTTTAGGTCCTGCCAGCCTTCTTTACACATACTCAACGCAAGAGTTTGTAATAATCACGTTTAAAAGTGTTTTAGGGTCTCACCCTAAAAATGAAACTGGTCTGAACTGAAAAAAACCAGTTGAGCAGAAAAAGTCAGACCAAACGAATGGCTTGTCTCGTGTTTTTCTCTCTGTTATTATTATTTCATGAATATGTGACAGAATCATAATAATGATTGTTGCTGAACATTACAATACTAGGCCCAAACCAAGTGGATATTAAAGAGGACATTTAATGATACTAAAAAGTTACAAAGTTCAAACAAACATAACAGAAAGAATACCCAGGAGAGATGGTTTGGAGAGAGAGGACCCCAAGAAGGCCTCTGTCAACACTCAATGATTGGTCAAGTAAGGTCAGCGGGGGTCAGTCAGGAGCCAGTCAGCCCCAAGGGAGGAGGGCAGAACATATGCAAATTCATCCTAACACTCGCTGTCTGCCCCAGATTTAGTAAACACACCTTCTTCGTTGTACGTGACGGACACCGCTGTTAGAATAATTCAATAAAATTGTTGTTTCTTTAAGTTGAGCTCTAACATGCCATGGCAGCCATAGTAACATATAACCATAAATGCAGACCATAATAAGAATGGTCTTGTGTCAGACTCCTGTAGTCAAAGGTATAAAGTTCACAAACGAGAGCTTTTCTGTGTGGAGTCAGTCTGTCCTTGTGCAGAGTGTGGGGAAGCGGATTCAGCCAAAGAAAGAAACATTCTCTGGAATCTAATGATGTTTTGATGACGCACACCGAATTATCCGTGGACTAAATAACACGCTTTATTATTTCTCACCGACTTGAAAGGAAAAATGGCCCAGTTTCTCTCAACAGTCATTATAACACTCGGATGATCATTTCATATTTACTACTTTGTAACCACAATGTTGATCGAAAAACTTCATTACTTACTTGTAATCATATACTTCATATCCTAATTGTATATTAGGAGTGGACTGACCGAGCGTGACATCACCACAGTATTAGCCTTAATGCAGACAAAATACAACACTTTATCTTATTGGAAAACATGTTATCTTCTGTGTAAGAGAGAGCCCTGTGAGTCACTATTTGACTCTTTTTGCTGAGAGCTGATTGGCTGAGTGGGGGTGGTCCTCTCTCTTTTCACATTTTTGACAGAAAATTCTGATCTAGAGCTGTGACAGGGACCAAAAATACATATGAATACTAGTGATAGAATTGTTTTAGAGCCAGGAACATCTTGACATGGATTTTATTGGTTACATTAGTTTGGTACCTCAGTTTTAAAACATTTTGACAATAAAAGTCAATATGGAATGAGCCATTTCTTATATTTGTGCTGTAACGGGGGCAGAGGTGGTCAATCCTTACTTGGCTCATATCTGGATTTAAAAAGACCACATTACAATATAAACTCCAGGATCACAGAGAAACGCTAAACCACAGATTTGTAATCCCTAATGGTTCGTGATACAAACAGTTTTTTTTACATGCAAGTCAAAAGGAGCCAGAGCGAGTGGCTTCATTGAGCGGGTTTTTGGGTTAGTATTGTGCATTTATATTGATTTAAATGAAAAAATAACTGATTGTGTCACACTCTCCATTTTGCGCTGAAAATAAATCGTGTTTTAGTGCTCCATTGGTCTGACCAATCAGATGCCTCCATTCGCTGTGGAAAATCAGCTTTCCTTAGCAACCGTCTCAGCAACACGTTTGCCCCTGTTACGTCGCAAAGCTCAACGCCATCGGAACCATTGCCCATATAAGGAAGTTGGCTCCTAGCTTGTGTTCAAATCGGCATCTTCCGCATTAAAGCTTATAACATGTGAGAAGTAGTTTGTGTGACCTTGGTCTGTGAAATGAGCTATATAAATAAATATTCCTTACTGACTTGCTTTCTGCTGTTGTCAGGTGAGAAGCTGTGGTGGGCCGATCAGGGCACGGACCAGATCGGGACGTGTGACAAAAAAGACGGAGGAAACTGGAAAGTCCTGAGGAACAGCACGTCTCCCATGATGCACATGAAGATCTACAACGAAACGGTGCAATCAGGTACTGAGCTCTGAAGAAGGAGGTCATGTTATTATATGGCACATTTCCAACATGAATGCAACTAACACAGACACAAACTGTTTCGGACTATTTCTGTTTCTATTTGAAGTTTATTTCTGTCAATGTTTTTGAAACTATCTTTTAGTTTTAAAATGTGGGGAGTTAAATCATTAGCTCTATTCATTTAGATGTCAAATTCAAATGTCGCTTGTCAACCAAAATTCTATGATTCTGGTGTGTTCAGGGCTGGTCCTGGACTGGTTTTGGTGCTTAAGATAAGATAAGAATTCCTTTATTCGTCCCACAGTGGGGAAATTTCCACTGCTTGGTTTTCCACTAGACCAGAGCGAGTGCTAGTTGCTATGGCACTTGCAACATTTAGCATTTTGTCTTTAGCATTAGCCTTTGCACTTACTTTTTGCTTGATTGCAGCTGTATTCACCAGTTTTAGCACTTGTTGAAAGTGAGTAAAGGTAAAAACTTTATAAATGACTTACGTTTAATAAAACTGGTGGAAAACAAGAGTCCCATTGGTTTGAATGGGAACTGCTCTGCTCTGGGAGTTCTAGTCATTTCAGAATTCTGGGAGTCCTAGTGTTAACAACTTTTTCCATTCGGTCCCTGCTGCAGTGTTTATCAGTGTGTATAACAGGTCTGCACAACATGTGGTGACCTGCTCTTTGATTGGTCCTTGTGTTTCTCTGTTTCCAGGCAGTAATCTGTGCAGTATTAACAATGGAGACTGTTCCCAGCTGTGTCTGCCCACGTCTCCCACCTCCAGGGCCTGTATGTGCACCGCGGGCTACAGCCTCCGCCGGGGCCAGCAGTCCTGCGAGGGTAAGGACCAAACAACCTCTGGTGAAGGAGACAAACGCACAGCTTTTCCCTTCTTTGAGTCGCTCCGCCACCATGACCCCTTTTCCACCAAGGTTCTGGTTCCAGGACTGGTCTTCTTCTCAACTAATAATAATAATGAATTATACATCTTTCTTATATAGTGCTTTTTGGACACTCAAAGGTACAAGTTAGTAAGAAACAAAAATAACTAGAAACTTGCAATGGCTGAAGCCATTGCGATTGACTGCGGAACAGATCTAATGTGGAAATCTGCTAAAAAAAATCCTTGAAATCCTTTAAAAAGCCTTGAAACTGTTAAAATACTTGATAGATATTTGAAACTCCTGAAGTCCTTGAAATTGTTGAAACCTTTAAACTCCTGAAATCCTTGAAACTGTTGAAACATTGAAACTCCTGAAATCCTTGAAACTTTTTTAAACCTGGAAACTGTTGAAAGTGTGGAAACTCCTGAAATCCTTGAACCTCCTGATATCCTTGAAACTGGTTAAATTCTTAAACAGCTGAAATCCTTGAAACTACTGAATGTATTGAAAGTGTCCTTGAAACTGAAAAATCCCCTCACCGCTGAAACAATTTGGTTCCTGTAACTAAGGAAACCTGGTCTGTGGTCATTATCTGGTGGTGGTCTGAGTCTTCGTTTGGGTCTTGGTCTGGTGGTATAATGCAACCTATTAGGTTGCATTATACATGAAAAAACCCTATTAAGTTGCATTATACTGGTTTACATGAAAAAAAACCCTATTAAGTTGCATTATACTGGTTAACATGAAAAAAACCCTATTAAGTTGCATTATACTGGTTTACATGGAAAAATCCCTATTAAGTTGCATAATACTGGTTTACATGGAAAAATCCCCATTAAGTTGCATTATACTGGTTTACATGAAAAAAACCCTATTAAGTTGCATTATACTGGTTTACATGGAAAAACCCCTATTAAGTTGCATTATACTGGTTTACATGTAAAAACCCCTATTAAGTTGCATTATACTGGTTTACATGGAAAAATCCCTATTAAGTTGCATTATACTGGTTTACATGAAAAAACCCTATTAAGTTGCATTATACTGGTTTACATGGAAAAATCCCTATTAAGTTGCATTATACTGGTTTACATGGAAAAATCCCTATTAAGTTGCATTATACTGGTTTACATGGAAAAATCCCTATTAAGTTGCATTATACTGGTTTACATGGAAAAATCCCTATTAAGTTGCATTATACTGGTTTACATGGAAAAATCCCTATTAGGTTGCATTATACTGGTTTACATGTACAAATCCCTATTAAGTTGCTTTATACTGGTTTACATGTAAAAACCCCTATTAGGTTACATTATAGTGGTTTACATGTAAAAATCCTTATTAAGTTGCATTATACTGGTTTACATGTAAAAACCCCTATTAAGTTCCATTATACTGGTTTACATGTAAAAACCCCTATTAAGTTCCATTATACTGGTTTACATGTAAAAACCCTATTAAGTTGCATTATACTGGTTTACATGAAAAAAACCCTATTAAGTTGCATTATACTGGTTTACATGGAAAAATCCCCATTAAGTTGCATTATACTGGTTTACATGGAAAAATCCCTATTAAGTTGCATTATACTGGTTTACATGGAAAAATCCCTATTAAGTTGCATAATACTGGTTTACATGGAAAAATCCCCATTAAGTTGCATTATACTGGTTTACATGGAAAAATCCCCATTAAGTTGCATTATACTGGTTTACATGGAAAAATCCCTATTAAGTTGCATTGTACTGGTTTACATGGAAAAAACCCTATTAAGTTGCATTATACTGGTTTACATGGAAAAAACCCTATTAAGTTGCATTATACTGGTTTACATGTAAAAACCCCTATTAAGTTGCATTATACTGGTTTACATGGAAAAATCCCCATTAAGTTGCATTATACTGGTTTACATGAAAAAAAACCCTATTAAGTTGCATTATACTGGTTTACATGAAAAAACCCTATTAAGTTGCATTATACTGGTTTACATGGAAAAATCCCTATTAAGTTGCATTATACTGGTTTACATGGAAAAATCCCTATTAGGTTGCATGATTACACTGAAGTCCTTGAAACTGCTGAAGTCCTTGAAACTGCTGAAGTCCTTGAAACTGCTGAAGTCCTTGAAACTGTTGAAGTCCTTGAAACTCTTGAAATCTTGAAACTGCTGAAATCCTTGAAACTGTTGAATCCTTGAAACTGTTGAATCATTGAAACTGTAGAAATGTCTGAAAGAGCTGAAGTCCTATTAAAATGCATGGGCCTATTAAAATGCATTGCAGAATTCTCAATGCAGATTTTTGTCCGATTGCGGAAAAACCGGAAATCGCTGAAGTCCCAAAAGTAATAGCAATAATCTCCCAAACATGTGGAACGTTTTGATGTATAACTTGTGGAAATTGTTGAAAATGTGAAAGCTGTGAAACGTGTCAAAAAAAATGACGGAATAAAGAAATACAAAACCAATGGTTGACTGCGGAAGGTTCCGCAGTCAATCAAAAAGCTAAACTAAACAGGTGTGTAGGTGGTTTGGTGCATTGATTTGAGGTGTGAAGGATGAAGTGGGTAAGATATACGAGGGCCGGGCTATGAAGGGACTTTTAGGTGCTGAGGAGGTCCTTTAGTTGTATGCGGTAATGGACAGGGAGTCAGTGGAGTTGTTTGAGGATGGGGGTGATGTGTTCTCTGGAGCAGGTGTGCGTGAGCAGGCGGATGGCAGAGTTCTGGAAGAGCAAAGTCTATTATTACTGCTATTTCTTCTAGTAATACAATTCAATTAAATGTATTTTTGTGAATCTCAGCAGTAGTTATCTTGGAGGACTTCACTTTGTTGATTCAGCAACACAGATCAGAGAATCAAACAGTTCAAACACAGGAAATGCAACAATATGCTATTGGTCCACAAGGGATACCCTTAATCCAGTTTTTTATGAATTGATTCTTGTTTGCGGGCGACAGTAGCTCAATTGGTAGAGCATTGGCCTTCAGGCCTGAAGGTCGGGGGTTCAATTCCCACCTCTACACCTTCTCCACCGACTCCCACTGATGACTGCTGTCGTTGTGTCCTTGGGCAAGACACTTAACCCCACTTTGCCCAAAGCCCCCACTGAAAGATCAAGGCTATGCTCACACTCAGAGAGCAGCCGTCCTCCTGTGGACTCACCACCTGCAGAGGGTCAGTGAGGGGCTGGTGCTATGAGACTTGGGTGGCATCTCTGATTGCCACCCCCCTGACCCAGAAATGGATTAAAGGGTAGAAAATGGATGAATGGATGGATGATTCTTGATTTATTGATAGAATTTCAGTTCTATCAATGAATCAAGTAAACTATTATCTCTCCTTTAACTTTCTCATACAAAACCTTAAAAGCGTATTCAAACTTTCACATTGTCTGGGATCGGTGGCGGAGAAGGTGGACTGTGAGTGAAGCTGATCTTTTGCCCTCTTCCAGGTGTAGGCTCCTTCCTGCTCTACTCGGTCCACGAGGGCATCCGGGGCATCCCTCTGGACCCGGCCGACAAGTCCGACGCCCTGGTCCCAGTGTCCGGGACCTCTCTGGCTGTGGGCATTGACTTCCACGCTGGTAACAAACAAAACTGGACACTTCAGATCCTCTTATTATTATTAATAAGTGTAAAATATAATTCTTTGTTTATTTATATATATAAAATATATATATATTTGGACCCTGAGCAGTGATGTCATATATTACAGCACTCAGTACATAGACTGTATATACAGTACATGGAAAATACTATCATTATGAAGCCCAATAGATACTAATAGGATTTGTAAAAGTAAACTCCTCTAGCTCAGCAACTGTTTGCATCACTTATTTTGGGCTGTTTTAATGCTCTCTATGATCCTGGTGTTTATATTGTGATATTATCTTTGTAAATCCAGATATGTTTCTTATAAGGTTTGACCAATCAGATGCCTTCATTCATGGGGATACTCCAGCTTTCCTTAGCGACCGTATTAGCAACGCCTCTGGCCCAAAGCTAATGCCGCGAAAGACATGCCCATATAAGGAAATTAGCTCCAGCTAGCTTATGTTCAAATCCGCCTTTTCAGCATTAAGGCTAACACTATGGTGATGTCACACTCGGGATGTCCAACACACGGCCCATGGCACAGGAGAGGCAGAGTTGTAGAAACTCTGAAAGTCCCAGATGAGCCAAGACCCTGAGATTGCCCGTCTCTACTGTTCCTTTTGTCATTTTTTCACCCATAAAAGGTGTCCATGAGATGAAAATAATAGATTATGTGGATTTACTTTGTTTTGGTCAAATGTTGGAAAATTTGAGATTCAATGACCTTTCTGGATCCAAACTACCATTATCAAAATAATGACTGGCTTACTAATCAGCGTGAAATTATGTTTTCTAAAGCTCTCCTGAACTCGTTTTTTCTTTCCGCAGACAACGACACGATTTACTGGGTGGACATGGGCCTGAGCACCATCAGCCGAGCCAAACGGGACCAGACCTGGAGAGAGGACGTGGTCACCAACGGCATCGGGCGAGTGGAAGGCATCGCCGTGGACTGGATCGCAGGTCGGGACTCTGCCAGATCTCTCAGTACCTTTTCTCAACATTTGGGTTTTTTTGAGATGACTGTATTTTTACAAAGTCATGTAAAATTTGTCAAGTTACAAATACTATACGCAAAAATGAAAATGAAGCATGAACTTTGTCACATTTTGTCATATTATGACCATAAAACAAATATGTTACTGTGGTTGTTTTGAGCTCCACCAGTCCTACTCTACGCGACTCTACTCTACTAATTTTTTCTCATAAAACAGTCCTTTTAATTTAATACACATTTTAAATTCTACTCCACTCTATCTGGAGATATTTGAGGTCAAGTAAAGTGCTTTGTGACTCTGTTCTGTGAAAGGCGCTATACAAATAAATATTACTTACTTACTTTCTTTTTCCTTCTGTGAAATCCCTCTCCTCTGTGACAGGAAACATCTACTGGACGGACCAGGGCTTTGACGTGATCGAAGTGGCCCGACTGAACGGTTCCTTCCGGTTCGTGGTGGTCTCTCAGGGTCTGGACAAACCTCGGGCCATCACCGTCCACCCAGAGAAAGGGCAAGTCTGGAATCATATCATATATATATGTCTAATATATTTTGAGAAGTCTGGGCGACAAGTTAGCGGGTTCTGAGCGAACAGTGAATAAAACTAAACTACTGAACTACTTGACTGAACATCAAGAACAAAATCCTTCATAAGATCAGACATACTATGCAAATGTTACTTATGATCGTTTTAGATCCATCCACACTAATATCAAACCTGTAACTCCACCCCATCTGTCTAAAATTCAATTCAATTTATATTTGTGGTGCCCTAAATCACAGCCATCACAGGAGAACTTTACAAAGTTGTCGATTTGTCAACAACAGATCAGAGACTTAAACAGTTCAACAACAGCTGGGAATAATAAATGATCTGGATCATCACTGTCCTTAGATCCTACTGCATCACCAAGCAACCAGTCAAAAAAAATAAGTGGGAAAAACATGAGAAACCTTGGGGAGGCCCACACTGACAGAGGGATCTGCTCTCACGGACGGAGGCTGTTGAAGCAGGACTGAGGCTGTAGATCCAGGACTGAGGCTGTAGATCCAGGACTGCGGAAGAATATCAGAATTCCAAAAAAAATATTCCGCTTTGTGTGACCTTGGTCTGAGAAAAGCGTTTTATAAATAAATAAAGATTATGTATTAGGCAAATTCTCAGTGCTAGAGATGGCTTTCTTTACAATTGTAGTAGTAATCTTTATTTATATACCGCCTTTTCACTGCAGATCTGAGTCTCAAAGCGGTTTACAATTGTTAATTTTTGGGCATTTGTCTCTCACTCCACACAGAAATGGGAGCGGGGTCGCCAGTACAGGAGGCGCATGCTAGAACTATTGGACATGTTTTTAGTGGTAGGGGAAACCGGAGTACCCGGAGGAAACCTACGCAGACACGGGGAGAACATGCAAACTCCACTCAGAAAGGCCCTGGTCCGACCCCGATTCGAACCCAGGACCTTCTTGCTGAGAGGCGAGAGTGCTATCCACTCAGCCACCGTGCCGCCTTGTCTCAGTCATCTCTTCCTTCTGGTGGCAGCAGAGGGACTTACAGGCAGAAAAAAAAATTTTCCCTTCAGACTTGTTTCTCCACATAAGTTCTACTGAAGACATTATTTCTTATTCTAAAACATGGCCAAACATAATGTATCATACTTCCTTACATCATCATTATGTGTAGTGTATCTATATGTGTGATTGTGACGTGTGCTGCACAGGTATCTGTTCTGGACGGAGTGGGGGCAGTTCCCTCGGATCGAGCGCTCGCGGCTGGACGGGTCTCAGCGGGCGGTCCTGGTGAACGGCAGCATCAGCTGGCCCAACGGGATCTCCATCGACTACCAGGTGACAACGAGTAAACAATCTGCTCTTTACATAGTTTTTTCATGGTGGGTCTCTGTGTTTTCAAACCCTGTGTTCCTCTCCTCTTGTTGTTGGTCCATTGTGTGTTCTTTCCTATTTCCTTGTGGTTTGATTTTGGATTTTTGTTGTTTAAGTCCTCTATTTGAGTTCTCCCTTTGTTTTGCATTGAATTTGACCATTATTCCCTTATCAGATACACACTTTAGTCACGGTCAGCCTGTAGATCCAGGACTGAAGCTGTAGATCCAGGACTGAGGCTGTAGATCCAGGACTGAGGCTGTAGATCCAGTACTAAGGCTGTAGATCCAGGACTGAGGCTGTAGATCCAGGACTGAGGCTGTAGTTTCAGTACTAAGGCTGTAGTTTCAGTACTAAGGCTGTAGATCCAGGACTGAGGCTGTAGATCCAGGACTGAAGCTGTAGATCCAGGACTGAAGCTGTAGATCCAGGACTGAGGCTGTAGATCCAGGACTAAGGCTGTAGTTTCAGTACTAAGGCTGTACTGTAGATCCAGGACTGAGGCTGTAGATCCAGGACTGAGGCTGTAGATCCAGGACTAAGGCTGTAGTTTCAGTACTAAGGCTGTAGATCCAGGACTGCAGCTGTAGATCCAGGACTAAGGCTGTAGATCCAGGACTGAGGCTGTAGATCCAGGACTGAAGCTGTAGATCCAGGACTGAGGCTGTAGATCCAGGACTGAGGCTGTAGATCCAGGACTGAGGCTGTAGATCCAGGACTGAGGCTGGAGATCCAGGACTGAGGCTGTAGATCCAGGACTGAGGCTGTACACATAATATATTTTTTGATAAGTTGAAGGCTGCATGATGTGGTCTGATTTGTTCAAGGCTCTAATAATTGTTAAATGGTTCCTAAGCCGCCATTTTTTCTTTCTTTGTGTGCGTGTGTGTGTGTGTGTGTGTGTGTGCATGGGTGTAGGACGGGCTGTTGTATTGGTGTGACGCACGCACAGATAAGATTGAGCGCATAAACCTGGAAACGGGAGAGAACAGAGAAGTGGTTCTGTCCAACAACAACATGGACATGTTCTCAGTGTCTGTGTTCGAGGGCTTCATCTACTGGAGCGACAGGTGCACACACACGTACACACTTACAAACACACTGTCACTCTGGTCTCTCTGGCCTCTCACTAATCTCTCTCTCTGGCCTCTCTCTAATCTCTCTCTCTGGCCTCTCTCTAATCTCTCTCTGGTCTCTCTCTCTGGTCTCTCTCTCTGGTCTCTCTCACTGGTCTCTCTCTGGTCTCTGTCTGGTCTCTCTGGTCTCTCACTGGTCTCTCTCTGGTCTCTGTCTGGCCTCTCTGGTCTCTCTCACTGGTCTCTCGCTGGTCTCTTTCTGGGTGCCCTTGGGTCCTGGATGCCCGAAAGCTTTGCGCTGTAACAGGGGCAGACATGTTGCTAGGGCAAGCTGAAGGTTGCCATGCGAATGAAGGCATCTGATTGGTTAATCCTTATGTGGCTCATTCAGATCTATCAAAATAAAGTAGTACTGTATATTCACCGTCTGGTTGTGTCTGTCTTGTGCTGAAGGACCCACGCTAACGGCTCGATTAAACGCGGCAACAAAGACAACGCCACGGACTCGGTGTCTCTGCGGACTGGCATCGGAGTGCAGCTCAAAGACATCAAAGTGTTCAACAAGGCCAGGCAACAGGGTGAGACGGCTGTACTTATATAATCACACATTCACTTAATGCAGAGATAACAGGCATAGAGCGGTCTGAAGGTTGAAGGTAGAAGACGTTTATTTGCCATTATTTAGATATTCTGCTGACGCTTCCATTGTGAGCTCCTCTCCAGCCGCCTGAGTCTGAGCTGGAGAAGCAGCGGTGTCCTTGGTGCATAGTGGACATAAAGGTTCTGAAAAGAGCGTGTTTTGCAATATCCCAAACTGTTAATATGACTCACCTTTCCAACTGCACCACACACACAAGTCAAATCCAGACCAAACTAAAATACTTAATCAATTCAGTGCGTCGTCTATACAAAGCCGAGGGTCTGAAAACGCACATTTTATGAAGAGAACAGAGAGAGAGCGACCAGAGAGAGGAATCAGAGAGAGGATCCAGAGAGAGGATCCAGAGAGAGAGACCAGAGAGAGACCAGGAGGAGAGAGACCAGAGAGAGACCAGGAGGAGAGAGACCAGTTTGAAACCAGGGTGAGAGAGACTAATGAGAGACCACAGAGGTAACAGAAAGAGAGACCAGAGAGAGATCAGAGAGAGACATCAAAGAGATCCAGTGTATCATCGATAAAAAGCTGGGTTTTTGTGGGTCTGAAAAATACATTTTTTGATCCATGTCCGAGAGTGAAGAACTCCTCAAATTTAAAACATCAAAGCTATTTCTCCTCTTCCATCTTGTGGCAGTATTGGGAGTTACTGGCGGAAAGCTTTTTTTACCCTTCATGCTTGTTTCAACATATATTTTCTACATAATTTCACATTCTAAAACAATAAATGACAGGCTCCCAAAAATAATACGTAATGTTTCTTCTTTATGTAAGATCCTTTGTTTGTCCCACAGTGGGGAAATGTCAGTGTTGCATCACCACTTAAAGAACACTAGGAATGAGGAGCACAGAGCAAAAGTCTGCTCCTCATTACAATAACTCTATGGTAAAATAAAATATAATCCCTAACTTTAGCATTATAATGAAGCAAGTCTAAAATCTCCAACTATACCATAATAAAGAAGCAATATTCAATGTTTTGGATTTTGATTAACCTCGCATCTCGCAACATCCCTCATGGTGCTTCTGTCTCATCTAAACGCTGGTCTTTTCTGGCGCAGGCTCAAACGTGTGCAAGAAGAACAACGGCGGCTGTCAACAGCTGTGCTTGTTCCGCGGCGACGGAGCCCGCACCTGTGCCTGCGCCCACGGCATGTTGGCGGAGGACGGGCAGAGCTGCAGGGAGTACGAGGGCTACCTGCTGTACTCGGAGCGCACCATCCTGAAGAGCGTGCACCTGTCGGACGAGCGCAACCTCAACGCGCCCATCAAGCCGTTCGAAGACCCGGAGCACATGAAGAACGTCATCGCCCTCACCTTCGACCACAGAGGCGGCGGCGGCAAAGGGGCCAACCGCATCTTCTTCAGCGACATCCACTTCGGGAACATCCAGCAGATCAGCGACGACGGATCGGACCGCAAGACCGTTGTGGAGAGTGAGTAGAGTTTGTTCCTTTCAATTCTATGTATTTGTGTATGACCCTCAATCACAACCGCAGTCGTCTCGGAGGACTTTACAAAGTTGTCGATTCACCAACAACAGATCAGTGAATCAAGCAGTTCAAACACAGGAAACGCAATTATGAAAAATACATAGGCGAGTAGCATGACCGCTGTCCATGAATGTTATGTGAGATACCTCGGGGAGGACCATATTGAGAGAGGGATCAGCTCTCTTAATGTGTCGATCCAGGACTCAAGCTGTAGATCCAGGACTGAGGCTATAGATCCAGGACTGAGGCTGTAGATCCAGGACTGAGGCTGTAGATCCAGGACTGGGGCTGTAGATCCAGGACTGAGGCTATCGATCCAGGACTGAGGCTGTAGATCCAGGACTGAGGCTGTAGATCCAGGACTGAGGCTGTAGATCCAGGACTGGGGCTGTAGATCCAGGACTGAGGCTATAGATCCAGGACTGGGGCTGTAGATCCAGGACTGAGACTGTAGATCCAGGACTGCAGATCCAGGACTCTAGATCCAGGACTGTGGATCCAGGCTGTAGATCCAGGACTGTAGATCCAGGACTGTAGATCCAGGCTGTAGATCCAAGACTGTAGAACCAGGACTGCAGATCCAGGACTGTAGAACCAGGACTGCAGATCCAGGACTGTAGATCCAGGACTGTAGATCCAGGACTGTGGATCCAGGACTGGAAATCCAGGACTGCAGATCCAGGACTGCAGATCCAGGCTGTAGATCCAGGACTGAGGTCGTGCAGGACTGAAGAGGCTTGCAGGCAGGGAGACCAGTTCACAGGTGCAGACAAAAAAGGCCAGTTTTCAGGGGTCCCATCATCACGCCATCACAAAACAGGTGAATAGCAATGAACAGACTACAGCTGAAGTCAATATGATGACAGATACAGAAGGAGGGAGAAGAGGATAGTGCTCAAATCACCAAACCTCTTCAGCAAAGTGTCTCCATATACAGCGATTTAAAATATTATAATAAATTCTCTTTCATGGTAACAATATGATGTCACAAGTCAGTTAATTGTTAGAACCAGCTTTACACCCACCAATTTCCTCATCTACAGTTTACCTTTTCTTTTAATTATTCCAGCCATGCTCTTTCTCACAATGTCCGTCTGTGCTTTGTTTCATCGCACTACAACTCAACCACCACACAGTCCCAGAAATGTTTCCGTCTCTGTCTCTTTATTCACTCCAGACATATTCCTTCACAGCTGACGATACCATCATTCAGACTGTACTCAGACTGTAGTCAGACTGTAGTCCAGGCCTCGAATCCCCGTTTGCAGCCGCTCATAAACCTCGGTCTTATTGCTGATTCTGTGAGTGTTTGCTCAATGTCGCCCTCTTCGTCTGGCTCTCTCTGTAAACAGCAGAAACCCTCGGATGAAATAAATATGAGGCTCAGGTGCAGGAGTCTGGACGCCAAGTCTCCATTATTCAAGACAAAACCAAAACCATGCATTATTTAGGGACGAGGTCAGAGGATGGTCTAAGGCAGGGGTCAACCTTTTTAAATCCGGGGGGTACTTCAAGGATTTTCCACATGTGCAGTATTTTTGGCCTCTGCTTTTTCAGACCTGACAATCAGCAGCTCTCGAAGCCTCAAATAGTTGGCCCCTAAACATGGTCTTGAAATTATTTCCTTAGAATTTAATATTTTGTGTCTCAGGACGTGACATTAAAGCTGGGATACCTGTATTTCAAAACACAAAACCTGAACATTAAAATCCATGTGACTACGTTCCAGGTTCTAAAACATTTTCCTTCTATCTGTTTTATCCCATATTTCAATAGAGATCTGTACAATGTTAAAGTTGCCTCTACTTCAGTTGTTTTGTTTATCTTGGGATTTTAGGGATTTTTGGAAAGCCCTGCCATTATTTTTACATTTCCACCTGTGTGTTTATATCTGTTTTGGTGAAAAAATATTCAACATTTGAACCATAAAATTTATTTTTTCTAGTTCAGCATTTCAGACTATGACATTAAGGTTGCGTACATTTCAAACCTCAATACATAAAAATGTAATAATATCCAAGTCACTATAGTTTCTGGGTCAAAAACAGTTAAATTCTATCATAAGTTTTCACATACATGTATTTCTCATCTCTGTCACATCTTTAGATCAGCTTTTTCAGACAGAAAAGTGAACTCAGCCAATCAGCTCTCAGCCCAAAGAGTCAAATAGTAAAATGTTTTGGTTGGAATTGTTTGTAACACTGAGACAATCAACTTTATCCTTTATTTATATTAAAGGAGACAAATTATGTACCATGTTAAAACTTTGTTCCTCATCAGCCATTAGTCGCGTTTCCACTTCAGGAGTTCCTGGAGGGGGTGGGACAGCTACAGGAACCGTCCTCTCCCTCGGTCTCTCTCTCTCAGTGAGTAGGACCCCTGACGTCATGATTTTCGATCGGCGCATAATCAATAATTATTTATCTTTCAGTCAGATCCGCTCCGGCTGTTGTGGTCTTTGAGTTTTTTAAAGTCCTGCTTCATTTTTTAAAAACTTTTCACGGCATTTTTTCTGAGCATGATAAATCGCCAGTGCTTTGAGGTTCCCTGATTTAATATATCTTTGCAATGCCTCCAATCCATCTGAATATTCGTCCATTTATCGTACATTGTGCTGTTGTTGTTTGCTGTTTCCAGTGGTGTCTGCTTGGCTAATGCTGCTGGATTTTATACATGCCGGTTGTTTTGGTGCCTCCTGCTGGCGTCAGAGCCTGCTCTAGCTTTAGCCAATCAACAGCCCCACCAGGAGCTGTTCATAGCCCAACGGAGTACCTAGCATGGAGGAAAGACTCCGTTGGGCTCTGTAAAAGTTGCTGCAAATGGCCCTGTGGCGGAGGTTCCTGCAGTGGAGACACACACCAACGAGGCTGGCCCTGTAAAATTACCCCGAAGTTCCTGCGGTGGAAACGTGTCAATATAGACCTGGAGCTGTGTTTAGATCCATCCACGCTTAATATTATGAACTTCTGGCACAAACATGTAGCTCCGCCCCTTCAGGTCTAAAAGCTCCTGCCTCAGTCCTGTAACAGTATGATGTCATTGTACCACTATGACATCACATTAATTTGTATCAGATTCAGATTCAGATTCATTTATTTGCCATTTTCAGTAAAACCACATAGGAAAAACTGTGCAAGACTACCCCAGTGTGCACCAGACGACACACACCAGAGCTCTTGCCACGGCGCCATCTTTGCGGCGCCATGCGACAAACAGTAGAATAAACAGCAGAGAGCAACGCCTTTTTGATATGCCTTTTAAAACAAAAGTATTGCTCCTACATTTGTTTAGATAATTTCTCAAGTGAAATTATGCTGTCTAGGTCTGCAGTCTGTAATAAGCTTGGGGGAAAAAAAATCTGCATCTCCCTCTGGTGGTGGCATAGGGTAAGGGAAGGGCGATAGCAATGGGTACCCTTCATACTTGCCTCACCACATATTATTTAAAATTTTAAAACAAGAAATGACTGAGTGAATATTCTCATTTAAAAAAGATAAATGGAATAAAGTACTGAATGTTTTTTCACAAGATGTTGATATTCCTGATATACATTACCCCCCGCTCCACTTACATCACATGGAAGTAATCTGAGTTTCCACTTTCCTCCAAAGAGCCCAGAGTGCGTCTCCACATGTTCTGTTAATGTTCACCGCTCTCTTTACTTTAAACCTGTTTTACAAGGACAGCTCTCTCCCAGGATCAGTAATGCGAGCGTCCACTCAGTGTTTAAATCCAGTTCATGTGCTTCAATTCGCTCTGGCTCCTATCGACTTACAAATAAAAGTAAACTCCTGTAGCTCAGTAACCGTTGGTGTCACACTCACCAATTTGGGCTTAAAAATCTGTGCGCTCTGTGATCCTGGTGTTTATATTGCGATATTGTGTATTTGTAAATCCAGATAAAATCTCTTTAAGGATTGACCAATCAGTTACCTTCATTTCCCTAGCAACCATCTTAGGACCATCTCTGCCCCTTTTACGGCGGAAATGCCCATATAAGGTAATTGGCTCCAGCTAGATTATGTTCAAATCGGCAATTTCAAATCTCACACTTAAGTGACGTTAGCCCTCAACCAGTCCACTCCTAATCCTGGGCAACCCCTTGAGAGCTTTGCATTCATATTCAGGCTGGATTGATTTTTCCTTGTGTTTTGTCTATTTGAAAATGGGAGTCAAAAAATCTCAACGCAGAAACCTTTGGACTACTTTTTTATATTTATATGACTCTCTTTAAGCCCTCAGCTCAAACTGAACTCTGACTGGGCTGGTTTTAAACATGAACTCAAGCGATTTTTTAAAACAAACCAGGTGTGTGAGCATTAATGAGTTGGAGAACATCTATCTGCTTTTGTATAGTGTGAATTTTATTATGTATAATGTGTTTTAATTGTGTTAAAAGCCCTCCTAGGGACAGACATTGCAAACTAGCCTTGGCTATAAATGTTGTAGTGTTTCACATGTTGATTGTGTACACTTGTCCCTATCAAATAAATCAATAAATAAATAAAAAAATCGATCACACTTTGACGTCCAACATCTCTCTTCTGTACACCTTTATGCAAAAGTAAAGAGACCATAGTTAAAAACGAGACTTGAGGAGCTTTGTGATAGTTTTTGTTTCGTGTGGATTTTATAAAGACGGTGTAAAACAGTGACAAACACGGAACACAAAAAAATCAAACATCAAGTGAAGCCGCCAGCCGTCTAAAGAGTCAGCTACGAAAAGATCACTGGTTGTAAATATAGGATCAACTTGTGGTTTAAAATGCTTTGAGTGTGTACTTCCTGTCTGCTTCAGTAGCGCTAACTGCTTTTGTTCTACCCTTTTCAATGAAAGAGAGGCAACAAAGTAGTCATTCCCGTTTAGCAACATTAGCCAGATCCCTTTGGACCTCTGAAGCTAAACATGACATGACCATGACTGCTGTGATGGGAGACCTCTGGGAACATCAGGGGCCACAGTGGGGCGGCTGCAGCTGTAAAGTAACAAACTGTTGTTGTGTCCAAAGGCAAGACACTTCACCCACATTGCTTGGAATGAGTCAGGAGTGGTCAGAATGGACTGATGACACATACTGGTTGCCACGTTTCTGTCAGTGTGTCCCAGGGCAGTTGTGGCTACAGTAGTAGTTCATCACCACCGTGTTTGGAGTGAATAAATAACACTGTGAAGCATCTTTGTGGGCCTAGAAAAGGACTTATTGGCTTGTTTGCGCTATTTAGGTTCTAGACTCGAGGTTTCTGACCAATTATAAATGAGTATAGACTTGGAATTTAGTTGATATTAAGATTAAGAGAAGTTACAAGTTCTTGCCGATACAATAGAGGTTCATCCCTATGCAGCTGCCATCGCCACCACTCCGTTGTCCACCTGTCCTTTCCTTCTGAACAGCTTCACCACGTCCTCTCTGAACTTCTGGGACATGAGCACGTACAGAATGGGGTTCACCACTGTCGAAGAGGTGGCCATGAGTCTCGCAAACACTGTGAACGGCCCGTACCGCGGCGAGCTCCCCGTTGCCCCTGACGATTCTTCCGCCACCAGAGCTAGCGTCATTCCGTACGAAGGCAACCAGCAAACCGTGAAAGCCAACACCAACATGGCCGATGTCTGCGTGACTTTGCTTTGGTAGCGTTCAACTTGCGGAGCTCTGGCTTGATGCCTCGTCACCCACAGGAATGCGTAGATACCGCTGTACGCTACAGCAATTGTAAACAGCGGCAATAAGAACGCTACGACAAAGTGGACGAGCCCGTAGATCATCTGATTTCTGTGGGATAAGAAGGAGAAGCAGACTAAAGCATCGGGAGTGGTTCTGGGAGTCCCTACGGATCGGAAAACTAGCTGTGGCGCGGCTAAAGCACACGCGGGGATCCAGAGGAGACACGTGACCAAAGACACGCGCTTTGGGGAGAGCAGGAAAAACGCTTTCGCCGGCTTGACGACAGTGAGGTAGCGCGAAACTGCTAAAGCGGCTAACGTGAAGACGGATGCAGAGGAGCAAGCGGAGCCGAGGAATCCCACCAAACGGCACATGGCGTCTCCAAAAGGCCAGTGCTGCAGCGCGATGGCCGCCGTGTGGAAAGGCAGCATGAGGAGCAGCAGCAGGTCCGCGGCGCTCAAGGCCAACAGCAAGATGTCCGTCCCGGTGCCGGTGACCGAGTTGTGGGGGGAGGAGCCGGGAGAAGAGGCCCGTCGTCTTCCGCACAAGATCAGCACCACCACGCTGTGTCCGCTCACGCCCAGGACCCAGATCAGGACGTCCAGGATGGGCACCAGGACCCGCTCTACGTCTCCCAAACTTGGCCCGCTGCTGTTCCCATCGGCGGGGGTGGTGTTCCACGCGTGCATTGTGAGCGGGGCGCGGCGGACATGCTGCTACTGTAGAGAGGAGAGAAAAGCAGTTGTGTGAGGTGGTGGGGAGAGAGGAAAACACAGGGATTTAGCTTGAACTCTAGGCTTGCTGTATTTTAACTTGAGCTCATTTTGAATATCCTTTAACCCTTTAATGGTTTGCCCAACAATTTGGTGGATCACATTTTGAGTCACTATATCTACTGAAAACTGGAACTGAAATCTACCTCATTGGGGAATTTCTATCATTTGGTTTTAGAAACTTTTACCATCAAGTTGCATCTCAACCATTTTGTACAGGCCTATTCTTAAAAACTTGGGGTTAAAGAATAAAAACCCCAAAAATAAAAACAAATTATTTTTGTTATTAGTGCTTTTGCATCTTAGAAAAAATACATCTATATATTGCTTTCCAGTGAACATTAAATGATTAAAGCTGGGGTAGCCAACTATCAAACCATAGCCTAAATAATAATAGCCTAAAACAGTAACAGTTTGGTTCTATCACTAGTTTTCAGTCAGTCACCAATTGTGCAAGTCCTCCCACTTTAAAATATGAGAAATGCTTGCAATACCTCATCTATGAGAGACAAAATCAGAAAAACAAATCCAGAAAATCACGATCTGATGTTCAAAGAATGTATTTGTGCGAGATCTGCATGGAGGAATGGGCCAAAATACCAGCAACAGTGTGTAAAACCTTGTAAAGATAGAAAATGTTTTACCTCTGTAATTTCCAACAAAGGGTATACAAAGTATTGAGATGAAGATAATAGATAATAAAATCTAATAATAAAATAATAAGATAATAAACGTTTTATGTATACTTGGGTCAAGGATATGTAACTTGTGGAAATGTTGTGAGTCACATTTACAGATGATTGGAATTTAATTTAGGCTGCTATATAACTGTCCATATCATCTGTCTTAGAAATCAAAGAGGGAAACCAGAGAGAGACCAGAGAGAGACCAAAGAGGGAGACTAGAGAGAGAGAGACCAGCTTTTTCAGACAGAAATGTGAAAAAGAGAGGACCACCCTCACTCAGCCCAAAGCTTCACATAGTGATTCACAGGGCTCTTCTTCAAATACAAGATAACATGTTTCCTCATGAAATAAAGACAGCATATTGTATTTAACGGAAAAGTGAGGAATCCGAGCTTTAATCTTATCAGTGTTATCAGTATATTTGACGTATTAATACGGCCACATTTTCTCATTTCGATGTTGTATAAGCCTCATTATATATGGCTTAAAACCAGTGACGCTGCCACTGTGTCCTTTGTAAACATATAAAACAATAGAGTTGTGTGAGTGTTGTAAAAGGACAGATAGCACTCGCCTCCGAGAACCAAAGGTTATTCAGTCTCTGCACAGAAATACCAGCACAGATTCACATGAAGAATATCATGTGAGTTTATTTGTATAGCACAGTTTGTACAAATGGCAATTCAAAGTAAAATGTAACCAAATCAGACCACAACATCACAAAGGTCTTTGGACTTTGTCACATCTTGAGATCAGCTTTTTCAGACAAAAACATAAAAAACCTTAAAATAGTGACTCACAGAGATCTTTCTTACACACAAAATAAAATGTTTTTTTCTGATGTGACAAAAAAACCTGGAATATTTATGAGGAGGAAGGGGAAAAGTTGAATACCGCAGATTTCACGTCTCGCACTCCCACTTTTAAGTCATTGCAATCACTTGTGCTTCTACTGCTGCTATATTCCCCCCTGATTGCTCTGATTGTTCTGTATAAAACTACATACTGCAGCTGAACGGTGACATTTTGGTCTTTTCCTGTTACCTCAAATCAGCTGTGGACTCCTCACTGTTCGACCATCTCGTTCATTCATGAATCCAGGCGAGTAAATGGGAGAAATGTGAGAAAATCTGCCTGGACAGAGGTAGAAGCAGCTTTGAACGGAGACACACAGGGAGAGGGAGCGGAGGCTGAACTCTGGACTGACGGCTGAGGCTGCCTCCTGATTGGCTGACCTGCGTACAGTGGGCGGGACTCTCAGAGACCTAACATACTTTTCCCATGTGCCATGTCAGCGCTGAATACATGACAGATACCGCGGCTTTGAGGTTGTGTTTTAGAAGTGTCTGTGCCAGGAGTAATGGTGCTTGTCGTATAGCAGAACTGGCAATAAAACGGGGGGTACTTTTACATTTAAAATGCTTTAAAAATAAAACTTGTTCCTCCCAGTGCACTAGTTTCCACAATCTCTGGTCTAACTCACTCTCTTCGGTCTCTCTCCAGTCTCACTGGCCTCTCTCACTCTCCGCTCTCTCTCTCCAATCTCTCTCTATGGTTTCTCTGTGAACTCTCACTGGTCTCTCTCGCTGGTCCCTCTGATATATCTCTGGTCTCTCTCTGGTTTCATTCTCTGGTCACTCGCTCTGGTCTCTTTTTTGCGTCTCTTTTTTGCGTCTCTTTTTTGGTCTTTCTTTTGTCTCTTTCTTGTAACTCTTTGGTCTCTTTCTCTGGTCTCTCTCTTGTCTCTTTCTGGTTTCTCTCTGGTTTCTCTCTGGTCTCTCTGAATTCTTTCTGGTCTCCCTGGTCTCCCTCGGGTCTCTCTCTGGTCTCTCTCTGGTTTCTTCTTCTGGTTCCTCTCTGGTCTCTCTCTGGTTTCTTCTTCTGGTTCCTCTCTGGTCTCTCTCTGGTTTCTCTCTGGCCTCTCTCTTTCCTCTTTCTGGTCTCCCTGGTCTATCTCTGGCCTCTCTCCGGTCTCTCCTTCTGATCTCTCTCAGTTCTAAAAAAACAAAAAAACAACACAGATTTATTATGTCTTCTTTCGCTAATAATTCTTCTCGTTAATAATTCCACTTCTGCTGATTTATGCCCTTGTCCGTGATTATCAGTGAGGGGCTGTTGAACCGGAGTACTTCTGCATTCCCATCACTTATATCCACAACACGCACAGATAGGCAGCAAAAAGACAAACACGGCATCAAAAGGACGAGGAGATAGTGAGATCTGGGATGACAGTGTTGTCTCAAGCTGCAGATAATTGTACTAAATATACATCAGGGGCCGAGTAACGAGCCAGGATCAAGTCCGGCTCCTCCTCGCTGAGGCTGAGAACCCATGAGGATGTGGACCAAAGACAAACTCACAGACAGAACAGGAACCTGATTCAAGGGTGATGGATACAGTGGATTTAGAGGAAGAGATGTACTGTTGTGATCCAAAGTTGGCTCCCTCCTTTCTGGTCTCTCTCTGGTCTCTCTCTGGTCTCTCTCACTGGTCTCTTACTGGTCTGTTGCAGGTTTCTCTCTTGGGTCTCTCTTTCTGGTCTCTCTCTCTTGTCTCCCACTAGTCTCTATCTGGTCTGTCTTTCTCTGGTCACTCACTGGGTCTCCCTCTGGCCTCTCATTCAAATGGTTTCTCTTTAGTCCCTCTCTATTGTCTCTTTCTGGTCTCTATAATTTCGGATCTCTCTCTGGTTTATCTCTGGTCTGAGCTTCTTGCGCTGTGACTTCAGAAGACTTATTTTGAAAGCATGAACGTCTCTCTGTAATTCTGGCCCATTCCTCCTGACTCTGCCGTAACTGCTCTAAGGTCCTCTTTGCTCACGTGTCTTCTCTCCCCCATCGCAGACGTGGGCTCCGTGGAGGGGCTGTCCTACCACCGTGGCTGGGACATGTTGTACTGGACGAGTTACACCACGTCCACCATCACACGGCACACGGTGGACCAGGGCCGCTGGGGAGCCGTGGACCGCCACACCGTGGTCACCATGTCCGGAGACGACCATCCCAGAGCTTTCGTCCTGGATGAGTGTCAGGGGTGAGAGGGTTTTATTGATCTTAATGGTCCATTTCATATCTCGAGTAGGATTTTATTTATAATTGATTTGTCTGTGCAGGGGCTGATATGTCATATACTGTTTCACTCTCTGATCACTATGGTCTTTCTGTCTTGTCTCTCTCTGGTCTCCCTCTTGTCTCACTCTGCTCTCTCTCTGGTTTCTCTGGTCTCCCTCTTGTCTCTCTCTGGTTTCTATGTTCTTTCTCTGTCTCTCTCTTATCTCTCTCCGCTCTAATAGATTTATAATTAACTTAAATGCAGGAGTGGAACAATGAAAGATTTTACAGTAAGGACAGGCTCCTTTTGTGGCTCCGGCATGTTAAACGGCACGTAGACAAGAAATGGCATCTGAAACTGCGTGAACAAAAAAGAGCAAGCAACATTTAGAAATCTAGGTTGTAATATGGTTAGATGGGGAAGTTATAATACAACACGTATTATAACTTCCCCATCTAACCATATTACTAAATCATATGCTAAATTGATATCGCAGGGTTGGCAACTTGGAATGACATTATGAAAGTGGGCTGGGGTTCCGGGGTTTTCCCCCAGAATAGTTATATTTGAAGGTATTTCCCCCCTGATTTGAGCTCAGTTTAGGGACTAAAACGGACCTAAACAGGGTTAAACAGTGCCAGGTTAAACAGGGCCAGTGATAGGGTAGGGTAGGGTAGAGTAGGGTAGGGTAGGGTAGAGTAGAGTAGAGTAGAGTAGAGTAGAGTAGAGTAGAGTAGAGTAGAGTAGAGTAGAGTAGAGTAGAGTAGAGTAGAGTAGAGTAGAGTAGAGTAGAGTAGAGTAGAGTAGAGTAGAGTAGAGTAGAGTAGAGTAGAGTAGAGTAGAGTAGAGTAGAGTAGAGTAGAGTAGAGTAGAGTAGAGTAGAGTAGAGTAGAGTAGAGTAGAGTAGAGTAGAGTAGAGTAGAGTAGAGTAGAGTAGAGTAGTTGCTTCAGTCCAGTCCTGGTGACCCGCATGGCTCTGACCTGTCTCTCCTCAGACTCATGTTCTGGACCAACTGGAACGAGCAGTCCCCGAGCATCATGAGGGCCACTCTGAGCGGAGCCAACGTCATCATCATCATCGGCTCTGACGTGCGCACGCCCAACGGTCTGGCCATAGACCACCGCGCAGAGAAGCTGTACTTCAGCGACGCCACGCTGGACAAGATTGAGCGCTGCGAGTACGACGGCAGCCGCAGATACGTGAGTGCGGACTCCACAAACTGCTCATATAGTTTTTCAACATATTCAGCAACACTGGGAGTTACAACAATAATAATGATAATAATAAAAAAGAGAGAGAGAGAGCAGAGAGAGAGCAGAGAGGGAGCGACCAGAGAGAGACCAGTTCTTAAAAAATATACCAGAAAATAATCTCCAAGCTCATCATAAAGTAAAGTATTATTGTAAGTATTATTAAAGTATATTGTTCTTTCTAAATACCTTCATAAAGTAAAAAATGCATGTAAAAATATCCACAGATCTCAGCCTAAAGAGTCAAGTAGTGACACAGGGCTTTTCCCTATAAATAGACAAGAAATAACATGAGTTCTACTGCCATGTGACCTGACTTGTTCAACTTTGACTTTTACAAGGAAAAAACAACAATATTATATGTGAAGCAAACAAGTTACATCCCCCAGCTTTAGAATCAGGCCTGTCCAGTTGGATATTTGAGCTGTTTCAGTCTTTGCCATGGCCTCACTCCTGCTGCTGTGTCCAGGTGGTGTTGAAGAACGAGCCGGTCCACCCCTTCGGCCTGGCGGTCTACGGGGAGTACCTGTTCTGGACCGACTGGGTGCGCAGAGCCGTGCTGAGGGCGGATAAGTTCACCGGAGCGGAGATGAAAGTGCTGCGAGCCGACATCCCCCAGCAGCCAATGGGGATCATCGCCGTGGCCAACGACACCAACAGCTGTGAGGGCAAAAGTCTTTATTCACTCTATTATTTAAGTCTTACAGTTGTTCTATTGCTGTTCTATAGCTGCGGTGTGGGATGTACGGGCGGGGTTAGTGCTTTAGGACAGGGCCTTATTGGCTAAATCACAACAGTAGTTATCTCAGAGGACTTTACAAAACTGTCGATTTTGCCTCAGAGAATCAAGCAGTTCAAACACAAGGAAAAAAAACATTGGTCTTAAGGGGCAGATGATGATAAATGTCCATAAATATTGGTTAAGTCCATAATGTGGAGTGTCCTGGATCATCACCGCTGTCCTCAGACCCTGTTGGAGGACTTACATTTGAATTCAGGTGATTGAAGCTAAAGGTGGAACTGCTCACATTTAAAAGAAAATAGATTATTTCACTAATTTAATAACATAGAGATAGGAACAGAAGCAGTCACAGTTAGCAACGTGTGCATGAGTAATTACGATTCTAAAACTAAAAGCTGTCTAATTGACTGCTCCAGGAGTTGTGTTGTTAATCTTCATAAGACACACATACAGTATGAGTTCAAATTCACTGACTGGTTTTGAATGTGGGGGGATCTCGTACACAGGGCTACAGAGGGGGAGCAGGAGAGGAACAGGGGGAGAGCATGGGGGGAGCAGGGGGGGAGCAGAGGAGGGAGCTGGAGGACACATGTCTCCTGCAGGAGCTCATTTTTAGACTGTAACCCCCAGCGATAAACAAGGGACCACTGTATGTGATTGTTTTTTTTTTTACTTACATAAAACCTCTTGAATCTGTTCTATTACCTTTGTCCTGGGAACACACTATTCCTGATCTGCTTTTGGTCCTTCTCGTCTGGATGTATTAAACTCGTACCATTGTAAACTCTTCCCTTAACCTGCTGTTAGTTCATTATACAGCATTACACAACCCCTATTATCCCCATTTTTGCTCTTAACAAAATAATGGTGAAGAGGCGGACGATGATGAACAAATGTGCTGCCAATAAATGAAAAGAAAGAACAACTTGCCGTCCCATTACCCCCGCTCCGTCCGTGTGCTTTCACTGACTGAAGCTAAAGTGGAGGTTCGGACCGGAAACTCTGCTCTCAGTCCTCCCCCTGCTGCTGCGCCGCATCAGTAATCAGTCAGTCACACTCAGCTGGTGGCTCCACGCTGCCAATATCTCACCTGGCAGCATTTAAGCACTACCCTGCATAGTCACCAAGCCTTCATATTGTGCAGCAACCCTCCTCCTCCCCAACACCGCCGCATCAGACCAACTCTTCAACCCTTCTCTTAAGCCCCATTTCCACCAGCCCTACTCTTCTTGGTTGCGTTTCAGTGACGCTTTAGTATGTCAACCATACTCATATTAGATATATTATGCAACTTTTGTTTAGCTTTTCATCATTTTTCCGTTCTTACCCCACAAAGACAAACCTGGAGTTGTTTTTAGTTCAGAAGAAGCTAAAAACGTGTCACTGTTTTTAGAGCTGGACTTATATATTTCTGTCTTTACGTCAGTGGAGGAGCCAGAGCAACCAGTGGTGAATGTGCAGATGTCTCTTCATTAGCTGCTCTACTGAACCTGAAAATACAAAAAGCCACCAAGGGATATTTAGAAGCAACTGGAATCTATTTACAATATGTTTAGCATTCATAGACCGTATACAAGGAGTGGACTGATCGAGTGTGACATCACCATAGTGATAGCTTTAATGCGGAAGAAGCTGACAGAGCTAACTCGAACAGGCAGCGGGAATGTGGAGCCGAGCGTGTGCTAATTTTGTTGGTAGCAAAGGCCAAGTTACCAAGAGCCAATCAGGAGATTTAAGACAGATTTAACACCAGAATCACATAAAACGCTAATACACAATTGAGTGTCACACAAAAGGTTACATGTAAGACAATAGGAGCCAGAGTGAGTTGGAGCAAAACTTTGTCCATGAGCACTTCCCTATTGGGCTTCATTGAGGTAGCAGATTAGCATTGTCTATCTACTTTCAGTCCATGGTAGTGTTGGTAAAATGTTTCAATCATCCAGCCTTCTTTCGCTTTGTAAACTTCAGCTTTCCTTAGCAACCCCTCTTAGCAACACGTCTCCCCCTGTTACAGCGCGAAGCTAATGTCGTCGTAACAAATGCCCCTATAAGCAAATCGGCTCCAGCTTATGTTTAAATCAGTCTCATCTGCATAAAGGCTAAAACTATGGTGATGTCACACTCCGTCAGTCCACTCCTAATGTATGGAATGTGGTTTTTAACTGTTTTTTTCGTATGATGTTGTAATGTTTTTTTTAATGCGCCCGTCTTCCACAGGTGAGTTCTCTCAGTGTCGGGTGAATAACGGCGGCTGTCAGGACTTGTGTCTGCTCACCTCTGATGGACGAGTAAACTGCAGTTGCCGTGGAGACAGAAAACTCCTTGAGGACAACACCTGCATCGGTAACTGCATTGTTCTTTTAATAAGACTTGGAGTGTAAAGAAGCTGGTACTGCCTTAATTATCACATGTTTGAACTTCACACGTGATGGTGTGACCTGTGTTTGACCACTGGATGCGGCCAGTCTGACAGATCCGTCATCCAGGACTGAGGCTGTAGATCCAGGACTGAGGCTGTAGATCCAGGACTGAGGCTGTAGATCCAGGACTGAGGCTGTAGATGCAGGACTGAGGCTGTAGAACCAGGACTGAGACTGTAGATCCAGGACTGAGGCTGTAGATCCAGGACTGAGGCTGTAGATCCAGGACTGAGGCTGTAGATCCAGGACTGAGGCTGTAGATGCAGGACTGAGGCTGTAGAACCAGGACTGAGACTGTAGATCCAGGACTGAGGCTGTAGATCCAGGACTGAGGCTGTAGATCCAGGACTGAGGCTGTAGATCCAGGACTGAGGCTGTAGATCCAAGACTGAGGCTGAAGATCCAAGACTGACGCTGTGTGATTCTGGACTGAGAAGGCTTCAGTCATTGCGTGAAAGACTGTATTTGTGGCAAAAATATGTTTCAAAATGCCCATAGTCCTGATGCTGTTTGAATGTGGCTTTTTCAGCCCTGAACACCACCTGTAACAACATCGATGAGTTTGAGTGCGGGAACGGAGACTGCATCGAGTACATCCGCACCTGCGACGGCACGCCCCACTGCAAGGACAAGTCCGACGAGAAGCAATCCTACTGCGGTGAGTGTGCGATATTTTTGTACAGCCCTAAATCACAACAGCAGTGATTTCGTAGGACTGTTGATTCCCCAACACTGATCAGAGAATGAAACTGTTCCAACACAGTAAATGCAAACACATAGAGTCCGCTCTGCCCTGTAGGTACTTCTTTTCCGATAATGACCTGCGTAGTATACATAATCCCGCTTATTATACAGCTTTGTATCAACCGAACACACTCAAAAATAAACTTCAGTCCACTTTTATGAATGCCGTTTATTTAATGACTGCAAATAAAATAGTTCCCAAAGGTTTTCCCGTGGCTTTGCGAGTAACAGTTAGGCTAGCAACTTCAAAACTAGAACCCTACATGAAAACGGAACAAAGAATTCTGAACATCATGAGTGAGCCATATATAAACTCAACCTAAATCCATTTTTTGATCCTCTGCAGATCTGTCTTAAAATGTTATTTCATGTTAATAGTTACTTCCGGGTTTATTGCGATCGCATTTTGTCACATTAAAACAGTATTTTTGTCATGAAAATTTTAAAAGATAATTCTGAAAACCTCCGTGCACGTGTGTTAAGGTAAAGGTAAGGAATGTACTGTATATGTATAATGTATTCTGCGATTAACATTTAAATGTGTTGATTTATTTTTATACGTGTCTATTGAGCGTGGCTAGCTCCGATAGAGACAGTAGTAGCGACGAAGTAGCCGGACTACTTGCGGAGTAATCTACACATCTGAATTGCAAGCAGAGAGTGCGATGCCATGGGTCATTATTGTTTTGAGAGGTCTGTTATCAAGAAATAATGACCGGTAGAACGTTTTGAAATTACATTCAAATCAATGATGCGTTCTGCTGCTGCTGTGAGGAGCCGTGTAATAAATGTTAATAATTGTCAATAAAACATAAGCGATGTTTTGAACCTGTTTGTGTGTCGCCTGCAGCTAACCGTGTGTGTAAGAAGGGTTACCGGCGCTGTGTGAACGGCCGCTGTGTGGGACACGGCTCCTGGTGCAACGGTCAAGACGACTGCGGAGACCGGTCAGACGAGCTCTTCTGCAACAGTGCGTACCTTCTCTCACCATTTTGAGTTCACTGTGATTTGCAAACTCTAGTTTATAAAACAAAGGGTTTGTTTTAGGATCATACTGTTAATCTGTTGCTCAAGATTTCAGCCAACTGTTTTGATTAAGAGATTATCGTCATAATGTTGACAACGAATTTTAGGGGGAATTTTGGCTCTTGAGAATAGCTTCTGTCTCTGCCTCTACTTCTGACTCTACTTCTGTCTCTGTCTCTTCTCCTGACTCTGCTTCTGCCTCTGTCTCTGTGGCAGCCACTCTGTGCACGGCGGATCAGTTCCAGTGTCGAGACGGAAGCTGCATCTCCAACTCCAGCAAATGTAACCAGAAAGTGGACTGTGACGACGCCAGCGACGAAATCAATTGCAGTAAGTCCAACCTGCTCTTGTTAAATACTAAAATACTAGAACTGGTGACTGTGGAAGTAGTAGTAGCAGTCCCAGCGGTCCCAGCAGTAGTAGCAGCAGCAGTAGCAGGAGTAGGAGTCACTAAAAAGGTGCTAGCTGGGGCGAACGTTACAGCAAAGATAGTGAATATATTAGTAGTCATAGCAGAACCAGCTGCAGATGTGTCATATCTTCGGTACCTCTCGCTCTCGCTCCCAGTTCCCATTAAACGCTGGTCCTGACACACGGTTCTTGTTGCAGCTGCCACAGACTGCTCCAGTTACTTCCACCTTGGAGTGAAGGGTGTGAGCTTTCAGAAGTGTGAGTTCACCACGCTCTGCTACGCCCCCTCCTGGCAGTGCGACGGGGCCAACGACTGCGGGGACTTCTCAGACGAGCGCAACTGTCCAGGTACCTCAGAACACATGAGAACTGTCCAGGTACCTCAGAACACATGAGAACTGTCCAGGTACCTCAGAACACATGAGAACTGTCCAGGTACCTCAGACCCATAGAGCTTAATTTAGGAGTGGACTTACTGAGTGTGACTATAGTGTTAGCCTTAATGTTGCTTTGATGTTTTCTAAGCCAAGGCATCTGATTGGTCAATCAGCAGCCAAAATCAGCAGCAGCAGTGGTAGTGGTAGTAGTAACAATAGCAGAAATCGTATTAGTAGTAGCAGAAGTAGCAGCGGGAGCAGTAGTAGTAGTAGTTGTAGCAGTAGCCGCTGTATCAGCAGTAGCAGCAGCAGTAATAGTAATACCAGTACCAGTAGCAGTTGCAGCAGGAGTAGTACTAGTAGTAGTAGTAGAAGTAGTAGTAACAGTAGTAGTCGCAGCAACAATACCTGAATTAGTGGTAGAACAACTTTATCCATTAAATACAGTCAAATCAGTCGTGACATTTCAGTCTTCTTCCAAACTGTGACAAATGCACAAAATGAACTTTATGAAGCAAAAACGAAATCCCAATTAATTCTCATGGCTCAGAGACAAAGCCATTTCACATTTCCATCCATTAAATTGGGTTTTGTGAGCGTCCGGCAGAAGATGTAATTTCTCTTTTGTGACTTTCTGCTTGCTTAATTTTTAATTTGCTGTGCTCTGTGAACCTGCAGGGAGTGAGAAGATAAAGTGCCAGGCTCCGTTCTTCGCCTGTCCCAGCGGCCGGTGCATCCCCATGAGCTGGACGTGTGACAAGGAGAAGGACTGTGAGGACGGAGCGGACGAGGCGCACTGCGGTCAGTCAGACTAGTGTCCTCTGCCGCCTCTCTGTGACGCGGTTCACCTTTTTTGCCGTCGTTGTTTACATGTATTACAGAGGGAAATTAGCCACGAAGCTACACTTTACAGCTGTGCATTCAAGTCCCATTTTACCCTTTTTGGATATTCTCTGCTTTAAACATGATTGCAGTGCTTATTGGCTTCATACACATGCCCAGAGTAGTTTTTGTTAATTCCCTCAAGCTTTAGTTAGAGAGCAACCTTTCTCTTTCATTCTCGAGTCGTGGCAAAACGACCAGAAGCCCGACTCCAGGAGGTGATTGACAGGAGAAAGAAAGCAAAACAGTGAATTAGCAAGCACAGCCTTTCCCAGCGTATGGTCTACGACAGTATGTGTTCGTGTCTGAGGGTCCGATTCTGGATCAAGGACTTAGGGTTCTGTGTGACGGATTGTCATTGTTGGAAAAAGTTTATTCTCAGGTCTGAAATGACTACGGCGAAAGCGAAATAGTTCTGTGTTTACAAAGTCAGAGTGCGGCTGTGTCACCGCGCACGTGCGAGGGGGAGGCGCCCAGCTCCAAGCCCTTCCATTGAGGTGACATCATCTCTTTGCAAGAAATGGCTATAATTTCTAAGTTTTGAGTGTTGTTTGGTGTCTCACTCAAATTATTATCACACATGTGCTTGAGAAAAAATAAGAAAAGCGAAATTAGGGACCTTTAATACACACTGTCTTTTCCAAATAATAAATGTATAAACAAACATCACTCACTGTATGGATGATGCACTCTGGTCTCACTCTGGGCTCTCTCTGGTCTCTCTCTGGTCTCTCTTCGGTCTCTCTCTGGTTTCTCTCTGGTCTCTCTCTTGTCTCTCTGTGGTCTCTCTGTGGTCTCTCTTTGGTCTCTCTCTCTGGTCTCTCTCTGGTCTCTCTCTTGTCTCTCTCTTGTCTCTCTCTGGTCTCTCTCTCTCTCTCTGGTCTCTCTCTGGTCTCTGGTCTCTCTCTCTCTCTGGTCTCTCTGTGGTTTCTCTGTGGTCTTTCTCTGGTCTCTCTGTGTTCTCTCTCTGGCCTCTCTAGAACCCAAGAAAACTCTTTTAATGTGCATTTTCAGAGCTCCAAAATGCTGGCTTTGTACAGATCCTACACTGGATTCATAAAGTATTTTGCACTTAGATTTCTGTAATGGTATGAGATCTCACCGTGCTCGTTGGTCTGACTTGGGTCTTTCTCCTGCAGATAAGTTTTGCTCTGGCTCTCAGTTCGAGTGCGGGAACCACCGCTGCATCCCGAACCGCTGGGTTTGTGACGGCGCCGACGACTGCGGAGACGCCAGCGACGAGGGCGCCCAGTGCAGTGAGTCACCTTTCAAACAATTCCATTTGGTTACATTCATCAACAAACAGCCCTAAATCACAACAACAGTCTTTGCATGTTACAGAGTTGTCAATGCCCCAACAACAGATCAGAGAATCAAAGTCTCTCTGGTCTCTCTCTCAGGTGTCTGGTCTCTCTCTGGTCTCACGCTCAGGTCTTTCTCTGGTCTCTCTCTCTTTGATTGGTTTCTGGTGGTCTCTCTCTGGTTTCTCTCGTCGCTCTCTCTCGTCGCTCTCTCTTGTCGCTCTTTCTCGTCACTCTCTCTGGCCTCTCCCTTGTCTCTTACAGTTTCTCTCTCTCTGGTCGAGGAGATTATGAATCATAATTAAATTCAATACATTTGTGTATAGCCCAAAATTACTAAACAATACAATAATAACAAACACAGAAATGTTAATAAATGTCTTGGATCATCACTGTCCTTAGCCCTCCTACATCAGCAAGTACTATGTTCCTGAGGAAAAAATGTGAGGAACCATATATTTCCTTGTAAGGCCAACTACTACTGTAAAGTTCAAGAGGATATTCAAATTCCCTAATACAATATTTTATTTTAAACAACTGTTTACAACGGTTTCATGTTCATTTGTCCTGAAACCAATAACAGACCCAGACATACAGTAGTATTTAGTTAGAATATATTTTAAAAAGTGATCAAACTAGACGTCCAGACTGTGACACAACGTTACGAGCGCGTGTTTCATTAAAGTTGTGTGCGTTTGCAGAGACGAAGACGTGCAGCCCGGACATGTTCCACTGCCCCGCGTCCCACGTGTGCATCCCCCAGAAGTGGAAGTGTGACGGGGACAAGGACTGTCCGGACGGAGCCGACGAGAGCGTCAAGGCTGGCTGTGGTGAGTATTGCACGAGGACACAGTGTCAGAAGGGAAACACCTTTTAATCATCAAGTGTAGATATAGATTAACAGACATTAGTTAGGGACGATGGATTCATTATTGCCTTTATACAGATGGACAATGCTAACCCGCTGAAAATATAGTTTAGCGCTCTCTGTGATCCCGGGGTTTATATTTTGATATTGTCTTTGTGAATCTACTGTAGACATGAGCCATCTATCTCAGAGGACAAATTCCTCGATTCGCCAACACAGATCAGAGAATCAAACATCAATTTGATCAATGTCCATAAGTGTTAATTAAGTCCAAAAATTTTGTTAAAAAGTGAATTTGAACCACTAACCTTGGGCTCAGAGCTAACACACTCTGAGCTACTGCCGCCTTTATCTCACGACTGCATTATTGTGGCGATGTTTTGTCGTTTCAGTGTTCAACAACACGTGTGACAACAGCGAGTTCATGTGTCAGAACCAGCAGTGTATCCCCAAACACTTTGTGTGTGACCACGACCGCGACTGCGGTGACGGCTCCGATGAGTCCCCCGAGTGCGGTACGCCTCATTTACTCCAGTTTCATTGTCATTATTTCAGATGTCATTCAGGACAATTGGTCGTGAGTTTCCTCACCCAGAAATCTGGCCATATTTCAGTGATTATGAATGAAAACGCACACACTCTTTGTGTTTGTGAGAAGCCATTTCTGGTCAAATAAATATGTTTTCTATTTTCCAATGATAAAGAGGTAAGAAACCTTGACCTTGATCAGAAGTATCCATGCCCCAGTTCTCAATAGTGTGTGTTGTGTGTGGAGTTCCAGTGTAAAGAAAATAAATATTCACCGACCAATTTTTTGTTTTGTTTGATCTTCAGAGTACCCGACGTGTGGCCCGCGGGAATTCCAGTGCGCAAACGGCCGCTGTCTGATCCAGAGCTCGTGGGAGTGCGACGGAGACTTTGACTGTCACGATCGTTCTGACGAGGCCCCCAAGAACCCCCGCTGCTCTGGACCCGGTGACAGAAATATAAACACTCACATTCATAATACACAGTTGTTAGAAACTGAAAGGACATTTGGAGGAGAAAAAATACATTTAGAAGCTGAAAACCTCTGCTTCTGAACATAGACTGTATACAGATGGGCAATGCTAACCCGCTAGCTCAATGGAGCCCAAGAAGGAAGTGCTCATGAACAAAGTTTGGCTCCAACTTGCTTCTATTGACTTTGTTTGAAAAGTAAACTCCTCTAGCTCAGTAACTGTTTGTGTTTAGGGTTCTCTGTGATCCTCGTGTTTATGATATTGTCTTTGTAAATCTTTCTGGTCTCTCAGTGGTGTCTCTCTCTGATCTCTGGTATCTATATTGTCTCTCTGGGTTCTGGTCTCTCTCTCTCTGGCTTTTCTTTGAAATCTTTCTGGTCTTTCTCTGGTATTTTTCATGTCTCTCTCTGGTCTCTATCTCCAATATTGTGCTGTTCAAATAGGATTGATCCAAACATTCTTCACTAATTGATTTCAAATGTTTTCCTTCCACAGAAAAGAAGTGCAACGACACGGCCTTCGCCTGTGCCAACGGTCTGTGTGTGAACGAGACGCTGCTCTGTGACCAGAAGGACGACTGCGGCGACGGATCCGACGAGCTCAACTGTTTCATCGACGAGTGTTTGAACAGCAAACTCAGCGGCTGCTCCCAGCTCTGCCAGGACCTCAAGGTCGGCTTTAAGGTACAAAACAACTGGATGGAAAGGATAGGACTGCCTCAGAGAGAGACCAGAGAGAGAGACCAGAGAGCGGGACCAGAGAGAACAGAGAGATCAGAGAGAGAGACCAGAGTGAGACTATAGAGTGAGAGACCTAACTCAACAAAATTGACCTAACTCGACAAAAGCAAAGGCAAGCTGGAGTTTTCCCTACAAAGGCAGGCCTTTGATTGGCCAATCCTTTTGGCTCATTATGTATCTTCATTTACAAAGACAATATTAAGATGAAAACACCAGGATTACAGAGAGCGCTAAACCACAGATTTTTAAGTCTAAAACGGTTTCTGAGCTAGAGGAGTTTAGGAGTCAGAGCAAGTTGTCGATGACCACTTCCCTATTGGGGTTTATGAAGCCTGAAGTTTATCATTATCCATTTAAATTTATTTTTGAATAGCCAAAAATCACAACAGTAGTCGTCTCGGAGGACTTTACAAAGTTGTTGATTTGCCGGCAATAGATTAGAGAATGCATAGAAGAAACCAAAGGGAGCGAGATGACCACTGTCCTCAAAGGACTGTGTCTGTGGCATAGACTGTATATATTAACGGACAGAGTCACGCCTATCTCCGCCGTTCTAACTAATGGGCCAAAAATGTTGCTCTACTGGAGCAATCCAAAATGGCCGCGAGTGGTCCCGCCCACAAGAAAATAGTGAAAAAACGCATTTGCGCATGTGTCAGCCAGCAATAGCTCCATTCATTTGAACGAGAGACTTCAAAAATTCACAGCAAGTAAACTAGAGTGGACCAAAAAAATCCACCCCCCTCAGCATTGACACACATGTGGAACGGAGCTTTGGGCCAAGAGCCAACTTTTGGACCATCCTGTAAAGACGTTTTCGAGAGGTCTGCCAATGCTATATGTTAGTCTCTCGTTCAAATGAATGGAGCTGCGCCGGCTAACACATGCACAGATGCGTTTTTTCACAATTTTCTTGTGGGCGGGACCACTCGCGGCCATTTTGGATAGCTCTAGTGGAGCATTATTTTTGGCCCATTAGTTAGAACCGGCGGAGATAGGCGTGACTACGTCCGTTAATATATACAGTCCATGGTGTTGACCCGGTTGTCTGCCCTCACAGTGCAGGTGTCATCCCGGCTTCAGGCTGAAGGACGATGGGAAAACGTGTGTGGACATCGACGAGTGCCTGACGACGTACCCCTGCACCCAGCGCTGCGTGAACACCCACGGGAGCTTCCACTGCCTCTGCGTCGACGGCTTCCAGCTCAGCCCCAGCAACCCCACCATCTGCAAGTCCACCTCAGGTCAGACCACAGGGCCCTTTAAACCAGGGCTGCACCATGATCACAGTAAATGGGAAAGGCTAGTTTATACTGTATGTATACAGCATAGTTTATACGAAAGGCACATGACCAGAGTGAGAGAGACCAGAGAGAGACACTAGAGAGACCAGAGAGAAACTCCAGAGGGAGACCAGAGAGAGACCACAAAAGAGACCAGAGAAACACTAGAGGGAGACCAGAGAGAGACCACAAAAGAGACCAGAGAAACACTAGAGGGAGACCAGAGAGAGACCACAAAAGAGACCAGAGAAACACTAGAGGGAGACCAGAGAGAGACCACAAAAGAGACCAGAGAAACACTAGAGGGAGACCAGAGTGAGAGACCACAAAGAGACCAGAGTGAAAGAGACCAGAGAGAGAAACACAAGAGAAAGACCAGAGAGAGACCACAAAGAGACCAGAGAGAGAAACAGAAGAGAAAGACGAGAGAGACCACAAAGAGACCAGAGTGAGAGAGACTGGAAAAAGAAACACTAGAGAGAGACTAGTGAGAGACCACAAAGAGACCAGAGTGAGAAACACTAGAGAAATATAGTGAGAGATCACAAAGAGACAAGAGTGAGATAGACCGGAGTGAGAGAGACCACTTGAGAGACACCACAAAGACACTAGAGTGAGAGAGACCAGTGAGAGACCACAAAGAGACCAGAGTGGGAGAGACCAGAGAGAGAAACACAAAGAGACTAGAGAGAGAAACACTAGAGAAACACTTGTGAGAGACCACAAAGAGAAAAGAGTCAGAGAGACCAGAGAGAGAAACACAAAGAGACTAGAGAGAGAAACACTAGAGAGAGACTAGTGAGAGACCACAAAGAGACAAGAGGAGACCAGTGAGAGAACAGAGCGTGAGACCCTAGAGATAGACCAGAGAGAGACCGCGAAGAGACCAGAGAGAGACCAAACAAAACACAATCATAAACATTAAAATCATAAAGGTCTTTCACAAAGGAACACTGCTCATGAGCTGGTGTCGCAGAATGGTCCAGGTGGAGATCCCATTGGCCAGACGGGAGCGCTTCACACCAATGGCAGCGTCCCGGAGGCGGGCCTAAGCTCAGACTCACACACACGGAAACAAAGCATGGCTGTACAAATTCGTGTTATAGTGTTCGATGGACCTTGATTTTTGTTTAATTGAAAATGTTGTGATTTCTCCGTTCACAGATGAAGAGCCGTACCTCATCTTTGCGAACCGGTACTACTTACGGAAGCTGAACTTGGACGGTTCCAACTACACTCTCATCAAACAGGTGCCGTCTCTGGTCTTAAAGCGGTTTTCTGATACTGGCTTTATTTGGTTGGACATTACGTATTAAAAAGATAAATGATTAACCGATAAGGAAGCACTGGTGTTTACAAAGTTAGAGTTTTGTGGGAAAGGTTATACACAGTCAATATTGTTAAGTTTCGGTACACAGGGAACTATTTCAAGATTTATTTTCAGAAATAACCACAAAACATATTGAACATCTCAATTTTCTAATTTCTTGACAATGTATAGCCCCGTTTCCACCAGCCCTACTCTACTCTACGCCCTGTTTAACCAGTACCAGGTCCTTATTTAGTCCCTCTTGACCCTGGTTATATCCAGGCGGAGATGGTACTAAAGTGTTCTATCTGCTAGTGATTGGCCAGAGACCAGTAGAGTAGAGTAGAGTAGAGTAGGTCTGGTGGAAACAAGGCCACTGTCAGTTAGAACACTTAAGTACCAGCTCTCAACCAATCAGAGTAGAGTAGACATTCTGACGCTGTCCTGTCTCTGAGCAGGGGCTAAACAACGCGGTGGCTCTGGACTTCGACTACAGAGAGCAGATGATCTACTGGACGGACGTCACCACACAGGGAAGCATGATCCGGAGAATGTACATGAACGGCAGCGACGTGCAGGTGCTCCAAAAACACACCCAAAATCAGCTTTTTTATTATATTATTATTATTATTATCATTAGAGGAATAGTAGTAGTAGTATTAGTATAATTAGTAATTTAGTTAATATAAATACAAACACAAGTCATGGACATATAAGAGAAGACAACAATACAAAACAGCAGGGGTGTCCAAACCTTTTCAGAATCAGAATCAGAATCATTTTGATAAGAGAGACACCTTAAACCAGCGGGTCGAATTTCCCTTCGGCGACAATAAAGTATTACTTAAAAAGATTTTTCAGATTTATTGATTGACACTGATACCACCACCTTCACTCAATCTGCTTCCTCTCTTTCTCAGGTCTTGCACAGGACGTCCCTCAGTAACCCGGATGGGCTGGCGGTGGACTGGGTGGGGGGAAACCTGTACTGGTGCGACAAAGGCCGAGACACCATCGAAGTGTCCAAGCTCAACGGAGCCTACCGGACTGTTCTGGTCAACTCCGGACTGAGGGAGCCCCGGGCCATCGCTGTGGACGTGCGATACGGGTCAGGACCGCCACAGACTAGTCAACCTGTTTACTACTCATGAAGACACAGTCCATACAATTATATACATTACAATATTTATAAGATTAGAATTTGGAGATGCATGTACAGTATACTAGAAGAATGAGATACCTGGTGTTGGTTTTATGCAACACTTGACAGAAGCGAGGCAATCAGTATGTGCCATCGGACCCTCCAACCACCGCCATTCACTCACACACCTGACTCATTCTAGTTTCATAAAGAAAACATGTTGTTTGTCCTCAAAGAAGGAGTCTTTTATCTTGTGAGAAACGACTGTGACTGAAGGCTGTGTGTCCTGCTCAGGTACTTGTACTGGTCGGACTGGGGGGACATCCCGCACATCGGCAGGATCGGGATGGACGGCAGCAACAGGAGCGTCATCATCGAGGATAAGATCACGTGGCCCAACGGCCTCACGCTGGACTTCATCAATGACCGCATCTACTGGGCCGACGCCAGGGAGGACTACATCGCCTTCGCCAGCCTGGACGGCTCCAACAGGCACATCGGTAAAGGCTGCGCACAGAAGCATCACTCCCACTGAAATCACAACATCGTCTCAGAGGACAAAGTTGTCGATTCCTCCAAAACAGATCAGAGAATCAAACAGTTTGAGTACAGGAAATGCAATAATAACAAACACATAGTCCATAGGGAGGGGGTGACCACTGTCCATAAATCATGTCCCAGATCATCATTGTCCTTAGACCCTATTTGACAACTGAAAAGCACTGTGTATGCCCAGCTTTATACAAACTGTTTTTTTGCCTCTTTCTTTCTGTAGTTCTGGCTCAGGACATCCCACACATCTTTGCCATGACCCTGTTTGAGGAGTTCATCTACTGGACCGACTGGGAGACCAAGTCCATCACCAGAGCTCACAAAACACAAGGCACCAACAAGAGCACCCTGATCAGCACCCTGCACCGGCCCATGGACGTGCACATCTACCACGCCAGCAGGCAGCCTGAAGGTGACACACAACACCTAACTTGAGTTACATTTGCCTATTTGAAAGGAAAAACTTGAGTCTTACGAGTGATAAATGACTCCTACCAAACCCCAATCCCAAATCCACTGCGTGTGACCAGCCTCAGCTCAGAAAGGGATTTTTATTTGTTTGTTTTTTTATTTTTTTTAAGCATATTAATACAGTCAGACTGCTCATATCACAATAAGAACAAGGACACAAAAGCACACAAACTAAACCACATATTCACATCCTTGAATGTTTGTGTGTGTTCCAGTGGAAGGGCATCCGTGTCAGACCAATAATGGCGGCTGCAGTAACCTGTGCCTGATCTCCCCTGGAGGCGGCTACAAGTGCGCCTGTCCCACCAACTTCTACCTGGCTGCAGACAACAAGCACTGCCTCTCCAACTGCACGGCCAGCCAGGTCAGTTCACTACCAGAGAGACCAGAGAGAGACTAGAGCGAGACGAGAGAGACCAGAGAAAGACCAGAGAGAGAGACTAGAGAGTGACCAGAGAGAGATCACAGAGGGAGACCACAGAGAGACCAGAGAGAAAGATCAGATAGACCAAAGAGAGAGACCACACATAGGGACCAGATTGAGAGAGACCAGAGAGAGAGAGAGCAGAGAGAGAGCAGAAAGAGAGACCAGAGAGAGAGAACAGATTGAGAGACCAGAGAGAGAGAGAGACCAGACAGAGACCATTGATAGAGCCCAGAGAGAGACCAGAGTGGAACCAGAGACCAGACAGAGAAAATACATTTTATTGCATTTCTCTGGCTGAGTTGTATTATGTCTGTGACTAAAAAAAGTTATTTTTTGCAGTTCGTTTGTAAAAATGACAAGTGCATCCCTTTCTGGTGGAAATGTGACACCGAGGACGACTGTGGAGACAGATCTGACGAGCCCGCAGACTGCCGTGAGTCTCTGAAAGGACACGCAGACTGACACATTTGATCATAAATAGTCAAATGTAATCCAGAGGTGTCCAAATCTTTTAGTAAGAGGGACACTTTTTCCAGGGGCCGATAACATGGACCGTAAAACTGTTTGGACCGGATTCTGGGGTTTAAAACAGGATTTGATAAATGTCTATATTGATTCACACCTTAGCTACATTAGCGCCATTTGTGGGGTTTTGTGACACAATCAAAAACAAATGTCAGTGTACAGTATCCCAGTATTTCTAAGGTGTGTGTTTTATAACGTGTGTGTGTTTTCAGCTGAGTTTAAGTGCAGACCGGGACAGTTCCAGTGCGGTACCGGCATCTGCACAAACCCGGCTTACATCTGCGACGGTGACAACGACTGTCAGGACAACTCTGATGAGGCCAACTGTGGTACGAACAACACCAGAGAGAGACCGGAGAGACATCAGGGAGACTAGAGAGGGACCAGAGAGAGACTGAACAGAGAGAAGAAAGAGAGGGAGAGACCATAGAGAGGGACCATAGAGAGGGACCAGAGAGAGACCCGAGAGAGAACCCTGAGAGAACCCTGAGAGAAACCTGAGAGAAGAGACCAGAGAGAGACCAGAGGGAGACCAGAGAGAGACCAGAGAGAGACTAGAGAGAGACTAGAGAGAGACTAGAGAGAGACTAGAGAGAGACTAGAGAAAGACCAGAAAGAGACCAGAAAGAGACCAGAAAGAGACCAGAGAGAGACCAGAGAGAGACTAGCGAGACCAGAGAGACCAGAGAGAGACTAGCGAGAGACTAGCGAGAGACTAGCGAGAGACCAGAGAGACCAGAGAGACCAGAGAGACCAGAGAGAGACCAGAGAGAGACCAGAGAGAGACCAGAGAGAGACCAGAGAGAGACCAGAGAGAGACCAGAGAGAGACCAGAGAGAGACCAGAGAGAGACCAGAGAGAGACCAGAGAGAGACCAGAGAGAGACCAGAGAGAGACCAGCGAGAGACTAGCGAGAGACCAGAGAGAGACTAGAGACAAACCAGAAAAACAGTCACACAATCAGGTGTGACAGAAGATGAAATAGAGAGAGCAGAGAGAGAGAACAGTGAGACGACAGAGACCAGAGATACCAGAGAGACATGGCACAGAGACCAGAGAGAGAGACCAGAGAGAGCCCATCACACAGTAGTTCTTCTTTAAACTCCTGGGCATTGTCACACACCAAACTGTAACTAAAACCTGTGCATGTTTTAAACCCAATCAGGTTCAGTGAGAGAAGATGAAAGAGTCTTAATTTTGAAATCTAATAGCATCATGTCTTCTGTCCTCTGCAGACATCCACGTGTGTCTGCCCTCTCAGTTCAAGTGCAGCCACCCCAGCCGCTGCATCCCGGGGATCTTCCGCTGCAACGGCCAGGACAACTGTGGCGACGGAGAGGACGAGAAGGACTGTCGTGAGTGCAACACACACTGAGAGCAGTGTTTCAAAAGCATCATTTTATTCAAAGAGAGAGAGACCAGAGAGGGAGACTAGAGGGAAAGACCAGAGAGAGAGAGACTAAGGAGAGAGACCAGAGAGAGACTGAAGAGAGAGAGAGAGAGAGAGAGACTGGAGAGAGACTAGAGAGAGAGACCAGAGAGCGAGTCCAGAGAGAGGACAGGGACCAGGGACTCTTTCCTTTTTAGTGGAAGTTGCACTTGTTCACACAGTACAAGAATATCATTTCATAACATAAGTTTAATCTCTTTTACAGAAGTATTCATTTCCCGGGAAGCCCCAAATTTAGACAAGACACCCAAAAACTTTTTTGACTAGACATATCGAACGTCCACTTTTTGTCCTGACTCTGTGACACGTTTCCGAATGCTGCGTTATATGCAGTCGTTTCTAAAATAATTACTACAGATTTCCCATTTCCTGACCTTTGCCTTTGACCACGATCACAAAATATGCAAAAACACAATGACCGGAGAGAAATCAGAGAGACCAGAGAGAGAGAGAAAGACCAGAGAGTGACCAGAGGGAGACTTTTTTCCATTTTAGTGGAAGCTCTATAGAAGTATCCACTTTTGCATTCATGAAACTTGGGACTTTCAGGGAAACCTTTTTAAATCAGAATTATTAAACGGCCGCGTTTGACTCCGTGACATGTTTTCTAATCCTGCGTTAAGTGCCGTCGTTTCTGAAATAATTTCCGCAGCTTTGCCGTCTCCTGACCTTTCACTTTGACCACGATCATGAAATGTGCAAAAACATAATGACTGTGACCTTTTCCGAAGCCATTCATCATCGCACTCTGACAGCCTGGCACAGTCACACCTGAGCCACGGAGGGGGAAGAATGGGTCGAAATTCATGATGGATTCTCAATATGTGGGCTGATGTAAAGTTGCTGACTTTTACCGAGCAGTGATCTTTATGAAAACTACTTTTAGGGATAGCACAAAGAAACGCTATAAGTTTGTGTTTGGTTTTAAGTCATTGCGGTTTGGGAATCAACTCTGTACCTTCCAATTCTCAACACTTTAAACATATCCTATTGTTCACCATTTTACCACATTGTCCTTCATTAGTCACAGACCTGGAGAGGTTTTTTGCTCTGTCCACGCTAATATCAAGACATTCTGGCACAAACGCGTAGCTCCGCCCCTTCTGTCTAAAAGCTCCAGTCTCAGTCCTTTAACAGTATGATGTCATTGCACCACTATGACATCACTCCGAGAAGTTTTCTGCCTTTGTGGCAAACTCACATCTTTACAATCACATGTAATTTGTAAAAAGACAAAGCAAATTCAGGTGGTAGCATAAGCAGTTACAGGTGGAAAGTATTTTTCTACCCTCTTGTCTTTCTCTCTGGTCTCTCTCTCTGGTCTTTCTCTCCGGTCTGTCTTTGGTCTCTTGCTCTCTCTTTGGTCTTAAAAAAAAGTAAAAAGTGTAATTCTCGTGTTTTTTTGCAATGCACGATATTTCATCTTTAACTCTAACTAAATGTGTGTGTTACAGCGGAGGTGACGTGTGCTCCAAACCAGTTCCAGTGCGCCATCACCAAACGCTGCATCCCCCGAGTCTGGATCTGTGACCGCGACAACGACTGCGTGGACGGATCCGACGAGCCGGCCAACTGCAGTGAGAGATATACCAGCAAGACTGATATAGAATACAGGACTGCAGTAATATAACCTCAGGGAGAGACCAGAGTGAGAACTGAGAGAAACCAGAGAGAGAATAGAGAGAGAATAGAGAGGAAACAGAGAGAGACCAGGGAGAGACCAGGAAGAGACCAAAGAGAGACCAGAGAGAGACCAGAGAGAGACCAGGGAGATAACAGAGAGAGACCAGAGAGAGACCAGGGAGATAACAGAGAGAGACCAGAGAGAGACCAGAGAGAGAATAGAGAGAGAATAGAGAGGAAACAGAGAGAGACCAGAGAGAGACCAGGGAGAGACCAGGGAGAGACCAGAGAGAGACCAGAGAGAGACCAGAGAGAGACCAGAGAGAGACCAGAGAGAGACCAGAGAGAGACCAGGGAGAGACCAGGGAGAGACCAGAAAGAGACCAGGGAGATAACGGAGAGAGACCAGGAAGATACCAGAGATAGACCAGGGTATTAACAGAGAGAGACCAGAGCCACCAGAAAGACCTGAGTGAGACCAGTAAGAGACTTGAGAGGGACCAGAGAGAGACCAGGGTTTAAAAAGAGAGCGAGCAGGGAGAGACCAGAGCTACCAGAAAGGCCTGTGTGAGACCAGTAAGAGACTAGAGAGAGACCAGAGAGAGAAGACCAGGGAGACCAGAGACTCCACATCTAAAAACAGCTGCTTGTTCACTCTCCATCTAATCTGACAGAGCTTGTGTTTTGCAAAAAAAGAATGGGAAAAAAAAAACAGTCTCTGAATTTCTGAAGCTTATAGAAACAAACAAACACATGACATCAGTTTCCGTTTTCCACTTTTTCATATCACTGTGACATCATTATAGTGTTAGCCTTAATGCAGAAGAGGTCATTTAGAGTGTAGCTCGAACGGGCTATTTGAGCGGGACTGTGGAGCCAAATGTCATGTTAATGTTGTTGGTAGCAACGACCAAGTTTTCAATAACCAATCAGGAGCGACGCCAGGCTGTCTCCTCTAGCGTTACTCACTACTAAAGCCAAATTTGGTGAGAGAAGGCTACTGATTGGTCAGTTGCAAGGACACATGTCGGGATTTACAAAGACAATACCATAATGTAAACACATCCTAGTGCCAATTCATAGATTTTTTAAACCTAAAATGATTTGACACAAGCTAGAGGAGTGAGAGCATTGAGCTAGCGGGTTAGCACTGTCCATCTGTATACAGTCTATGGTCCAAACTCTGTCCCTCGTGTCTCTAGCTCAGATGACGTGTGGAGTGGACGAGTTCCGCTGTAAAGACTCGGGTCGCTGTATCCCGGCGCGATGGAAGTGTGACGGGGAAGACGACTGTGGAGACGCCTCCGACGAGCCCAAAGAGGAGTGTGGTACGACCTTGTCTTTTTTTGTGATATTTGAAATAACAGAACCATGAACGTCAGCTCTCATAAGGCATTCAAAATCACTGCTATATTCCTTCCAAAAGACTGAAGTGGGACTGTATCCTGAGAAGGTGTTTGTTTGGTTTGAATCTATTACTCTTTCCACACTGAGATGTAACACTGAGCTCTCTCACTGATTTAATATTGTTAGAATAGAAGCAGGGGAACTGAATGGACGTCTTTGTGACTGTTTCCCGCAGACGAGAGGACGTGTGAGCCGTACCAGTTCCGGTGCAAGAACAACCGCTGTGTCCCCGGGCGCTGGAGATGTGACTACGACAACGACTGTGGAGACAACTCTGACGAAGACAAATGCGGTACGTCAGAAACCGCTACAATCTCTGTCCGGTCTCTCTCTAATCTCTCTGGTCATTCTCAGGTCTCTCTCTGGTTTCTCTCTGATCTTTCTCCTTGGTCTCTCTCTGGTCTCTCAGGTCTTTCTGGTCTCTCTCTGGTCTCTCTCTAATCTCTCTGGTCATTCTCAGGTCTCTTTCTGGTTTCTCTCTGGTCATTCTCAGGTCTCTCTCTGGTTTCTCTCTGATCTTTCTCCTTGGTCTCTCTCTGGTCTCTCAGGTCTTTCTGGTCTCTCTCTGATCTTTCTCCTTGGTCTCTCTCTGGTCTTTCAGGTTTTTCTAGTCTCTCTCTGGTTTCTGGGATCCAATCGTTGCCATTTGTTTTTGATTGTATAATGCAAGTGAACATTTGTTTTTCATTCAACTTCAACTCTGTCAAATATGAACCTATATAGATACGTTATACCTAATTTTAAATCTCAGAACAGCCTGAATCCAGCCAGTCACATGGTGTCGGCCCCTGGACAAGTCTGCTTTTTCTTTTCTTTATCTTTGCATTATAATAGATACATTACTCGCTGGACTATTAGGCACACAAATAATGAAGGTTAATTTTGTCCATTTACAAATTTGCCAATGTAACATGTACTACATTGCCAAACCGTGACATAATACTAAAGCTGGAGGTTCCATTGTATAATTTTGTTTTAAGAACTATATAAATAATATTAACATCAAGATATAAACACCACGTCAAGGTAAAAAACATCGCTTTCTCACAATTGTCTCTTAGAAGAAGAACCCAATGACTGTATAAAACTCCATTACGTCTACTTTCTTTAAACTGACAAAAGATTAAGAGATCCTTTGTTCGCCCCGCAGTGGGGAAATTTCAATAAAGAAGTAGCTCTCTGCCATTTTCGTCCTGAATAAGTAGCTCTCCGTGGCGTGGCTAGCCGTGGGTTTGGGTGAATCTCTTTAACATTCTAGCCCAGCCATTCCCAAACTCAGTAACACCGAGGCCCCCTTAAAAATCTGACGGGTCTGCGTGGCCCCCCAAAATAATAACCAAGAAGACAACATTAAGAATAGGCTCTTCCGGTTATTTTATTTTGGGGAAATAGCCTCTGCTACAAACATTGTAATACAAAAATGATTACAGTGGATTATTCAAGTCAAATAATGAACACAAATATTTTAATATTACAAACAAAACATTATAAATTTAACATTAAATAATTATGTTATTTTTTTTTTTAAATTTATGACCTCCCGCGGCCCCCCTGCAGGACCCCACTTTGGGAGACACTGTTCTAGCCCATTATAATGCACTTCCCTCTGGTTTAGGAAGGGCCGTCTTGTCTTCTTAATGGACATAAAAGTATTTGGTTGTTCCATACCAGACGATGTTATTACCATGACATGTTTCCCTCTGAGCCTCGACACGATCTAAACTACACGCCAATCTTTCCCCCTGTCGTCTATGGTCGACACTGCATTTCAAAACGGTTAAAGTCCACTGTATCGGTGGAATCGGTGGAATCGGCTTCTCTCTCTCTGTTTGTGTTTTTTGCTCTGGTCTCAGTGAGTCTCATGTTTCACCTCCTCATGTTCATGTCATTTGTTTTGCATCTCTCTGGGCTCCGAACGCAGAGGTAGGTCCTTCCACAGGCCCCTCCTCCTCCCTCCTCCCAGACGTCCGATACGTTCTCTGCCTTTGCTCGCCTCTCCGCTCCCTGCAGCTCCTCACGTAGCCTGGCCAGACGTCTTCAAGGCTGCTTGCGATGTTTTAGGTGGATTTCAGCATTTATTCATATTATATTTATACACATATATTTTGTTCAATGTACGTTTTTAAAGTATTTCTATGACCATAAAATCATGCTGGTTACATAGCAATAACGAAAAGCCAGACAGTTTTTAAATGTAATCTTACCTTATTACCTCATATACGATAAGAGAGGTAATATTTAACTTCAGGAACTTCTGGCACAAACATGTAACTTCTGTCTCTGTCCTGTAAAGAGCAGCTTTCTGCCTTTATAAACAAAAGTATTGCCCATGAATTAGCTTTGGCGACTCGTCTGTAGAAGCATGTCTGTATTTGCAGTTGTCACTTTTCAAATTAGCAAAAAAAGACAAACAAAACAAACTCTACTCCTCCCTCTAGTGGCAGCTTAGGGACATTACAGGCCATTTCTACTTTTTTCACACATATTTCACCATATATTTAGTTTAGACAATATATTTTCACATTAATGACACATTCTAAACTGTGAAATGACAAAGTAAATGATGTCATTATCATTTGATTGGCCAACACTAATGCATCATATTTGGTCTTTGATTCAATAATAGCTGGTAATACTCACTGGCCAGGCTACTACTACTACTACTACTACTACTACTACTTCTCAAAACTCCTTTCTTCCAGAACTTTTCCTGTGCTTTTGTGGCCTATACCAACAGCTCCTTTTGTATTTGGAAAAAGCCCGCTCCTATAATCTTCTCCTATTACCCCCCCACTCCTCTATACCTTTGTGTAAACGGTTCCCAGACCTTCTGAAGTGGCCTATCTTTCCCTGCAGTGCCTCGCAAGTGTTCGGAGAGCGAGTTTTCCTGCACCAACGGGCGCTGTATCGCCGGCCGCTGGAAATGCGACGGAGACCACGACTGCTCAGACGGATCGGATGAAGTAACGTGGATCTGCTTTTTAATATTTTTTTGCCTGAGAGAGCGGCGATCCGCGGAGCCCTGGGGAGAGATTATAATGTGATTTTTTTTTTTTCTATTTTCTGCAGAATGGCTGTGATCTGAAGTGTGACAGTGACCAGTATCAGTGCAAAAGCGGACACTGCATTCCCATTCGCTGGAGGTGCGACGCCGACACGGACTGTCTGGACGGCAGCGATGAGCAGCACTGCGACCGCGGAGGTATGCAACAAAAGAAACTATGAATTTAGGATATTAAAGCTGGGGTACCTAATTCTTAAATCACATGCAATGGAAAATTGTAATCAAATTCATGCCACTAGTGTCTTGTGATTGAAGCAAACTGTCACATCTTTAGATCAGACTGAAAAGTGAAATAAAGCGAACCACCCTCATTCAGCCAATCAGAGACTAGAGAGACTAGAGAAAGACCAGAGAGACCAGAGAGAGACCAGAGAGAGACCAGAGAGAGACCAGAGAGAGACCAGAGAGAGACCAGAGAGAGACCAGAGAGAGACCAGAGAGAGACCAGAGAGAGACCAGAGAGAGACCAGAGAGAGACCAGAGAGAGACCAGAGAGAGACCAGAGAGAGGCCAGAGAGAGACCAGAGAGAGGCCAGAGAGAGGCCAGAGAGAGACCAGAGAGAGACCAGAGAGAGACCAGAGAGAGACCAGAGAGAGACCAGAGAGAGACCAGAGAGAGACCAGAGAGAGGCCAGAGAGAGGCCAGAGAGAGACCTGAAAGAGGCCATAGAGATTCCAGAGAGAGACCAGAGAGAGACCAGAGAGAGACCAGAGAGAGACCAGAGAGAGGCCAGAGAGAGGCCAGAGAGAGGCCAGAGAGAGGCCAGAGAGAGGCCAGAGAGAGGCCAGAGAGAGGCCAGAGAGAGGCCAGAGAGAGGCCAGAGAGAGGCCAGAGAGAGGCCAGAGAGAGGCCAGAGAGAGGCCAGAGAGAGACCAGAGAGAGACCAGAGAGAGACCAGAGAGAGACCAGAGAGAGACCAGATAGAGAATAGAGAGACCAGAGAGAGACCAGAGAATGACCAGACCTGCGAGAGACCTCTTCAGACTGTTAAGTGACAAAGAGGATACCACCCTCAATCAGCTCCAAGCTCCAAATAACAAGTGCGCAATAGATTAAATGTTTTCTAACACAATAAAAGACAACATGTCTGATTTTTTAACACAATTTGACTTTTACTCTTATTGTTGGGACAAATACAAAGTTACGTACCCCAGCTGTAAAGGGACATTAAATGCAAAAAAAGACAAACAAAATCCTGCGATTGCTAACTTCATTTGGTCTGTTTGGCTGGAGGAGACGGGGCTCATGATTAAAGCCAGTAATCCCCTTTTGATGCTCTCCCTGTGTCTGCAGTGGGCCGACACTGCCCCCTGGAGGAGTTCCAGTGCAACAACACGCTGTGCAAACCTCTGGGCTGGAAGTGTGACGGGGAAGACGACTGCGGAGACAACTCAGACGAGAGCCCCAAAGAGTGTGGTACGGTCTCTGCGATAATCTCTGTTACATCTCTGTCACTGGTTAGAGGTGCTCTCAGCTCATATGTTATCGCTTTTTATTCAGACTTAGTTTAGCGGAATGGCACGTTCTGAAAATTTTTGTGATATAAATGATAGTTTTGCATCATTCATCATATCATTGACATATTGTCTGTAGTCTCTCTCTGATATCTCTCTGGTCTCTTTCTAGTCTGTGGTCTATCTCTGGTCTCTTTCTGATCTCTCTCTGGTCTGTAGTTTCTCATTGGTCTGTAGTCTCTCTCTGGTCCCTCTCTGGTCTCTCTGGACTCTCACTGGTCTCTTTCTGATCTCTCTCTGGTCTGTGGTCTCTCTGTGGTCTCTCACTGCTCTCTCTCTGGTCTCTTTCTGATCTCTCTCTGGTCTGTGGTCTCTTTCTGGTCTCTTTCAGATCTCTCTCTGGTCTGTGGTATCTCTCTGGTGTCTCTCTCTGGACTCTCACTGAACTCTCACTGGTCTGTGGTCTCTCTCTGGTCTCTCTCTGGTCTCGCTCTCTGGTAGAGTAGACTTGGGCTCATGGTCTTTAGATGTTCACTAGATAAAAGCAGACCGCCACAAGACGCTGAGGAAACACCTTTAATACGATGTTATTATTATGACTTCATGATGCGCTGTCAATGTTTTTCTCATGTTTATCTCGTGTTTTCCCGTTGGTCCTCAGTGCGGTTCCAGTGCCCGCCCACTCGTCAGTTCCGTTGCCATAACGACCGTGTGTGTTTGTCTTTGTCCAAACGTTGTGATGGAGTCAACAACTGTGGAGACAACAGCGACGAACTCAACTGCTGTAAGCTGGGATCATAATAGCTGAATAGACAAGAGTTTTGTCAAAATCAAATCTAAAACCAACACCTTCTTCACAAAGGCCCTGATAGAAATCCTCGTCTTATTCCTTTTTTAGTCATTCATGATTTGAGAATCATAACGAGACCTTTTTAGTTCTGCGGCCATATGTACGGTGAGTCTTGGCACCTGGGTTGGTAAAACGGTGGTGGGCGGGACATCAAACTTAAAACAATAACAAGATTTAGGGGCTGAACCACTGTTATCAGTTACAGAAGTATTCAAAAATAGCATGATTTATTAATACTTTTTGACATATTAGGGCTTTTTAATGATTGCTTGAAACTAAAATCTTACATATTGCTACTTTAAGCGTCAGTGTAAATGCGCCTGACTTTTGTGGCCCTGATACCCTTAAAAGAAATCCAGACTTTATATTTGTCAGCTGCTGCTTTCTGGACGATAAGGCCATTTATGTTTACATTGATAAACATTTTGTCCACATATAGGCTGCATTTGAATATGAGCCACAGGTTTCCATGTTGTAATGTAACATAGACGACTGTTTCAACACGATCAAATGACGAATGTCGATTATCAGTCAAAATATTAAGTGCTTAAACTCTGCTCTGACAACATCACCAACAAAACTTCCACACAAAAAATACACATATTAGCCGCATCGCTATATAAGCCGCAAGGTAAAAAAAAAACTAGAAACAAGTTGCGGCTTATAGTCCAGAAATGACGTAATGGCCTTTTAATTAAGTTTTATTAATCTCACAAACTTGTGGTGTTTTGGGACGCTCTCCTGGCCTTTGGTGGTAACAGAACCTCTGCTCCTTGTGCGCAGTGCCCCCGTCGCCGCCCGTCTGCCACAAGGATGAGTTCCGGTGCTCGAGTGGCCGCTGCATCAGTCTGAACCTGCGCTGCGACGGCTTCAACGACTGTGAGGACTACGGCTCCGACGAGAGCGGCTGCAACAAGAGAGGTGAGAGCTGTTTGTGATTCAATTCAATGTGTTAATGTTTAGTTTGAAATCACAACAGCAGTCGCTTTAGTGCAATAATTATAAAGACATAGGCGCCATTGGTCCATAGAGAGCAGGATCATCACTGTCCTTAAACCCTCCTGCATCGGCGAGGAACCACTCAAAAACCCAGAGAGGAAAGTGAGAAACCTCAGGGAGACCCATATGGAGAGAGGGATCTGCTCCCATGGATGGACAGGCTGTAGATCCAGGACTGAGGATGTTGGACGGGGGCTGAGGTTACGCGGCGCAGGCGGGGAGGAGGTCTCATCATCATGGCATGAAGCAGACAGTGTGACATTAGGTGAATAGGAATGAACCAACTACAGCTGAACTCATGACGGCTGACGAAGTAGAAGAGAGGAGAGGATAGTGCTCAAGACAGGAGCGGTTTGTGAGACTACAGCATTGCTAGCAGCTGGATCATTTATAAGATTATTATTATATATACTCGTTTGACACTCTGGCTCTGGTCTCTGCTCAAACTGGAGAATGGTGTTTGGGTCGTGTCCTCACCTCGACAGCGAGAATCATCCCTGAGCTGATTCTTCCTCGTGTCTTGCAGACGGCGCCCTGAGTGATTGTCGTGCCTCCAGCTCTTCGTGCGGAGACGGAGACGAGGCGCACTGCGTGGTCAACGGCACCGACTCCTTCTGCTCCTGCAAACAGGGCTTCAGCTCTGACGGACACAAGCGCTGCCAAGGTACACAACCACTGCAAAGGTACACAACCACTGCAAAGGTATAGGACAGAACCCACGATCTATAGATTATACACATTTACAGATGTATCTATAGATATTGTTGCCTTGTTATGTCTCTGAATAAAGTTAAAACAGATTTTCTTTGTTTAAAAAGAAAAAAAGCATATATTTATCCATTCGCCTCCAAAAGAAATTTTTTTTTTACAATATAGGCTTCTTAATTTGTTTGTTTTGTTATTGCTGTTTACAGTGCATCGATCTATTTAACGGTCTTGAACTGTGAAATAAACGCAACAGTGTATCTTACTTTCACGCGTTGGTTTTTGTGTTGACGTTTTGTGTTTCCGTTAGATAAAAACGAGTGCAGTGAGTTCGGCGCCTGCTCCCACATCTGCAACAACACAAAAGGCTCGCACAAGTGCATCTGCCACAAGTACTTCAGCCGCATCAACGACACGTGCAAGGCCGACTGTGAGTACGCACTCACACTGCACAACGAACACTTCACACACTGTCGTCATGGAGACTGATGCTCTGTGTGGGATCAGGCAGGAGCTGTACTTTTGTTCTAGATCAGCGCTCCAGATTGTTTGCATTGTTTTTTGTCCTTTAACATTGCCATGAGAATATTTACTTGTTATGGTTTCAATTCAATGTACTGGTTTATCGGCCTAAATCACAACAGCAGTCGTCTCGCATGACTTTACAAAGTTTGCGAACAACGAATCAAAGAATCAAACAGTTCAAAGATAGGAAATGCAATAATAACACACGCATAGGAGCAATTAGTTCATAGAGAGCGGGTTGACCACAGTCCAGATATGTCCCTATACGTCCCGGATCACTGTCCTTAGACCCTCCTCCTGCATCGGCGAGGAACCACTCGAAATATGTACAATGTTAAATGATTGCTTGCACGCTAAAGTCTTTGGAACCTCCATATTCCAGGTGTAAAATTGCCTCATTCAAAATCCCCATAGAAGTTTTGAAACGTACAACAACAGCAGTCTGAGGACAAGAAAAAACAAGAAATATTAATAATGATAATGAGACTATTAAAGAGATTCTTTATTTGTCCCACAGAGGGGACATTTCACTTTACTTTGTCAATTTCAGTTTTGCTGTATTTTCAGGTTTTAGAATGTGAAATAATATCTTCAAAAGAAAAAATATGGTGAAACAAGTATGAAGGGTGAAAAGGTCTTTCTGCCTGTAACTCCCGATGCTGCCACCAGAGGGAGGAGAAGAATTTGTTTCCCCCCCCTAATTTTGAACATTTAACAGCTACAAACAGAGGGTAAAAAATATTATTTCAGCAAATAAATCACCAAAACTAATTTATGGGCAATAGTTTTGTTTGAAAAGCCAAAACCTCTAAGTGGTACAATGACATCATACTGTTGCAGGACTGAGATAGGAGCTTTTAGTCAGAAGGGGTGGAGCTACGTTTGTGCCAAGTTCATGATATTAGCGTGGATGGATCTGTTTTGTGTCTTAACTTTCCACTGAGAAAACCCTTTTTATTGGGCCACTGACCAAAATGAGTTGGACACCTCTGTGCTCAAAGTTTACCGAAGTTTACCTTTTTTATGCTTCACCTTATTTTTTAGATTTCCACATGTCTTTAAAATGACCATAATGCTGTGAATTTATCAGGAAGAGTGGTTATTATAATTAGCATGTTCGCTTGATTGATAAGTGATTACAAATACAATGGGATTTTAAATTAATGAATTATTTCTGGTTTATTCTGGTACTGTGACCTTCTTGAGATTTGCCTCGTCCCATAGACGTTGATTAGAAGTCCTCATCGTCAAGATCTCATCAGAGTCCGTATTTGTGCAGTATTAATTCTGGTCTGGTTTCTCTCAGTCCCGCGTCAGGTTTTGTACATCGCAGACGATAACGAGATCCGCAGCCTGGACCCTGGCGTGCCGAGCTGGAGGTATGAGCAGATCTTCCAGGGAGACGCCAACGTGCGCATCAACGCCATGGACGTCCACATCAAGACGAACAAAGTGTACTGGACCAACTGGCACACGGGCCGCATCTCCTCCTACGAGCTCAACCCCAGCCTCTTCTCCCCCAACGGCAACAACCGCAACCGCCGCCAGACCGAGTCCCGGCTCTCGCATGTTGAGGTGAGGCCAGTGACTCTAGCTCCTCAAAGGGCCGGTGTGGCTGCAGGTTTTCATTCCAATCAAGCAGGAGGCAAGCAAGACAGGTTTATACAGTATGTTTAGTTTATGCTATACTCGGCTTTGATACAATACAATACAATACAATTTATTCTTGTATAGCCCTAGGTCTCAACAGAAGTCATCTCAGAGGACTTAACAAAACCATTGAAATCACCAACACAGGTCAGAGAATCAACAGTTAAAACACATGAAGAATGCAGTATAAAGCACACACAGAAGAAAATGTCCATACATGTTGTAGAATGCTAAAGTGTCCTGATCATCACCAATCCTTTCTGTTGGACACTAACTGTCCAACAAGAACCTCCTGCATCGACAAGGAAAAACTCTTAAAAAACCCAGTGGGAAAAAGTGAGAAACCTTGGGGAGAACTAGGGAAACCCACAGGGAGGGAGACCCATTTGAGAAAGGGATCCGCTCCTCCGGACGGACAGGCTAATGATCTAGGACCTAAGCTAGCTACAGAACGTGGACCAGTGGCCGCTGAACGTGGACAGGTCCGGTGCAGGACTAAAGCACTCCCAGGCGGGTCGGGCGGGGCAGTCCGCAGGTGCAGATGGAGGAGGCCAGGCTCAGAGATCCCGTCATCGTACCATGAAACAGACAATGGGACAACGGGTGAATAGCAATGAACAAACTACAGCCAAAATCCTAATAATGCTAAACAGATAAAGTAGGAAGGAGAGGATAGTGCTCAAGTTACCATACTTCTCCCAGGCTTTAATGCGCCAGTGTGTTCGGTATTTTGCTCCTGTCATCAGAGAATGGAAAAGTATCTGATTTCTGAACATTGTAAAGCCCTTTGGGGGACCTTTGTCTGTAAAATGCGCTATATAAATAAACATTACTTACTTACAAGCAGAGTTAGACAAAATGTACTTCAAAAACCTTATACATCAGTACTTGTTACTGTTATTTCAAAGTAATGTGTTACACTACAGTATTAATGTCTCTGGATTGTAAAAAATTACTACTCTTGCATTACTCACTAAGTTACTTTCACCAAATACTATATACTAGTAAATGTGGCTTATTATTATTATAGCTATTGTGTGAGGTTGATAGAGCTTTTACTTCAGTGGTGTCTGTGTATCACTTTCGCTAAAAATGATCTAATTCAGGGGTTTCAAACTGGTTCCAGAAAGGGCATACATGTGTGGCTACAGGTTTTCATTCCAACCAAGCAGGAGTAGACTAGACCCAACCCATTTCCTCAAGTGAGCTCAGTCTGAAACTGGAGACTTGAGGAAATGGATGGAGTCTGGTCTGCTCCTGCTTGGTTGGAATGAAAACCTGCAGAGTTGAATATATCCCTGACCCGGGCCACATGCAGACGTTGGGGACCTGACCCTGTCCTTGCCTTAGATTCCAGACCTGAAGATGCCTCGTGGGATCGCCGTGGACTGGGTGGCCGGTAACCTGTACTGGACCGACTCTGGACGCGACGTGATCGAGGTGGCCCAGCTGAGCGGAGGACGCCATCGCAAAACCCTGATCTCCGGCATGATCGACGAGCCGTACGCCATCGTGGTCGACCCGCACAGAGGGTGAGGACTTTTACATCAGGAGAGGCTTGGATGAAGATTAAGTGACCACAGTGGGCAAATTCCAGTGTTGCATCATCAGTTGCAGAACAGTTGGAATGAGGAGCATACGGCACAAAATAAATGAACAATAACTCTATAGTAAAATAAAATGAAATAAAATCTATAACTTTAGCATATACACAGAAGCAAGTTTAAAATCTCCAGCCGTCTATTGCATCTGAGTGCTTCTGTCTATGCCAAATGTGACATCTAAAATCTCCAACTTTAGCATAATGAAGAAGCAAGAATTAAGTACAAAATCTCTGACTTTAGCACAAATTCTTCGTTGTGCTCGTCCTAAACAACTCTCATTTGATTATACATGTGTATCTAGATTGTTATAGATATTTAAAGGTACTGTACTCTGAGTCATTTTTACAGTTGCTCCAAATGAAAAAACATGTTAACTAATAACAAATGTGAACTTTTTAAAGAATATTTACCTCCAGAATGTTTTTGAATTGTTGTCATTGACTGATAAATGTCCATGAGGCTGGAGGACTCTACGTGTCAATGCGCCATCTTGAAATACAGTGGTTGATAAGGGACAAAAAGGAGTTTGAGCAGGAGTTGGGGACCACTGTCAAAGACGATATATTGTCCTACCTTAGTGCAGTAAAATACCATATATGATCTCAATGCTAGATGGGACTAAAAACTACACAGTGTACACCTTTAAAGGCCAAAATGAACATGACTATTGCATCCCTATTGTTGCTGACAGTGCTGTTTAAAACTGATTATTCGGTTTAATTTTTTTCATTCTACTTCACTACTTTTTTCTGAACAGGAAAATGTACTGGGCCGACTGGGGAAACCATCCGAAGATCGAAACAGCAGCGATGGACGGCACCATGAGGGAGACGTTGGTGGAGAAGAACATTCAGTGGCCCACAGGTACGAGCTAAAGCGGTCCAGCTGTGTCTTCTGTCAAAATGGACCCAAATCAACATCAATTCTAGTCTAAAGAATCTTGTAAAAAAGCTGCCTCGTCTGTCTTCTCTGTGTGTTCTCAGGTTTGGCTGTGGACTACTTTAACGAGCGTCTGTACTGGGCCGACGCCAAACTCTCGGTGATCGGAAGCATCCGCCTCAACGGCAGCGACGCGGTGGTGGCCGTCAGCAGCATCAACAACAGTAAGGACAGTGTTTAACTATACTATCACTGTACTGTCAAATGGAAAACGCTCAAACAGGTGTTTCCAGATTTTAGGGATTTTTTTTCAATTGTTGGTTTCAGTTTTGTTCCTTTTACTCAATGAACCTTGTCCTCAGACCCTACATAATTTCAAGCAAGAATGTTTGAATAGAATATGTGTTAACAAATATTGGCTTACCTCAGGGCTGTCAAACTCATTAAGGTCAAGGGCCAAATTCGAACAGTCGCTGCAGTCGAGGGGCCAAAACTATGAGTGGAGGTATTTTGACCAATGAAGATATTTAATAAAATGATTAGTTTTATGTCTGGATATTATTTTCTGGTGGATTTTTTCTGATCACAAGGAGTTCAGTTTGTTTGCTTGGATTGAATCAAAACTGGAGTAAAAGTCAAGGTTTGTAAATTGTAGACATTTTCTTTACAATTTGCTAATACATGTTGGGTTTCAGATTTTGGAATGGATTGAATGAAATTGTTTCTGTTAAATTAGGTTGGAAAATGAGCTTTAAGATTCCATGTTAACATATTACCATCAACGCTGCAAGTCATAATAATTGATCATCAGTTCAGTTCTGGGGCCACAAAAATGGTCCTGTGGGTCTTGTGTTTGACACTTTGCCAAATATGTGGCCAGTCAGTGGTGTCTTCCAAAGTGATTGATTCTGGATCACATACGCAAAATATCAGAGGGCTGTTGTCTTTAGTCTTTCACATGATGATAGATAACTGTATTTGCAGACTCAAGGTCCAGATCAACACAGACACAGACAAGGGGAAAAAAAACAATTGCATAGGTGACCCAAATTTGTACGAACTGGTTATTTAAATGTTATCCAACAATTTGTCGACAGAAACTGCCAAAATCAGAAGACATGGAACAATACTTTGGTTATACTTCATGAACTTGCAAAAGTCTTCTGGGATTTGTTTCGGTCCAATTCATAATATCTAATATTTGAAAGCTTTAGTCAGACCCCTGGACAAGTTTAAGTCGACCCAGAATTTCTTTGGATTTGATTTGAGCCCTTGTCAAACTACAGCTACCTGCGTCTAGAACTACAACCTGAATTGATCTCATTTCACCTCAGACCTAATGTTCCAACTTGTTTTTCTCGTTTGTCAGAAATGCACCAGCCGTTCAGCATCGACGTGTTCGAGGATTACATCTACGGCGTCACCTACATCAACAACTACGTGTTCAGGGTGAATAAATTTGGCAGAGGTCCGGTGGAAAACCTGACCACCGGAATGAACCACGCCACGGATCTGGTGCTGTACCACCGCAACAAGCAGCCCGAGAGTGAGTGGGGGCGGGTTACTACGCAAACATAGCATGGCTGTTTTTAAAGCAGTTTTAAATCTCTGTCCATGGTGACGGCGAGGTTGGTGGCATTCAGACATAGACAATTTTATTTATTTTTTTACTTCCCCAAGGCGGTCCAGCAGAGGTGTCTAGCCGTTCCATAGAATGTAGAGGCCTCTTGAGCAGGAGTGGGCAATTATTTTTTGGGGAGGGGCAGACTGGGAGATATTGTGGATGCCCAGACGCAATTTCACGTGTTTAATTTTTAAATCTATTTCGAATAAATGTATAACATGCCAGTCCTGATTCATTTAATTAAGAAATAGACCGGTTTAAGGTTAACAATTGGAAAGGCTTCCAGGGGCCGCATACAAATGTTAATCGGGCCTGATGTCGCCCCGGGCTGTAATTTTCCCAGGTCTGCTCTTGAGAATACTCTTGTTGATTACAGTTGCCGACTGAAGGGTTTTAGTGGAAGACATATTTTCCTATGGGAAAAAGTAGTTTTTTGTTTCTCACTTGGAATAATTGGAATAAGAAACACGATGTAAAGCTGTTTGTTCTTTGGTAAATCTTGTTTAAAGTAAAGAATTAAAAAGAGAATGTTGCTGGGGAGATGTGTTGCTCGGCAGTTTCTGAGTTTCCTTCTGATTTCAGTGACAAACCCGTGCGACAGGAAGAAGTGTGAGTGGCTGTGTTTGCTGAGTCCCAGTGGACCGGTCTGCACGTGTCCAAACGGGCGGTACCTGGACAACGGCACCTGTGTGGAGCTGCCCCCACCCACCCTCTCCCCCATTTGTGAGTATTAGAAATGTATTAAATCCTCCTCAAAAGTCCCCTGTGTTCCCCCAACCAGCTGTAACATAATCAGAATCAGAATCAGAATCAGAATCAGAATCATTTTTATTGCCAACGTAAGTAACGGGAGGTCACAGACTTGGAAATTGCTTTGGCTCAGTGCAACAGTCAAAAAGAGATAATAAAAATAAGAATAAAAAACACTTCTAAAGAATAAATTTAAATTTAAAATAGAGTTACAGTTACTATTTACAATATACAAGTGCACATGGTGCACACAATGTAAGGTGACAGCAGTACAGTGAAGTAAAGTGACGTATGATGGGCAGTAAAGTGACTTTATAAAGGGCGGGGGGACAGGTTAAGAAGTGTTCAAGAGTCCAACAGCAGAGGGGAAGAAACTGTTCTTGTGGCGGGAGGTTCTAGTCCTGATGGACCGCAGCCTCCTGCCTGAGGGGAGTGGTTGGAATAGTCCATGTGCAGGGTGAGAGGGGTCGGCTGTGATACGACCAGCCCGGCCTCGAGCTCGGGCGACGTACAGGTCCTGCAGCGATGGAAGGCTGCGGCCGATCACTTCCTCTGCAGAGCGCACAATGCGCTGTAGTCTCTGTTTGTCCCTGACTGTGGCTCCAGCGAACCACACGGTGATGGAGGAGGTGAGGATGGACTCGATGATGGCCGTGTAGAACTGCACCAACATCTGTGCAGGCAGCTTGGCTTTCCTGAGCTGCCGCAGGAAGTACAACCTCTGCTGGGCCTTCTTGATGAGGGAGCTGATGGTCGGCTCCCACTTGAGGTCCTGGGTGATGGTGGTGCCCAGGAAACGGAAGGACTCCACAGAGGTGATGGGGGAGTCCATCACGGAGGGTGGGGGCGGGGGGACAGTGCTCTTCCTGAAGTCCACAATCATCTCCACTGTCTTCTGGGCGTTCAGCTCCAGGTTGTTACCACTGCACCAGGACACCAGCCGGTCCTCCTCCTCCTCACTGAGGGTGTAACAAAGTATTTGATTCAATTTATTTGTGTATATCCCTAAATCACAACAGTAATAAACAACCACAAAAAAGCGCCCGCCTATAACCTATAACCTATCCACTGTCTCCTCTCTCTCCTCCACAGCTCCCCCTAGTGGCCCGTGCCTGGTGCAGTGTCTGAACGGAGGCACCTGCTTCCTGAACGCCCACAAACAGCCCAAGTGCCGCTGCCAGCCCAACTACGGAGGAGACCGCTGCGAAGTGGACCAGTGCCGAGACTACTGCCGCAACGGAGGCACCTGCACGCCATCGCCTACAGGTCAGACCCGGTGGAATCAATATGTAGCGATGGTCGGAATGAACGGAGGCTTCGAGGCGTGTGTCGATTAATCGGTGCAGCCTCAAACCAACGCGTCCTGACCTGTGGGGGCGGGTCCCGGCTCAAAAAGGTCCATGAGCACGTGCGCTGACATACATGCAATACCACTCCGGGCCAGTGGGGGTGTACCCAGAAAGAGAATTACCCATGCTTTTGTAAGGCGTCTTCTTTCCTCTCAAAAACGGCTTAAAGAGCGACTAAACACCTGTGCCCAGCCTTACTCCGCCCACATGAAGATTTGAAAATTTTCTCTAAAAAGGACGTTGCCTGGAGGACCAAGGGACAATAAGGGGGGCTTAGAGTTGGGCGTGGTCTGGGCTGTGATTGACAGCTGACTTGTCACAAAAAAAAAAAACAGACAGTTGTCATTGCTGCTTAAAGCAATAGTTTACAGACCAGAAAGTCTCATTCAACCCTTGTTTACACACTAAGATAATTGTAAAGCTACACACCTGAACCTAATCACACTCAATAATCTCAGAATGACTCGTGTAATTTAATTTTAATCCACTAGATGGCGCCAGAATACTCCAAACTGCAGCTGGGGCGTGTGTGAGTTGAATGGGTTCACATCACTGGCTCTGACAGACTGACGTCACACAAAACAACTGATGTCATAGAGAACTTCAGAGTCAATGGAGAGGCCAGGACCAAATTCAAATGTAGTACCACCAAAAAGGTTGAGAGGGCGCCACACAGCGTTTTTTGGCTCAAAAGTGATATTTTATCTAATTTGAACTAAAATGTCAAACAAATGACCAGGATATGTAGACAGCACTACAATAAACATACTTATGCAGTTTATGAGTTAAAAAAAGTTGATTTGGTGTTTCGTCGCTCTTTAACAGGATGGTCTGAAAGTTGCTCTTAGCCCAAAGATGTGTGTCAATGATGAGGAGAGTGTTTTTTTTTTTTTTGGACCAGTCTAGTTTAGCCGCTATAGACTTTACAATGCACTCAGCAAATGAATGGCGCTCATGCCGGCTAATGCATGCGCAAATGTGTTTTTTCAATATTTTCCTGCCCCGCTGCCATTTTGAAACTGCCCATAGAAGCCAAAAGTGGTGGCACATTAGTTTCACGTAGGAGATGGTGAAGACTAATTTTATGTCTTCTAAATGTCCAGATGAACACTTGAACTGAGATAGGTTTCACTTCTTCCGTTAATATTTACAGTCTATGGTTAAGACCCACCACATGACTGGTCCAGGAAGTGGTTCGCTGGTTTAAGGAAAATAAAAGGCACATCTTGAGTTGTTTGTTTGGTATTTGCTAAAACAAGATGGAACCGGCAAAAATGTTGCAATTACTGGAAATCGAGCAATTATACATTTTGGCTTCTGGATGGCGTCATAGAGTAAACAAAAACATTATGAAGCATCGGTACATATATGAAGCCTGATGTAGAACAGTGATGTCTGACCCTCTCGTTGTCCCAGGCTCGCCCACGTGCCGCTGTCGGACCGGCTTCACTGGCCCCACATGCAACCTGCGCACCTGCAGCGGCTACTGCCAGAACGGAGGCACTTGTTCTGTGAGTGCGGGGAACCAGCCGACCTGCACCTGCCCCGCCGAGCGCCTCGGGGACCAGTGCCAGTACAGTGAGTCTGCCACAGGAGCTCTGAAAGCACCACTCTTTGATAGAATCATGTCAGACCTGGGTAATAAGCAGCTCCAAAACACTAGGATCACATTTGCAGATACTTTGTCAACGTTCTCCTTTAGTCTTGAGCTTTAAAGAGGCGTGTCACAGTAACATTTATCACTTATTTTTTCAGTGGATTGATTTGATTATTACAGGTTTCAAATGTTTTTTGTTTGATACGAGAAATCCAATAAAAAACAGTGTATTGTATTTTTGTGTAGCCCTAATTCACAGCCAACACAGATCAGAGAATCAAACAGTTCAAACACAAAAAATGCAATAATAAAAAACACGCAGAGCCATTGGTCCATAAAAGGCAGATGACCAATGTCCATAAATGGCATTGTATCAGGCTTAGGTGGCTTTGTGACTCTGGTCTGTGAAAGGCGCTACATAGATAAAGATTTACTTACTTACTTGAATGAAGAGTGGAGTGTCCTGGATCATCACCACAGTCCTTGGACCCTCCCTCAATTCAATCTAATTCCATTTATTTGCGTAGAGCTGTCACTGGAGGACTTTAAAAGTTGTAGATTCCTCAACAACAGATCAGAGAATCAATGTATGAGCAGGAGGAAGTGTGGAGAGGGAAGTCAGGGCGTCTGCTTAAACAAAGTGGATAAAACTTACGGCTATCCACGGTTGTTTGCTACTGAAAAACATCTTTGAAAGATCAGACGTTTAGGAATGTTACCTCCGGAAACACGAGGCGAGCAGCAGGCACGTCACAGCACCATGGTATGATTTTATGTTTGCTGTGACGACACTTTTGTTTTTATGTTTGATTTGAGAGATTGACGGCAGATTTTCTTTTTGGAGTCTTTCCTATTCATCCTGTTTTGAGTTCTTCCCAAAAATAAGTCAGAAATTTCCCAGATTTTGCAACATGCATCATAATTTGAGCATATTTTGACTGCCTTAAAACAAGATTTGCTAATGGGACAAACACACTTAATTTGCTTTAAAAATGTACAAGAAATTTCTCCGTTGGAATGAGAAAATAAAGTTCTTGAAATAAGGCTAAATGGCTTTGTCCCATTGGCAAATCTTGTTTTAATACAGTCCGAATGTACTCAAATTAAGATAAAAACCACTCAATTCTTATATTACCTCATATTCTATCATTTTTTGCAGTGCATTCCCAGTATATACGTTTGGAACCGCACCAGGACGAGCCCTGATTGGACCATCGTCTTCTTCATGTTGTTTCTGTCCTCGTGTTTCAGGCAGCTGCGAGGGCCACTGTGAGAACCGCGGCACGTGTCTGCAGAGCGCCGACGGCTCGCGCATGTGCCGCTGTCTGCCGCAGTTCAGCGGAGGACAGTGCGAAGTCGACAGGTGCCACTACTGCAGAGACGGCCGCTGCGTCACCAACAACGGCTTTGGGTCCATGCCCGAGTTCACCTGCATGTGAGCCCCCACACTGCACTGTACCGCTAATATTTGTTTTCTTTGTTATTCCTTTTATTCCTTTTATTTGTTTTTGTTTATTTCATTTTTGGTAATTATTTTGTTTATTTTGTTGATTTTGTTTCCATCCATCCATCCATTTTCTACCCTTTAATCCATTTCTGGGTCAGGGGGGTGGCAATCATAGATGCCACCCAAGAAACAAAATAAAAAGAAATAAACATTTTTAAAAAGAACACACAACACATGATACAAGCACTACACACACACACACATGGACACAGGCCCAAAAACTCTCTGACCCCACACCTCTCTCCCACGACTCGCTCTGTCCTGGGATGAGATGCAGAAGAGAAACACCTGAAATCCTCTGAACTCTTGTGTTTCTGCAGCTGCTCCAACGGTCGAGTGCAGCCCAGCTGTTACACCTGCGACACTAACGAGTACTGCGCTAACGGACAGTGCTCTATCAACCCCCTCAGCCACCTCCCCGAGTGCAGGTGAGTGTGTGTGTGTGTGTGTGTGTGTGTGTGTGTGCGTGTGTGTGCATGTGTGTGCGTGTGTTGTTTTTTTGGTCGAAACTTATTTTCTCGATATGAAATTAGTTCCTTTTTGTGAATTCTAAACAGTATCTTCTCCTGATGTTTGCAGATGTTCCGCGGGTTGGACCGGACACCGCTGTGCAGTGCTGGCCCCTAGTGGTGAACCAGGAACAGGAGGACGTAAGTCTATCTCTAGAACTCTTTTTAGTAAGAGGACCACTTTAGCGTAAAACAGTTTTGACTGGACTCAGGCGGTTGTGGGCTTTACACTTTGGTACAATGTGTCTCTATTAATTCACATCACAGCTATGAAAGAAATATTCAAAAACAATCATCATTAGATACAAATAAAGTAGGTTCTGAGTGTTGGAGCTGAAGTTGGCTGGATGACACTGTGAAAGTACCTCATGCCTGCTTTACCTTCTTTTGTTGTTTTTCCTCAGGCACCGCATCCATCGTGGTCCCAGTGCTGCTTCTGCTGCTGTTGCTGCTAGCTGTGGGTGCGATGCTGTGGTACCGGCGCCGCATGAGAGGGTGAGGCCCCGCCCCCAAATGGAGGAACACCCCAGGAGTGTGTGGCGTTAGATCAGAGTCCGTCTGTCAGGATTAAGAACGTGGACTTCTGTCGTATACAGTTTCATTCTCAGGAGGAGATGCCGTTGTTTTAGTCATGGTAATATGGAGAGGTTTGTGCAAGGCAGCCTAGGAATTTACAGGAACTGGAGGCTTTCTGCTAAGAAGAATGTATGGCTGCGCCATCAGAGAGGCAAGGCAAGTTTATTTGTATAGCACAATTCATACACAAAGCAACTCAAAGTGCTGAACAAGGATAAATAACCTCATCCACAGCTACCAACATAGACTCCAAGCTGTCATGGATGTCACACTGCAAAAACTGTAAAATATGAGGTAGTAAACGCTTGAATGGAGTGTTTTTTATCTTCATTTGAGTGATTGTGTTAAAACAAGTTTTGCCCATGAGACATTTGTTGTTGCTTTATTTTCTCATTCCAAGGCCTTTCTCTTTTTACCAAGTTAATTTAGCGTGTCCCGTCTTGTTTTACGGCAGTCAAGATGTGCTCAATTTCAGAAACATGTTGCCAAATTTGAGCAATTGTTTGGCTTGTTTTTCATCTCTTTTTGCAGTGTAAAGGTGCAATACTCCAGAGCGTACATCAGGAGTTTACTGACGGAGCGCTGATGTCACCGTAGTGTTAGTCTTAAAGAGGCCGATAACAGCTCCTTCAGAACTGAAAATCATTTGACATCATCGCAGATAAAGATTAGGCCTTATTGAGAACTACCTTTTTAGTCAAAGCCATCCTTTTGTATAGAGTTTGCTTGTTCTCCCAGTGCCTCCTCCCAATGCCCTCTCTGCTCCTGTCTGTCCCCTCCGTAGGTCTCACAGACTGGGGAAGTACGGCTCCAAGCGTCTGGGGTAACTGCGGTGTTGTGCCTGACTTGCATCGGATGTATCTGTGTGTTTTTCAGCTCTGTGTGACTGTGGTGCAGCAGTGTGTGACTGTGGTGCAGCAGTGTGTGGCTTTTGTGCTGGACTCAGATCTATGTGACTGTTCTTTTGATAGATCTGTCTGTGTTTCGAGGCAAAGCTGTTGTAGAGTTTTGTAACGTGCTGTGATCGTACTGTGGTACATTATGGTGTGGGCATTCAGCCTGAGAATGCATTTGTAAACCCAGCATTTATGATGATAGTCATAATGATAATAATGGATCTCTTTTATATATCTATCTTTTCAGGACACTCAAAGACGTGTCACATGTCATTATTCTTTTACTCCACACACATACATACACGCTGGTGATAAACTACTACTGTAGCCACAGCTGCCCTGGGGCACAGTGACAGATGCGAGGCCAACTAGTATGTGCCATTGGCCCCTCCCACCTTCGCCAGCCATTAATACACACCAGACTCATTCTATGTGGAGGAAGTGTCTTGCCTAAGGACAACGGTTTTTCACTCTCCAGCCGCCCTACCCGGTGTTCCCAAAGGTCTCCCATCGCTGTACTATTCAGCCCTGCTTAGCTTCAGAGGTCTGACGGGATCAGACTGGAAAGACTGCATCAGCAAAAGACATTAAAAATAAATCTAGTGGAAGGAGATACTGGGAGTGCTGGCTGTAGTTCCAATAGTAGGCGCTGTGAGCTCGGGTTGTCGAAAATATGAAAACATCTTTTATTATTCAATGCTATAATTAGTTCAGAAACTAGATACTCAATTGAGCAAATACACAACAATTGAAAAACAGGACATAATTGGACATTTTGGACAAAATATCAAGTAAATATTTGGTCTGGGAACAGTCTTTTTTCTGTCATGAAAGGTCAACCCAATAACTTACTCAAAAAAGACAAATGATATTTACCCAAATCTTCTGCCATCTGCTGGATCTGTAAACGAACGGTCTGTCCTACATGACATACATTTTTTGTTGTTGAAGTGGAAATATCTCAGTTTATTGCCTAAAAACATGAACATAATTCCTCTATTCCACATTAGTTAAGGTGAAAAACTGCGTTCTGACTTCAGGTCGTTTGAAATACTCCAGACATAGACTGCTGACATGAAGGAGGATGTGGTCCCGGTCTCATCCTGGTCTCATCCTGGTCTCATCCTGGTCTCATCCTGGTCTCATCCCATTCTCATCCCGGTCAGAAGTGTAAATGCTGGGTTAGATGCCTCCTGTCCGTCAGCTGCAGTGCTCACAGTCGCCCACACATCCTCTCTTTAAAACCCTCACTCACGCTCTCGGCTGCTTCTGCTGCTCTGTTCCAGGGCCAAAGGCTTCCAGCACCAGAGAATGACCAACGGAGCCATGAACGTGGAGATCGGGAACCCGGCGTACAAGATCTACGAGGGCGAGCCGGAGGACGACGCCGGGGAGCTGCTGGACGCCGACTTCACGCTCGACCCAGATAAGGTCAGTTTGGGGAAACTAAGAACACGTCCGAGAGAAATCCTAAAACCATGTCAAACTAAGGAGTCCATTTTAGTGGCCCTTTGATATGATTTTCTATGATCAATAATACAGTATCCTATGGCATGTTATACTTCATTTTAAAGCTTACTTTCTCAGGAAAACAACCATATAATTGAAAGTAGTTAGAAGTTAAGGCCAAATATGTATTTTTTTATATTTAACTATGAATCTATTACATCAATTACATCTTTTTGATATTTGACCCAGTTGTGATTGAATCCAAACCTTATATAAAATAATATTCAAACTCATGCTAAATAAATTAATTTGTCAAAATGCTTTTGGCCAAAGTATTGCTCTTATGTTTTTAAACTTGGCCAAACAAAAAATTAGTCATAGACTGTATGTATTTGGAGTAGAGATGTCCGATAACATCGGCCCACCGATATTATCATAAAAATGTAATATCGGTTAATATCGTTATTGGATTTTTTTTGCCTTGAAACCGATAAAATAATGCTTGCGTTACAACCTGCCTATGCTCCTGAAAAATAACCCACTCATTGACATCGGTATCGGCTGATATCGGAATCAAAAATTGAGAGTTGGACAATATCGGCATATCGGATATCGGCAAAAAGCCAATATCGGATATCCCTAATTTGGAGTTGACTGAGTGAGTGTGACATCACCATAGTGTTAGCCTTAAAGACCTTATGACGGGTTTAAAAAAAAAAAAATTGTGGATATCTAAATTGCATGACAATGTCAATTTGAAAGAGATTCCGGCAAAAAAAATCCTATATTTTATAACAAGAACGTGTTTTTCATGAATTTAAGTTGTCTATGCTCTAACCTGTGTGTGACGTCATAGCGGGTTACGCCCATGCATTGAAAACCATGGATCTATGCCACAGGACTGCCTTTTCTCTCTTCTCTCCACTGATGCCCAACACAATACTGCACTCTACAGGTGACAATTGCTCACTACACATAAATTGCCGTTTTGAGTGTGAAAAAGTGTCCTAGGTGGGATTTGAACCCAAGTCTCTGAATTGACAGTCCATCGACACAACCACTGGACTATCTCAGTGACAACGAAATGTGACATTCTAGTATTTATATTAGACTCGCTGTACACGGCCTTGTCATCTTGAATATCCGCGAATAAAGAACGAATACCAAATTGTAAACAACTTACAGCGTTGAAACGTACCCGTTCTGACGTCACCAAGGGCTGTGAAATTTTTTCGTTTCTAAGGGCGTTGCTATGGGGTTATTTCGATTTGGGGGGATCAGACAAAAAAAACAACTGATTTTGAAACCTTTAGTAGTTCTCTTCTAATATAAAATGGTATTAAAACTGTATTTCTAAATAAATCAAACCTGTTATAAGGTCTTTAATGAGGAAAAGGGGGATTTGAACATAAGATAACGCCTCGTTCTTGTTGCGTTGCAGCCCACAAACTTCACAAACCCGGTGTACGCCACGCTGTACATGGGCGCGCACAACAGCCGGAACTCTCTGGCCAGTACGGACGAGAAGAAGGAGCTGCTGTGCCGTGGAGACGAGGAGCCTCTGGTCGACCCGCTCACATAGAGACTGCCCCCAACAGAACCTACGCCTTCACACTGTGGGGGTGGGACCAGGACATGACCATGTTACCAGAACATCACTGTTATTCATCAAGAGTCGCTAAAACAAAACTAGCATCAAGACCAATCCAGGCCAGAAAAAGTTGCTAACAAAGAGCAGATTTGAAGCTTTCAACTGATGAAGTGAAAAACAGCATTTCTGTGTCCTGGCTAATGCTATTATTAGAACAATTAACAGATTGTAAACAAAATTATTGGGTCTAAAACGTTTAATTTTAAGAAATTGAAGCTTAGCACAGCCGGGATAGGTAAACAACACAGCTGCTAGCAAAATGTTAGCATAATGTTAGCTTGTTAGCATCAGGATTTGTATTCATTGGAACAGGTCCAAGCTAATGAGAGAGAAACACTTTCTTGACTTAATTCTGTCTTAACTAAACTACTGCTCTCCAATTTTTTAAGAATTGTTCACGTTAGCTTAGCATCAGAAAACAAAACAGATGCTAGCATAAAGTTAGCATATTTTTGGCTTGGAATTTCAGCAATTCAAGCCACATCATGCTAATATTCACATAAGAATCCTGTTTATGTAGATTTGTAATATATTTTAATAAAATGGAGCAAAGAAATGTGTTATTAAGATAAAAATGAGAAAATATTGCATTTGCTTTGATCCAGAAAAATGGAAAATATGTTAGCATTAAATTTAACAACTCTAGAGACTTCTGATTACTATACGGAATAGTATAAAATGGACGAATTTAACAAATAAGAGCAGAGCTAAAGAGAAAGTTTGCGGCTTGATATAATGAACCGGATGAAGACCGTTTTTGGGTTGTTTTCTACTTTTCCTCCATTGCACTTAAATGCCATTAAAAATTCCAATATGGCGGTTGCCCATGACAACGGTCCTGGTCCCATCCCTACTTCACACCAACAACATCGAGTGCCGACACTGTAAAAATGTACAAACGAAGGACTACTTTTGTATGTGATCGCAGTATTTTTTTTCTTTTTTTGAGATTTTTTCTTTCCTCCAATTAAAAAAAAAGAAATCTAACATTTTCTATGAGAGAGAAAGAGAGAGATTTATAATTTTCACTCGTCCCTGTCGTCCCTTTACCGAGATAAGCCACTACCTCTGCGCACACGAGGAGAAGATGCTGGAGACGCCGTCCAATGAAGAAAAGTTGAATTTTTTATTATTTTTGTACGGAATATTACAGAAGAAAAAGAGAGCGTTTCACCAGTGCCACGTTCGAGGTCCGAGCGGGAAAAGTCGGTACATGTTTGTGTTTTGTTCTCGTGAGAGGAACTCGTGAAAATACTGAAATGGTACGATGTGGGCTGGGCGATACGGCCGGGAAACTCCAGCGTCGTATATTTGTCACAAAAAAGCTGAATTACATTTAATTCGTCAAACATGTTTCATTATCGGTAAAAGCCCTGGTTCTAATGTGACGTCCACAGCCAATAGCATCAAGTGACTATTTTTTACAGTTATAAGCAACTTTAACTGTAGAAAGTTGGAATAAATGTTTTGACAGATCACTAGAGCTGGTAAAACAGATGCTGACGAAAAATCTGAAATTATCAACCTTTTTAACTACATAATTTATGTTTTAATAAATATATTAGCATTTTTAGGTTGGAGTAAAAAAACAAGGGTGTTTAGAAAGGGGCTTTTAATGAATTTTGATACAAATTGTCATTGGTAACGGCCCTGAACTTTGGGTAATGGCCAAAAGAACGAGATCCTGGACAAAATAAGCGGAAGAAAATGGATGGATGGATAAATGGTGTTGGAGTGAAACCATAGTATCGGTCATCAATACAATGATGACTAAAAAAAAAGCACTGTAAAAAAGAAAAAGTGTGGTTTTTGACAATGGCACCAGTCTGGCTTTATTTCTTATTTTTTATGTTAAATTATAAAGACGTCCCTGTTTTAAATCCAGTAAAACATTTGGATGGTCCCTGTATCGTCCAGCCCTCACCATGCGTTCCCACGGAAACATGTTGCTGCTGGTGTCTTCCACGGTCTGCCAGCGTTAGAGCTACGGGTCTTCGTTACCGTTTGTAAAGTGTGTCGTATCCTCACTTTGTTTGACAGTGTTACGTGTTGAAGCGAAACCTCAAAAGGCACCTTTGAGTTAAGCGTCTGAAGAGAAACAGACGGAGATGACGACAGGTCTTCGGTTCAAGCGGTTCGGAAATGAAAGAATCAAAAGAGTTACATGTGGATGAAGTGAAGAGGCCTTTTTTTTTAAACATGTGACTACATTGTTCCCTCATCACAAACAGACCTGGAGTTTGTGTGTAGCTACATCGACGCTAATACCCTGTACTTCTGGCACGAGCACTTCCCCCCACCCCTTCTGTCTGAATGCTCTGTTTTCAAACTTATCACAAAATAATGACACTAAAAAATATTTACTTAACCTACCACCTACCCCGCCCATAGCTCAACACAATAACTGCCCCTCTACAGCGAAATGTGATGTTGAGGATATTCACTTTGGCATTTCATGTGTGAGGATGTGAAAGCATTGACTAAAGCTGGGGTATGTAACTTTCAAACCACATAGATTAGAGACAGTTGGCTTCTATCCCTAGATTTCACATCGTGTATGTTTGGCCTCTGTCACATCTTTAGATCAGCTTTTTTCAGACAGAAAAGTGAATGAGTGGACCGCCCTCACTCAGCCAATCAGCTCTCAGCGTCACAAGGCTCTTTCTGACATGTTTTCTAGTCAGAGGAACTACTCTACTCTACTTGGTTGTGTTTTTATTACACGTTTTTATCTGGTACAATATCCTAGCAAACTACCCACAACAAACCCGTATCTGGGAAAAATCCCTCGGTAACCATGGCAACCAGTTGCACTCTGGCCAATCACAGTCAGTCACAACATTTTAGTACCAGCTCGGCCTGGATAGAACCAGGGCCAAGAGGGACTAGAGAAGGACCTGGGCCAGTAGAAGCACTGGCACAGAGTAGAGTAAGAGTAAGAGTAAGAGGTAGAGGTAGAGGTAGAGGTAGAGGTAGAGTAGGGCTGGTGGAAACAGGACTACTGTATCTATGTTTTAGAATGATTATTTTTATTTTTGCTGCTACTGGACATCTGAATTTCTCCTACGGGGATCAATAAAGTATCTATCTATATAGCATTGAAGGCCTACAGCTGTACAGAACTTATTTTAACTGGAGAAATTCTCAAAACAAATTCAAAGGAAAAACGTTGAAAAGCCAGATACCAGCTCTGTCTGTGACGTCATAGTGTTACGAGTTAGAAAAATGAGCTTTCAGACAGAAGGGGCAGGGGGACATATTTGTGCTGGAAGTTCCTGACATCAGCGTGGATGGAAGGAAAACAACTGTGACTGACGAGGAACTGTTGTAACACTGTTAAAAATGAACAAAAAAGACGATTTTGTAGAATATCTCCTTCAATACATTTGTGTGGAATTCTACAAGACAAAAACAACCATAAAACTGGACAAAATATTGGGTTTTTCCGACAAATGTGACCAGCCTCTACTTTCAAACTGTCGTATGAACGTTGTGGAAGTCTTCCTCCAAAAGGCCAGTTGTAATCGTATCGGGAGGAAAAGAGACGGAATGAAATCAATAAGAATATTTGGCTTTTTTTTTTTTTTTTTGCTAAATTTTGTGAAATGTTTTAATACGTGCATTTCTTTTCTTCTTGATGTTCCGTGTGTGTTTTTAGGGCTGCACGATGATACGATTAGACAATAGAAACGCGGCAATAGTTTCAAATAATGGAAATACTTATTACTGAAGCCAAAATGTCTTTTAGTGCGGTCCTGGAATAGATAAAAATAGGAAAAACGCATCAAAAATCAGACCGTGTGCGTAGAATTGGTGTGAATGCTGTTGATTATTGCCGATTTTGAGATTTGAAGCATTTCCGTGCAGTCCTAAGTGAAATTGGCCTCTTTATGTTTTGTGTGGTCCACTGCTGCTATAACTGCTACCATTGTGGTCGCTGTGTCCTTACGTCCCCAGAAATGCTGCTTTTTTGTCTTAATAGGTTGAGTTCAACGCATTTTATAAGTTAATATCGAATTGATATTGGCTTGTTCCACAGTTTAGTCCATTTTAAGACCATTTTACTGCAGTCATCACAAGGCTACATAAGGCAGTAATTTTCAATGAGACTTTTGAATCGAACGACAGAATAATCAGGGTAACTATATAAAACCCTTTCAAATGTGCAAATGGGAAATCAGAGGAAAACACTAAACTAATAATATCCTATTGCAGAAAAATGTCAGTAATAAACATGTTTTAATAAGACCATACCGCAATGTATTATTTCAAAAATTAAATGCAGAAATTGGCCATGTTTTCAGTATTTGAAAGTCCTTCAAAAATTGGGAATGATTAAATGAGCAGAAAAACCAGTGTTATTTTTGTTGATTAACAATGATGAGACGCTTTCATGTTTAAGAATGTGAATATCTATCGGAATATACTGTATGGTTAATCCTTGTGAAACCAAGTGGAACGTCGTCATTAAGTAAGTGCAAAACTGGAATATTGGAGAGACCAGAGAAAGACCAGAAACCAGAGAAATACCACAGAGACAAGAGAAAGACCAGAGAGACAGGAAAATGAGACCAGATAGAGACTGAAGTGACTGTAAAATGGGACCAGAGAAAGACCAGAGAGACAGGGAAATGAGACCACAATTGTAAACCGCTTTGTGACTCTGGTCTGTGAAAGGCGGTATATGAATAAAGATTACTTACTTACTTACTTACCAGAGAAAGACCAGAGACCAGAGAGAGACCAGAGAGGCAGGAAAATGGGACCAGAGAAAGACCAGAGAGACCAGAGAAAGACCAGAGAGACAGGGAAATGAGTCCAGGGAGACAAGAGAGCGACCAGAGATAAAGAGAGAGAGACCAAAGAAAGACAAGAGAGACCATAGAAAGACTAGAGAAGGACAAGAGAGAGACCATAGATAGACCAGAAGCAGCCAATCAGCTCTCAGCCCAAAGAGTCAAACAGGCTCTTTCTGACACAAAAAATAACATGTTTTATAATAATTGTTTGATTTGTTCACAACATTTTACTTTGACAAGACTCTTGACAATTATGTTTAATTAATACAACATCTTTATTATTTTATTTGCAGATGCATTGGAAATATATTTATTTTAACCAATTGACTTTAATTTAAACGCCGTCGTCTGAACTCAACCTATTGTCGCGTCAGCCATATTTAATGCATGTGACAAACTCCACCACACAGAACATTTGAGTCCGTCTATTGTCGAGTCTTAGTTTGGACGGAGAGAACAATCATGTCCAGAGAATCGCACATGTGTTTTGGGAGTTGTGTTTTTGATCAATATTTGTGTTTGTTTTGTATGGAAATCGACACACGGCTTTTGTAGTACACGATGCATGGAGGCTCCGACTTTCTCCTGGAAACACAATATTCTTTCATTTTCACTAGAGTAATTTACAAAGACAGATATTGTTATAAATAAAATTGTACAGAAAAAAAGTTTCTTTGTGGTTTTTTTATTGTCACTGTGTCAAAATAAATGCATTTTCCAAATTTACTTCTATCACTAGTTTTCACACGAGACCAGGGGAACGACCAGAGAGAGACCGAAGAGACCAGGAAGAGAGACTAGAGAGATACCATAGAGCAGTGGTCCCCAAGCCCCGGAGAGAGAGCAGAGAGAGAGACCAGAGAGAGAAACCAGAGGGAGAAGAGACCAGAGGAGAAGAGAGACCAGAGGGAGAAGATAGAGCAGAGAGATTAGAGAGAGACCAGAGGGAGAAGAGAGAGCAGAGAGAGAGAGCAGGGGGAGAAGAGAGAGCAGAGAGATTAGAGAGAGAAACCAGAGGGAGAAGAGAGAGAACAATAGTGACTCACAGGGCTCTTTCTCACACACTTGTCAACATGTTTTCTCATCAGCCGGAGACAGAATGTTGCGGTTTGATTTATTCACAACATTTTACTTTTACAAGCCTCTTTCCGTTGGACAAACAACATGTAATAATAATAAACAGAAAGTTAGGAACCCCAGCTTTACCATTTGCCTCTTTTGAAACATCTATGAAGCATTTCCGATTCTTTTTGCCAAAATCTATATAAACACATCATTTTGTCAATGTTTAGTCATTTCATTTTTTGTCTAAAAGTCTCCAGTGTGAAAACCCCTGTTCTCATAACGACGAGATACAGTCCACAATCATTTACACAAAACTATTCTTAGATATATCTTTTTTTCCCACGACTTTGTGCGGATGATTCTTGTAAAAATAAATAGAACCTTGAGACAGAACACGTATATTCATATTTTTACACGACCTCAATCCCAAGATGCTCCACAACTGAAGTCTACACCTCTGATAGGAATTATTGTACAGTATTCCTGAAAAAACAAAAATCACACAATACCATCCCACACTAAGAGTTCATCTGCAAAAACGTGTCAAAAAGTGTATTTGTATGGCACTAAAACAGATATATTCTAAGCTTTTCCCGGTATTCATTATTATTATAGACTTTTATTTTAAGAGGAAAGTGGTAGGATGCAGTGGTCCCTCGCTAAATCACGGTTCACCTTTCGGGGCCTCGCTGTTTTGTGGATTTTTTGTGGTCAATTTAGCTTTTTACTGATTTTTTTTTTAAACCTCAAAAACAACATTTACAGCCTCATGCGCTAGTATAACATGATCAATGACATTATCTAAAGTTAGTTAGTTAAACGTTTGTGGCTTCTGTGATTAGTGCAGAGGACTACAGCGGACTTCCCGTAGTAGAAGTCTCTATCTAGTCTAGCCTAGTATCTAGTCTCTCTCCGGTCCCTTTCTCTGGTCTCTCAATCTGGCCTCTCTCTGGTCTTTTTCACTTGTCTCTAGTATCTCTCTGGTCTCTCTCTGTTCTTTCTATTCGATCTCTTTCTTTAGTCTTTTTCTAGCCTCTCTCTGGGGTCTCTCGGATATTTTTCTCTGATCTCTCTCTCCCTGGTCTCTCTCTGGTCTCTCTCTGGTCTCTCTCTGGTCTCTCTCTGGTCTCTCTCTGGTCTCTATCTAGTCTCTATCTAGTCTCTCTCTGTTCTTTCTATTCGATCTCTTTCTCTGGTCTCTATCTGGCCTCTTTCCAGTCTTGATCTTGTCTCTCTCTGATCTCTATCTCTCTATGGTCTCTCTGTTCTCACTCTGGTCTGTACGCATGGCTTTTAACAGCTGCAGCAGCGCTCAGACCTACAACAGGTTTGATATCTCTGCGCTCACACTTTAGTCACCAGGTGGTTAGAAAAGTGTATAACGTGTGTGTGATGGTTTAGAGCTGCTGCTTCAAGGATTTCACTTATTGTTAGTTATTTTTAGAACACATCACCCCCGCGAGAAACCAGGGACCACTGTATACGTCACTTATCTGTTTTTGCAAATGAACTGTTCGCTTATACCAAGCTCTGGCTGCTGAGTCAACGTGCTGAGAATAATTACACAATATTTAAAGGTCATTTCAGAGGAAAATAGAATAAAAGCAGAGTGTATTGCAGCGATCACTTGATGCCTTTGGCCTTCAGCTCGTCCTTCACGCGGCTCAGGTACTTGGGGTCCGGGTAACCGAAGCTGAAAGACACAACAAGGACTGGATTAGATAGATAGATAGATCGCGGCAATGGCGATCACAATCACTGACATGCAGATTTGCACGGGATTAGTATTATCAGAGGACGTCTGTGTTTGGACAAATACAGGATTACTTTACAAATTACAGACATAGCGCATTCGCACGAGACTAAGATCTCAGACGTCCTTCATTATTATCACCATTACCAGGGGTCCACAGGTAATACGAATCCCATCCGAATAGGGCTTTAGAAAGTTGGTTACCAAGCAAATAGAGCAGTCAAAAAGACCTCTCTGGGAGTTAAAGATACAGTGCCTTGCGAAAGTATTCGTATTGAAAGTATTGAACCTTTCAACATTTCGCCACATTTCAGGCTTCAAACATGAAGATATAAAATTTTAATTTTTTGTCATTAATCAACAACAAGTGGGACACAATCGTGAAGTGGAACAACATTTATTGGATAATTTTAACTTTTTTAACAAATAAAAAACTGAAAAGTGGGGCGTGCAATATTATTCGGCCCCTTTACTTTCAGTGCAGCAAACTCAGTCCAGAAGTTCAGTGAGGATCTTTGAATGATCCAATGTTGTCCTAAATGACTGATGATGATAAATAGAATGCACCTGTGTGTAATCAAGTCTCCGTATAAATGCACCTGCTCTTTGATAGTCTCAGGGTTCTGTTTAAAGCGCAGAGAGAACCATGAAGACAAAGGAACACACCAGGCAGGTCCGAGATACTGTTGTGGAGAAGTTTAAAGCCGGATTTGGATACAAAAAGATTTCCCAAGCTTTAAACATCTCAAGGAGCACTGTGCAAGCAATTATATTGAAATGGAAGGAGTATCAGACCACTGCAAATCTACCAAGACCCGGCCGTCCCTCCAAACTTTCATCTCAAACAAGGAGAAGACTGATCAGAGATGCAGCCAAGAGGCCCATGATCACTCTGGATGAACTGCAGAAAACTACAGCTGAGGGGGGAGAGTCTGTCCATAGGACAACAATCAGTCGTGCACTCCACAAATCTGGCCTTCATGGAAGAGTGGCAAGAAGAAAGCCATTTCTCAAAGATATCCATAAAAAGTCTTGTTTAAAGTTTGCCACAAGCCACCTTGGAGACACACCAAACATGTGGAAGAAGGTGCTCTGGTCAGATGAAACCAAAATCGAACTTTTTGGCCACAATGCAAAAGGATATGTTTGGCGTAAAAGCAACACAGCTCATCACCCTGAACACACCATCCCCACTGTCAAACATGGTGGTGGCAGCATCATGCTTTGGGCCTGCTTTTCTTCAGCAGGGACAGGGAAGATGGCTAAAATTGATGGGAAGATGGATGGAGCCAAATACAGGACCATTCTGGAAGAAAACCTGTTGGAGTCTGCAAAAGACCTGAGACTGGGACGGAGATTTATCTTCCAACAGGACAATGATCCAAAACATAAAGCCAAATCTACAATGGAATGGTTCACAAATAGACGTATCCAGGTGTTAGAATGGCCAAGTCAAAGTTCAGACCTGAATCCAATCGAGAATCTGTGGAAAGAGGTGAAGACTGCTGTTCACAAACGCTCTCCATCCAACCTCACTGAGCTCGAGCTGTTTTGCAAGGAAGAATGGGCAAGAATTCCAGTTTCTCGATGTGCAAAACTGATAGAGACATACCCCAAGCGACTTGCAGCTGTAATTGCAGCAAAAGGTGGCGCTACAAAGTATTAGCGCAAGGGGGGCGAATAATATTGCACGCCCCATTTTTCAGTTTTTTATTTGTTAAAAAAGTTTAAGTTCAAGTGTTGGAAAAAAAATTCTGAATTGCGTAATAGTTTAAATTCAAAGGTCAGCATCCATTTTATTACAGAAAAATAAAATAAAAAATAAACCGCCGACCACCTCCAACCTTTTGGGTGGTCAGAAACTGAAACTTGTTCTTATCAATTTGTGTATTTCAATATAAAATGATAGAAAGCATGTTACCCCTCGGGTCCGGCGTTCCTGGAGGTCTTGTGGTGGATGTCGTTCCACGTGACCATGTTCTCTGCTCCGGTGGTCCTGGACGTCCCCACAGTGAAGATGAGTTTCTGGTCGAACGCTCTCTTCAGCAGCTTCAGAACCTCGTTTCCCTCTCTGTTGTCAGGGAGATAGGCTCTTCTGTGTAAACTAGAGTACATTCGTCCAGGACTGGGGTGTTTGTCCTGTGGGAGGGGACAGTTCTAGAAATTACACATTTTCAAGGCTCGCTAGTATATGTTGTGCACCTGTTTACATAGAGCAAATTTGAAAAGAAAGTAAATTTTGTCTACATACAGCCAAGCCGCAGGGTTTCATGTTGTAATGTAACACGAAACCAACAACTAGACGAGCAAATGTTAGACAATGTTTTAACTACAACATGACTTGATGATGTTTTGATGATAAACGTGGGCCGTTGAGCTACTAAACCAGGAAGGAGTCAAAGTAATAGGTCCATTAACTAAATCTTCTCACAACAGCCCTAATCACCTCCCACAATGCCCTGGAGATACTCAACACAATAAACATACAGGGTTTGAACTTGAAATAAGTAGTGGCTTGTAGTCCGAAAATTACAGTAATGTCCCTGAAGCTGTTATGTTTTACCCAGGTCCTTTTTAGTTGCTGCCATCACTGCACAATTTGCGCTGCATGGTGCATCCAGCAGAGGGAGCTGAAAGCACCTTTGAAATCCATCGTATTTTTCTACAAATCCACACTTTTATTTACTCCAATCTGTGCGTGTGCAGTGCTGCCCTATACAGTCAGAGCTGATTGGTCAAGACAATCACATGTTCGCCTGTGCCTGAGGAAGTAAGACCGCAAGACCGAGAGGACCAGAGGTGGCCGAAATACGCCACTTCTGCTGAAATTTTGAGATCATACGTCAATGCGCACAGGCCATGGATTTAAATGGGCAGACATTTTGGATTAGATTGGAGGAGCTACTTTGTGTGAGTGAAAGTCTATTCGTTTGAATGGGAAAGGCGATTAACAGCTTGTGTTATTAACTATCTATGCGTTTGAGGCCTTTCAGTTTGTATTTTGGTGTCTTGGCAGCCAAGTTTAACTCGAACCTGGCTTGGTGGCCTCTACTTGATAGTTGCGACTACAACATACTAAGGCTACCATCAAAATGATTTTAAACGGATATCTATTATTATTACTACCAGTGCCTTTAAACAATGCAATGCCTGGTTTAAGACTATTGCTTATGAATAAAAAAAAACATAAATTACCGTCTGAATTCCAGATGGGATGTTATAGATGATCTCTATCGTTCCACATTGCTCATATCCAGGCAGAGATGAAGCACTTGTAAACCACGTCATCGTTCCGTCGGGCTGGTCTCCTCGCACCAATCCAAACACGTCTTTGCACACGGGACAAATCTCTCCCTGGTTTTTCATTGATTCGTCGAGACAGTCTTTACAAAACTCATGCTTACACTTCAGCGATGTCTTTTTGGTGAACAAATCCAAGCATATTGGACAACTCTCTTCCTCTTTCTCAATCGTTTTGTCTTTGCCGTTGCTTTGCTTTCTCTCTCTCCTTTCTTTGCCGCTTCCATCCCCCGACGTCTCGCTGTTACCGCTGGCTCCTTTAGCTTCGTCAACGCTGAACCTAGCGTCGTTTACGTTGCCAAATTCTGCGTTGTTTTCCAGGATTTGCATTGTTGCCACTCTTTGGTAAAGCCGTAGCAGCCCTCTGATTGCGTGGCTCTCCATTTGCGTATGTCTTTCAGGCCGATTGGAACGCACTCTGATGACTTTACTCCCATTTCTATCGTCTTCTGCTTTAAAACCCACATTAAAATTCTCCTTTATCTGGTCGAACTCTCTTTGATGCTGGTTTGTAAGGATCTCCCAGAAGATATCGTCTACTGGTAACCCTTCCATGACGAGCGGATCCTTGATACTTGAAGTTATCTCGATCTTGCTTGGAGTTTTACGATCTTCTGTGAAAGACTTTCCACGAAACCTGGAATATTCGCCGCCCATTCGTTCGTCATCGGTTGAATTTGTGGTAATTTTGACGGGTTGGAGGGCCTTTCCGATGGCTGTTTGAAACGGCTGCGGCCCGTGTATCTCAATGCGATTGGATGAAATCGTAATGTGGCATTTGTGGTCTGTCGTTTGGAGGAATTTCAGCGTATCCTTCCACTCGTTCGGATCTATGTTCTTGAGAGGGATGGACAGGGATTGGCTGGATTCACTCAGGCAAGATTGTACGAGCTGAGCAAAGTCGTTGGACGCTTTTTCCGGATTTGAGTTTTTCTTGTTGCCTTTGATCGAAACTGCAACGTTTTCGGTGATTGTGACGAAGTTCGCTCTTTCTATTTGCTGTAATTGGTCCTGGTAACAGTTCTTCATGTACCAATAAGGGCCCAACGCAACAAGATGAGGCTTTTCACTGTCGTCATTGTCTGAAGGAACCTCTGGCTGGAAATGGAAAAGAAGAATATGGCTGATGATAAAGAAAATCAAACAAAGCATAAAAGAGAAGGTTTCTTCAGGGGTGGATAGCAAAATTACTTGAAACTTCATCATGTATTTTTTGTTGTGTTTTATAGAGTTAAACTATTTCTTATACAGAATTTATAGGATCAGTCCAGTTCTCAGGTCTCTGCACCGCCCCCCTGTGGCTTAAAGAATAGACTTTAAAGCAGCTCTGCTTTTGTACGAGTCCATGACCTCACACTAAAGAACAAAATTGACATGTTAGTGCCAACAGACTCTGAGGAGCACAGGGACTGGCTGGGGAGGTTTTAATGTGCTGTGATTATTTATGATTTGAATGACTTGTGTGATGGTTTCTATTTGTTTTGTTAAGCACTTTGAGTCGCCTTGTGTATGAGCTGTGCAAGACTTGTTTATCTATTAAAAGATCAGATCTGATCCTTAATGTGCCGCTCTGTAAAACTAAACCCTGCAGAAACCTGACACATGATGGAATGAGGAGGTACGTACGTGTTTGCTCGACAGATGTGGAGAAGCGCTCTGGTCGTCCTCAGCTCTTTTGCTCTCATCGCTTATATTCCATGTATCAATAGAAAAAAAGTTTTTATCTTTCGTGGCTAATTTTTGTCCATTAAGTCTGTGAAGCTCCTGCAGCGCTGGTGGAAAGACAAAATGGTTTTAAAACATTTTGTTATAGAGATCCAGACGTTCATTACACATGTGTTCATTAGGCCCGAGCCCCGAACGGGGAAACAATGAGTTAGCAAGAGTTTGGGAATAAAGTGGCACTAACTTTTTACTTTTTACTAACCCAACATTTTACTTTTGTGCACAAATAACATGCATTTTTGAAAATGGGGAAAAATTTAGGTCTCCAAGCTTTAAATTCAGGAGTTTTGGTTGCGCTTTTGGGAGAGACTCGGGGAGACAAAGGAGATGTCCTGAACACGAGTCCATGGTTCTGTTCACGAGTCCATGGTTCTGTTCACGAGTCCATGGTTCTGTCCACGCGACTAGGGTCCGCGCGCGACACCACGTTACAGATGTGCGTTCGCTGAGCTGTTGTCAAAGCAGCTGTACAACGCAGCCACAGCTGCCCCGGGTCAGAGCGGAGGATGTGAATCCTGTTCAGAAATGGCATAATTCCTTTCCAAAAACGTCTTAATTAATATCACTTCTCACTCGCAACAATGCTCCCCGCTCCCTGTTACATGTTGGTCACGTCCAATTCTTACATTTCAAAGTAATTAGCTATCCGCTGCCACCTACTGATATGAACAGTTCAAAACAAGTCAGCACTCACCAACGCTGGATGCATTTATTTTTAGACTAGTGTGCCGCGGTACACTAGAACAGAATATAAAATCATAACTAAGGAGGTTCACAATTTATCAGTTAAGTCCAAAATGGCTTAACAGAGTAAGGGCTGCTTAAAGGAGCTATACCCGTTTCTGCAAGGTTTTTTTCAGTTTTGTCATGGTGTGGATTTCATTGTTATACTTTGGTTTTATTTTGATATCAGTTTTCTGTGCTTTGGTTTTAGTTGTACTTCCTGTCTTGTTCCCCTGTCTTGATTGTCTGCCCCGCCCTAATGTGTTTTACCTGTGTCTGTGTCTATTGACCAGATGCATCAACGTCATCCAGTCACGTGATTGTGAATGAGCTTACGGCGGAAGTATTGGAAACTAGCATTGCTGCGAGAGCACGGACACAACTCTTAAAAACGGAGCTTCCTCTCCTAAATCGAGAAGTGGCTGCTTCAAGCACATGTTCGATTACGTTATAGATGGAAGTAGGACATCAGGTCAGGGCTCACAAAGAGTGGTATTTGGAGAAGTTAAGGATTGCCTAACTGGATGTTGACCCGTACCTTCTCCCCACAGTCAATTTTATCGATTAAATAAAATGTCTATTTTTGCCCAAATTCACCCTACATGATCTTTATCATTATCGTTAACAATGCATCCCCTCACACTGGAGCAGATTTATATGTACATTTTGCTGGTAGCATTAGCAATAGTCCACTTTTCTGTGGCTTTTCCGTCTACAGCCAAACATGATACGTACTGACGGAGAGGAAAATAGTGAAACACGCAATTGACTTAAAAGATAAAAATGTCAATGTTGCAGCGCACATACAGGACAGTAGTAAGAGACACGTTTGACGTGTGTCATTGTCCTCCAAATTAATGGAAATAAAATAAATACAAACTTGTGATTGCTTTATCTTGTAAAAAGTGTTCACTGCATATTAGGGAGTACTTGGATGGGTCCCAGTCCTTTTGGTTGATTGCCGCCATCGTCGTCTTCTGTCTTCATGACGAGCAGGTATCAGATAAAAAAGCTTATGTCCTTGCCTGTTAGTATAATCAACCGCACTGCAAAATATCACAATTTTGGCTGTAATGCGCTGAAACAGGTTGTTTTGGTCAGGTGTCCGTAGGCTCCAGTTAGACTTCTGCCGTCTGTCATGGAGAGTGGGCGTGGCCGGGACGTCACATGCAAGGGGTCAATATGTACCCTGTGCTTCTCTCCTCCTGTTGCTGGTCCATTGTTGTTTGTTATGTCTTGTCAAGTTCTGTCCTGGTTACTTTGGTTTTTGGAGTTCTGTTTTTTGCCTTGGACTTTATTTTATTAAATCATTATTTTTGCAATCTTGCATTTTGAGTCCTCCTCCTTCCCACTCAGTGGGGGCGGTTCCCAGCTCAAAAGTGGCCAAAAGGACGTGCGCTGACATGCTTGCAATACCACCCCGGGCCGATGGGGGTGGACCCAGAAGAATTAGCCAATGCTAACATATAGCATCTTCTTACCTCTCAAAAACGTCTTTACAGGATGGACCAAAAGTTGGCTCTTGGCCCAAAGCTCCGTTCCACATGTGTGTCAATGCTGAGGGGGGTGAATTTTTTTGGTCCACTCTAGTTTACTTTCAAAGTAGTCTCTCGTTCAAATGAATGGAGCTGCGCCGGCTGACGCATGCGCAGATGCGTTTTTTCACAATTTTCTTGTGGGCGGGACCACTCGCGGCCATTTTGGATAGCTCCAGTAGAGCACATTTTTTGGCCCATTAGTTAGAACGGCGGAAATAGGCGTGACTCTGTCCGTTAATATATACAGTCTATGTTCCCACCATATGACAAGTTTGAATGTCCAGCACAGCCCCCCAACTCGCTCACAGGCTTCTCATTTCCCCTACACTCTCATCCCACAAAGCCATCTCGTTTTATTTGCGATCTCATACGTATGCAAATCTTAGCATGAGCGCAACTTCTTGTAAGCTGTACAACTATCACTGATGATTGGTATAAAAGCAACGCACTGCTAACACAATGTATAACTGAAAGATTACCACTAGTTTCGCGCCCAAATGTAGTCCGAGCATAAATAGTCCGAGGCGGTCCCGCTCGCGCAGGTCTCTCCAGAGGATATGATGTATTTCACCCGGGCTTGATTTCTTCTTTGATCATTTTTTCGCTTTAGTTCCCTCTTCTCTTCCTCACTGTTGAGTCGTTTGGGCTGTTTTGCTGTGTATGTTGCTACAGGCAGAGGAAGTATAGCCACTATCAGCTCCATGCTGCTCTTGTTTACCAGCGCTGTAGAGGCTAGAGGAAGCAGCCTGTTCGTAACAGCGCCGCTCCTCGTTCTGTGAGTGGAAGAGAGCAGCGTCACGCTAAGTATCAATTCAGCACTTTTTAGAGCCTGAATTCATACACAGCTGAATCAATGAGCCCAAGTTTTCAATTAAACTACAGATCATAATACAACTTGTATGAAGTAATAAGCATTTTTATGAACTCATTAAAAAAAATGGGTACAGCTTCTTTAACCAATTTGATTCAATTTAATTTAATTTAATTGCAATTCAATATTTGGACCACCAGAGGATGAGGCCATTTTTCACCGGTGTTTTCCACATTTCATGATAATTAATTAAACCTAGCTAGTTCTGGTAGATCCATCCAATATCTATTTAATGTCATTTCAGTGATTTTTCATCACATAACATTATCAGGGTCAGAGGGTCAGAGGTTAATATGTAAAATTTACTTTTAACGTTTTGGGTTAGAAAGTGACTATTTGGATTTTAAGTCTTGTATTAATAATAATGCATTTTTCCAGGATTTTTTTTTTTCGTTTTTTTTGTTCCACTAATTACAGTATTTGAACCTGTATTAGGGTGAAGATATTGGGGAATTGTGTTCTGTAGGTTTGAAACAAATCTGCAGAACAACCTACAGAGCTTTATAGGACATGGCTTTATTCTGCTGTGATAAACTACTACTGTAGCCACAGCTGCAACCAGTATGTGCCATCGTCCCCTCCCAACACTAACCACACACAGCAGACTCACTCTAAACAATGTGAGTGAAGAGTCATGCTTAAGTACACAACCACAGTTTGGCACTTTACAGCCGCAGCCACCTGGTGTTGCCAGACGTCTCCCATCACAGTATTACCAGGCTCTACTCTGCTGATCTCATAATTTTTCTGAAGGCCGTTTGAATCATCTCCTTCAAACTTTAACCCTCTAGGCGCCACGGTCGACTTAAGTCGACAAGCTGCGGTACTGTTAAAAACGGCCGAGTGTGACCAACTGAGTGTCAAAATTCATTCATACTCCCTGCCACTAGTTGGCAGACATGTCAGACTACCTCCCTGGCCCCAAAAAACGTCATGCTCCTATACAAAATATTCGAGCAAGACCGCGTTGAACCAGTGCGGAAATCATAGCGAAGTGAATGCAGCTGCGGGGCAGCCTGCGAGTGTTATACCGCACCAAACACTAACTTTAGACACTTTGCACAGGGTCTGCAGTGGGAACAGTGTTTCTTAGAGTAAGGCCAGTCATTGGGAGGTTCGGAGACAGGTTAGATTTGCGGAAAACAAGCCTGGAACTCGGGGCGCCGCAACCTCCAGCCTCCGCTGAAGTTTCCGCCAAAGTCTCCGCTAAAAGTGCTTCCCACATATTTATTTTCAAGCCTCACGTAATCACCGGGACAGTAATGTGTTGTAGAAGCCTTGTCTTGTGTGTGTTAGACGAGAGAGAGATCAGGGGAGATGAGAGAGAGAGCAGGGGAGACAGCTGCAGCAGCAGGGTCGCGGTGACGCGCATCACGTGGAGGCGCGCGTCTGGGCAGACTGCTCACAGCAGCAGCATGATTTATATTTTTTTACTATTTTCATGAACATTTACAATGTTACAGTGTGTGCTCTGTGTGTGTTCATGTTCTAGTGATAAATATATGTCTGTCAGTTAGAAAAATAAAAATATTGTATGAAAATTCTAAAATCAACTATTTCTAACGCCAAATGACGTCATAATATGCAAATTAGATGGGGGGATTTATTCTCTACATAAACTTTGGACCATCCTTTATATTTTTCTAATTTACAGAAAGCCTTTATCTCTTATCACTTTTAAGTTATAGCCTTTTGAAATTAAGATGTCAAAATTTAGCGTTTTGGAAAAAAACCTCTGGCGCTTAAAGGGTTAAACCTTCACCTGCAGCAGGTCTGACACGGATCACAGCTGAAGTTCCGTCCTCAGAAATCTCCATCACTGTGAATTCGCTGCTCACTCCGTTCTTATTGGCCCAGGTCTGCAGAGTCATGGTCATGCTGCGTTTAAACTTTTTAAAATCCACAGACGGTGGCAGCATCAGAGAGACTTTCATCTCGGCTTCGTCTTCCTGCAAAAAAGTAGTAAATGTGTCCGAATAGTTTGTGTTCATGTGACATCTCAACATTCAAAAGAACCTATAGTTTCACATAATGGTGCAGAGCAGCTGAAACACATGTCTTGGTAACTATGGTAACTGTTACAAGTCTGACTTCAAGCTCATTTAAAAATTGTCACAAAATTCCACAATGTCTTGGTCAACACATCATCTATGGTTTCTCTGGTTTCTTTCTGGTCCCTCCCCCTCTCTCAAGCCTCTTTCTGGTTTCGCTCTGGTCTCTCTCTTTCTGGTCCCTCCCTCTGGTCTCTAGAGTAGAGACGAGTCAAGCAGAGTAGGGCCAAGTAGGGCTGGTGGAAACAAGGCTTGAAGTAATAATAGTATTCGTGATATTATTGTTGGCACTGGTAATCTGTCCTTATAATCACTGAAAAACACGCAAACATCTCACTATTTATGACATGACATTTAACACTCCGTCATCACGTCTCTTTACTTTCACTTTAGCTTACCAACACTTTAGCATTGTCAGACTCCACGTCCATGGGCTCCACCGCGTTGCTCGCCATGTTGTCCACTATTAAAACAGATGAACATGTTATTTATTATAATGTTACAGTCAATAGAAATACAATAGACTCAGAGCACACGGTTCAACACGACGCGTCATAGTTGCATTTACGGACGAACAAACTATAGACAAACACGTCATTCTCCTGCACTTTAGACAGATGGAAACATGTAGAGAAGGTTGAAGATGTAGAAATGAGCAGATAAATCTTACATTGTGCATAAATCAGGAGGAAAAGCTCACCTCGCGCAGGTCCGATGATTTCCGCATAAATGAAAGTGAAACCAGCTCAACGCGTCACTTTTTCCCAAACGCAGTTCTGCCAACGTTTGATTTGCCAAAATAATTTCCCAAAGTCCAACATTTAAACACAACTAATGATTATTTTGATAGTAAATCTAAGTTCAGTATTGTGTACGATTATAAAATACTGTCAACTGTTGCCTCCAAATATCTAGTATTTTGCCACAAGTGAGTCAGGGGAAATATACCGTGTCACGATAAAATAAACACAATTAGTTATATTCTAATTTAAATATTAGTTTAAATTACTGTCCTTGTGTTTTGTACAAAATCAAATGAAATCAAAGCTTTTAACAACATTTGAAATTGGAACTACACAGTTTTGTAATAGCTTTGTTGTAACATGTTTTATTATATATATTATGTATAGTTTAGCTTATTCCTTAATTGGTGTCTTGAAACGAAAACATATTTCTTGTCTTCTTAGAGTTTCTTGCACAGTGCAGACAAGAAAGTTGGCATTTTTGAATTGTTTTACCTTATGCCCAAAAATAACAATTGTAAACCGCTTTGTGACTCTGGTCTGTGAAAGGCGGTATATAAATAAAGATTACTTACTTACTTATCAAAAAAATGTGGTGGAAACTAAAGCATAATGTAAAAAATGTAAACAAAACGATATGACGCGTGTGCAAACTCAACTTTATTCAATTCCCTTCAACAAATACTTCTGAATGCATTCACAATCTGCTTTCTTCCATTTCTCTTCGTCACAATAATTACACAAAACTCATGTCAGCTGAAACAGAACAAACATATAAAGTAGAAAACCTTCATCTATTCTAATCTTAAAATACTGAAACGGTCACAACATCAAGCTTTTGCATATACTTTGGCAAATTAAATAAAAACACAGGATTCTTGCTTTTTCTTCATGATCTCAGTCTGTTTTTTTCCTGAACAGTTCGTACAGTTTTAAATGTTCTTTGGTGAATATTATTATTATTAAGAGAAAACACGCGCTGGCCACAAGTGTTTAGATCTGGGTGTTCAATGTTCAAAGTCTGCAAATAAAATCTTGAGAAGAAAATAAATGATGAAAAAAGTATGACGGGTTAAAAATGCTTTCGGCCTGTAACTCCCTAAACTACTACTAGAGAGGAATATAATTTTATTTTTATTTATTTTTTACAATGTGGGCGTCTCTGCTCTGATTGCTGCCCCTGCGACCCGGCAATGGACGAAGTGGAAGAAAATGGATAGACCAAATAAACATACATTAGGTCAAAACTTTTGGTCCCTGCTTCTCACTGTTTTCTAGATACTGAATTATTGATGTTATTATTGAGGCTTTCCACAGTTCAAAGTAAAATGTCAAGTTCCTTTAGGTTAACACAAGGACTGCGAAAAATCTGTAACTAAAAGAACTCCCAGAGCAGTCATTTTTAAATTGCCCCCAAAAAAGTCAGTTTTCCTTTTCAAAAGTTAAAGTGAGTAAAGTTATAAAACCTTATACAATACTAAGTTCTAAAACTTGAAATACAGCAAGTTTGTTGCCAAATGCTAAGTGCTGGCAAGTAAACAGTGTGTTTCTATGGTAACTAGCACTGTCTCTGGTGGAAAACCAAGCTCCAAAACCAGAAGCAGTCCAGGACCAGCGTCATGGAACAGAGGCTTTTATTGCCAGATACATTTGTTTGAATATTACATTAAAATGATTGTAGTAAAAAGAAAAAAAAAATTTCACACTTCCAAAACTAAAAGCCTTCAAATTGACGGCAGAGGGAGTTCTCGTGTTGAGTGTGTGGTGCAGCGGCCAGCGTGTGTGAGAGCAGAGGAGCTGAGCTGTGATCGGCTGAAGGCATCAGTGTGAGTGGTGTAGGCGCGGCACAGTGCAAAGTTACAATACAGCATCGATAAAACCAAACAGGAAGAGGAGGAAGAAGAAGACTACTCGGCTTCGTCCTTCAGAGTAAACCTGCAAGACAAAGAACAGGGAAAAGTGGTGGATTTACAACCGGACAAACATGTGCGGAGAGTCAATAAGTAACTGGAATCTTTACTTAAGAGAATTACTTAACACTAGAACTCCCAGAGCAGTCAATTTGGCGGCCTTTAGTTTTGGAAGCCTAATGACTCGGCATATGTACATGTTTTTGTTTTTTTTTTCCAGTTTCAGTTTATTCATTATTAAGGCAGAAGTAAAAAAAAACAAAAACGTGTGCGCCCATCGCATGTTCATGATACAATACAAGTTACCATAACATACTTTGATAAATTACTTTTTTTTAGTTAGAAGTTCAACAAAATCATTCAGTTCGGTATCCGTCCAATATCGACTGTGACAGTTTTTTCTTAATTACGAAAAAATATATTTCGTAATATTCTATATATTCTATATCCCTTTTCTTGGTGCTGGTCTTGGACTGGTTCTGGTTCATCTTGGTTTTACACCAGTGAGTGAATGCTAGTTACCATGTATTAAGTGCTAAATTTTAATAAATAAAAAGCTAATATAAACTAGCTAACTAACTAACTTAAATAAAGCACAACACTAAAAGTGAGGTAAAATATAAGCATAAGCTATAAATAACTTACTGTTAATACATCTGGTGAAAAAACTAAACATATTTTGGGGGATTTTTTGAGAATTCCATTGGTTTGAACGGGAGCAGTCAAAATGATGGCTCTGGGAGTTCTAGTACATTCAGAATTCTGGGGGTCCTAGTGTTAAATCTTGAAAATATTCTGCTCCGAGGCCCCATTATAGAGAGAACTGATTTTTACCACTGAGTGACTCCAGACGCCAAGTTTACTTCAGCCAAGTTGATCTGAACCTGAAGAAACAACAGGTTATTAACATCAGAACTGACATGTGTGACATCACCATAGCGTGTGCCTTTACGCAGAAGAAGCCGACATGAGCATATGCTAGCTTGAGCTAAGTTGCTAAGGGGGTTGCTAAGGCAGGCTCGAGTTTTACCAAGAAATAAGGCATCTGATTGACCAAACCTCATATGGCTCATGTCTGTATTTACAGACAATACCCCAAAATAAACACTTTGTATAAAACCCAAGAATGATTTGACTCTTTGGGCTGAGAGATGATTTGCAAAGCTGAATATGGGATGGCAATATTTGGTATAAGTATGTAGTGTATATTACTGTAACATCTGGTATAATAGAATATAGAGTATGAAATTGTGATATCTGGTAACAATGGTTTATGTCACAAACCTGTCCAATGACGTCTGGGCCTCTGAATGAGGAGCTGTTCTTCACAGACGCACACAGACGCCGCTGACGCGCCTCCTCCAGCGACAGATCAAAGTCAAAGCTGCAGCAAACATAGATCAGAGACATGAACCAGGACCAGGGAACTCACCAACACACAGTTATGAAGAATTTTTATGTTCAAAATTTTACTTTCAAAACTCTTCTAATGTCTACTCTACTCTACCTCGATCAAGAGCATTTTCACTGGCCCTGTTTAACCAGTACCGGGTCCTTCTTTAGTCCCTGCTTGGAAAGATCTGAGGCTGTCTTCAGATAGTACCAAGTCTTGACACTAGAGGGCGGTGTTTGATTATCTTATCTACAGTCTCTGTCAGGAACACCATTCATCTAAGAACTTTAAAGTAGGCGATATAAAACCAAACCTTTAATGTACTGATTTGATCTTTGACATCACTTGCATGTTCTATCCATAAATGTGTTTCTCATTAGAACTGCTGACTTTGTCCTTAAGACCATTCTATCTCCCACGGGAATTCCCCTGCTTGGTGATCAGCTGTGTTTATGTGCCCCCGAGTGCTAACATCAAGGCAGCAGCGGAGCTACTAGCCGAGGATGCTAGCTCAATGATGGCCAGGTATCCCGATGCTCCGCTGTTTATTGTGGGTGATTTTAACAACTGTAGACTCGACGCTGTCATGCCATCACTGCACCAGTATGTGGATATTCCCACGAGGAAGCAAAACACGCTGGATCTGTGTTACGGGAACATTTCTGATGCGTTTGTAGCTCGGGCGCACGCACCACTCGGCTTCTCCGACCACAATGTTGTTGTTTTGATCCCGCACTACCTGACGGGGCTGAAACGCGCTAAGCCAACCATCCACAGCGCCAGCGTGTGGTCGGAGGATGCAATTGCGCAGCTTCAGGGATGCCTGGCGTGCACTGATTGGGATGTATTTTCAAGGGGACCTGGATAACAAGGTCTCAGTAATCACTGACTATATTAAGTTTTGTATTTTATCTACAATACCTACCAAAACGTTTAAGAAATATCCCAACTCAAAGCCCTGGATTACTTCTCACATTAAAAACAGTATGAATGAAAGGCACGCAGCCTTTCATTTAAATGACTGGAGCACTGTCAATACACTCAACAGACAGATTAAAAATGATATTATGAAAGCTAAACTTAAGTTTAAAGATAGGCTTGAGCATGAGTTTGGCAGTATGAACACTAAACAAGCATACCAGAAAATTAAGCTCCTCACCGGTCATACCCCAAGTTCCAGTCACCATGTAACAACAGACCCCACCATCTTTGCAAATTCATTGAACGATTTTTACACCCGTTTTGACTCAGTCGACCACTCTGCCGTCTGTGAAGAGCTGCTCAGTGCCCTGCCCCTGGACACCCCATCACAGCCCCCATTTACGGAGGGGGATGTACACCTACAACTCAGCAGGTGCAAGATGGGCAAGGCACCAGGCCCTGACGGTATCCCGGCCAAGGTGCTGAAGTTGTGTGCCATGGAATTGTCACCAGTCCTTCACTCAATCTTCTGGGACTCCTTAAGGCTGGCACACATTCCCACAGCTTGGAAAACTTCCACAATCATCCCGGTTCCCAAGAAGCCCAGACCATCCGAGCCAAACCACTACAGACCCATCGCACTTACCTCCATCATAATGAAATGCTTAGAACGACTCATACTTCACTCCATCCTCCCGACAGTCAGACCCCTGCTGGACCCCCACCAGTTCGCTTACAGAGCCAGACGAGGAACAGAGGATGCTGTTTCATGTCTCCTCCACCCCCTCCTTCAACATCTGGAACTACCTGGTACCAGGGACGTGCGGTGAGGTTTGTGATTGGGGAGGCACTGACTTTAAAAGTCAGATTTACAATCATTATTCAAATAAAATAGCATTTAATCACCAATGCAATGACATCCACAAACTTTATATACTGTAAAGATAAGAGAACCAGCTTCTTTTAATAATCTCACAACAAATCTAGCTGCTGACTCTGCTCCGCATCAAACAACATCTTTAAGAAGCGCAGGTGCGAGAGACGCGAGGAGAGAGAGACGCGAGGAGAGAGGAGCAGAGAGAGACAGAGAGGAGCAGAGAGACGGAGACGCGAGGAGCAGAGAGAGACGGAGACGCGAGGAGAGAGAGACGCGAGGAGAGAGGAGCAGAGAGAGACAGAGAGGAGCAGAGAGACGGAGACGCGAGGAGCAGAGCAGAGAGAGACAGAGAGGAGCAGAGAGACGGAGACGCGAGGAGAGAGAGAGCGCGAGGAGAGAGAGACGCGAGGAGAGAGGAGCAGAGAGAGACGAGAGGAGACGCGAGGAGAGAGAGAGACGCGAGGAGAGAGAGACGCGAGGAGAGAGGAGCAGAGAGAGACAGAGAGGAGCAGAGAGAGACGGAGACGCGAGGAGCAGAGAGAGACGGAGACGCGAGGAGAGAGAGACGCGAGGAGAGAGAGACGCGAGGAACATAAACAATAATTTAAACAAGTTGCAGAACTCTTGAGCAGTGTTTGAATCAGTGTTTTTCGGAAAAGCACTACTTTGCCGGTATCTGTCAATGTTCAACATAAAACACAGATTAACAAACTCCTCCCCCGCAGCCGGACTAACCTCGTAAGTCCAGTGGTGGTCTCCCAGTCTATATTAATTCTTTCTTTGTTTGAAAGTCCAATTGAGAAAAAAAATCTTCATTCAAATCATCCATTTTCCAGCAAAAGAAATAGCATTTTGGGCTGATTGTTTGTTAGCAACTCTGGTATGAACTTTATGCTCACTATCACCCCTAGCGGTGAGGCACAGATACCGCCTGCCTCACGCCAAGCTTTTTCCTTGTGTGTTCATCTACGATCAAAAGACTTAAACTAAATATAAATTGTACACACATACGTGCAATACACTACTAAACACTAAGAGGAGTTTAAAAAATGTTTTTAAAGCAGGATATTTGAAACAAACGGTGATATATCAACTGCACGAGCTGAGTGCACTCAGACACACACACACACACTGTGAGGGAGCGGTCTGGGGTGAGGCACGCAGGAGCGCTGCCTCACCTCGTCTCTTTGAATAGGAATAACGGGATTTCGGCGATTTTGACTTCAGAAATGATCAAAACTGATGGGAACCGTGCCGAATATACATTAAAAGCATAGGACAGTGGATATAAATTATATATTTAAACTAAAATAATTATTAGTTTCCAATAATGGCAGGTGAGGCTCTGCCTCCCCTGACTGCACGTCCCTGCCTGGTACGTCTGCATCCATCCTGTTTATTGACTTCAGCTCAGCATTCAACACAATTCAGCGCCCTCAAATAATCAGGAAATTCCAACTCCTCAACCTGCCCCCATTCCTCATTCGCTGGACTCATAACTTCCTCAGCAATAGACCACAGGCCGTCAGAGTTGACTCAGTGACATCATCCACCATCGTCACCAACACTGGCGCCCCCCAGGGGTGTGTATTAAGTCCATTCCTGTACACCCTCTATACAAACGACTGCATCAGCCCATCTCCAACCACCACATACTTCAAATATTCTGATGACACTGCCATTCTGGCCCTCTTGACAGATAATAATTCCATCACTGCCTACCATCAGTCCATCTCCCACTTCACAGAGTGGTGTTCTGAAAACTCTCTGGAACTGAACACGGACAAAACCAAGGAACTAATCTTCCACTCTCATTCACACACCCCAGACCTGCCTCCCACTCTCATACACAACAAAACAATAGAACGGGTTAATCACTTCAAATACCTTGGACTCACACTCGACAATAAACTCACCTTTGAACAACATGTCACAGATATCCATAAACGTTCCCAACAAAGACTCTACATCCTTCGTAAGCTCCGTGCCCTCTCTGTCTTTCCAAATCTGCTTCTGAAACTCTACTCTTCAATCATTCAACCTATTCTCCTCTACTGCTCCCCCTGTTACTTTAACATGCTCTCCATCACCAACAGAAACAAACTCACTAAAGTCACACACACAGCATCCAAAATCATCAGTCTCCCCACCGCAGACCTCTCTCAGCTCAACCTCACAGCAGCAACACGCATGGCCCAGACAGTTAGCACTGACCCAGACCATCCCCTCCACACCCACTTCACTCTGCTGCCCTCAGGACGCAGATACAGAACTCTAAGATGGAAGAGGGCAAGATTTAGTAAAAGTTTTGTCCCTTCAGCGATAGCAGCTCTAAACAGTCTGTAATGTTGCCCTTGTTCCTGCGTTGTATGTGTTTCCCTCCCTTCGGTGTCTCTTGTGTTTATTGTAACCTGTATGTGACAGTGCCTGTGAAAATGAATTTCCCTCAGGGACAATAAAGGTCTATCTATCTATCTATCTATCTATTTGTTTTGCTTGATGCATAAAGTGGATTTAATTTTGAGGTCTGAATGTGGACCATACATTTCATTAACGCAAAAATAATTCTAACCGAGAAGGAAGGCTCGGAACAAACTAATGTAGCCTGGTTAGTCTCTGTCTTTATGTTGTTGTGCTTTTAAGGTCCGTGTCTCACCATTCAGAAACCTCATATGTCACTGTGAGGGTGCTGGGATAGAGTACCAGATACTTAGAGTAGAGTAGAGTAGAGTAGAGTAGAGTAAGGACGAGACTATAATGAGTCTGACCTCTCGCTGAAGTTCGGGTCCAGTACTTTCTTCTTCACGCCCGTCTTCTTCTTTGTGGATTTGCTTTTGTCTGGAAGCAGCATGAGCGACACGTAGCTGTCCACGCCGTCTTTACTCTGAGGCAACAGCTCCCTGCGCCAAACACAACATACATTCTGCTCTATTACAAACAACAAAACTAAGTGAAAAGACACATTAAGCTTTATTACTGGTTCTGGGGAAATTATGAAACAGAAAAATGTCCCCTCAACCGTCAACATTAAGTAATTATAATATATATTTGGCTTTCTCTTTTACATTTTAGGCACATTAAGTTGCGTAAGATTAGATAAGTCTTTGTTGTTTCTTGAGAGAGAAATTGGTCTTGGACAAAAAATGATAAAAATGGGAACAGAGAATCAAGTACATAATATAATAGTGTTAAATTACAGCTACAGTAAGTTTTTTCTTCCATAACCTTTATTACATTCATACGACACCGGTACAGTATGAATGTTATAAAAACCCAGGTTGTAAAGCAATAAGAAAACAACTGCTTGACTGTGCATCACAAGTAGGAGTGTGACGATATATCGATATGGGGATGTATCGTGATACTTTCGCACGCGATCGATTATCAATATGCTTTTGCAAAGTATCGATTTAAAAGAAAAAAATATATACATACAAATTATTATTATTTTTTTAATATTAAAAAAAATAATTGTATCAATACTTAATATATGGCTACATTACGCATCTCGTAATAATATGCTTTGACCTGAACATATTGTTCTTTATTCCAAAGAAATACATCTCCATCTGAGACCATATGTGCTGTACTTGAATCCAGAGTTGAGAGTTAATAACTTACACTTATAACTATTTTCTGTTTATTCAGATTGCTTTACAAAAAGATTTCTATAACAGTAGATTTCTGACCAATGTATTGATCGTCATATTGTGATATAATCGTTATCGTGAGCTTATCGTATCGTTTCGTGAGGTACCCTGAGGTTCCCACCCCTAATCACAAAATGACAATAATACACAATGCTCCCCAGAGCCTGACAGTTTATATTCTGACTGTAATAAAGTTATATTTTCTACTGTGTGATTTTTGAACATGATGTGACAGACCTGCACTCGTGGACCGTGACGCTGAGTTTCCCGTGGTGCCGCAGCGACAGGCGGATCTGACCGTTCCCAGAGGGCGAGGGCAGAGACCCGGACTGCATCAGGTCCACCAGTTTGGAGTCCAAGACCTGAGACAGGTATGGGATGAGTTTGAGTAACAAAACAGAATGATAATAATAATAATGATAACCTGGATCTACGGCCTCAGTCCTGGATCTACAGCCTCTGTCCTGGATCTACAGCCTCAGTCCTGGATCTACAGCCTCAGTCCTGGATCTACAGCCTCAGTCCTGGATCTACAGCCTCAGTCCTGGATCTACAGCCTCAGTCCTGGATCTCTAGAGTTGTTCCTTGCTGATCCAGTAGAGTTGAAGGACAGTGATGACCCGGGACTTTTATTAAAATGTATGGACAGTGGTCGTCCTGCTCCCTATGGGCCAATGGCTCCTATGTGTTATTATTGCATTTGCCGTTATCAAACTGTTTCATTCTCTGATCTATTGTTGGTGAATCAACAACTTTGTACAGTCCTAAGACACGACAGCTGTTGTTATTTAGGGCTATACAAAAATAACATGTATTGAATCGAATCATCAACACAAATCAGGGTATCGGGACATATGACCAGTGGGGTACCGCAAGGGTCAATGCTGGGACCCAGATGAAAGATAATGTGCATACACAAAATATCAAAAGGAATAATATGTATAGTCTTTGCTAATGACACCAATATTATATAATCAGGTGATAATTAGGAGTAACTTAAGGCCGCTGTAACTGAAGAAATTAACTACAAACACACACATTTGTACCTTGAGTTCAGCTCTGAGCAGGATCTGACTATTTGGTCCGGCTCCGTCCAGCGGGAGCCACTGATCCAGGACCAGACCGTCTTCAGAGACCAAAGACCTCACAGGGACCACCACAGACCCCATGGGCTGCTCCCATCCACTGGACAACTGCACAGGAAATTACACTTGTTATTTAAAGTGTACAAACCCAGACAGAAAGTTTTGTTTATAATGTCATGACAATATTAACAAAAATACAAAAACATTATTATTTGACTTCTGATCATAAGTCTCCATCCCCCAGTTCTCAACAGCGTGTGTTACTCTTTAACAACTATGACAGCTTGGAGTCTTTTTTGGTAGTTGTGAATAAGGTTCTTTATCCTCTCTGGTCTGTCTCTAGTCTCTCTTGGGTCTCTATGGTCTTTTTGTTCTCTCTTTGGGTCCCTCCCTAGTCTCTCTGTGATCTGTCCCCAGTCTCTGGCCTCTCTCTCTCTCTCTCTCTATGTTCTCTCTATCTCTAATGGTAAAGCTGCCATTCTTTTCAGTAAAAAGCCTCCAGTTCATGTAAATTCCTGGACTGCCTTGCATCCCCCCCATCAATCAATTATGATCAAACATCATGACAGATTGTAATACAGTAACAGTGTTTGTTCAATGAAAGAGGCAGACAAACCTTCACAATCAGCATGTCGTCTTTAGGGTTTTTGAGGCTGAAGCAGAAAGACTCGTTCCACTCGGGGCTCGACGTTCGCTCGCACACCTGCAGACAGAAGTAACCGTGGGAACTTCAAATGATAGATTGTTTTAACTAAGTGGTCAATTTTTCTCTTATGATAAAAATATATCATAAGGGAATCAGTTTGCTGGGAGAAGTATGGTAACTTGAGCACTATCCTCTCCTTCCTACTTTATCTGTTTAGCATTATTAGGATTTTGACTGTAGTTTGTTCATTGCTATTCACCCGTTGTCCCATTGTCTGTTTCATGGTACGATGACGGGATCTCTGAGCCTGGCCTCCTCCATCTGCACCTGCGGACTGCCCCGCCCGACCCGCCTGGGAGTGCTTCAGTCCTGCACCGGACCTGTCCACGTTCAGCGGCCACTGGTCCACGTTCTGTAGCTAGCTTAGGTCCTAGATCATTAGCCTGTCCGTCCGGAGGAGCGGATCCCTTTCTCAAATGGGGCTCCCTCCCTGTGGGTTTCCCTAGTTCTCCCCAAGGTTTCTCACTGTTTCCCACTGGGTTTTTTAAGAGTTGTTCCTTGTCGATGCAGGAGGGTCTTGTTGGACAGTTAGTGTCCAACAGAAAGGATTGGTGATGATCAGGACACTTTAGCATTCTACAACATGTATGGACATTTTCTTCTGTGTGTGCTTTATATTCTTCATGTGTTTTAACTGTTGATTCTCTGATCTGTGTTGGTGATTTCAATGGTTTTGTTAAGTCCTCTGAGAAGACTTCTGTTGTGACCTAGGGCTATACAAGAATAAATTGTATTGTATTGTGTATTGTATTGCATATCTTTGTCATTCATGTGCTTGGCATAATTAGAACCAGAGCTAGAGGATTTTAACCTATTTTATAACGGCTGCAGTATAGTCAAAACGCTGCAGCTCAAGTCCTGACTAGAACCAGGAAGTAGGATCACATTAGTCCTTGTCTCAGGTCTCCGCACTGGCTTCCTGTGGCTCAGAGAATAGTCTCCCCATGGCCCCGCACCAAAATACATCTGTGACATGTTAGTCCCATATGAACCAACTGGTGCTCAGAGTCAGATGCAGCTAAAATCTTGAACAGTCTTCCTGAAAATGTGAGACAGGCTTCTACTCTGACAATGTTCAAATCCAGGTTAACCACTCAGCCACTGTGCTGCTCCCTGGAGTTTTACCTTGGTTTTAAAAGCAGTTTGTCCGACAGCTATCTCTGCTCCGGCTTTGGGCTCCTTCCCACTCTTCTTCAGCTACAGATAACAGACACACGGACAATTTGTTATCACCGATACAAATGAATAAATCTAAACACTACAAATACAAATATAAAACATTAAAAAAAGAAAAAAATCGAAATATAAAAAAATATAATAAAAACATGTTAATAGAAAAAACTACTTTTGATCAGTGGTTGTAGCTTACAGGCAGAGAGTGCGCCCTCTCCAGGTGCACGAAGAGAAGGGCGGCCGACAGAACCGTGTTGTTTTGATACTTCTGCAGAGACTGGAGCTGCAGGATCTGGGACGAAACACAAAAAACACAAATCAAGATCATACACTGTATACAGATGGACAATGCTAGCTCAATGAAACCTAATAGGGAAGTGCTTGCGGATAAAGTTTTGCTCCAACTTGCTCTGGCTCATATTGACCTACATGTAACCGCTCATGTCACACCCACCATTTTGGGTTTACAATAACTGTGGTTTAGCGCTCTTTGTGATCCTGGTGTTTATATTGTAGAATTCTTGTTGAAAATCCAGTTAAGAGCCACATAAGCATTGACCAATCAGATGCCTCTGAAACTCAGGAAACCCCCAAAAGGCCGGCTTCGTATGGTTCACTGGATCTCCCTGGTTTCTCAATCTTCTTGTCTCTTTCTGGTCTCTCTCTCCCTTCTCTCTGTCTGGTCTCTGTCTGGTCTCTGTCTGGTCTCTGTCTGGTCTCTGTCTGGTCTCTGTCTGGTCTCTGTCTGGTCTCTGTCTAGTTTCTCTGTCTGGTCTCTTAATGATCTTTCACTGGTCTCTCTGTGGTCTCTCTGTGGTCCCTCTCTGTGGTCCCTCTCTGGTCCCTCTCTGGTCCCTCTCTGGTCCCTCTCTGGTCCCTCTCTGGTCTCTCTCTGGTCTCACTCCTATATATACAGTCTATGTTCAAGATAAAGTCTCAGGTGTAGAATATGTGCAGTGTTTGAACAAGGTTTTAGCTACATAGTGATAATACTCAAACCTGTGGCAGGCGGCTGGGGTCCGACGTCGCAGGGACCCACTCCAGGATCAGGTGAACGCGCCCGGATTTCACATCATTCATCGCGAACCACTGCGGTCAAAAAACAGTATTGTTAAAATACACACAAAGCCAGTCAGGGCAGCTGCGGCTACAAGAGGGACTCAGGTTGCGTGCTGTGGTACTATCGAGTTTATAGTTCATTATTAAAGATTGATGGTAGCAAAATCTTAGAATCAGAACATTGAATTAATACAAAAATCTATATATGAAAAAAATCTAAATGTAAAAAGTCTAGATTAAAAAAAATATATGTATCCAATACAGATTTAAACATTGAAATATTCAAACAAATATATAAAAAGGTTTTATAATAAATTTAAATAAAAAATATATGCAAAAATATACAAAAATCAAAATATACAAAAATGTAACATTGAAAAGATCCAAAATCATATGTAAAAATCTAAATACAAATAACAAACATTTAGTTTAACACAAATCAAAGTACAGAAACAAAACTTTAGAAAATAAATGTTATAAATATTGAGAAATATCTAACTATTGGTTACTACACATTGATAAATTGTATGATTGATTATTACACAAAAAATATCAATATTGTGTCTTAAAGTGACTCCATCCACTGTGAAGTAAAACAGGATATGATCCTAAACTCATGCAGAAAAACAGATGTTATATTTATAACTCATTTAGATACAGTTTTTACAGAGTAGAGTGTGACATCACTGACCTGGTCGATGTACTGAGATCTGATGACGTCCTTCAGGTTGACACTGAACCTGAGACAAAAACACATTCTCACTGTTCAGGACTTTTACTGTCTTTGTTTTGATTCAGTCCCAAGTTTTAGATCAGGAGGAAAACACACTCAGAAACAACTGGATGTATGTGTGCTTGAAGTGGGACAAATGTTCCTAAAAATACTATAAATGTTTTAAATCAGGAAAATCTAAGTTCACATTTCTGGGAGTCTTAGTGTTGGACACCTTCATGAGAGGTGTACTCATATGTTTACACGAGATACTGGTTATTTACCGTCCGAGGAAGTCGTCAGAGTCCAGGTCTTTATCGAAGCCCTCCACGTAGATCTGGTCTGCGCTGTCGGCCTTCAGGACCACCTGGCAATCACAACAGCACATTAAAGCTCAGGTACCTAATTTTACCTTTGTTTCATAAGTTCGTAGAGTTTCCATCCACATGAAGCTGAAGACGTATCAATTTCACCTGAGAGAACTGTAATCTTATCTTGTTTTGTATGTTCCTCAGTCCAACAACTTGTGATGCAGAACAGAAATGTCCCCACTGTGCCATAGTGATGGATACCAGGGTAACAGTTACCATAGTGATTACCATAGCAACGGTTTCCATGGTGATTGATATCATGGCAACTGTTGCTATGATAATGGCAACATGGTAGCTGTGGCAACTACCCTGGCAACCATCACTATGAAAAAGTGGTAACAGATGCCATAGCAACCATTGCTAGGACAACCATCACTATGACAACCGTTATCATGGCAACTACCCTGGCAACCATCACTATAACAAACGATAGCATGGCAACCGTTGCTACAGCAACTATCACTGGAAATAACTCGGTTGCCATGGGGACCATTGCAGCAGTCCGCTCTTTTTCAATTTTCTGTGACAAAGGCCTAAAACACATGCATGTAAAAACAAGTGACAGAAGAAAACTGTTAGCGAGGAACTAGCGAAGACCTCACCTCGTACATCTCGTTCCAGGTGGGGTTGAGGTTCTCTTTGATCACATGGCTCTTGAATGTGCTCTTCCCCACAGTGACGTTTAGGTAAGGGTCGCTCTTCCCCTTCACCATGCCTCCCATCAGGTTGTCTTTGGCCACCAGGCTGCGAGCTTCCAACACAAGGATCCTCAACAAGCCCTGCACACGGACAACACCACAGATAAGCACTCGTTGAGCACAAACCACCGCTAAAGTCCTGGATACAGACCGTGCTGTATTTAAGAATTTGTTCCTTGGCCAATTGCTGAGCTTTACCAACTATTTTGTAATGATCTATTTGTCTTGGTGTAAAACCATTTGAATGCTGTGTTTCAACAATAAAACATCCTCAGAAGAAAGAACAGGAAGCGCCCACGGGCGTGTGATATTTATAATATGAGCCACTAGAACATACTGTACATTTTGTGGCAGATTAAGGATAGGCAGATAGGTTACTTTGTACCGTAATATTGACCATTTAAGTATTTATATTATGACAATTAAATGTGAAGAAAGACATCAAGGTCATTACTTGATCATAAATCACATTTGTATCATGAACCAAATGTGACATTCTGAAAGATAAACATCCAAGATCGATCATGGCTCAATGGTTGGTGTAACACTTGATAAAGTTTGGGCACTCCTGATCTTTACACCGGAAGCACAGGAAGTAGCCTTTTGCTGGTTCCCAGAGTCAGAACTACAACGTTTCACATTTATGCAGCTGAAATCTGGAAAAATCTTCCTGAAAATGTGAGGCTGGAGTCTACCCTGACAGTTTTCAAATTTTATATTTACTCTTTTCATTTACTATTTTAATGTTTTATGGTTTTTAATTACTTGTGATTTTATTCTGTTTTTTTATATTTCTTGAAATCTTAATCTTTGTTTTAAATGGATTTTTTAATTTATGTATATGTAGGGATTAATGTTTATGACTTGCTTGATGTGATGTAGGTTGTGAGGCGCTTTGTGTTGCCGTGTGTAGGAAAGGCACTCTACAAATGAATGTTGATGATTTATTGATACACTGTAAAAAGCAATAACAAAAGAAGATATTGAGTCGCTTATACTAGACAATCCAAATACTCTTTTTTGGAAGGGATTGGTAATATAAGCTTTTTGCTTCGTCCAATATGTTTTCAAACTAAATCAAGGGAAATACAGGGAAAAGTGAGTGATTAATTGTGATTAATCATGAGTTAACTATGACATGAATACATTACAGCAATCTCTGCTGTAATGTGCGCAACAATGACACTGAAATTTCTCCACTATGAGAATAATAAAGGTTTATCTCATCTTATCTTAATCGCGATTAAATATTTGAATCGTTTGACAGCACTAATTATTACACATTCTGAACCAAACAAAAACAAAGCATCATATTTCTTTTTTAAACGTACCTCTGTAGCAAAGTCGTGCTGTGGGGTTGTGTTTGGGGGGAGGACTTCAGCCGGTTCATCAGGGAGAGAAGTGACCGTGGCCTGGACCAGATCCTGCAGACCACCACTAAGAGCAAAACATTTATATATTACCTTTAGTATACACTTCTCTGTCCACTCTGGAAGCAAAATCCCCATTCAAACTTTCAAACTTTCATCATATGTTTTACAAGGAGATTCACAAAGACAATATCACAATATAAGCACCAGGATCACAGTGAGCACTGAACCAAAACATTTTTCAGACTTTGTCCCATTGGGTTTTTAATTAGTTCTTTGCTGATGCAGGACAGTGATGAGCCGGGACATTTAAGGACATTTATTAACATTTATAGACACAGGTCATTCTGTTTTTATGGTTTGTGTCTCTGATCTGTTGTTGGCGTATCAACTTCTTTGTAAAGTACTCTAAAACATCTTTTGTTGTGATTTAGGGTTATACACAAAACATTCTAATTGAATTGATAACCCAGATATCTCCATTTTGGAAATTTGTCAAAAGTTTGTAATCCTGTCGCTAGAATTTGCTGCAGAAAGGGTGAAACTTTAATTGTATGGCACTAATATAGTTTTGGCTTTTCAAAAACTATCGTAATTAGTAAAGGGCAAACTGTGAGCCTTTCAAATATGTTTTTAAAAGGCACGTATCTGTTTTTGAAAATAAATAAAAAGTAGGCTTCAGCTCAATAAGCAACAAGTGTGTCCTACTCACCCTTTTGAGTCAATTACAGGTTTGACATGATCCTCTTCTGCTGCTGGTTCAGAGTACTGCTCAAAATCCTCCTCCAGCTGAAAAAAAAAGTTTAAGATTAGGATGAGGAGATCCTTTATTCGTCCCACAGTGGGGAAATTTCAGTGTTGCATCAAGTTACAGAATAGTAGGAATGAGGAGCACACAGCACAAGTACATTAATAATAACTCTATACTAAAATTGAATTAAATCTCTAACTCTAGCATAAAAAGAAGCAGTAAAAATCTCTATTCTTAGCATAATAAAGAAAGACATCTTAAACTCTCCAACTTAGCATGATGAACAAGTACAAAACCCCCCGACTTTACATAAAATACTGTATATTCTAGTGCACGTAATATACAGTTGTGCGTATACATCTGTACATGTTAGCAGCAGTAAAGTGACAGTAGCACATGTGGTTCCATGCTGCACATTCTGACATTAGTCTGACATTAAGTTTATGTGAATGGCGTGTGTCACCTCAGCAGCAGGAGCAGAGCCGTGGACCACTTCTGCTTCCTCTTCGGCCTCTGTCTCCGGAGCAGGACTGATAAACACAAGACAAAAGGTATTATGCTTCTGAATTCATTTTTGTAACACTTACAAAAGTACAACAGTAGAAGACGAAAAACAAAGACAACATGATTCAGTGACGAGGAGTTTGACACACTGTTGACGCACTGTGGTCTATTTTGGCAACAACATTCCTGCACAGCCATGTTGCTCCCAAGAACTTTTTTATTTACATACCACATAGCTTTGCAGATTTTTCTCATTTTTTTCATATTTTGAACCTTTTTGAATCCAGCAAGATAGTTCAGTGCTGGGGTGTGTGGCTTTATTTGAAACGTTCTTGTATTTCCTTAATGTAGTCAAAATATTAATCCATAAATTAAGTATATCTGTGACATTTTACTGCCATATGAACCAACTCGGAGCACAGGGACTGGCCTCTTGCTGGGACTCTGAGGGGCACAGGGATGGCCTCTTGCTGGGACTCCTCAGAGACTAAACAAAACTTGCCTGGCTTTGCCCAATCACATATCACAAAAAACATCACAAAGAACATTTATTTCCAAGCTCTTCCTTATGTCTCTCTCTGCTGTTCACATAAACACACTGAAAGCAGGAATATGTGCTATGTCATCCGCTCAGAAGCTGATAGTTTTGTACAAACCTCTTCCTGTTGTAACAATAAAATACATTATAGCTGCATTGCTATATAAGAAGCAGAGTCCAAAGACAGTACTGTACACATACTGTATAAGCCCCGTTTCCACCAGGTACTTTTATAGTATCTGCTTCGAGCTGGTTCTAGAATGTTCTTACTGCCAGCGATTGGCCAGAGGTCTGATGGTTACCAAGAAATGTCCAAGGAAACTGGTTTGTTGTGGATAAGTTGCTTGGATACACTACCAGATACCAAATCATAAAGGAAATACAGCCAGGTAGAGCAGAGAAATGTTGAGTAGAGTAGGGCCAAGTGGGGATGGTGGAAACGGGGCTTTAGATATACAGTGCCTTGCAAAAATATTCGGCCCCCTTGAACCTTTCAACATTTTGCCACATTTCAGGCTTCAAACATAAAGATATCAAATTTTAATTTTTTGTCATGAATCAACAACAAGTGGGACACAATCGTGAAGTGGAACAACATTTATTGGATAATTTAAACTTTAAAAAAAAATAAAAAACTGAAAAGTGGGGCGTGCAATATTATTCGGCCCCTTTACTTTCAGTGCAGCAAACTCAGTCCAGAAGTTCAGTGAGGATCTTTGAATGATCCAATGTTGTCCTAAATGACTGATGATGATAAATAGAATGCACCTGTGTGTAATCAAGTCTCCGTATAAATGCACCTGCTCTTTGATAGTCTCAGGGTTCTGTTTAAAGCGCAGAGAGAACCATGAAGACAAAGGAACACACCAGGCAGGTCCGAGATACTGTTGTGGAGACGTTTAAAGCCGGATTTGGATACACAAAGATTTCCCAAGCTTTAAACATCTCAAGGAGCACTGTGCAAGCAATTATATCGAAATGGAAGGAGTATCAGACCACTGCAAATCTACCAAGACCCGGCCGTCCCTCCAAACTTTCATCTCAAACAAGGAGAAGACTGATCAGAGATGCAGACAAGAGGCCCATGATCACTCTGGATGAACTGCAGATAACTACAGCTGAGGTGGGAGAGTCTGTCCATAGGACAACAATCAGTCGTGCACTGCACAAATCTGGCCTTTATGGAAGAGTGGCAAGAAGAAACCCATTTCTAAAAGATATCCATAAAAAGTCTCGTTTAAAGTTTGCCACAAGCCACCTGGGAGACACACCAAACATGTGGAAGAAGGTGCTCTGGTCAGATGAAACCAAAATCGAACTTTTTGGCCACAATGCAAAACGATATGTTTGGCATAAAAGCAACACAGCTCATCACCCTGAACACACCATCCCCACTGTCAAACATGGTGGTGGCAGCATCATGCTTTGGGCCTGCTTTTCTTCAGCAGGGACAGGGAAGATGGCTAAAATTGATGGGAAGATGGATGGAGCCAAATACAGGACCATTCTGGAAGAAAACCTGTTGGAGTCTGCAAATGACCTGAGACTGGGACGGAGATTTATCTTCCAACAGGACAACGATCCAAAACATAAAGCCAAATCTACAATGGAATGGTTCACAAATAGACGTATCCAGGTGTTAGAATGGCCAAGTCAAAGTCCAGACCTGAATCCAATCGAGAATCTGTGGAAAGAGCTGAAGACTGCTGTTCACAAACGCTCTCCATCCAACGTCACTGAGCTCGAGCTGTTTTGCAAGGAAGAATGGGCAAGAATTCCAGTCTCTCGATGTGCAAAACTGATAGAGACATACCCCAAGCGACTTTCAGCTGTAATTGCTGCAAAAGGTGGCACTACAAAGTATTAGCGCAAGGGGGCCGAATAATATTGCACGCCCCACTTTTAAGTTTTTTATTTGTTAAAAAAGTTTAAATTATCCAAGAAATTTTGTTCCACTTCACGATTGTGTCCCACTTGTTGTTGATTCTTGACAAAAAATTTAATTTTTATATCTTTATGATTGAAGCCTGAAATGGGGCGAAATGTTGAAAGGTTCAAGGGGGCCGAATACTTTCGCAAGGCACTTTAGATGGACACTTTGGTTACACCGATGTTCTCATCAAAAACAGTCTCCACTCGAGGTCTCAGCGTCTCTGCGGGTGTGTGCTGATATGGACATATTTAAACATGATGTCATAGTCTTGCATTGGGGGTGGTTATCCTCCGGACACTCACTCAGGTTGTGGTGGTTTGTAGTCTTCCATCACTGCTTTAAACTCGGGCTCTGGTTCCTCTGCTCCGGACGGCTGTGGCACGTCAGTCAGCTTTGAGTCCAGGATCTGAGGAAATACATCACCACTTTATAAACCAGGTCTGGCTCCTATTCACTTACTGTACATGTAAAAGTAAACTCCTCTAGCTCAGTAACTGTTTGTGTCGCGATCACCGTGTTGGGCTTAATCTGTGGTTTAATGCTCTCTGTGATTATGGTGTTCATATTTTGTCTGATATTGTCTTTGTAAATCTGGATATGAGCCATATAAGGTTGTTTCCTTCATTCTCTGGGGAAACTCAGGCTTGCCTTAGCAACCATGTTAGCAACACGTATACCCCTGTTACTTTGCAAAGCTAACACCGAGGAAGGAATGTCCTTGTAAGGAAATTGGCTGCAGCTAGTTCATGTTAAAATCGGCTTTTATGGTGATGTCACACTCAGTCAATCCGCGCCTAATATATGGGCTATGTAGTAATTTAGAATAAAAACAGTTGTTTCTTTGCATTGAACAGCCAGAGAGAGGTGGATTTCTTGAAAGCCTTATTAAGTCATTTCATGTTTCAGTTTCCCCTCATATCTGGATATAAATATCACAAAGTACATGTCAAATCTCGACTTCTTTTGATCTGAACGATGATCTGAATGCTCTCCTTCACCTTGAGCTCCGTGCGCAGTAGGATCTGACTTTCAGCCGGTGCTCCGTCCAGATTCATCCATTTGTCCAACAGCAGCTGAGGCTCGGACAGAAGCTGCTCCAGAGGGAGGAGGAGAGAGCAGAGAGGCTGCTCCCAGGCACTGGACACCTGCACAACACACACAGACATGAGGATATCTGCCTGAGGAGCAGAGACAGAGGGAGAAGGAGAGCAGAGAGAGAGAGAGGAGGAGAGAGCAGAGACAGAGGGAGAAGGAGAAAGCAGAGAGAGAGAGGAGGAGAGAGCAGAGACAGAGGGAGAAGGAGAGAGCGAGAGAGTAGAGAGCAGAGAGAGAGGGAGGTGGAGAGAGCAGAGACAAAGGGAGAAGGAGAGAGCAGAGACAGAGGGAGAAGGAGAGAGCAGAGACAGAGGGAAAAAGAGAGAGCAGAGACAGAGGGAGAAGGAGAGAGCAGAGACAGAGGGAGAAGGAGAGAGCGAGAAAGTAGAGAGCAGAGAGAGAGGGAGGTGGAGAGAGCAGAGACAATGGGAGAAGGAGAAAGCAGAGAGAGAGGGAGAAGGAGAGAGCAGAGACAGAGGGAAAAAGAGAGAGCAGAGACAGAGGGAGAAGGAGAGAGAGAGAGAGGAAGGAGAGAGCAAAGATAGAGGGAAAAGGAGAGAGCAGAGCGAGAGAGAGAGGAGGAGCGAGCAAAGATAGAGGGAAAGGAGAAAGCAGAGAGCACCAGAGAGAGGAGGAGAGAGCAGAGGCAGAGGGAGGACTTGAAAGTTATGTCCCCCGGCTTTAAAACAAGACTTAAAGACAGAAATGGGGCAAAGTACAAATAGTTACTTTGTACATTTCATTTATATAAACAAACCTTTAACATCAGAGTTTCTTCAGTGGGATTCTGCACCAGGAAATAAACGGCCTCTTTCCACTCGGGGTCTCTGGAGCGCTCGCACACCTGAACTCACACACATACAGGGTGATAAGTGTAGTTCTCAGTCTGACCAGCAGAGGGCATCTACAGGGTTATAGATAGGCCTTATATACAGTCTTGTTGTAATTACAGACCTTGGTTTTGTGACTCGTCTTCCCCAGTTTCAGCTCCACTGCCGGTCTGGGCTCCTTTCCACTCTTCTTCAGCTGGAACAAACATGCAGCAGAAGTGAATAGACTTGGACCATCTGTTTTGATCATCAACAACAAATATTTGAAGACAGTCTCATTACATTAAAGCTCAGGTACCTATATTTTGGTTGGTTTCAAAAAGCTATTTTATTTAACAAAAAGAGTAACATTTTGTGATCATGCCATCTTGGTCTTATTAAAAAACATGTATTCTATATTTGTAAGAAATAGTCACTATTTGACTAATATGCTTAAATCAATCAAACCATTTTTTAATTTAATTTGAATACATTCTGTCTTTAAAAAAAGATGGGGCAGTGGGACAAGACAAAAAGACAAGTCTTATTTCAAGAACTATATTTTCTTATTCCAAGGGAGACATTTCTTGTATCTTTTATTTTGCTTGTTCTATTGGCAAATCTTAATTTAATGCAGTCAAATGTGCTAAAATTAAGACACATTCAGCCATATTTGAGTGTTGTTTGATTTTTTTTCATTTGATTTTACATCACTTTTTGCAGTTTTGGGGCGAGAGCTGATTGGTTGAGTGACGTGGTCCTCTCTTTATCACTTTTCTGTCTTAAAAACTTGATCTAAAGATGTGACAGAGGCCAATAACACATGCACCTTTCAAGTGCATGTGTTTTTCCAGTCACAAAGCGCTTTACAGTTGTTGTTTGTTGTTTTACTACATTTCCAAAGTTAGGTATCCCAGCTTTAAAAGTATAGCAGCTTCTGGACTTACGGGCAGTGAGTGTGCTCTCTCCACGTACACGTAGAGCAGAGCGGCTGTGGGGAGCGCTTTGTTTGTGAACGTGTGGAGAGACCGCAGCTGCAGCACCTGCTCCAGGAATCATAAAGAAGACATTATTATTTCATTAAAGTGATATGGAACCATGAATAAAGCATACCACAGTAAGAGCTGCACTCACCCGGTCCAGTGCTGCATGATGGGAAACGGTTGGGACCCATTCCAGGATCAGGCGCACGCGGCCGGACTTCACCTCGTTTAAGTTATACCACTTAGAAACATTAGAAATATATGCTGGTTAATGTCTAGTACTAATGTCTCGGTTTTAAATTGCATTTTTTAAACTCTCAAAGACGCTTCACATGTCATTATTCATTCACCACAAACACGGTGGTGATAAACTACTACTGTAGCCACAGCCGCCCTAGGGCACACTGACAGAAGTGAGGCAACCAGTATGCTCCATCGTCCACTCTAACCACCATCAACCATTCCCATACACACCCCAGACTCATTCTAATGTAGATGAAGTGTCGTGCCTAACAACACAACAACAGTCCGGCACTTTACAGCCCCCCACAGTAGCACCTGGTCTTCCCAGAATGCCAAGGAATGTCCACAGATACTGTTTTGTTGTGGGTAGGTATGTTCTAAGATACAGGTACCAGATACAAAAGTGTAATGGAAATGCAACTGTAGATATTTGAGGTTTCCTTGTGCTCTTGAATGCGTCTTAGGGCCTTGTCTCAGTAGAATCCCATTAGTTACATGCAGTTACATGTGCAGTGTAAACACAGTAAAAATTGTTCGATCTAATTTGTGCCAAACGTACTGTTTTTCTAAAAACAGGTTTACATGCGTTCCGTCATAATAAATCTCCATATAATCTTGGTATAAAAGTGGAAAGAAAAAAGTCAAGAAAAAAGGTACCTGGTCAGAGAACTGTGAGCTGATGATGTCGGCCAAGCTCACGGTGATTCTGTGGACATGAAACAGGGAGATAACTTTGAGATTTTCTGTTTTAAACGCTGAAGACTTCCACATTTCCACCATAACTCTAAACAATTCTAAACCAATAACCAGTATAGAATAGTATAGTATAGTAGTATAGATATTTGTTGCTGGAGTACAAAAATTTCAACAACAAAAACAAAATTCTGTCTACCAGTAGCTAGTTCATCTCTCTCATAAGAGTTTGCTTCTGGTCTCTCTCTGGTCTCTCTTCTTTGTTTGCAACATTTAGGCTAGACAAGTCTCTTTCTCTTGGGACATCCATCCATCCATCCATCCGTTTTCTTCCGCTTCATCCGTTGCCGGGTCGCGGGGGCAGCAGTCTAAGCAGAGACGCCCAGACTTCCCTATCCACACACACTTCCTCCAGCTCGTCCGGGGGGACCCCAAGGCGTTCCCAGGCCAGCTGAGAGACATAGTCCCTCCAGCGTGTCCTAGGTCTTCCCCGGGGCCTCCTTCCGGTGGGACGTGCCCGGACCACCTCCCCTGGGAGGCGTCCAGGAGGCATCCGGAACAGATGCATGTAGTTTGTCTCTTGGGACAAACTCTTGGGACAAACTACATGTATTATTTATGAAACAAAAAAGTCAGCAAACTCAGCTTTAAGAAATCATTTGAAAACATAAAATGCCAAAGTTAAAATTCTCAAGATCAGGTTTAAGGCCCAAAATGAGCCCCCCTCCACCCCCGCTCTCGTCCCCTGTCCTAGCAGTAGGATCAGCAGTGTAGCAGAGACTCACCTGCCCAGGAAGTCATCAGAATCCATGTCTTTGTCAAACAGCTCCACCTGTACCTCGTGTCCCGGCTGAGCTCTCAGCACCACCTCCATAAAAACACAGACATTATACAGACACAAAAAACAACTACTACTACTGCTACTACTGCTACTAGTCCTACTCTTATGATTTCCTACTATCTTAACTACTACCAATCTAATTTTACATGATAAAACAATACATTTTAAAAGGGGTTCCTCAAGGATCGCTGTTGGGACCCATTTTATTCAGGACATGTCTTCGTTAAAGTCTATTTTCTGAACCTGAGGAAGCCAGTGCAAACACGTATAGCTAATTATCAACAGCCATAACTGTTATTTATACTGCTGCTACTGCTTTTCCTCTGCCTCACCTCGTACATCTCGTTCCATACTGGGCTGAGGTTTTCTTTGACGACGCTGCTCTTGAACTCGGTTTGGCCCACGGTGATTTTGGCGTAGGGGTCGCTCTTCCCCCCCTTCATCATGCCTCCCATCAGTTTGTCTTTGGCCACGAGACTCTGCGCCTCCAGCAGAACTATCCTCAGCATTCCCTGAACCAGACAGACACTACGATTAACCATTTAGTAACTTAAACGTATTCATGGAGATGTTTGTACCAATTAAGAAGTAATGAGTATGCCAACATCCGGCCACACATATGTAGTAGATATCCCGGGTGTTGATGTAGCCGGTTTGCTAACAACAGATCTTTGGGATTTCCGGTTTCTTGACCTGCACTTGTGAACTGGTCACCCTGGCCCAGGAGCGTGTGCTGCAAACCCTTTTACCTTTGCCTGGGAGCCTCAGTCAGTCCTGCACCACACAACCCTGGATCTACACCCCGAGTCCTGGTTCCACAGCCTCAGTCCTGGATCGTCAGCCTTCGTACTGGATCTACAGCCTGTCTGTTCCTGGGAGCAGATCCCTCTCTCAATATGAGCCCCTTCAGGTTTCTCAGATTTTTTCCCACTGGGATTTTTTTTATTTTATTTTTGCTGATGCAGACAGTGATAAATCGGGTCTGTGTCATGTTCATCATTTTGGGCTTAATTAGTCTGTGCTTTAGCGCTCTCTGTGATCTGGTGTTTCTACTTTGATATCGAGTTATGATCCGTATAGAGACTGACCAATCAGATGCCTTAATTTGCGGGGGAAATTACAGCTAGCAAACACATCTGCCGTTTAAGGAAATTGGCTTGTGTTCAAACCGCATTAAGGCTAGACATACAGTATTTCTTGATATCAGCACTCAGCCAGTCCACTCCTATTACGTATATGGACTATGGGAAGGACTCTCTGAAGCCACGATCTCTCAGTTGGTCTGGGATCCCCTAAATGAGCTGAAGGAACTGTTTGCATACTTTTCTATTGTGGGAGTTTTATAACCTTGTTCTGTAAGAATTTTGCAACTTGAGAAACAGAAGTTGACTCTTAAAGCTATTTCCCAACCACAGAAACCACGCTCTCTCGTCTAGTTGCTTTTGACCTCGACTGTGTAATGCATTTTTGGCTAGATAACTCCAAACGCACCTCGCTGGCAAAGCTGATGTCTGGAGAGGTGTGTGGAGGGAGGGGTACTACAGGGACCTGCTCCTCCTCCTCCTCTTCCTCCTCTGTTTGGACGTGTGTAGCTTTCACCTCCTCCTCATCTGTCACCAGGACTGAGGGAAGCAGGGTCTCAACAGGAGGAGGGTCCACGGAGCTGGATCTGACCACAACAGAACACAACTAGAAGTTCCAATCATAACAGTCTATCTTTGGACCCCAAATGGGCAGTTAGGGGCAGGTTACCATACTGCTTTGCTGGGAGATGTATGGTAACTATCTTCTCCTCTCTCCTACTTTATCCGTCTGTCATTACGACTTGAGCTGTAGTCTGTTTGTTGCTCTTAAAACACTGTCCCATTTTCTGTTTTATGGCATGATGATTGGGCCAACTGAACCTTTCCTCTTTTAACTGCACCCGGCCCGGACTTGTGTTATAATTATATAAAAAACAAATGATCGGCTACATTTGAACTCCCTTCAGCGTGAAGGCAAAGAAACAGACAAGACTCCAGTGAAGGAGCCAGAGGCCGTAGCTCAAGTCAATGTTCAGTCCTTTAGTAGAATTAAGGATTGCTAGTACACCAAGTATGATATGGCTAGAACTAATTTAGGTATGCCTACAACAGAAATATGAGAACAGTGTAATATAAATAATAAAATGTTCACTTTAATTCAATGTATATACTGTAATAGCGCTGCATTTGAAACCCCACTAAAAAATACCCCATGCAGTCTGTTTAGAATGAGCTGGCCGACCCACTAATCTGGAGGCCCACCCACAGTTGAAAACCTGCCGCCGCTAATGGGGTAAAGTGAATGCTACAACACGGTTAAAAACGGTGAAGATTGTTACGCTGCCTCTAAACTGTATACATGGTTGGGTCTCACTTCACTGCGGTCTCCAGTGTCTTGGGGGCCGCCGGAGGGTCAGCTGGTGCCTTCACAGCCGTAGCTTCTTTGGGCACTGGACATTTAGCAGGAACCAGCATCTGGAATTAAACCACAACCAGGAAATAAAATTATCCGCCAATTCAGGTAATGCTCCAACTTTTTGCAGTGAAATATGAGGCATTGTTTGTATGAGTATTGTTTGTATGAGTTATCTCCACAGGGTTATATTTGAGTGGTTCCTTGTAGATTCAGGAAAGTCTACAGGAGAGTGATGATCTGGGACATGTATTAATATTTCTATTGCATACTATCGCATTTCCTGTGTTCCAACTTTTTGAAGTCTGATTTTGTAATTTAGGACTGGCCACAAACACATAGTATTGCAATTGAATTGAGGTAGAGAATATAAGGATGTACTTGGATAATAGAATGGTCAAATTAAAGCTGGGGCATGTAACATTTGGTTTGTTCGACAAAAAAAGTAAAAAAATTAACAAATCAGACAACATGCTGTTATCGTTTTGAAAGAGTAAGTCACTATTTGACGCATTGAGCTGAGAGCTGATAAACTTTACTATTCTGTAACAATGTGTATAATTGTACAAGTGACCAAAATCAACTTAATTCATTCATTCAATGATGTGATAGAGGAAAAAAATATATGTGAAAACTTGTGGTAGAAGAAAACTGTTATGATTGCGAGGATCTAGTGGCCTTAAGCAAAACATCTACTAGTGGAAGAAATGGGACATTATAATCTACTTCTATACTAATATTTTTATTTGAACAATAAAAGCCATGCATTTGATTAGACCAGACCTTGAGTTGAGCCCGAAGCAGGACTTGGCTGTCGGGGAGACCTCCATCCAGGTGGAACCACTGATCCAGGACCAGCTCAGGCTCGGACAGCAGCTCTCTGAGGGGGATGACCAGGGAGCCGATGGGCAGGGTCCAAGTGTGAGACAGCTGAAAAAGACACGGATAAAGAAGAGTCAATTGTAAAGCACAAACAGCTCAGTGTGTTGAACATTAAGGCCTCCTGCTGGGACGATGAGAAGCAGGGACTGGCCTCCTGCTGGGACTCTGAGGAGCACAGGGACTGGCCTCCTGCTGGGACTCTGAGGAGCACAGGGACTGGCCTCCTGCTGGTGCCCAGAGTCTAGAATCTTCTTTTGTTAAGAACTTTGAGTTGCCTTGTGTATTAACTCTACTATACCAATAAACTTGCCTTGGGTTGATGGCAGTGCTCTTGTGCTGCATGGTGCCAATCTCCTTTATGGAAAAACAGCAATAGTAGTGTTTTATAATCTTTTTGATTATCTATTTTTGTGAATCTCCTCTTCAGGTGTCTGTTGGTGTTTAGTTCTCTGACTTGTACCATATGGACCTAAAGTCTAAATCAGGGGTCTCCAACTGAGAAAAAGTACATTTTTACAAGTATATTTACATTTATCATCATAAAACTGAAATTTTTGGAGTCACCATGGCAACTGTTGCTATGGCAATAGGCACCATGGCAATAGTCACCATTGCAACCGTTGCAATGGTAATAGTCCCCATGGCAACCGTTTCTATGGCAATAGTCACCATGGCAACATTTTACATGTCAATAGTCATTGCAACTGTTACCATAACAATGTTGAATCTTGTTTAAATGCAAATTTTCCACAAATGATTTTTTGGGAGTATCTATTTGCCATAGATGATGCTTGCCTAGCTCCTACCTTGCTGAGCTCCTGCAACAACACCAACACCAACCCACCGCCGCCTTCGCTCAGCCAACTCCTACCACCTAACTCCCATCATCTGCACTAACCGCAGTGGGGTAGAGCCTTTGCCATTGCCACCCCAACCCTCTGGAACTCACTCCCACCGGCTTTTAGAAGGAGGACGACCATATTAGTCCGGTCCTCAGGTCTCTGCACTGGCTTCCTGTGGCTCAGAGAATAGACTTTAAAACAGCTCTGCTTGTGTACAAGTCTCTCCATGGCCTCGCACCAAAATATATTAGTGACATGTTAGTCCCATATGAACCAGCCCGGACTCTGAGGAGCACAGGGACTGGACTCCTGTTAGTGCCCAGAGTCAGAACTAAACATGGGGAGGCTGCTTTTCAGATTCATGCTACTAAAATCTAGTTTCAAAACAGTGCTGTTTAGCTGTGCATACAACTGAGGGATTTTATGTTTTTATCTTTCTTTTTAATGTTCTGTGATTATTTATGATTTTAATGCTATCTTGTTCAGCACTTTGAGTTGCATTGTGTATGAATTCTGCTATACAAATAAACTTGCCTTGCCTAGAAACTCGGACTCACTACCAAACTTTAAATCAGTACTCAAAGCCCATATGTTCAAACAAACTATTCAGTAAACCCTCTTTTTATTTTCTTCCCCATGTGAAGCGTCTTTGAGTGTTCTATACAAGTTTAATGTATTATTATTAGGATAGATGCAATAGTAATTTCCATAGAAACGGTTGCTATGGTGTGGCCATAGAGATGAGGCAATAATCCCCATGTCAACCGTTGCTTGGAAATAGTTACCATGGCAACGGTTGTTATGGAAATAGTTACCATGGCAACTGTTGCTATGGCAATAGTCACAAAGACAACCGCTGCTAGGGCAATAGTCACCATGGCAACCATTGCTATAGAAAGTCGACATAGCAACAGCTGCTATGGTAGTAGTTACCATGGCAACCGTTACTATGGTAGTAGTTACCATGGCAACCGTTACTATGGTAGTAGTTACCATGGCAACCGTTACTATGGTAGTAGTTACCATGGCAACCGTTGCTATGGCAATAGATAATATGGCAACCGTTGCTATGGCAATAGTCACCAGTCAACTTGGCAACCATCACTATGACACGTCTTATCATGGAAAACATCACAATGGGAGCAAAATAATCACCATCAACCAACTGCCAGAAAATCAGGTGAATCTAGTTTTATCAATCAATCAATCAATCAACGTTTATTTATAGAGCGCCTTTCCTACACAAGGCAACGCAAAGCGCCTCACAACCCATATAACATCATGCATAAATCATCAAACATTAGAATTTAAGTAAACATAAAAAGACAGATTAAGAGCACAAGATATATAAAATCACACAAGTAGTTAAAAACCGTAAAAAATTAAAATCACACAAGGGATTACAATCATAAATAATCATAAATAATCATAGCGCATTAAAAAGATTAAAGATAAAAACAAATGTAAAATCATTCACTTGTATGCACAGCTAAAAAGAACTGTTTTCAGTTCAGTTTTAAAAACTGCTAGAGTAGACGCCTGTCTCACACTCTCGGGAAGACGGTTCCAGACTCTAGCTGCATGAATCTGAAACGCAGCCTCCCCATGTCTAGTTCCGACTCTTGGCACTAACAGAAGTCCAGTCCCTGTGCTCCTCAGAGCCCGAGTTGGTTCATATGGCACCAACATGTCGCGGATGTGTACCCTGGTGCGAGGCCATGGAGAGACTTGTACACAAGTAAAGCTACTTTAAAATCTATTCTCTGAGCCACAGGAAGCCAGTGCAGAGACCTGAGGACCGGACTAATGTGGTCGTACTTCCTGGTTCTAGTCAGGACTCGAGCTGCAGCATTTTGGATGTACTGCAGCTGTTTTACCGCTTGTTTAGAGAGACCTGTGAACAAGCCATTGCAGTAGTCCAATCGACTGGAGACAAATGCGTGGATAAGAATCTCCAAGTCTGCTTTAGACACAATGTTTTTAATTTTAGCAATGTTTCTTAGGTGGAAGTAAGCTGATGATGTCACAGATGATATGTGGCTATTGAAATTCAAGTCTGAGTCCATTATTACTCCTAGATTTCTGACCTGAGTTGAGGGTTTCAGGGAGAGAGACTGGAGGTGGCAGATAACGCTCTCTCTTTGTTTCTGAGGTCCGAAAACAATAATTTCAGTTTTTTCTGTGTTTAGCTGGAGAAAGTTATTTTGCATCCAATCACTGATCTGTTGGATACAGTGAAGGAGCGAGTCCACTGGTCCATGTTCTCCTGCTGTCAGGGACACATAGACCTGAGTATCGTCAGCGTAATTGTGATAGGACACGTTATTACTGTGTATTAACCTACCCAGAGGCAGCATGTAAATATTAAACAGGAGAGGCCCCAGGATTGAGCCCTGTGGCACTCCGCAGGTCAGGGCCAGATGGTCTGAGACACAGTTTCCGATCTCCACAAAATACTTTCTGTCCTGTAGGTAGGATATAAACCAGCTTAGGGCTGTTCCAGAAACACCAACCCAGTCCTCAAGTCTCTGAATGAGGATACCATGATCAACAGTGTCGAAAGCAGCACTCAAATCTAACAGGATAAGAACTGAGACTTTTTTTTGCGAATGCGAATGCGAATGCGAATTTCTTGCAATTTTTATTTAGGGAGTTTATTTCTAGTTGTGAAGGTTGCCAGGATAGTTGCAATATGGATTTCCATAGCGACGGTTTCTATGGTAATGCTCATCATGGCAACCGTTGCTATGGCAATCGTCACTCTGGCAATTGTCACTCTGGCAACTGTTGCTATGGCAATCGTTACCATGGCAACTGTTGCTATGGGAGACAGTTTATTTTTTGGGTTTCTCACTAGATTTGTAATATAGTAAGTATTAAGAATTAGAATTATGTACTGTTTGTTACACTCTTTAAGTTGTTGTCGATTCAACCACATCACAAAACATGTACTATCAGGTTGTATGATGTCCGTATCAGTTCCTATTCAGCTGATCAAGTTAGTGGACCACTTGCCAATTTAGTTGGAGAACCCTGCTGTAAATTATAATTCCAAGCTAAGGGTTCCCCCGCAAATGTAGGCATCTGATTGGTCAACACTTATATGGTTAATAACTGGATTTACAAAGACAATATTACAATATAAAAACCAAATCAGAGAGCACTAAACCAATGTTTTTAATCCCAAAATGGAGAGTGTGACACAAACGGTTACTGAGCTTGAGGACTTAACTTTTCAATGTAAGTCAATAGGAGCCAGAGCGAGTTGGAGCAAAACTATTCATTAGCACCTCCATATTGGCTTTCATTGAGCTAGCGGGTTAGCATTGTCCATCTACATACTACTCTAAGATTCATAGGGAGAGGGAAGACCAATGTCCGTAAATGCTAATAAATGTACCTTGATGACCAGGATGTCCTCTCTGGGATCACGAACCAGGAAGCAGAAAGCCTCGTTCCACTTGGGAGATGTAGTCCGATCACAGACCTACGCGTTCAAATTCAATCATTTGTAAGAAGTGAAAAAGTCTGTGTAAAACTATGAGGAGAAAAAAACAACAAACGACGTACTGTGGTTTTACGTGACTGTTTATCAAGCCGGATTTCTGCTCCGACTTTAGGATCCTTGCCGCTTTTTTTCACCTGAGGAAAAAATATTGGGTTTGGAGAAGAGTTATCTTGTGAAATATTGGATAAAAACTAAAGAAAATCCTCAAAACTCACGGGTAAACCATCGGCCTGTTCGATGAAGAGGAAGAGGAGAGCAGCTGTGGGTATGGCTTTGTTCTGGTACGATTGTCTTGAGAGAAAATCAAGAACCTGCAAAACGAAATAAAAATATTGAAGGAGAGATATGATTCAGAATTTGGAAACCATTTTTGCGTTTGCATTTTAATAAAACAAGCAGTGTGAGTTTGAAAAAGGACTATTTAGAAAGCAATGGGAAAGGTTGGGAAGATATATTCTGTTACATTTATTTGTGTACAGCCCTATATCTCAGCTGCAGCCGTGTCTTACAAAGTTCTGGTTTTACCAACAACAGATCAGAGAATTAAACAGTTTGAACACAGGAAATGCAGACCAGAGAAAGACCAGAGAGAGAGACTAGAGAGAGACCAGATGGATTTTTTTGCCTCTAACATGTTTGCACACTTCTGTCTTTTGCACAATCTGATTCAGATTCAGTTTATTTACCATTTGCAGTAAAAAAGTGAGATGTAAAAAAGTAAAAAATAATCCATCTGAGTGATCCTATCTGTGCCAAAGTGACATGTACATTTCTCCAGTGTGAGATCAATAAAGTCTATCTTATCTTATCACATTTTCATTGACTATGGCAAGTTTAACATGCATGTGCAGTAATATAAACATCTTTTATCGCTGCACCATTGAGAGTTTACTTGTTGGTTCTGTGGCTGTGTGGTTTGGAAACATCACAGATAAAGAAAAGAGAGCTTTAAACAAGGTGCTCCGCTCTGCAAAGAGGACCGTGGGCTGTGAGCTTCCTGTTCTGGAGGTTCTTTATAAATCCAGACTTTTAAACAAAGCTCTTAGGATTGTCAATGACTCTTCTGGCCACCCTGGGAAAGCCATGTTCCAGCTTCTTCCCTCTGGCAGAAGATATCGCTCTCTGAGATGCAGGACATCTCGTTACGCTAACAGTTTTTATCCACAAGCTGTTATCAGTCTGAACAGAGCACTTTAATGATTTGCACTTGTTTTGAAACTGTTTTAGTCGATCGATTTCACAGTGACATTTGTTTACTGTTTTATTTGTTTTATTTTTGTCTTTTAATGTTGTTTTATGTCTGTATTTGTCTGTGTACACTGGTGACTTTTGCTACTGTATTCCTATGTGGTGTTTTTACTGCAAATGGCAAATAAACTGAATCTGAATCTTAATCTGAATTATCAAACACATTTTTCAGGAGGACAACTTCAACAATCAATTTTAACACTGCCACAGCTGCCCTGGGGCACACTGATTGAAGGGAGTAAATCAGTCTGTGCCCCTACCACTGTGAGTGTGTGTAGTTGTGAGCAGATCCACATGTCAGCAGAGTCTGGAAAACTATTTGGTTCTGTTGTGTCAAAATGACTGAATGAAGTATTATTTGTTCACCTGGTCCACGTGGTTTGAGTGTGAGGAGGTTTGGAGCCACTCCAGCACCAGGTGGACTCGCCCCGACTTCACATCGCTGAGAGTGTACCACTGAAAACACACACATCGACTGTGATCCAGCTGTTCTGTTTTAACACTACCACTATTCCGAAACTACTGCAACTCCCAGAGCAGTCATTTTGAAATTAAAATTCAGAAAAAGAAAAGTAATTTATAACCTTCACTCTCATTAACTAAGTAATAAAACAGGAATGACTCCAAAAACAGTTTGTTGAAGGGCTAAATGCTAACTGCTGAGAGTGTTGCTATGGTAACTAGCACTCTCTCTTCACTGGTGGTAACAAATGAGTGGAACCAGCTGAAAACCAGTCCACAACCAGTCCAGGACCAGTACCAGTAGTATGTGACCAAAAATTTTACATTCAAATGAATGAAGTCAAAATGACTGCTTGGGAGTTAAATGCAAAAATGTTGTTTCAAAAATAAAAGATAATTTCAGAAAAACAATGAAAATGGCAATAAACTACATCTACTACAATCTACATTTAGGAAATGTTATTATGACCAAGTACATGAGTCATTACAATTCCAAAACTAAACAGAGATCTACTGTAGAGTTAATACTGTAATGGTACGGCCTCACCTGGTCTGTGTACTGAGACTTGATGATGTCCTGCAGGTTTATCTTCAGCCTGTGGTCAGAGACAGAGCAGATTAGAAAACCAAAAGGAGCATGTCTCATCACACAGCATGATGCTCACCTTCCCATGAAATCGTCTTTCACGTCCATGTCTTTGTCAAACACCTCCAGATGAAGCTCCTGACCTGGGAGCTGAGATAAAACCACCTGTAGGCAAAGCAAGAAGTGCACGTTAGCGAACTGACCAAGTGTGACATCAACATAGCCTTAGTACGGTAGAAGTTGATTTGAACATGAGCTAGCTGGAACCAATTTCCTTAAACAGGAATTTCTTCTGCGGCGTTAGCTTTGAGCCGTAACAGGGGCAGATGTGTTGCTAAGACGGTTGCTAAGGAAAGAAGGAGTTGGTCAATACTTAAATGACTCATATTTATATTTACACTAACAGTTTCACAATCTTTTCGGTCCAGCTCTTTGGAAACTGTGTTCATGAAATCCATCCATCCATCCATCCTCTTCCCCTTATTCCATTTCTGGGTCGGGGGGGAAGGCAGTCAGAGCTGCACCCAGTACATACAGCACCAGCCCCTCACTGATCCTCCTGCAGGTGGTGAGTCCACAGGAGCCTTAATCTTCCAGCGGGGCTTCAGGCAAAGTGGGGTTAAGTGTCTTGCCCAAGGACACAGCGACAGCAGTCATCAGTGGGAGTCTTAAAGTAGGTCTCGTGGTGGGCTCGAACCCACAACCTTCAGGCTCAAAGGCCAATGCTCTACCAACTGAGCCACTGTCACCCCTGTTTATGAAATGTACTATATAAATTATGTGGATTGGATTGGATATAAACACCCGGATCACAGACAGTGCTAAACTACCAATAAGCTACTTTTTTTTAGCTCAAAATGATGAGTGTGACACAAACGGTTAATGAGCTGGAGGAGTTTACTTTTCAACGTAAGTCAATATGGGACAGAGCGAGTTGGAGCAAAACTTCATCCATGAGCACTTCCCTATTGCGCTTGAGGGTAAGCATTGTCCATCTGTCTCTACGAATGAATGAATGGGTAAAAATGTATTTGAACCATAGACTGTAAATATTAACAGACGTAGTCACGCCTATCTCCGGCGTTTAACTAATGTGCCACAACCTCCACGGTCTATGGGCAGTTTCAAAATGGCCGCGGGGGCTGGAAAATGTGAAAAAACGCATCTGCGCATGCGTCAGCCGGCACGAGCCCCATTCATTTCACGAGTGCCTTCAAAATTTCACAGCGACTAAACTAGACTGGTCCAAAAAAATTCACTCCCCTCAACATTGACACACATGTGGAACGGAGCTTTGGGCCAAGAGCCAACTTTTGGACCATCCTGTAAAGACGTTTTCGAGAGGTAAGAAGATGCTATATGTTAGCATTGGCTAATTCTTATTCCAGGCCCACCCCCATCGACCTGGGGTGGTATTGCAAGCATGTCAGCGCATGACATTTTGGCCCCCCTCTGGTTTGAACATGGAATAAAAACAACAGAATAAGAACAAAAAAACAAAACAACAATAAATACAAGACAACAACAAGACTTTACACTTATTCATGCTCAAAAGGAGTGGGAAAAAGCCAAAGCTTATTAAATCCCACCCCTTCTCCCTATGTTAGTTCGATATATCACTCCGGCTCGAGTTCAGGTTTACCTCGTACATCTCGTTCCAGCTCGGGTTCAGGTTGGACTTGACCACGCAGCTGGTGAAAGTCTCGCCCCCGATGTTGATGTTTACGTAGGGGTCGCTCTTGCCCTTCACCATGCCTCCCATCAGGTTGTCCTTCGGCACCAGGTTCTGACCGGCCAGGAGATGGATCCGAAGCAGGCCCTGGGAACGAACGAGACTCACACACAATCTGACCCACAATGCAGTTTGATGAGGTGCCATTAGCAAAAGACAAAAGCTGTCATTTCCCTGAGATCATTTTGGTGTGAAGAAATCATCGATCCTTATCATTTAGACTCATGTTTCCTGTGGACTGAATTGTGCAGCTCAAATATATACTGTAAATATGTGGGACATTTGTATTTCTATTTAATCTAATAATAACAAAAAACACCACTACATCTGCTTCTATGACTACTACTACAACTGCTACTTCAACTACTGATACTGCGACTACTGCTGCTACAACTACTACTACTGTCATACTTTTCCTGGAACTATTACTTCTACTCCTGCTAATACTACTACTACACAATGAGGTCCTAGTTTGTGAATTTTGCTCTTGTAAGTTGAATCAGCACAAATGTACTTCTCGACTCACGAACCTCGGAGGCGAAGCTGGAGTGTGGTGCGGTCAGCAGGGGGAGCTGTTTGGATGCAGCCTCTTCCAGTTTGGACGATGCTTCCGCTGCAGAGATCCGCTCTTCATCCAACCACAGCACCTGTGATAGGAGAGTGGAGCAGAAGGACGAGGAGGAGGAGAAGGAGGAGGAGAAGGAGGATTACGGTGAGATTTAAAACCATTTACATCATTTGTGAAACAGTCAGAAGCAGAGAAGAAAGACGAGATGATGACCTAGCGATCACTTGTTTCCACTAGCCCTACTCTACCTGGTTGTGTTTCCATTACCCTTTAGTATCTAGTACCGTATCCTAGAAACCTACCCACAACAAACTAATATCCGGGTAAATTCCTTGGTAACCATGGCTTCCGGCAGCACTCGAGCCAATCACTGTCGGCCAGAACACTTAAGCACGGTTAAACAGGGTAAATAGTAGAAAAGAGTAGAGCAGGGTAAAATCAAGTAGAGTAGAGTCAAGTAGGGTTGGTGGAAATGGGCTGCATCCCAATTCATATCAAATGATAACAGCTCCTTTTATGTCTTTGGAGGGATCCTAAAAATCTTCAGGTACATTTCAAAAGAGCAGCCTCAGACCTGGTGAGTGGCTTAGTCATGTGTAAGCGTTCTCACCCTGAGCACAGCGTGGATGTAGACTCTGCTGGCCGGACCCGCCTTCTCCAGCTGAAACCACTGGTCCAGACTCAGGCCTGAGTTGGAGAGGAGGCGAGACAGAGGAATGGAGAGGCTGCCCAGGCTCTGCACTCGGTCCGCATCCTTCACCTGCAACAGCCAAAAGTCAGCCCCTCACCATATCTCTACGAGCCCCCGGTAGAATAAAACTCTCACTAGGGTGTGTTAGCAGAGAAAAAGACACACACATGGTTAGTGTAACTTCAGGAGCTACATTTGGATTTGTAACATGGTACCCCCCCCCTTTCCCGGCTGGGAGCTGCCTCAGTCCTGCACCGCATGGCCTCGGTCCTCGCTCTGCAGCCTTAGTCCAGGATCTATAGCCCGTCCGTCCGTGGGAGTGTATCCGTCAATGTGGACCTCCCCAATGTTTGTCACAAATTTATTTATTTTTTTATATAAAAGAGTTTTTTTTTTTTTGCAAGAGGGTCAAAGGACAATTGTGATGATGAAGAGAACTAGACGTTTATCAACATTTATGAACATCGGTTATCTGCCCCTAATGAACCAACGGCTGTTTTTATCATTGCATTTCTTTGAACTGTTTGATTCTCTGATCTGTGTTGGAAAATTCAACGGTTTTGTTAAGTCCTCTGAGATAACTACTGTGGTGATTTAGGGCTATACAAGAATACATTAAGTTCTGGTCAGGACCAGAGCTGGACAATTTCACCTCCAACTTGTACATATTTTTTGTGATAAGGGAAACCAGAGCACCCAGAGCAAAGCTACGTAGACACGGTGAGAACATGCAAACTCCACTCAGAAATGTCCTGTTCTGACCGGGATTTTAACCCAGGAGAAGCGAGCGTGCTAACTACTCAGCCGTCGTGCCGCCCAAGGCTCATGGGTGGCATTCTTATGAGTATAAAGCGTTACCTGGATGTCTATGTCCTGGTTGCGAGGGTCCTGGATGAAGAAGGTGAAGGCCTCCTCCCACTCTGGGTTCACAGTGGTGTAACACGTCTGGAAATCAAAGCCGTTCATTTGTAAATTCTATGAAGATTAATAAAAAGTCTCAGTATGTTCACACGTCCACACCTTGCTCTCTCGTGTGACGTCCTGGACCGACAGCTGCACCATGGGGTTCGGCTCCTTGCTCCCCTTTTTCATCTAAACAACAACAGAACATGCACACGGTGGAACAAGCACTTTATATTTATGCTTTTAAAAACTCACGGTGTGCACGAGCCCCATTTCCATCAGCTCTATTTGGCCCTACTCTTCTGTACTCTACTCTATTCTACCTGGTTGCAATTCTATTACGCTTTAGTATCTGGTACCGTATCCTAGCAACCTACCCACAACAAAACAGTGTTCAGGGAAATAACTAGAGAGATACTAGGTAAATAGAAATACATCGATATATTGATATTAAAACATTTAGAGCTGGCTAAGAAACATAGCAGCGACTTATATTGTATATTTTGTGTGTTCTTACTACTGTCCTGTATTTGTGCGCTGCAACATTGAAATTTCCCCACTACTAACCGTGGTTTCCCGCAACACTCCCAGCACTGTCAGTTGGAACACTTTAGTACCAAATAGGCCTGGATAAAACCAAAGAGGTACCAGAAAACGACCTAGAACCAGTTAAACAGGGCCAGTGGAAACTTTCCCCATTAGAGTAGAGTAGAGTAGGGCCATGTAGGGCTGGTGGAAATGGGAGGGCTAAAAGAACATACCATGCTGACTTATTTTTATTAGAGATATGTCATCTTTTGTGTAAGAAAAATCCCTGGGAGTCACTATTTGACGCTTTAGGCTGAGATGTGACAGAGGCCAAAAATACCTGCATGTGAAAATTAGTGATAGAAACTGTTTAAAAAGCCCAAACTAGTGAATTGAGTTGATTTGAGGTCCATTGATGCACTTTAAAAGTTAGGTACCCCAGCTTTATTGTACAGTACTTCAGGAAAATTACTTTGTGTCTTGCCAGCTCTGCCGTAACCATGGCAATATGTGTAATCGCACATAAACAGGAAGTTGAAACGAGCCCAAACGAAACCACAAAGCCAACGAACTTCACTACAGAGATGAGTCTTCTTCTCTTTGAATGCAATGGAAACATATCATTAACACAGTAGGAGGAGATATCATCTATAAGCATAGGAAAAATGTGGCCAATCCATTATTTTAAGTTTTTTAATATACAGTTTGCTGAATTTGTCTCTTCCTATTTGAGATTGGGTGGTGGATTTGGACAACAGCAGAATTTCTCCCGTTCTAAGCTTCAGCGCGGGTCTAAACTTAGCTGCAATGCCACATGTGTCTGGTATTTACAACAGCTGCACTGAGAAAAGCCAACCGCGACCGGACGTGACATTTTGGAGAGGTTATTAGAGACTCTTTGTTAAAATGGAAACAAAAATCTACACATAAAAGCATGTCTTCAGACCAGGGGTTTCAAACATTCTGCTTTTTGTGGCCCCTGAGTCGACATCAAAGTTAAAAGTCAGTTTGACCGCAACTGAAAATCTGGTTGACTATGATTTGATTTGTTGTACTCTATTTGAAACTTAATTTTATTAAGTTTTTATCATCATAAACATTGAACCCTGAACGCAATAAGAACTAATTAAAAGTAAACACTATTAAACCCAGTCTATAATACTAAAAGTTGTTGCCTTTAGTCCAGTTTTGTTGAAACTGCTGCATCTGAACTCATCTCTACATAGACTTCATAGACCCATCAGTGCGTAGGTTCAGGTCCCTCCCATTCAAGACAAAAAGGGCCACATCCAGCTTCGTCCCAGCCTCAATTTGCCTTTTAAACAGCTGATTTGGAGACCTGTTTTATATATTGTATACTGCATTTCTGCTCTTTTACTGTATTTATACTTAGATCGTGCGTTTCTGTGTTTTTGTGTACCCCCACTGGTGCTCCGTCTGTGGATGAAGTTCCTCACGGATGAATAAAGTTATTTGAATTGAATTGACATATGGTAATGAGAGATATAGGACTCACAGGGAGAGCTTCGGCCTTGTCCAGATACAACACCAAGATGGCCGACGAGGGAGGGTCCGCGGTCTTGCTGGTGACGCTGCTGTTCTTGCTCAGGACCTGGGGCAAAAGATTAAAAACAATCTAAACAGAACTCATAACACTAAACATAAGAGAAGGCCTGCAAGAAAAGTGAACACAAAAAATACATTAAAACTGGCATTATTTAGCTTTACCACACTAACAGAATTACTTCATAGACTTCCTGCAATCAGCAATACATCAATAATTATAAATGATTCAGTTGAAAAAGTCTCTGCTTTCACCGAATCAATACCTGCTCCAGCTGGTCGGTGTTTGGAAGCAGTTTGAGCCACTCCAGTCGGAAGTGGATCTTTCCAGACGGAGTGTCCTTAAGAGTGAACCACTGCGGGACAAAAACATCTTATTTCAGGATCCGGACACACAGCTAATGGTCTTTTTAAACACTGGGACTCCCAGAATTATGAAACTACTAAAACTCCCAAAAATAAATAAAAAAAGATCATTTTAAAGGTGCAGTAAGCGATTTTGTTAGCATAGCCATAGCACCAACTCAAACCCCTCCCCTCGCCTCTACACCAAACCAAACATCCAGCTTTTTTTTTCTTTACCACAACAGAGAGAGTGGGTGGCGTGAAATTGGGATTTTCTCTTCAGCCCATTTAGGTTTAAGAAAATCCAATAACTCCATGGATAACTCAGCAGCACACGCTCGTGAGAAACAAGAAGAGGGGGTAAACGCATCCCATTGGTTCGTTGGGGATGAACGAATTAGTTAAAAATTATTCATTTTTGGAGACAACATCTGGTCAATTCCATCACTATTTGAAAACACATGATTAATTGACTACTAAGGTTTAGGAACGTTTTCCCACAATATTTAAACTAATCTGTCTGTAAAAAATCACTGACTGCATCTTTAAATAAATAAAAGCCGTCACATTGACTGCTCTGGGAGTTCTCGTGTAATGAATGAATTAAGCAGATAAACCATTTGACAATCGCACACAATTGTTTTCTTACATCGTCGACTGCAATGGATTTCTTCACAATGCCCAGGTCCAGCTTGACCCTGGAAGAAAAAATAAATTCTGTTTTACATGTTTTTAGTACAAATGATTTCACCTGAGAAATCACCTAAACTAATTTAGAGGCGATACATTTATGAGAGTGATGTCATAGTGGTACAATGTGTGATGTAGAGACACATGGAGGTGGAAACACTACCGTCCCAAGAAGTCGTCCTGGTCTGTGTCTTTGTCGTAGACCTCCACCTCCAGCTCCTGACCCGGCACTTCGTGAACTATGACCTGACACATATGAACAATGTGGTGAACGACACACAACATGCGGCTGCTCATGGCACGGTCATGAAGTCAATACAACACACATCCAAACCCACTTTAATTGGGGATTATGGTCTAATTCTAATGCAAGAGAAAACATGACAACAAGATGATGACAGTATTTTAGGTCCGTCAGATTTTATCAAAATGTAGACTTTCTGTGACAATGATTGAAAAACAGTGATGGAAGCAAACTATTTGGAGAGCGAGTTAGAAGGAAGTAATGTTATCAGTTATGTATATTTTTTTCTAATTAGAAAGTTAGGTACTCCAGCTTTAAGGTGTAAAAGTAAATGAATGGAACTCCGTCTGGAAAGGTTTCTCTAGAGGGTCTAAGGGCAGTGATGATCCGGGACATTTAAGGACATTTATAAACATTTCTGGACAGTGGTCATCCCGATCCCAATGGTTTCTATGTGTTTGTTATTATTGCATTTCCTGTATCTGTTGTTGCCAAATTGACATTGTAATGTCTTCCGAAAAGACTGCTGTTGTGACTTAGGGCTGTACACAAATACATCTAATCTAATTTAATTGAAAAAATAAAATGAGCGAACAAAGTGAGTAAAACAGTGGTCTTGGTGGCGGTAATTAGAGAAGCTAAAGCAGAGCAGTTAATTCTCAAGTGTACAACTTTATAACTCACTAAAACATGTGAGAACAGCTTTAAAAACAACTTTGAGTTTGAAAATGAGAAAAAACACTGTAACACAGTGAAGAGCTGTGTTCGGTGCAGTGTTCTGACCTCGTAGATCTCCCCCCACTTGGGCGCGTCCGTGTTGTCGTAGTGTTTGGAGGTGAAGGTCTGTGGTCCCACACGGAGGATGGCGTACGGATCCGACAGACCCGCCATGACGCCTTTCACGTAGTTGTCTTTAGCCGCCAGGTTCTGCGCCTCGATGAGATGGATGCGCACCACGCCCTGGAGCGCCACATGGAAAAGTGGAGTTAATAAATGTAATGGAAATGTGTTATTTATTATCCCGGTAGGGAAATCTCTGGTGAAGATGTCCAATATCCAGGACAAACGATAGCCCTATTTCCACCAGCCCGTCTTTCCTCTACGCTAATTTATTCTACTCCACTCTACCCTGATTGGAAGTGTTTCCACAGGCCCTGTTTGACTCGTACCAGTTATTTTATTGGTACCTGCGTGGCCCTGGTTCTATCCAGGCCGAGCTGGTACTAAAGCCTAACTGCCCTTGATTGGCTGGAGTGCTGCTGGCAGGCATGGTTACCAAGGACTTTCCCAGAATACTGTTTTTTGGGGGATGTAATACCAGATACTAAAGCATCATGGAAATGCAACCTATAGCCCAGTTTCCACAAGACCCAGTTGCCCCTACACTTCTCTCAGGTCAAGTGGGGATGGTGGAAACAGGGCTCATGGCAGAGGAAGGAGATGCCATTCCCACAGAAGACACAAGGAAGGCTCCAAGAAAATTTATAATATGTTAATGAAGCTAAGGTGGAGGTTCAGTCTGGAAGACAGAAGAACTAAGCTCACTTCTCTGTCATCAGTCAATCACACTCAGCTGCAGCGCCAACACTGAAAATCTTCACCCAACAGCCATCAAGCTTCATATCATACAGGAAGCTTTCATTCAAGAAGCAGCTTTCATTCATGCAGCAACCCTCCTCCTCCCCATTGCCGCCTTGTCGGCCATACCAGCTCTTTCACCCTTCTCCGAGCTCCCACCACCAGGGTCTAAGCCCCAGGGGATTTCATTTTATAATCCCTATTTACATTTCCCCTTCTGCAATCATCATACAGTGCTCTGACGGGGTCTAAGCGCAAAATTGTAACCACATTAATTGGACAGTAGCAATACATTTTATCTTGTAAAGATCGCCTTCAGAGTCGTATGTGCTAATTTATGTAGTATCAGACTAGGGCTGGGCGATATAAACGGTATAAGCGGTATGCGATATAAATTTGGCCCACGGTAGAGATTTTTGTTATACCGGCATATTGCAATAGGTCATTATGTCATCAAATTTCGCAGGCTCTGACGCCAGCAGAAAGGACCAAAACAAACCGGCATTCAGCAGCATTAGCCTAGCAGACACCACTGGAAACAGCGAACAACAGCACGGCATTCACACCGTGTTTCTGTCTCTGTATTGTTGTCACAGCGGCCCCAGCAGAGGTAAATACACACACAGTAATCACAGTTTAAGCGTCTACCTTTTGGCCAATCAGTGTCAAAGGGGCGTAGGCTCGAAGCGCCAGTGTGAGCCAAAATAGATCCATGCGTGTGCCGTGTCCACAGCATCACAGCAGAAGTTTGGGAAAGTTAGCCTCAGATTCGGACCTCCGCGGTCAATATCTCACGAAAGCTACTTTGTTAAACAAAATTAATTGTGCCAAAATGATCATTTACATCAATTGTTCAAATCCAATGCGCTGTTTTAATGAACATAAATCCATTGAATCATCCAGTTCACTGCAAGCGCAGAGAAAAGCGCTTAGGGAGCGTCAACAAATGGCAAGACCAGCTTTGTAAACAAACAATAGCTTTTACTGAAGTGATGTACCTGCACAAAACTCTCAGACACTATAAATAATGACCATGTCTAACTCCTACAGACTTTGAGTTAAACATTTGTGAGTTTTTGGATATTTTAAATGAATGCATATGTTTTTCTTTTTAAAAATTGCTTTTACAGTGAATGGTATTTACTGTAACATACATAAATAATGTATGTTACAACATTTGTCTCTTTATTTGTCTCACAACTGATTTTATAACTCAAAAAATATATATATTAGATTCTAATATATATAAGTAACAATCTTGACTATTTTATGCAAGAACCGGCTAGACATATATTGAAATTCACACACCAAATTATACCGCAATATATACCGGCTACCGTCTGTGTCCCAAATCATACCGCAATATGAATTTTAGGCCATATCGCCCACCCCTATATCAGACTAACTGCCAATCAATATACAATTTTAATAAATACCCTGTTTTGTCAGTTCTCTAGATTGAATTGTGTTTATGTCATTATTCGGGTAAAAGATTGAAGCTGACCCTGGGCAGAGGAGAGCGCAGCTGGGCCACATGGAGACCAGGCACCAGAGGAACCACCAGGCGGTTTGGGAGAACCAGGAACGAGGCAATGGCGTCCATGATCATGCTGTCCGACATCACGCTGAGGAAAGATACGATTTGGGTTTAAAGGGAGGATTCATAAAAATATTACAGTTTGTACATCCTCACAGTTTTAAAGACAGTGGTATCTTGCTTTCTCAAAAAGACAGACAGATGGAGCAACACCTGAAGAACATAAGGCACCCACAGGCAAAGCAGGGCAGCGCCAGGTTAGTACTGTGATGGGAGACCTCTGGGAACTCCAAGTGCCACAGTGGGGCAACTGCGGCTGTACAAACACTTCACCCACATTGCCAAGAATGAGTCTGAGGTGGTGGTGAGAGGGGCCGATGCCACTAACTATGAGCCATGTTGAATCAATGTTTATGGCAGGAGCGCTGGTGCACACTGGGTACTCTTGCACAGTTATTCAAATGTGGTTTTCTGCATATGACAAATAAACTGAATCTGAATCTTTCCTTATATGGGCATTTGTTCTGCAGTGTTAGCTTTGGGCTGTAACAGGGTCGGATGTGTTGCTAAGACGGTTGCTAAGACAAGCTGGAGGTTCCTCGGAAATGGAGGCATTTGATTGGTCAGATGCTTCCATTACTTCCATATTGCCTTCGTATCTGGATATACTGTACAAAGACATTATAAGACTATAAACAGCAGGATCACAGAGAGCCCTAAACCACAGATTTTTTTAAAGCCCAAAATGGTGGGTGTGACACAGACGAATACTGAGTTTACTTTACAGTGTAGGAGCCAAAGCGAATATGAGCAAAACTTCCTCAATGAGCTCTAGTCTATGTATGAAATGGCTTTCTCTAAATTTGCCTTCATCCTAAAACCATTGGATATGCTCAATGGTATTTCCCTTGTAAAATTCAAACCAAATTGGGAAAAATCAATACGTCCAGTGCAACGATAAGCTTCCCAGAATCAACACTGGTTTAAAATAGCAGCTCTAATCAAAGTGCTTGTGCATGACTCACTTCAGTCCTGGAATATCCAACAAATTGGTCAATCCGGTCCAGTTTATGTCCAGTTTCTGTGAAGAGAGAAGAAGAGTCAGTCTCAGCGAATCAATCAGGACTGACAGGAAATCCATTCAAATGCAGTGGAGAACTTTGTAAATAAATTAAAATGGAAACTTACAGGTCTCTGGATGAAAAACATAGTGACCGCTCCGACAATGGGCACATCTCCGATCAGCGGCTCAAGGATCACCCTCATCATCCCGTTCAGCTACAACAGGTTTAAAAAGGAAATAGATATCAAGCTGATTTCAAAGAATAAATATTAGGCATTAACTCATTGAATGCCAGCCTATTTCAGAACAGGTACTCCCACAGTGCCAGCCATTTATGATGATTTTTACTGATTTTTCAAGACCCACAGAATATTGTGTACTATGACTATCTGAAATCCGACACCAGATTCTAAAAGAATGGACTGTCTACTTTCCTCAGCAAAAAGAATTTTGTTTATAGCTTTTTTCGTTCCCCTGTAATCCTCCGTTGAGTAGAGAGAAGTTTTACTGAAATCACCAGAAATCACCAGAAAGTTGAGAAAAAAGAAGCACAACATGTGCACCTACATGTTTTCAAACCATTCAGAGAGCAATGCTGCCACCTGCTGGCTCGATAAAATATGGTCTCAAGTCATCCCGATACATATTAGATACAATAGACATCTGGGAACGTGAAAATAGCGAAAAAGGCATTTGACGTATTAATGCGTCAATGGCACACGACGTTACTATTTGCTTTGACGTATTTGTGCGTCAATGGGACACAAAAAATATTGTCCATTGAAAATAATAATGAGACTATTTACTTTGTTATTTTGTTTTTTAGTTTTTGAAATAATATCTTTAGTAGGAAATATATGGAGAAAACCAGTATGAAGTGTGAAAAATTCTTTCTGCATGTAACTCAAACCACCAGAGGGATGTTCTGGTTTTTTTCCCAATTTTGAAAATTACCGGCTGCAAACACAGACACACGTCATTTAACATGAGAGATTATCAAACCTAATAAGTGGGCGATATCTTTGTTTTAAACGGCAGAAGAGCATGATGTCATAGTGGTCTCTCTCTATCATGTCTCTATTTCTGGTCAAAAATGAGTTTTGTTTGGACTGAAACCGAACTGACTTTCTTTTTAATTACTTGAGTTTTGACTCATTACTAATCTACTGTTTATGGTTACTATGTGTTGGCGGAATTGGTGGCAGCTGATTGCCACCCCCCCCTACCCAGAAATGGACAAAGGGGAAGAAAACTTAGCATATGATATGAATAATGAGTGCACTTTGATGTTCATAGGTTTGTTGTATTATTATTGTATTTTTGTGTTTGGTTCACTGATCTGTGAAAAATACATTGAATTGAATTGATTTGAAAATGGATCAAACGTTACGGGCTGAGGGCCACGTAAAATGACACAGAGGGCCGCAGTTGGCCCGCAGGCCTGAGTTTGGACATTCTTGGATTAGATAAAGAACAGCCTGATTACCTGCATTCCTTTGACTCCAGCTTTGCAGAAATACCTCTTCACCTCAACATTGATCTCCACATTCCCCACGAAGCTGCAGGAAAGAAATAATACAGACACTTTGCGGCAGAATGTGAAAATAAAAAGGTCTTTGAAATGTGCTTAAATGATAGCAATTTGTTGAACAATGTGCATCGTTTGAAGAATAATAGAAATATTTTTTTACGAAAGAAACTCCTTGAATATTGATTGAAATGATAGCACTAGTAGTAGTAGTAGTGGTAGCAGCAGTAGTAGTAGTGTCAGCAGTAACGTCATATTCAGCAGTATTCACCTGATGTAGAGGTCGAGCAGCACTTGTCTTTTGTCGTTCTCAGTGTGAGCCTTGATGCCGACCACCTTCATGGCCTGAAAGACAAAACATTCACTTTAAACAAGGTAATTCTACACAATTAACTACTACTACTACTACAACTATTTCTAATGCTACTACTACTACAACTACTGTACTGGTACTGCTACTTCTACTGTAACTACTGCTCTTTCTATTGCTAATACTATTACTACAACTACTACTACTACTACTGTTACTACTGCTGCTGCTGTCACCTTGTTCCCCATGTCGACTTTAGTGAAGGTGAGAGTCTGAAGGTGAGCGCTTGAGGCCCGGATCGACGGAGCGATGGTTTCCACCAGGAGTTTCTCCAGGTACTGTCCCACAAAGGGCCACACCTGCTGCAGCACCTGGACACATGGAACAGGAGTGAGGAGCAGGAGTGAGGAGCAGGAGTGAGGAGCAGGAGTGAGGAGCAGGAGCAGTAGGAGCAGGAGCAGGAGCAGTAGGTGGCTGAAGGACGCAACACTGAGGAAGACTTGTGAATGAGCATGGCTATTCTATCATCACAGTGAAATGTACAGCAAATCTTCTTTACTTTCACATGGGCTCAAGCGGCAACAGCAGAGCTAACCTGGCTAATGCATAAATGTACTAATTATCAGTGAGGGGCAAGCTACTTGATTTGTGTAGTGAGCTAAGCTACAAGCTACTCTACAATAAATTCAGCTTCACTACACAGAAGCTACCACCCATACAAATGTAGCAAGCTAAGTTACAAAATTCTGTTAAAAGTAGCTTGCTATATAGAAGCTATTTTCAATTAAACAAACTGCAGTTCATGCAATTTTATATTTTCCTGCATTAACATGTTTGCTCATTTCTTATTTTTTGCACAATTCTTGAGTGTTTTATCCATGCCAAATGTGACATGTACATTTCTCCTGTGTGAGATTAATAAAGCTTATCTTATTTGAGATAAACTGTCAGTCAGATAAAGGTTAAAATTTTGTAGATATTTATTGAACAATAGCCCAAAACACCAAAAACTACAAAGAGTAGGCATCTGAAAACATATTTCTTTTCGCTCATCTCGACTAGAGTGACGTACTTTTGGAGGTATGGCCACGGTACAACACTTTGAGAGTCCTTATCATGGTCCTCCTCCACCGCGGCGGCTCCTGGGCTCTCTGCCATGCTTTTGCTTCCCCCAGTAGCGCGCGCGCATGTGTGTGCGTGTGTGTGCGTACGTTCGTGTGTGTGTGTCGTTACCAAGCCCTGCGCATGCGCATCAGCATTCTGTCTTTCTTTGCTTTATGCTGCGGGAAAAAGCTGTAATATATGAACATCAGAGATGTCCGTGAGAAAATAGCTTTGGCGGACGCTACCGCGCTACTTGAGCAATAATATAGCTTAGCTACAGAAAAGTTACTAGGTTTTGTAAATAGTGACGCTACTGTCAAGCTACTTGTAGCGACGCTACTGCCCATCACTGCTAATTATATTATGTGGCTATGGCGTTGCCGTTTAACCCTGTCTCCACAGGGGCAAGTGGCCAACCGTGGTACTGCACGCTAAATCCACACAGCTGTAAGGAGATTGGCCTCAGTGTTCACTAAAACGCCTCTTGCTCAGCTGACATGGAACCTACAGCTGAGGATGAGGCTGCTGGTTGTTCAATGCCGCTTGCAGCTTTAACTTCATTGTATTTACTGAAATTGCAGTCTTGTAAGAATGAGACATTTCCCTCACATAGAAGCCTTTAGTATTCATCATCAAACAAATACTGTACCATTTTGAAACTTGAGAGGAACTGACAAAATCCATGTGCCTCTGACTCATATTTACAGAACTTTTGTTGATTCATTATTCTTTCGGTTATACATGAAGAGGGGATGAGAAGCCCCAGTTTATCAAAATAGGGAAAGAAGTTGACATCGCAGGTTCAAGGCCAGTTTTTCTTTTATGATATAAAGCTTTTTGAGTTCATAAAAATGCTTATTACTACATACAAGTTGTATTATAATTCGTAATTTAATTGAAACGCCCGCTCTCCTCCACTCACAGAAAGAGGCGGCATCCTCTAGCCTCTACAGCGCTGCTAAACACAGTAGCATGTTAGCAGAATCAGATTTGGCTATAACTCCTCTTGCTGTAACTGCATACACAGAAAAATAGTCCAAACGACACAACAGTGAGGAAGAGAAGAGAGAACTAAAGCGAAAAAATTATGAAAGAATAAATCAATCAAGGGTGAACATAGCTAGCTTACATCGTATCCTCTGGAGAAACTTGTCTATGGGCGAGACCTGCGGGACTGCCTCGGACGTGGAACTAGCGGTAATCTTTCATGTGTTTCATCAGTGATTGTTGCACAGCTTACAAGAAGTTGCGCTCATGCTAATGTTTGCATATAGATCCCAAATAAAACTAGATGGCTCTGTGGAATGAGAGCATAGGGGAAATGAAAAGCCTGTGAGCAAGTTGGGGGCGGTGCTAAACATTCAAACCTTGCAGAAACGGGTATAGCGCCTTTAAGCGTAAATTCAGACTGGAAGACTAAAAGAGACGTCATGTGCCACACTGACCCCCCCCCCCCCCTCTGCACACCTGCGCCTGAGCTCAACATCAGCCTCAGCTGCTCAGTAACACACCTGTGCTCATCACTTCACGGCTGTATTCAAACAGAGCCTCTTAGGCTATATCCACACGAAGACAAAACGCTTATAATTTCAGAAACTTTTTCTGTAAACACAGAGTTAGCTCAGTAAATGTGTGTGTCCATATGAATGTAGTCAATACGCCTGAAAACGCTGTGAAACTATGCCAGACCTGTTGGTGGCGCTGTGACGCAATGACGGGATCAAGCCCAAACTTCCGTGGGCATGCGCGGAATTTTGTAAACAGACAACATGGCGAGTGGGCGAGCTGGTACTACATTAGTATGGACGGACGATGAGGTTGAACTGTTGCTTCGGGTCACACTGGATTACAAAACCAACAAGCTACATTGTTGTTGTCATTATTTTCTGAGTGCGGCGCATGCGTGCTTTAACAAGAGGCGGGGCGATGACCCAAGCGTCTCAGATACATTGCGGAGAGGCAGTAACCACGGAGCGGCATATACGGAGTTTTGAAATCTTTCCACTCTGGGACCTAGTTTCAAAAATTTTCGTTTACACCCCCCCAAAACGCCGGCCTCGTATGGACGATACACTGGATTGATAAAGTATTTTTGCGTTTAGGCCTGAGCTTGACTTTGTGTGGACAGGGCCTTAGTTCTGTTCAAGCAGCAACCCACCTCCTCCCCATCCCTGCCTCTTCAGTGGAGTATCATGTCATGTCTTTGGCTCAGCTTCTTCGCCACCATGATCTAGGCCCCGGGGGGTTGCAAGCTCATAAATTCTATTAACCCCCCCTCTCTGCATACGTCATGCAGTATTCCTGCTGGGGTCTAATCACCAAGCTCAACGAATATTCGACTCGAGTCTTTCCAAATGCTTGGGGGGTTTTAATGTTTTTTGTCTAGTTTTGTTAAGCCCTTTGAGTTACCTTGTGTATGAACTTTGCTATACAAATAAACTTGCCTTGTCTACTCAACAACAAACAAGGACAATCTGACACATCCCGCTCCTTGTTGCCTGTATAAGGACTTGCACACCGCTGGGAAAAGCCAATTCTGTGTTTGGTGGTTTAACTTGGCCATAGCTTTGGAGTGAGTCACTGACCGCATGCTTCTGTCGTCACAAGCGTCTCAAGCTGCTGATCTGCCGCAGGACAACTCTATTAGCTCTCTCTGTGCTCTCTCTCTGGTCTCTCTGGTCTACCTATACCTCTCTGGTCTCGCTAGTCTCTCTCTCTGGTCTCTCTTTCTGGTCTCTTCTCAGGTCTCGCTCTAGTCTCTCTATCTAGTCTCCCAGGTCTCTCTTTCTGGTTTCTCTCTCACTAGTGTCTCTCTGTCTCTCTCTCTCAGATCTCTCTCTCTGGTCTCTCTCTAGTCTCTCTGGTCCCTCTCTCACTGGTCTCTCTCTCTCTGGTCTCTCTCTCTCTGGTCTCTCTCCCTGGTGCGTCTCAAACTGCTGACCTGCCGCGGGGCCACACTCTATCAGCTCTTTGTTCCTCTGCAGTGTTCTCTAATCTCATGACCGTCCGGTAATGGCCTGAATACTTGTGGAGGAAAACATTTGAGTCTCTGGTGTTTGCGAGCGGGAGGGTGGTGCTGGGGGGAGGGAGGGGGAGGAGGGGAGTGGAGGGAGGAGGGGCCGTGACAAAGGAGCAGTTTTATTTGGTTTTCAGGGGGCCGAGAACCCTACACCACGCCCCCTTTTCCTGTGTGCAGTAGACAGACACGAGGGACAGAGGCCTCGCTGCAAAACAAACCAGTGCTGTCGCTGGGACTCGGAGTGAAAACCTGTTAAAGAAAGTGCTTCTGTCTGTACAAAGTGTAAACACACACAGAAAGAAAAGTCTATTATTATCTTTTTTTCCTCACTCATTGTTAGTAGTGAAGCAAACATGCTCTATGTTTACAAATGAAAATTAGGTCAGAAACTCCTCTTCTGGCCCTGATCAGAAGTTTCCATCCCCCAGTTCTAAACAGTTTGTTGCCCTTTTTGAGTTTTTTGTTGAAGTTGGTCTCTCTCTAGTCTCTCTCTATGGTCTCTCTCTCTCTTGTGTAGCTCTTGTCTCTCTCTGGTCCCTCTTTGGTCTCTTTCTGGTCTCTCTGTCTCACTCATGTCTCTATCTAGTCTTTCTCTAGTCTCTAGTGTCTTTCTTTCATCTCTCTCTGTGTTATCTCTCTCTGGTATCTCTGCCTCTCTGTGCTTATTCTCTGGTCACTTTCTGGTCTCACTCTGGTCTCTTTCTCTTATCTCTCTATGGTCTCTTAATTAGGCTTTAATTCTAGTGTTTATATCTCTCTGTCTCAATCTTGCCTCCCTCTGGTCTCTCACTCTTATGTCTCTCTCTAGTGTTTCTCTGGTCTCTCTCTGGTGGCTCTGTCTCACTCTTATGTCTCTCTCTAGTATTTCTCTGGTTTCTCTTTGGTCACTTTCTGGTCTCTTTCTAGTCTCTGTCTCACTCTTGTCTCTCTCTGATCTATCTCTCTCTTTTCTCTGTTCTCGCCGTCGCTCTCTGGTTTTTCTCTGCTCACTTTCTGTTCTCTCTCTAGTCTCTCCTTCTCTGGTGTCTCTGGTCTCTTACTGAGAGACCAGAGACTTTAATTCTAGTGCTTATATCATGAGTTTTTGCTGCGACTAGTCCGGGGGAGGGAGGGAGGGGGGTTGTTGTCTGCTGCAGCAAAGCGTCCGTCAGCACGACAGCTGAGACGACGACACACAAACGCACACGTATCGAACAAAGAGGGACTCAAACACAGAGCTGTTCGTACCTTGTTGAGCCACTCCACCTTCTCCACGTCTGGGAAATTCACCTGAAAAAAAAGAAAAAAAAACAATAAGGAAAAGTCATTAAAGTGAATGCCAGGATGTGTGGGAGCAGAGGGGGGAGGAGGCTTTACTGGATTCAAGGACAGAAGAAGTATTGTGGGCAGTGAACTTAAGAATTTAATACACTTTGAAGACACATTGTCGCAAATAAGCGATTTAAGACACACGCAACAATCCTCACACGGGATTTGAAGAAGGAAGAAGAAGCCTGCATGAAGTATTCTTTTGTTTATAGGGCTGGACATAGTCATTTAATAATTGTGTTTTGAACCACACATAGAAGTAGACATGCTGAGAAGAGGTTTTATGAGTACAGACCTACGCAGACAAGGGGAGAACATGCAAACTCCACTCAGAAAGGCCTTGTTCCGACCGGGATTCGAACACAGGACCTTCTTGCTCCTTACCACTGTGCCGCTAGCCCTAGGCCCTTACACAGAGACGCAGCCATGTGATTCACAAAAACAACCCCACTCCAGATTCGTAGTGTCTAAACGATGACTGATAACAATGTAGTTCTAGTGCCCGGCCTGTAGGGGGCAGTGGAACTTTACAACACGATGTGAGCAACCCCCAGCAATATAACCAGTTCCTCAACAACATCCTCCTCGGGCCACTTCAAAGACGGGAAAGAATGCACCAACATCATTCTGCATTTAACAGCAGCTGCGAAAATAGAATTGAAACTACAGCTTTGCATGGTTTCGAGTAGAATTGCTCCTCCGTGTAAGGCTAAACAAGTTGATCAGCTGCCATTGTTGTTTGTTCTTGGCTCCTGCTCATGTTCGAATGTATGGGGGGAAGTGGTGAGGTCATCGCAGCCAGAAAGTTTGCACCTTTTTGTCCACACGGCTGTGAAACGGGCTCCGCCGCGCAGCCAACTTGTTTTGTTCCACTCCGGAGGCTGTTTTTCAAAGCTTGCGTTTTCACCCCCCTGAAACACCGTCGAAAGAACGAACGACCGATCCGATTGCCAACTCTATCGTTTTAATGTCACAGCGCCTTTATGTGGTAGAGGCTAATTTGAACATAAGCTAGCTGGATCCAATTTCCTTATACAGTATGGTTGCCAAAGGCATTCTCTATCTGTACAGTCTATGTTTATGACTCAGATAACTCTATAAATGATGATAGAATTTAAATATACGAGTTGAGGTGCCTTAGTTTGGACGTAGTCACGCCTATCTCCGCCATTCAAACTAATGGGCCAAAATTAGTGCTCTACTGGAGCTATCCAAAATGGCCGCGAGTGGTCCCGCCCACAAGAAAATTGTGAAAAAATGCATCTGCGCATGCGTCAGCCGGCGAGAGCTCCATTCATCTAGACTGGTCCAAAAGAAAAATCTCTCCTCAGCATTGACACACATGTGGAACAGAGCTTTGGGCCAAGAGGCAACTTTTGGACCATCCTGTAAAGACGTTTTCGAGAGGTAAGAAGATGCTATGTGTTAGCATTGGCTAATTCTAATTCCGGGTCCACCCCCATCGGCCCGGGGTGGTATTGCAAGCACTTCTGAGCCGGGACCCGCCCCCACTGATTTGCACGCATACTAGTTTGTTGTAGGTAGATTGCTAGAAAACAGTACCAGATACTATAGCCTAAAGGGAATGCAACCAGGTAGAATTGAGAAGTTGGGTTGGTGGAAACAAGGCTATAGTTCCATTGTGGTGAAAGTTAGATACCTCAGCTTCAAAGCAAATAGGAGAAGAAGAGAGTGAGGAAGAAGGTATTTTTGTTTGAAATTGGATGCAGCCCAGGACCAGTGTGATTCCCCTGGTCCGGTTTCTTGATGAGAGCGCTTGTTTGGTCAGACTGATCGATGCACTTCAGGAGCAGAGCTTTAATCCGGAGACACAGAAATGCTTGGTCACAATACAAGGCCACGTTTTTATCTCATTAAACTGATGAAAGAATGTTACAGCCGTCTCTGAGATTATTGCAAAATGTGCATGCCTCAACTCGACCAGTCTGAAGCCCTGAAGCTACAGGAAAAGCCAAATGAAAGCGCATGGGTGAGAATATGTTTCAAAACAGTGTAAGAGGCTTCACGCAACATTTGCACCATAGACTGTATACAGATGGAAATGCTAACCCGCTAGCTCACTGAAGTGCTCATGGAAAAAGTTTAGTTCTATCTCGCTCTGGCTCCTATTGAATTGTATTGAAAAGTAAGCTCCTCTCAGTAACTGTTTGTGTCACACTCATCATTTCAGGTTTAAAAAGTCGTTGGTTTAGCACTCTCTGTGATCCTGATGTGTATATTGAGATATTGTCTTTGTAAATCTAGATATGAGCCATATAATATAAGTGTTGACCAATCAGATGCCCTCATTCGTGACGGAAACACCGGCCTGCCTTAGCAACTACCTTAGCAACCTGACTGCCCCAGTTACGGCGTAAAGCTAGCGTGAAAGCTTCGTCCACATTAAGACTACAGTGATGTCACACTCGGTCAGTCCACTCCTAAACTTCACTCTATGGTTTCGATCAAGATTCGAACCCAGGACTTCCTGGATGAGAAGCGAAAGTGCCTTCCACCTCTGCAACATTGGTTAAATAAGTCTCTAGTTACCCACATGGAAACAGGTTCAATCTTTCTTAGTGTAAGTGCACATGCATTGATTTTCTCATTAGTTACAATTTGTTTGAGAAAGAAAGTTGATTATTACAGTTAAACGTGGGACTAAATTTAAAATAATACTGTCATTCCAACACAACAGTGATTGACGTTTGTTCAAAACACTGGTATGACTCGATATTATTATTCATTTTTAAACACTAAGATTGTGATACAAATATATTACATTGTTGTCCCAGTAGTTTTTCATACTTTACTTTGTTTCTATGTAACATTTGTAGAGAATCCAGCTGGGTTTATTACTACTAAATCTAACTCAGCTGTCACCAGACTCTACTAAATCTTGAATCTTAAATCTTTAAGTCTGTGATGTCACATAGGAAAAACGCAGTATCACCACCACCTGCTGACGGAGCTGCACCAGAAGGAACCGGTACTTCCTCCTCTGATGGTGTCAGCAGCACGTGTTGGATCCAGTCACAGTAGAACGTGAACTCGGGCTGAAGGTGTCCACAAGCACTGACCCCCATAGTCAGCCCTGGTTTAGTCCTGGTTTGGTCCTGGTTTAGTCCTGGTTTAGTCCTGGCTCAGTCCTGTTTCAGTCCTGGTATATGATCCTGATTTAATACTGGTTCCGTCCTGGTTCCGTTCTGATTTATTCCTGCTTTAGCCCAGGCAAAAGGCTCACTGCTGACAGTAAACAATGTGTTGCTATAGTAACCATCACTTGCTCTTATCTGGTGAAAAAACCAAGTCGACACAGCTCAGAAAAATAAACAGAGCTTCAATTATAAAGAGTAATAACATAGAAATAAACTACATAGAAACAGAAAGAGACACACAGTTGAGGTCTAAAAGTTTTATGTGTTTATATTTTATGTGTTTGCTTTTATTTATGCTGCTGTTTGTAGCACTTTTAGATTTGGTGTCAAATGTAAAGTGCATTATAAATAAAATGTATTATTATTATTATTATTATTATTATTATTATATGCTGAGTAATTACACTTCCAAAACTAAAAGCCGTCAAAGTGACTGCTCTGGGAGTTCTAGTGTTAATTTAAGTGCAATTAGTGTTGTGGCCCTAGAGCTTTAACGGGGATATTGACATGTTATAAAGTTAATTCATGTTGTTGTAATTACACCATCGTTACCCCCTCCGCCTCCTCTCTTACCCAGGCTGGCAGCTCTCTCTTCAGCCGGGACACCTTCGCCTCCACCCCGTCCTCATCGTCGTCCAGGAGCATGATTGCGGACCTCAGCCTGGCCTCCTTTGCCTCCCGTGCGTGTTTCCAGCCCGTGTACACCATCATCCCGCACACCAGCAGCCCGGTGCTCACACGGTAGTACCCAGCCAGGTACACGGGCAGGAGGGCGCCCAGGCACTTTCCGAACGTCCATAGCACCGCCACTGCGCTTATGCCTTGCGCCGCCGGAGCCCCCTCTACGCACACGGCTCTCTCCGATGTGTCATCCACTTTGGGGCACTCCTGCACGGCTTTGTCATCTTGTTTCTCCGCGTTCTCCATTTGAAAACAGCTGAAATAACCTCAACTTTCGCGATCAGTCAGATTTGCAGCGGGTTAAACTTGCTTTCATCCCCGCGCGGTCCCTTTCTACAGTTCACCTATAGTGCGTAATGGCGCAAAACATCGCGTTTCTTGTGCCAAATTGTTGAGTTGGGTTGTTGGAAAAGCCAGGGTGGTGGTTGCAGCAGTGGAGGAAGAAGGCACCACCAGCAGTGCCCACAAGCCAGTCCCGTTATGTGCATGAAACACGCCCCTAAGTCAAATTATGCATCATTGACTCTTTCGCTGCTGCAAAGTCACGCTCCAGCACGGGCGGCTCTGTGCATCGGGGGTCCTGGGACGTGTGTGGCCCCCAAATAAGGACTGGACAAGAGGTGTGCGGAAGAGGTGTGTGTGGAGTATGGGCATCTCTGCTGAGACTGCTGCCCCTGCAACCAACAAACAAATAAAGTGGAAGAAAATGGATGGATGGGTGATTGAACCGCAGAATTTTTTTCAAAACAAGTTTAAAAAGTAGCAGCTCATCCTCCAGCCAGTCCAGCTTTATTATCATATGAGATAAATAATAAAGACACATATTTACAAACGCAAAATCGTCTTTGTTGCACTGTTGTTGTAAAAGTCAGAAATTGGTGATAGTGTAAAGCCATTTAGTCTTACTTAAAGAACTGTTGCTTTATTTTCTCATTTCAAGATCATTGAGCTTTAGCAAATCTGGTTTTAAGGCAAGTCAAACTATGCTCACGTTTTGAATTATTTTTCATCACTTCTTGCAGAGAATGGACTAACTACATACATATTATAAATACCACTGCTGTTTGTAAATAGCACAAGAGTTCTGTCACCAGGATGTTACTGTCCTGACAGAGAAGTTGTGTTTAAATACTAGTTTACACAATTTTTCTGCTCCACCCATCAGCAAACAGCTGCCTGTGTGCCATGCCAACCACAGATTATACACAGATTATCTTCACGTGGGAAATGACTGGTTCAGAAACTGCAGTATCTGTTCTTTAGTATGAGTATGTGTCTGCAAATATCAAAATAACTGTGATAACTGTTGAACTGTTGATTCTGGGGTGGAACGTTTTTTGAGGAAATAACAATTTCCTTGAGATCACACTCAGGGAAAGCTCTTGTTCTTCGTGCTCATTCAGTCCACTTTATTTCTGTAGCAGTTGGGTGTGAGTGCGTAGTCCTGATTTTTTTACTTTTCGGTCTGAAAAGGCAGATTTAAAGATGTGATCGAGGCCAAACATGCACAAAATTATTGATAGAAGCAAACTGTTTTGAGCGAGGAGCTACAGTTACTTGCTTTCAAATGTGATTTAATGCTTATTCTAAAGCTGGGGTACCAGCTTTAAATTTCATTTCCATAATGCATAATGGGGTACCAGCTTGAACTGGTGGGGTACTTATTACTCATAATTATTGCGTTCAGGGTTCGATGTTATGAAAGAGCATAGTTTGTCACATGCAAAAAACATATTTCTCATAATTATGAGAAGGTATCTCTAATGATATTTTTATAATATGTATAACACAAGCTCAAGACTCTCAGGGGGGCCAAACTGACCTTAACCTTTGATGTTCACGACCAGCCGACATTTTTTGGAGCCACATGTTTAAAACCCCTGCTACCTCTAGTGGACAAACATGAGAAGTAGAAATTCAGGCGTCAAAAAGCTTATGAGTTTTTCAATGTTATTTTAATTTCCTTCATACCACAATTTAATGTCATCTAAAAATAAATACAAACGGGTTTCTCCTCACTACAGCCTTGAGCAAAACAACAAATATATGGTCAACAAACAAAGTCCAAACCAGTACTTTTACTTTGCCAGCGGCTGTAGAAACAGAATAAAACAAAAACTCAGAGAAGCACGACTGGAAAACAAACTATTCTCAAGACTACCAAAATTCTGCAACTACGAGACCTCCCAGAGCAGTCATTATGACAGCTCCTATGACAATAAATGGAATTTTGAAAAAAGAATTTGATGAGGGTTTTATCAACATGTTAAAACTGGTGAATATAACAAACTGAAAAACAGTTTCTTAAAAGTCTAATGCTCACTGCTGCAGGCATACAGCGTGTTGCTATGGTAACTGCCACGTGCTCTTCTCCGTTAGAAAACAAGCTGAGCAAAATCAGAACCAGTTTTTGGAGAAAAAGGCTTTAACTACCATAGAATGTTGGGTCAAACGACCAAAAAATGGCAACGTTTTAATTTCACATTTAAACGAACTGACTGCTCTGGAGGAATCATGTTTCAAAAGTAATATTATTTCTATGTCAATATTGTTCTGAAATTAAGTACATATAGAAAGAGAAAAAGTCAAAGTTTTGACTATAGGACTCTGGGAGTCCTATATTGTAAAGTAGGACATGTCTGCTTCTGTGGTTTGTGTTGCTACATTTGGGCTCAGTTCAGTGCTACCAACTACACACAATTGGCAGCATTCAAAAAAACAACAACATGACAATCTCCTACATCACAGTCACAAAGATCATTTAAGTTTATTCACTCTGGTCTGAAATTAAAAGTTCAGTTGATTCTACCCCAAAAAGTCTTGTGAAAGTATATAAAAGTTGATCAGATTGCAACCCTCTAACAACCAAAGACCCAATCAGGAGCGAGACTGGTCCGTTTCTTGCCCCAGCTGTTGGCGCGCTGAAGCCGAATTTGAGGGCAGACCCCACCTGCTGTGTCTGTGGTTAGGGTTCATGTCTATCTGGATTTACAAAGACATAATCAAAATATAAAACACCAGTGAAGACCGTGACACAAGCAGTAACAGTTTACTTTTAAATGTAAGTAATAATAATAGAAAAGTGCTGTCCATACAGACAAACCCTGGACAGATAATCAATTCTAATTATAAACAAATGATGTAATTGAAAATGCAAAGATGAACAAAACCATACATCAGATAAGTTTCCTGTGATATCTTCTGCAGCTTTTAATTCCCTCTCTCAAAGCGTTCCAGTCTCTTGGCAACCTCAGCAAAGAGGTCTGCTCTCTGCTGTTAAACCCTGTGTAACTTCAGTATTTTGTGTTTGAACGCAGCAGGTTCATCTCCAGGAGCAGAGGAGGAATAAGGTTATAGGGGGGAGGGGCAGCCTCAGTCCTGGATCTACAGCCTCAGTCCTGGATCGACAGCCTCAGTCCTGGATCTACAGCCTCAGTCCTGGATCTACAGCCTCAGTCCTGGATCTACAGCCTGTCTTTCCGTGGGAGCAGATCCCTCTCTTAATGTGGGCCTCCCTCAGGGGTTCTCACTTTTTATCTCTTGAGTTTGTTTTTTTGAGTCCTCCCTTGCCGATGTAAGAGGGTCAGAAGAACAGTGAAGATCCAGGCAATTAATGAACATTTATGTTATTATTGCATTTCCTGTATTTGTTTTTTTTTTTTTTAAAGTCCACTGAGACGATTGAACAATACATAGAATTGACAGAGTTGGGAGGACAGCACATCAACTCACACAAAACGGAAAGAGCGTGTCTTTGTGCACGTGGCAGTAAAAACGCTGTTTGGATCCATTTGTGACAACGCTGCGGCTCTTTACAAACAGGCGACTGATGCTGGAAGGTTCTGATTGACTCTCGACCTCTGTCTGGAGTTTGCGCCTTTCTCGTCGTGTCTGGGTGAGTTTCCTCCGGGATCAAACACAGCCCAGCGCTCCAGATTCTACTGACTGAACTCCAGGCAGAGGTTAGAAAAGGGCCTTTGCGAGACCTGCGACTGGCACAGAGTATGTTTACGAAGCATGAGAATATGGAGTACGCGATAAAAACTAGTTAGTGTTGCTCCCAAACCGGACTGACCCCTCTGGTCCCAGTCTGCATGCTTTGAGCCCCAGCTTTATCCAATTAGGGTGGCGTCTCATAACTTTGCCTTATTTCAGAACTGATAAAATTGCTACCATATATAAACTGTGTCTATACAGCAATACATGCATGGCTTTTCCCTGTGCTGTTAAATGCTTGCTTTGTCTGAGATAAATGCAGTAGAAATTATTTGATCCAGATTCACCAAACCGACTGGTGTTCACTCAGTAGATTTAACATAATAAAACTGGACTAAAGGAGAGAGATACAAAGCGATTCAATGAGAGGGATCCGGTTTCAGTGCTTTGTAAACGTGCTCATTGCCGCAGCGTTGTGATGCGCAGGACCTGGCGTCAGTGCGGCAGCGTGGTGATGCGCATGCTCTGGCTGGCGATGGGGTAGGACACCATGGGCGTGGTGGCGTGGCTCATGGTGATCACCGGAAGAGCCTGCGTCATGGACACGGCCACTGGCGCAATGGACACGGCCACAGGCGCCATGGAGACAGGAGGAGCCAGGCCTTGGGCGATGGTCTGAGCCAGTGCGGCGGACATGGGGGTGATGTCGGGGTTCATGTGGGGGGGAGGGGCCGTGGGAGGAGCCGCGTTGGAGGGCTGAGCCGTGGGAGCTCCAGTAGAAGCCACCATGTCCTGCTGGATGACGGCTCGCGGCTGCAGTCCCGCGCTGCTGAGCGTGGTGTGAGTCTGGGCGATGCTGTGGTTGTAGGAGCTCACAGAGCCCACAGGGGGCGCCATGCTCTGCTCCGAGGGGCCAGGGGTGGAAGTGAGGCTCAGGACTTTGGCCTGGTTACGGAACTGAGCGTTCTGATCCAGCAGCACTTCATTAGTGGCAGCGAGGTTTGAGACCTGAGGGAAAAGACAGGGTTCAAAACAAGATCATCAGAGAGAAGGATTTACAAAATATTTAGGCAAGGCAACTTTAATTTTATAGCACAGAGCACAGTTCTTGTTACATATTTTCTCTGATGTCTTGACAGTGTGTGCACAAGTACCGCTCCAGTTTCCCCTTTTCTGTTTGCAATTCTGCCTTTTAAAATTTTGAATTGGGGCCGAGCTTCAAGATATGTTGGAAAATAAATATTTTCAGCATATACTCAAAGAATAGACCTTAAAGCAGCTCAGTACCAAAGTACATCTCAGACGTTTTAGTGCCGGACTCTGAGGAGCACAGGGACTGGCCTCCTGCTGGTGCAGAGAGTCTGGACAAAACATGGGGAAGCAGGCTTCTACTCAGACACTGTTCAAATCTTGGTTAAAAACAGTTGTTGAGCTGTGCATCTTATTCTTCTTTTCTTGTTTTGTTAAGCACTTTGAGTTTCCATGTGTATGAAATGTGCTACACAAATAATCTAGCCTTGTCTTTTGTAAAGCTAATTACTCACGGTAACCATTAAAGGAATAAGCCACTGTTTTTACATACTGACATATGTTCTTACCTTACCTTAGACTAGTTGATATGTACCTGTCTGGTCTTTGTCCGTGCGCTCTGTCATGCAAACGGAGCACAAACACAGCCTCTTCCACATACTGTATAGTTCCAAATCAGCTCCCTTTAGAAGCTACCAAACTCTTCCACGTTTTCCATATTTAAATACAGTTACGTGACGTGTTAGACTACAAAGTATAGTAACACAGAAATGTAACATGTCGATTTTCTCAGCGGATAAAAAGGGGTACTATATTGTGAGGCGTAATAATACGAGGAGCACTACGTCCGCGCACTAACTCCTAAAGACTTCTCTCCTGCTCACGCTGCTTCTATTGACGGAAGACATATGTTCTTACCTTACCAACTAGTTTAAGGTAAGGTAAGAACATATGTCAGTATGTAAAAACGGTGGCCTATTTCTTTAAGTGTTTAATAAAACCAAAAAACAAAACTAATGATAAGAAAAATAATGGTTTTGCAGCAAAACCTTTCAATAATAACTCTCTCGTAGCCGCACCTGTTTCTTGAGCTCGTCCACCCTCTTCCGCAGCAGAGCGTTCTCCTCCTCCAGAAACCGGTACTCGAGCGGCCGAGGCTGGAGCGTGGCCTGCACGCCGAGGTCATAGTGCCCCACAGCGGGGTCGCTCAGTCGCAGTCCGTCCAGGCGCCTGCGCTTGATCTGCATTGTAGCGTGCTCCACAGATGCTTCTAGAGACCCGGTCTCAAACAGGCTGCTCTCCATCAGTGGGTCGTACACAGCGCCCCGATCGTACCGCCTCTGCCCTGACTGCCCCAGCGACGCATATGCGCTCATGCCACCGCCACTCACGCCCAAACCAGAGATTACCGGGTCTCTGCACCCGCCCATGCTCGCGCAGCCCATTCCCATCATGTTGTTGGCGCTTCCCCCGACCAACCCTGGTATTCCCCCGACGTAATTTACCCCGCCTCCCCCTCCTCCTACGCCCATCCCGCCAACACCGTTCACCATCATCCCAGACGCCGATCCGATCACACCGCCAGATCGGTTGGTGTCGTATTCGTAGTCCTTCTTAACGTGCCGGAACTTACACGTGTTCCCGCGTTGGCATTCACCCTTAAGGAAGTCTCTGCAGATCGGGACCTCGCCGCGACTGTGAGGCAAATCCAGCGGTGATAATCCAAGCCGCGCTGCCACTTTCCCCCTCAGCCTCGGCGGGAGTTCCCCAGTTTTCTTGTAGTAATCTTCATCGTCTTTGGAGCCGTGCACAAAGCGGCAGTTGGCGCGCAGGCACTCCTTGTTCTGGTTGTCATGGCAGAAGATGAACTCGTTCTTCTGCACGCCCAGGTCAGGGACGTTGTTGATCTCGGGGTGTCGGAACCGACAGCGTTTGCCGCGCTTGCACACATTGCGTATGAAGTCCCGGCACACGCCGTCTGTGCCTGCACCTTGACTCTGCCCCCTGCCATCACCATTGCTGCAGCTGTTGCCGAGCGCCCCGCCTCCCCCCATCCCCCCAGACCCCGCCGTCGACACAGGACAGCCCTCGTCGCCCAGGCCAGACCCCGCGCTGCTGCTGCTGCCGCCCGACAGGTAGGAGCTGTCGCGGTCAGGCATGGCGCTCCCGCCGGCACAGGGGCGACGGCACACACATCGGGACGCCTGGAAGAACCTGTGGAGAAGGACAAGGCAAGTTTATTTGTAAGGCACAGTTCATACACAACGGCAACTCAAGGTGCTTCACAAAACACAAATCACGGAATAGAACTGAACACGGCTGAAAGACATTTGGATTTCCATTTTAGAATAAAACCTTTGTTTGATGCTATGAGACTTGGGTGGCATCTCTGATTGCCACCCCCCTGACCCAGAAATGGATTAAAGGGTAGAAAATGGATGGATGGATGGACCTTTGTTTGAAGCAGTGGGGACATTCCAGTGTTGCAGCACACATACAATACAGAGATAAGTAGCTGTCAAAGCTTCATAATATGAGCAATGAGTATCTATCAATATCAATACACTATATACAGTATATCTCATATATATATATATTATTCATATTCATTAGTGACGTGCCGCAGTGGTTGGCGCCTGTGCATCAAAGCAAGAAGGTCCGGGGATTTGTTTCCACCTTCAGACCTTTCTATGTGGAGTTTGCATGTTCTCCCTGTGTCCCTGTGTCAAGCGTTTGGTGGTTTCCACTACAACCGAAAACATGTACACTAGTCCCCCATAACACTCCCTGCCCCAACTCCTGCGCCCTCGCTCTGAGATTAGGACTCCCCTGAAAAAAAGATTCTACAATCTCAGTGGGACTTTTTTGGTGAAGTAAAGGTCAATTAACTAAAATGAATATTTACAGATGGAATGACAAGTACATGCTCAGTCTCTCATTGTACACTCTCATTGAAATACCTGCAGAACCTCACCTACAGCGAGGATGGATCAGTCGGTCACTGAATTTATATAGCACATTTCGTATATATGCATGATGCTCTCAGTTCTTACAGAAGACTATGCTGTAAAAAGTAAAAAAAACGTGAATAGAGAGAACAGTCCTGAATGTATTGTTTACATAAGGGAATATGCATTCTAATTCATATATAATTATTGCTCCTAAAGACGCATTTACACCGTGTCTTATTTTAATTCTGCATGAGCTACTGTATGTGCGCTGCAACACAGACATTTCTGAAATTTTCGAATAAAAAGTTCTCATATCGAATTTAAATTATTTTCTGCTCGTAGCTTCGTAGCCTCTTGATTTGTAAACAATGGCACGTGATCGATTAACAGTTTTTATAATTTTTAAAACACATTGGACGTTTATCACGTTTCCACACATCCAAATAACACGAAACTCACTATTAGAACATACCTATGCTTACGTTGAAGCAGCAAAGCTCTTGCGGTCATGTTAGCTAACAGCTAGCTAGCGATGCTACAAGGATGCTAATGTTGTGTCTTACCGAGAGAGATGAGCGGTGTGGAAAACAGCGAGACTGCAGTGATATAAAACAACTGATGATCGCCGACTTGATCCTGTAGAAAGTGTGCAGTTAAAAGCCAAATGCACGCATATTGCTATTCGAAGCCAGGAGTCGTTTGTTGTGATCACGTTTCCTTTAGCGCGGGTCCAGTCACACTGCCCTCTAGTGGTCAGAAAGAGAGACTACGGCTGCGCTCAATCTCATACAGAAGCCTCGAGGATAGTTTTTCGTTTCCTTACATATGATTGTTCATTTTATTTAATGACACTAAAATGAGACGGAAGGGGTATTTTGGATGAATCCGATGCAAATTACTACCACCACTTCCTCTTCTTCTACTACTGCTACTACAGCTATTATTATTGTATTGTTTTATTATTATTATAATTATTATTATTTTTATTATTAATAATAATAATAATAATAATATTAATAATTTATTCAACAATGTTCAGAATAATTATGTATATCATTTGTCAAAGTACAATTTTGGACAACATACAGCATGTTGTTCAAAATTTTACTTTGACAATTGACATATTTATTATTTCATCTTATTGAAAAGTAAATAAGTAGTAAGTAAGCTTTATTTATATACCGCCTTTCACAGACCAGAGTCACAAAGCGGTTTACAATTGTTATTTTTTGGGCACTTGTCCTCTCACTCCACACAGAGATGGGAGCGGGGTCGCCGAACAGGAGGCGCATGCGACCTATTGTACATATTTTTAGTGGTAGGGGAAACCGGAGTACCCGGAGGAAACCTACGCAGACACGGGGAGAACATGCAAACTCCACTCAGAAAAACACATGTTATTTTTGCATACTTTGTAAGAAATGTCCCTGTGACTAGTTGACCCTTTGGGCTGAGAGCTGATTGGCTGAGTGGCCGCAGTCCATTCTCTTTCACTTTTCTGTCTGAAAAAACTGATCTGAGCTAAAGTAGAATTAAAGCAGGTCTAAAGGCGATTTAAAGCAGCACTATAGCAGGACTGAAGCAGGTGTCTAAAGCAGGACTATATCAGGACTGAAGCAGGACTACTGGTCTAAAGCGGACTTGAGCACTGAACTGAAAACAGGAGTGGACTTTTACATCACAGCTTCACATATTCATATAGAGCTAACCATTTTTTTTTGTAAATTGATTAATCTGTCTATTATTCTATGGATTGGATGAGTGAGATTTGATCTGAATTTCAGACAAAACTGATTTATATAAAGTGAGATAAGTTTGTGCAGCCCTCAGTCGTACAGGGATTAGTCAAAGCAAAGGAAGGTTTCTCACCCATCATCTGTACTTCTTAGCAAGTAAAGTGAGATAAAGTGAGATAAAAACAAATAAATCAGAAGATAAAAACTGTGAGTCTTTAAACCTTTGAGTTAAAATTTAAACATCTGAAAAAGTGGTTATTGAAATGAGTTGAATGGCTTCAAAGGTCCTCTCTTCAAAAACAGATTTGTGCAAATGGAAATGGTGTCCCTGCCGATCACATGACTGACTTTCTTCAACTATCAACAAAGTAACTGAACTGGATGATAAGGCAACACAAGAACCAGTTTGCGCGTTGAGGGGAGAGCAGCAGGAAGCAGCAGGAAGCAGCAGGTGCAGAGAGTGCGTGAGTTTAGCGGGTGGAACATGTACGTGTGCGTGGTTTTGGCACTGCTGGGTCTGGCGGCAGTTTGGCCCCCTGCAGCACCCGTCTCTGCAGCGGGGGACTTCTACGAGGCCCTGGACCTGCCGCGCACGGCCACACACGCACAGATCAAGAGGGCCTTCCGCTCCCTCGCCCTGAAGCACCATCCGGACAAGGACAGGAGCAAAGAGGCCGAGGCGCGCTTTAGGGAGATCGCAGAAGGTATACAACGCATTTGCCCTATTTGTTAAAGCTGGGGTACGTAACTTTCAAACCACAGATAATACAGCAAATGCACCTTTGAGTACGTTTTTTTATCGTATAATTAGCGCTGTTTTATATATCTACTTAAAGCTGGGTTGCATAACTTTCTAACATCTTTTTTATTTTTTTTACTAAATCCTTGTAACTAATTTCAAACGGTTTCTTCTATTACTAGTTTTCACATACATTTACTTTTTGATGTCTGTCACATCTTTAGATTAGCTTTTTCAGACGTCAGAAGTGAAAAAGAGAGCAAATCAGCCCAAAGCGTCAAATAGAGACTTGCAGAGTTCTTTCTTAAAACATGTTTTCTAAAAAGATGAAAACGGCTTGTTATGTGAACTAAAGTTATTAAAACTTAAACAACATTTAACTCTACTCGACCCTAATCCGGAGTGTTTCCATTGGCCCTTTAAACCAGAATCAGGTCCTTTTTTAGTCCTTCTTGGACCTGGTTCCATCCAGGCCGAGCTGGTACTAAAGTGTTCTAACTAACAGTGCTGGGCCAGAGTGCTGCTAGACGCCATGGTTACCAAGGAATTTCCAGTCGAATATAGAGCTGGTGGAAACAGGGCAAAGGTTTTGTCTCAAGGATGTCTCAGTATCTGTTTCATATCTTTGCGCTTAACAGGAACACGACTGTTGTTTATAAATGTTCGAAGGTAACGATTAAAATGGCTCATAATAAATATAAATATTTGGTCAGTTACTTAACAAAAAGCTTGTAATTTTCTACTTTTGCTTCCGATTTCTAAATCAGCAAAATAACAAAAAATAATCTCGCTGATCTCAAGTCTCTCGCTGACCTTTCTCTGATCTGACAGAGGCCACAACACATCCATGTGAAATTGTTTTGAGAGCTGGAGCTAGTTAAAATGAATACATATAGTTAATTATGTTATTTGACGGCAAGTTATCCCATCTTTAAGTAACTTCTGCCATCTCTGCCAAAGCTTCAGTGACTCACAAGGCTCTTTCTCCATGTGGTCAAAATATGGTTTATATAATTAGATGCCGACATTATTATTATTATTATTTTACTTGTATGATACTATTTCTGTAATTCAATTTGAAATGTTCAGATTGTCTTTCCTTCCTCCCCTCAGCCTACAAAGTCCTGTCCAGCTCCGAGGACAGAAGACGGTACGACCTGATGGGACACGAGGACTTTGTGAAGAGTTCCTCCGGTGTGGACGACGAGCCGACGCATTTCTACGACGCTTTCCACTTTTTTGAGCAAGACTTTTTTGGGGAAGACTTTTCTGAAGAGGACCGAGAGTTCACCTGGAGTTTCACTGAAGATCACACGTTTCACAGTCCTACGTTTTCTTTTGTGTTTTCAGACGGTGACGAATATGAAGAAGATTACAGCTTTTAGGCCACATTTATAAAAGGGCTGCAAGACCCTCTTCTCCCCTTGTCTCCCTCTTCTCCCCTCACCACCTCACTCTCCTCTATTTTCTCTCTTCCCTTTCCTCCCCTCTTAATGCAATTTGTAGAGGATTTTTGTTGTTGTTAAGCTTTTAAACATGTTCCAACATTGTTCATTCATCCAAGACAGACCTTGAGTTGTTTTAGCTCCATCCAATGAAGGCAAGTTTATTGGAATAGCACAATACCTACAAGACATTCAACATTAAAGCTGGAGCACACTTTATTTTATTTCAGTTGGACTTTAATCGCAGTGTGTAGTGTCTCACTTCTGCCACCAGGTGGGGGTGTTTTGCCTCTCCAATTTTGTTTTTATGTTTCTACATGTGTGACTTTTTAATTCAATTTCCAAACACACGTGACATTCATTTTTTAAATGAATTTTATTTACTTGTTGGATTTTCCTCTTGTTTAACATTATTGACCATAAAGCTACAATAAACTTTAGCTTGAAATAAGAGATTGCCTTCTCTATCTTGATCATAGAGCGTATATTAGGAGTAGACTGACAGAGTGTGACATCACCATAGTGTTAGCCTTGATGCGGTAGAAGTAGGGATGTAAAAAACTATGAATTTTCATGACCGACCACCGAGCCTCATTAACCGGTTGAAACCGGTTAACCGCGTAGTTTAAAATAGTCCACGTTCTTTGAAATAACAGCCATTTCTAGCCGCGTACTTTTCATAAGTGCAGCTCTGCGTTCTACTGGATCAGAGCTGAGACAGCGGCGCCCAAACCCGCAACAGCTCCGGCACCTTTGCGCACAGAGAACTGCTTTTTTAATCTTCCCATTCTGCTGTGCTGCGGGTTAATACCAAAACTTTCTAGCAGCAAACGACGGCTCGTTCACATGGTCAGAGCAGCGAGTGACGAGCCGCGTCTCACAGGTCTTCACAAAAGTTTAAATACAAGTGATGTGTGTGGAGCTGATCCCGAGGACCATAAACACAAACATGTTCCATGTGGTTTGACTGGAGCCGCGTATTTGCGCGAATCCTTTCAAGAGAGTCTGGCTGCAGACTCCCCACCCCTCGCAAACCTCCCTGTTCAGCCCCTCCTTCAGGAGCCCCTGTTACCTCACTTCCTTTACTGGACACAAGCAGACATCTCTCAGTTTAGGGAGACTTTGACCCGGACAGTGAGGAGCATGAGAACATCTTGGAGCCCTTCAAGTTTGTCTTCTCTCAGATTGAGGACATGGAACTCTTTTCTGTTGAATGTGTTGATAAAAGGGGTGTTTTATTGTGAATGCATAATAAATAGTTGAACGGCTTTATCATTGAGATAATTTATTCACCACAAACGGGGAATGTTCAGTATTGTATCACAGGTTACAGAACGGTAGGAAAATCAAAAATGTGAGTAGACCTATAGGTCTAGCTAACTCTTATTCCTCTAGAAAATAATAGAAAAAAGAAATATTGGGTACCTATGTAACTTTAATGCTGTTGCAAGAATAATATAGATGAATGGAAGTTGCAGCTCTTTACTATAATAAAGCCTCAACATGGTATCTCCATATATATTGTCTTTTCGACGTGTTTTCATGTTCTATATTATGGGTGACATGTAGGTGGCGCTCTTGTAAACAAATGGCAACAGAATTGTCCTTTGGCATCACAAATGCCCGGATGAAAACGCTCATATACATAATACCTGGTCACAATTTGTGGAACAAACGTCACTATTTTTGTTTGTTACAAAATATATACAATATGTTAAATATAAGCTTTATAACTTTGTGAAGAAAAACGTTTTCAAGTCCCAAGGAGTCAAGTGACAGTAGCTCATGGCAAAGGTTACGTGACAGGGGCTCCTGAAGGAGGTCACGTGACAGGGGCTGAACAGGGAGGTCTGCGAGGGGGGGGGAGTCTGCAGCCAGATGCCTCTCAATCCTTTGGGCTCCGTGACACAGAGGAGCGCGACAGACCGGTATGTGTGTGTGTATGTGTTTGTGTATGTATGTGTGTGCGTGTATGTATGTGTGTATGTGTGTGTGTATGTATATGTGTGTGTGTGTGTAAATGTAAGCTCCAATGTAGTTCTGACCCGCGCCAGTGTGCAACTTTGACGGTAACAGAGGGGAGAGATGATGCGTGTGGATGTTACGTATGGAGAGGGGGAAAGTGTGTGTGTGTGTGTGTGCGCATGCGTGTGTGCATGTGTGTGTGTGTGTGTGTGTGCGCGCGTGTGTGCATATGTGGCTCGTGCGGCGTGAGAGTCGTCCCGGAGTTTATAATACATGGGCGCACACAGCTAGATACAGAGAGCGTCATTAAGAGACCTCCCCTCTCCCCGTTTTCTCTTTTTTAACCGACAGCTTTGACCGGTTAACGCTGTGACGGTCAACCACCAGTTAAACGGTCGCCGATTTACATCCCTAGGTAGAAGTCGATTTAAATGCCATTATTAAATTCCATGGGCATTTTTTCTGACTGTTAGCTTTGTAGATGTGCTGCTAAGATGGTTACTAAGGCAAGCTCGAGTTTCCCCCACAAATGAGGGCATCTGATTGGTCAATCCAGTTATCTGGCTAAAATCTGGATTCACAAAGACAATACACAATATAAACATCAGGACCACAGACAGTCCTAAACCACAGATGGTGACTGTGCTTGGAGTTTACTTTTACATGTAAGTCAATAGGAGACGGAGGTCTAAAGAGCTTCAAAGTTAAGTACCCCAGCTTTAAAGCACAAAATTGAGATTGCCCTCAAGCCATGGTTGTTGGCACAGTCCTAGCAACACATATGCTTCTTCAGGTCCGCCTTAAACCTGTACGCTTTGTCACAAACTGAACATTTGAACGGTTTCTTCAGTGAGTGGACAAACATGTGCGTGTTCAAGTGCGCCATCGTCCTAAACTTCTTCTCGCACACTGAGCAGCTGTAAGGTCTCAGAGGCCCCAGCACCACACCGCCGTCCTGTGTGTGGCATTTCACATGTTCGCTCAGCTCGGCATCGTTTGCAAACATGTCTTCACTTGCAGGGCAAACGTGATGCTGCTTCTGGTGATAGAGGAGGTCGATCTTCCTCATGTAGCCCTTCTTGCAGAGCGTACACATGTGAGGCCTGTCCCCGGTGTGAGTCCTGGTGTGGTTTTTGAAGGCCGTGGCGTTTGTGAACTGCTTTCCACAAAAGGAGCAGGACTTGAGGATGGACTGGTGCCCGCTCCCGTCCTCTATGTGCGTCTTCAGATGTTCGTGCAGTAAAGCGACATTCGGGAAGGTCTTCTCACACAGCATACACATGTGATGCATATCCCTCTTGTGTCTCTGGAGGCTTGACTTCCGATCAAAGTTCTTGCCGCAGAAAGCACACTTGTGGGGCTTCAGGCCTGAGTGCACAGACATATGCAGGGTCACTTGAGATTTTCTACCAAACTTCTTCCCACACTGTGTACAGCTGAATGGCTTCTCTCCCGTGTGTGTTATCATGTGCCATTCGAGAATACTGCTGGTTTTGAAGCCTTTCTCACACACGGAGCACTTGTGGGGCCTCTCCCCCGTGTGGCCCATGACGTGGACCTTCAGATTGGACGTGTTCTGAAACCCTCTCCCGCAGTAAGGGCAGGTTCTTTTGGCGTGAGATTGCTGTGATTGCCCGCAGCCCTCAATGTCTGCAGAAGGGGTTTGATGAAGCGCAGAGGACTTGTCATCGTCATCATCTTCAGTTTTCACAGTGATGATGTGAAAAGGGAGCTCATCCTGCTCTGTCACCTCCAGTTCCGTCTCCTCCTCTTTCACTGCCGACATAGTTCATTTATAACTACAATACTTATTATTATAGATCCATGCTACAATAACATTCACTTGTTAGCCTCTGTTAGCTTCCGTTAGCTTCGGAGCTAATAACAAATAATGCAAGCATGGTACCACCTGTTCTAGAGTGATAAAAAGACCGATACCGTAGTTCCTAATGATTCGAACATTAACATCCTCCATCCGCGGCTGCTTCTGTTGTTAGCCTCTACTAGCTTAGTGTCTGTTAGCTTGCGTTTGTTTCGGAGCTAATAAAGCATGGATCCACGAGCTTGAGCCAGATAAACAATTCAAACAAAAAGATTGCACTTTGTGAACAAGGAAACGGTGCTCAAAGTGTAGCATGAAACGAAGCAAAGGCTGTCATAGTTCTGCACTAGAGCGAGCACCGCTATGGTAACCATGGTAACGCACACCCTGTTCCAGCCGCCATCTTGGTATTATATTGGCTTTTTTGTGTGTTCTTTGATTTCTTGTACTATATAAATAACGTGGATTGGATATTGGTGTTCTCACTCTACTTGAGAGATCACGCAAACAAACAGTAACAATAACTAAACAATAACTAGCAATTTTTAGAACATATTTCTATAAAGATTCTTATTGCATGCCTATTGCCTTTGTGTTTTTGTTACTCTCAAGAGCCAAAGAAGACTCCAACTTTGTGACCTCCTATTCAAATCGATGCCTGAACGAAGAAGTCAAATACGCGTGTGTGGCTCTCATGCACGTGCACAGAGGGGCATGGCGCATCCTGACCAATCAGGTGTTGCTGAGCAGAGCGGAGCGGGAGACAATCTAGCCGAGTTTGTTGCATTAAGGTGTAGATGTAGATTTATAGAAAACCAAACGATTTAAGAAGAAAAAACTTAAGGATGACAAGGGGCACTATAATCCCCACAAAATCCGACCTTTATGAGGGCTTTAGGTTGTCTGTCAGCTGAGGTCGAGCTGTTTTAGTTTACATTCTATGGCGAAAGTTTCTAGGTAGCGCACATGAATTTAGTCTTGTTTAGTCTGCAGTACTGCGAGAATCCCCTGAGCACGTGGGTCCTTCAGCTCCAAGCTAGAAATACCCTATCCAGATATTATAATACACCCATGGTATAGAGGGATCCTACAGTCACGTGACTAGCAGCCACGGCAGCCATACTGGAGGACAACCTCGGCGAGCCCTGCTAGCTATCTATAACTGGACGTTCAAAACTAGAACTCTCTCGAACTACATGAAAACTGAACAGAGAATTTGAAACTTCAGCAGTTAGTGACCCAAATATATATTCAACCTAAATTCATGAATCAGATCCTCTGAAAATGCATCCTAAAATGTATTATTAATGTTTATCGTTACATCCAGGTTTACCGCGGTCGCATATTGTCGCATTAAAACAGTGTTTTTTCATGAAAACGTGAACAGAACATTCTGAAAACCTCTGTGCACGTGTATTAAGAATGTATATGTATAATGTATTCTCCGATTAACATTTAATGTGTTTATTGTTACACCATGGATCTATGTGTGGCTACACTGCAGTGGAAATAATGAGATTACATTCAAATCAATGGAGCTTTCTGCGTCTACTGTGAGGAGCCGTATATTTTATTAATAAATACTAGTACGGGGCACCCTCGAGCACGGCTCAGTCGTTCACATGTCTGCTGGCCTTCGGTAAGTCAGATACCCTGTGAACCGGGTGAGGTCCTGTGTGAGACCAAATATATAACAGCTATGCTACAAGCTAAGCTACAGTCTATGGAGCAACCCCACGTTGCAGTCAGACAGATATGTTTTATCCTTAAACTTCCGTTTGTTTCGTATTAACACTAAATCCGCCATCAAATTGATTTCACTTAGCAGAAATGAAATGATCCCAGCATATTCGGGCGCTCTGGGGGCTATTAGTTTTTTGTTGTTGCGTATGGTTGTGCCATTTCTCTCTCGTTTCTTTGAGATTTCTTCTGTTTTTGAGCCGTGTGAAGTAAGAACGGCTGGCAGTCGGTAACACAACTTATTTTCCCTGTCTCTCCTTTTGCTGCAGCCAAAAACGGCAAAAATTTTACATACAGCGTTTGCTTGTCCTCCAGTATGGCGGATGCCCCGCGAGTTTGAGGCATCGTGACGTCACGTGAGATATCTCTATAGATGGACAATGCTAACTCCTAATCTAGGGAAGTGCTTAGCTTCTGAGGTAGAAAGTGCTCAGGTTTTAAATAAGAAATATGCTGTATTATTTTTGGCCATTAAACATGACAATAGGGCAATGTTCTGTGTTATTTAGTGTTTTATATTCTGCAGAAAGTGTATGGTGAAGTATCAAGGTAAATAATACTTTCAGCCTGCCCTGTCCCCATGTTGCCACCAGAGGGAAGTGTAAAATCTTTTTATTTTTTTATTTATTCAAACACAGACAGTGATTGCAAAGAATGTAATTTCACCTGGAATAATTACAAAAACATAATTCATGGGCAATACTTTAGTTTTAAAATGCAAAAAACTGTGTAATGTCATAGTGGTACAAGATCAGAAAACTTGATGTTTCATTGCACGTCTCCTTTAAGAACTCTACACAACTCGGCTCTACTCTACTCTACCTGGTTGCGTTTCCGTTATGCTTTAGTATCTGGTTCTGTATTCTAGCAGCCTACCCACAAAAAACAGTATTTGTGGACATTCCTTGGTAACCATGGCTTCCAGAAGCGTTCTGGCCAATCACTGTCAGTTAGAACACAAGTATCAATTCGGTCTCAAGACTCAAGATTGCTTATTTTGTTTTCTTTTGGAGAAATTTGGTTTGGGAAATTCAATACAAAAAATACATGGATAGAAACAGGGCCAAGAGGGACTAAAAGGATCTGGTACCGGTTAAGCTGAGCCAATGGGAATCCTCCCGAGCAAAGCGGAAAATTGAGACTTTTAGAAGACTTTAGTACCAGCTCGGCCTGGATAGAACCAGGACCAAGAGGGACTAAAGAAGGTAGAAAGACCTGATACTGGTTAAGCAGAGCCAGTGGAAACACTCCTAATTGGGGTAGAACCGAGCAGAGTAGAATAGAGTAAAGTAGAGCCAAGCACAGAGCCAAGTAGTGCTGGTGGAAACAGGGCTATACTCTCTCCTCTGAGCTCAGTTATTGTTACTGTGCCGTGTCCTCTGGCCCACTGCCCACTGGTCCGTTAGCCGCTTCCTCTGTGGGAGTGTCCTTCTGTGCAACACTGGCCTCTTTTCCCTGTAACAGCACTTTTCATCTCAGCAGTCAAACTTTTACTACTCTATCCACAGCTCTGTCTGCACTTTTGCCCCAACCGAGGAAATCCTGTGCCACTTCAGCAAACCACCAACTATTGAACCTCAAAGTAACAGGACTAAGACCTGTGGCAACATCTACACTTTAAGAGGCGTTTAACAGCAAAGGGCAACAGCGAAACCAGGCAGAATGATGGTAAAACAATCCAAATATACTTTTGAACATACTGTAATGCTTTTGGTCATGTGACATTGAGTCTAAAGCCAGTGATAGAAAATAGGCTAAAATGATGTCTTAAGAGAATCAAACATCAATCTCTTTAGGAAAAACAGCATCAGAAACTGAATACTGATCTCCAGAGGGATTTTAATGCAATTTTGATGGTAATTACCCCATACCTTAATACAGGGGGACTTGTTCAAGGGCAGACAACCTATAGATTTTAAAACTATTGTGACTGGATACGGGCTGTGTCAGATATACTTTATTGATCTCACAAAGGAGAAATTTACATTTGACAGAACTTAAGTCTCACCACAGCTACATTAGCGTCATATATGGAACTTTGTGTCACAATCAAAAACAAAGGTCCGTCTATACAAGTAAAGTAAACAATGAGGTACACCATGCTTATATTGATAGAGGGGAAGTTGGTTGGATGACACTGTGAACTTGTGTTTATGATCTCATAGTTAGACTACTTTAAATTAGCAAGGCAGCGGGCCACATGAAAGGACACAGAGGGCTGCAATTGGTTCATGGGCCATAGTTTGGACATGCGTGTATTAGTTTGTATTAGTACACCAGGTGGTTTGTGTCCATCCAACAATGATTTGAATATAAAATCTACATTCAGTGATCAGAGCAGTAAAAATATGTGTATTGTCACTGTCAGTGAATATTCCAATTGATTTGCAGTTTTGAATAAGTCTTTGATGTAAATAGAAATCAGTTCAGGGACTAATACTGACCCCTGGGGGACTCCTCATTGCTGTTTTTCTCATTACACTTTCTTTATTGTGTCCCATTATGCACCATACCATTTTTAAAAATAAATTTGTTGGAACTAGGCAGATGTCATCCGTTTATTTCAGTTGTTTTGGATTATGTAAAAGTCACATAATATGTTCAGGTGTTAGATTATGCCAAACTAAAGTGCTTACAATTCAGTTATTACATTTCTTTGAAAAAATGTATGACTGGTAAAGGCAAAGATGCACTTTATTAATCCCCGTAGTGCAATTCATCCCCTGCATTTGACCCATCCGGATGTCACTAAAGAGCATCAGGAGCTGTGGTCTTCATAGTACAGCACCCAGGAACCCAAATCCAGATGTTGATGCTGTAGTGTGCATGTTTTTAGCGGCAGGGGAAATCGGAGCACTCGGAGGAAACCTACGCAGGCACGGGGAGAACATGCAAATTCTACTCAAAAAGACCCTGTTCCGAAAGGGGTTCGAACCCAGGACCTTCTTGCTGAGAAGCTGGAGTGCTATCCACTCTGCCACGGTGGTGTGACAGTTAGCACATGGTCAGTGCATGTGTGACTTCAGGAAGTTGTGTTGAGGCTGGTGCTCAAAGGCACAACAGCAGGAGCCAGTTGGCCTTAAAGGAGACATACAGTGAGCTTTTAACTGTTACAACACAGTTCAATTGTTTAGTTGTGTACAGCTCCATCCACACCAATATCAAGAACCTCTGTCCAGAACTCAATCTGTCCTAAAGCTCTCGTTTCAAATGAATTATGTTTTAAATAGAAACATTACGGGAATTTGTCCAATCACCAACAACGAGATCGCATCATGTTAGATGTTGAGAAATCGTTTGTGTTTTGGACTGTGTTGAATTGGCGCATGTGTGTCATCTTTTCACCATGAGGCAGACAGGGACGTGTCAAAATAGAAGGGTCAAAACAAACTTCCCTCTTTCAAAATTAGTCTTCTAAAGTCACAGCGAACCGAGGATTAGAGAGAGAGACCAGAGAGAGATCAGAGCGAGACTAGACCAGGGGTGTCAAACTCATTTTGTTCAGGGGCAGAATATAAAGAATAGGAGGGCGTTCCGTGTGTGTGTTTTTTTTACCTTATGAAAGTATTTTGACATGACTTTTCACCATTATTTTCTGATAGATTTTTCTGAAAACAAAATGTGTTTATTGTTTAGAATAAACCAAAACTGGACCAACGCATAGTTTTATATTAAACTACTGCTAATGACAACAACTGCTAATGATGTGTTGGGTTAAAATTTTATAATAAATTAAATGTGGTTGTTTTCCTGAGTAAATAGATGCTGTAGAACATGCTATAGAATCCCATTACCACAAATGCTGCAACTGAAAAGAGGGAGACCCGAGAGACATGAATGACAGTGTCTCGTCCACATGAAGAAATACAGACTTTTTCCAACATATTTTCTACAAATAAACAGTTTGCTTTCGCTGTGTCTAATTCACCACTTTATTTAATTCACACTGAAGACACCTCGGCAAAATAGTAGGTCGCAAGACGGGTTAAACGTGACACACCAGCTCATCGACGGAAGTGAATTTCAATTGTTCACTTTTCTTTCTTTTATCTGTTTCTCAGGAAGAGGTGAAGGAGGGTTCTGTGCTGAGTGTCCAAACCAACGGCATCAAAGTGAGCGAAGTGGTGAAGGATGGAGACAGCCTCACCTTCATCATTATATCACAAAAGGTTTGTAAATATGGTGACAAAACTGCTTGTTTACGATTATTACATTTATTAAGATGCTTTCTGTGCTATACTACTAAACTTCCTTTGCCTTGAGTGGTGTGGTACCTTGCTTGGTTTGCAAACATGTCTTTGTTGCCTTCCATGGCTCTTGTATCTCTCATCTAAAGCATCAAACATTGAAGTGGAAAAGCAGTGCTAAACTATGTAAAAAATGCTTGGAATTTCCACTTAAACAGAGAAAAGTAGTGTTTCTGTAGTTAATATTCAATCTCACTGTGGCTGTGTTATTTCTGCACAGCTCTCTGGGACAGGGGAATACCACGTTGCTCGCACTTATGACGACTTCGACTGGCTCCAGCAGCATCTGTTTTCTCAGGAGGAGGTTCCAGGGATACAAGGGATCATCGTGAGTAGGCTGTAGATCCAGTACTGAGGCTGTAGATCCAGGACTGAGGCTGTAGATCCAGGACTGAGGCTGCAGATCCAGGAGCCACAACCCTAGTTGAGTCAGAGAGGGAGGCCATCCATCCATTTTCTTCCCCTTATTCCATTTCTGGGTTGGGGGGGTGGCAGTCAGAGCTGCACCCAGTTCACATAGAACCAGCCTCTCACTAATCCTCCTGCAGGTGGTGAGTCCACAGGAGCCTAGATCTTCCAGTGGGGGCTTCAGGCAAAGTGGGGTTAAGTGTCTTGCCCAAGGACACAACGACAGCAGTCATCAGTGGGAGTCGTGAAGTAGGTCTTATGGTGGGCTCGAACCCACAACCTTCAGGCTCTAAGGCCAATGCTCTACCAACTGAGCTACTGTCGGCCAGAGAGGCCTCTCTATATCTTTATGAATGTCAGCTTTGCTATATACAGTTCCTTCCTTTTTTACTTTAACAAACTCTATTACCTCCTCTTTCCCAGTTCCCTCCTCTTCCAGCCCGAGCGCAGGTGAACCCGTCGGCTAAAGTCATGAAACAGCTGGGTAAGGTCTTTTCAAACTCTGCACTGTACAAACTTGGCAGTGATAGTTACCCCTTTTATGTGCAGGGCTCCTGGCTCTGGGCGATTGGAAGCCCTACGGAGCTGCACTGGAGCAGTTTCTCCAGCAGGTGGCGTCTCATAGTGTCCTGTGTAAGAACAAGGCCCTGGAGGACTTCCTGACCAGCACAGAGGTGCACACACTTTATACTTTTATAGATGTAGCACAGAACAAATCCGCCAACAATTTACTTTCTGGTGGCACAAACAACATGTGTTATTTCTGAAAGAAAAGTTAAGTACCCGAGCTTTAAACTGGTAAAATATTTGGTATAAAATGTGCCAAATGTAAGGAGAGAAGGATTTGATGTCATGGTTTCTACAACATTCTTAAAAAGGCTTTTGTATGAATACATAAATAAGTGATGCGTCAGTTTTAAGGCCTGTGTTTACTTTAAAGTATAATCTCTGGCCAGGGCCATAGATGGAGGACTTTACCTATTATGTTTTCAGTGGTAGGAGAAAGCGGAGAAAACTTATGCAGACACGAGGACAACATGCAAACTCCACTCAGAAAGGCCCTGTTTCGACCAGGATTCAAACCCATGACATTCTTGCTACCTGGACGTTTTCACAAGTGAAAAGTATGTGTGAGTTACTAGTGTTTCATTGTTTATTTGTGATGTTTTTCCAGCCTCCGGGTCGACAGAAAAGTAAGAAGAACATATTGAACCGTCTGAGCCAGGCGGTGGAGGGGCTGAGGAAGGAGGGCCACAAAGTAAGAACCTGTTCTGTTCTGAAGAACACAACATCAGGGCTCTCTGTGACTGACGTAATGAGGGGTTTCCTCTCTCCTCAGGATGTGGAGGATTTCTTCCAAAATGAACGAGACTTGAACCAGGCGCTGACAAACTGCACTAAAGTGGTCGCTGAGGTGAGTCGTCGATGTTACTGTGACTGTCTCTCCAAGTGCTTTTCATTTCAAACACAGCAGTTTCTACAGTTCATCAGCTTTTTACCATCTGAAAAACAGTGCCAGATTCATTTTCTGTATTTCCTATCTGGTAACGGCTGCTCATTGATTTCTCCAAATGAGCTGCAGTGGATTCAAAACACTGCAGCTCGAGTCCTGACTAGAACCAGGAAGTACCATCACATTAGTCCAGTCCTCAGGTCTCTGCACTGGCTTCTGTGGCTCAGAGAATAGACTTTAAAGCAGCTCTGCTTGTTTCAAGTCTTTCAATGGCCTCGCACCAAAGCACATGACAGGGACTGGCTCCTGCTGGTGCCCAGAGTCAGGACTAAACATGGGGAGGCAGCGTTTCAGATTCATGCAGCTAAGATCTGTAACAGTCTTCCCGAAAACATGAGACAGGCTTCTACTTGACAATGTTCAAATCCAGGTAAAACAGTTCCGTATAGCTGTGCATATAACTGAGGAATTGTATCTTAATGTATTGGGATTATTTAGGATTTTTAGGAGGCGTTTCTTTTCTCTATGTTCCTTTGGGGCCCCATGGGAGGTTCTCCGGGAGTACAGGGTTTAGGTCAGAACCAGGACCAAGTAGGAACTAAAATGTACCCATGGTTAGCCCGGATGGGAAGTCTGGATGTCTCTGCAGTGTATGTTGATCATTTTGAAGTGAATAATGTCTTCCTGCCCATCAGGTTTAACACATAATCACTATTGAACCTAAAAAAATAAAATGTTTTCCTTTTGGCAGAAATTCTTGGATGTGGTGCAAACTGAACAAAGTAAGTTCATTTATTTTCCCATTGGGGTGTTCAGCTTCATGGGTGTGTTCATCGTTAAATTATCTGAATTTATCTTCATTCTTTATTTAACACTAGAACTCCCAGAGCAGCCAATTAGACGGCTTTTTGTTTCGGAAGTGTAACTCAGCTCATGAGGAGTTCTCTCACAGTAAAAGCCCAAGGTGCTGGCTCTGGACATACAGCCATTGCTCTGGACTGATCTTGGACTGGTCCTGGTACTGAGACAAATCCGCTTGGTTTTCTACTGAGAAAATGTTGTATGTAGTCAGTAAACCAGTTTTAGCACTTACAGTAAACAAATCTTGTGAAAAACTAATGGGGGGTGGGGTTGAGTCCAGTATTGAGTCTCGTTCATCTCTGTCCGATTTTTTTAAAGCAAATATTGTTTTGTTTTCTCCCAAATATCACACTCCAAACTTCTCCCTGAATCAAACCCCTTCATGAACACTACACTTCTCGTCCTTTCCGTCCTGCAGAGATCTCGGTCGCGTGTGGCCACTTCTCGGCAGCTCTGCAGATGTGTGTGGAGTCGGCAGAGGATCCGGACAAACAGGATTTCTCCAGGTGATACGCGTGACTCCGGTTTTTACGAGAATTTTATATTGAGTTTTAAGTCAAGTGACGCTGTGGACTCTGCTTTATAGGGTCTGTAAAAGTCTGTCTGAAGTCTTCAGCTCTATGGGGGTGAGGAGAAGCACGGTCCTTTCACTCTTTCATACATTAAAGCTGGGGTACCTGACTTTCCAACAACAACAAATAGAACTAATAAAACCCATGTCTATAGTTCCTCTCCTTTAAAACTGTTTGGTTATACAGTAACTCTAGTTTTCACACATGTGTATTTTTGGCCTCTGTCACATCTTTAGATCCGCTTTTTCAGACAGAGAAGTGAGAACGAGAGGACCACCCTCACTCGGCCAATCAGCTTTCAGCCCAAAGGGTCAAATAGTGACTCTCAGGGCTCTTTCATACACAAATAATAACATGTTTTTGAATAAGATGAAGCCAGCATGTTGTGGTCTGATTTGTTCACAACATTAACACTTCATAAGAGTCTTTTGGTTCAGGACAAACGATATTCACGAAACAGTAAAGTTCGGAGATATTTTGAACCATTGTTCCTCATCAAAACAGACCCGGAGTTGATTTTAGCTCCGTCAATACTTTTATCAAGAACTTCTTACTCAAACGTGTCCCCCTTCCTCCTCTGTCCAAACCAGGGGTCTCCAACCTTTTGCTATATACACACCATAGACTGTACACAGATGGACAATGCTAACCCGCTTACTCACCGAAGACCAATAGGGAAGTGCTCATGGACAAAGTTTGGCTCCAACTCGCTCTGGCTTCTATTGACTCACATTGAAAAGTAAACTCTTATAGCTCAGCAACCATAAAATAAATCAGTGGTCTTTTGTGCTCTCTGTGACCCCGTTTATATTGTGATATTGCCTAAATCTATGAGCCCTGTAAGGATTGACCAATCAGATGTCTTCATTTGCATGATATAATCTAGCCCGCCTTAGCAACCATCTTAGCAACTATCGCTAGTTTGCATGTTCCCCTTGTGCTTCACAACAAGAAGGTTCTGGGTTCGATTCCACCTCCAGGCGTTTCTGTGTGTTCATTCACATGCACTGTCCCAACCAAATGAATTGAGAAAAAAATCATGATAAATTTGACATGGATTTTATAGTTGCATTTGAAAGTTGTGTAATCCATCTTTTATACTTAAGGCTCAATGTGTGTGTGTGTGTGTGTGTGTGGTCATCTCTTATTCCATGATACAAGTTACCTTCATATTATTTCACATTCTAAAACATATTTGTTGTTGAAATTGTTTGAAATGGTATTTTTCAGAAGCACATGTTGAGTGTGGCTGAGAACGACACGGACTCTTTGGGACTGGGTCTGGACCTGGACTCTCGGTACCAGGACGCGGAGAAGGTCTGGGGCAACAGCTGAAGTGTGAGGTATTGTGATAGGCTCTGTATGAGTGTAATACATGTGTTCTGTCTGCAGGAGATGCTGTTCCGCAGAACGTGTAAACTAGTGGAGCTGGAGGCGGCGCAGAGGAATGCAGAGAGGGCCAAACCCGTGAAGAAGGCAGCGGTAAAAGACTGTGTGTGTGTGTGTGTGTGTGTGTCTGTCTCATGGATCTATTATGGGGTCTGTCCGTCTGTGTGTGTCTGTCTTGTCTGTGTGTTTGTCTGTCTGTCTGTGTGTCTGTGTGTATATGTGTGCATGTAAGAATATGCATGCATGTGTGTTGTGTGGGTGAGTATCTGTGTGTGTCTGTGTTTGACTCTCCTTGTGTATCTTTGTGTGTGTGATTGTGCGTGTTTGTGTGTTGTGTGTGTATGAGTGCGTCTCTCTCACTGTCGCTCTCGCTCTGTGTGTGTGTGTGTGTGTGTGCGTTTATGTGTGTATGTATTTGTGTAGGACCATCCTTCCACCAGCAGAGGGCAGACCTGTGCTGTCGCAAAGTACAAGGGCCTTGACTAAAAGGCTCTTTGATGCTTTTGAATCAGAAACAGTATATTTCCATTATGTTAAAGTAAATCCAGAGTTAAAACAATCCAAATTTGCATGATTTGTTTTTTAAAGCTGGGGGACCTAACTTTTTATCGCTTCATAAATACATGTTGTTATCCAGTCTTCTTTAAGTAACATGTTGGGAACAAATCAGACCACAACACACTGTCTTCATCCTATTAGAAAACATAATAACTTTTGGCTGAGTGAGGGGTGGTCCTCTCTCTTTCACTTTTCTGTCTGAAAAATCTGATCTAAAGATGAGACAAAGGCCGGAAACATGTGTGAAAACTAGTGATAGAAGCAAATGTTTTAGAGCCTGGAACCATGGCCTGGAAAGCGGCTTTTTGTCCGCTTTTTACTGCATCGCCTCTGGATCATCTAAACTCCGCTGCATTTATGGACACGGAGCAATTGATGAACTCTTTTATTTCCACCTGCTCTGAAGTCCTGGACAGTGTTGCTCCTTTTAGAGCCATATGTCCTAAGCCAAAGCAGGAACCGTGGCTCAATGACACTACGCGCACAGCTCAGCGTGAGTGTCGGAGAGCGGAGCGTACGTGGAAGAAGGACCATTTGGAGGTTTCGCACGAGATTCTTAGAGAGTGTTGGAGAAATTATCAAAGTACTGTTAAAGCTGAAAAAACTCAATATTTCTCAAACTTGATTTTGAATAATATCGGTAAACCTCGGGTTCTTTTTAAAACAATTGGTTCTGTTTTTAATCCAAGTCCGTCCACTTCATTGGAGATGACAAATGAAACTTGTGAACAATTCCTCTCCTTTTTTAATGAGAAGGTTGCTGCTATTAGGGCCAACATTTCTCCCTCTTCATTGTGGAGTTTGGTATCCACGCAATGTTCAGCTGTTTTTTGTCAGTTTGAGTCTGTGTCATTGTCTGTGCTCACAGGGATTGTTAAAAAACTTAAACCCTCCTCCTGTCCCACAGATCCCGTCCCTCCTCGCTTTTTTAAAGAGGTTTGGGACACCATTGGCTCTTCTGTTAAAGAGATCATCAACAGCAGCTTGGCTTCTGGCATAGTGCCCTCTTTTTGTAAAAAAGCTGTAGTTGAGCCTTTGATTAAAAAACCTGGTCTTGACCCTGCGAATTTGGCAAATTATCGGCCAATTTCCAAACTACCCATGGTATCAAAAATTTTAGAGAAATGCGTTTTTGCACAGTTGCAACCTTTTTTAGATGAAAATGGCACTTTAGACCCATATCAGTCAGGCTACAAAGCTTTGCACAGTACTGAATCTGCACTCTTAAAGGTTTTTAATGACCTGTTTTTAATGACTGATTCTGGAGGCTCTGCCATTTTAGTGCTTTTAGACCTAACGGCTGCTTTTGACACAGTCGACCACACAATTCTTTTAGACCGCCTTAGAGATCGCGTGGGTGTCAGGGGGACCGCGTTAGAGTGGTTTAGGTCCTACCTGTCGGAGAGGTCATTCTCCGTCAGGCTGGGGGACTCCACTTCATCTTCTGCTCCGCTTCACTGTGGAGTCCCCCAGGGATCTATCCTGGGACCCATTTTGTTTGCAATATATCTCCTCCCACTTGGAGAGATTTTTAAGAAACATGGCATGTCTTACCACTTTTATGCAGATGACTGTCAAATGTACATGCCCATTGCTAAGAATGACCACAGCCCCCTGACACCCCTGCTCGACTGTCTAGGTGACGTCAAGGCTTGGTTAGCCCAGAATTTTTAAAAACTGAACGAGGGAAAAACAGAAGTAATTACATTTGGATGTAACCTCACGGACTTGGGATCACTCCAAAACTATTTGCATCCCAAGGTCACCAGCCTTGGCGTCACCATAGACAGTGATTTTAAATTTGATAAACAGATTAATGGCGTTTTAAAATCGGGTTTTTATCATCTTCGTCTTTTATCTAAAGTTAAGCCCTTTTTATCTTTTAATCTTTTTGAGCAAGTCGTGCACGCTTTTATTTCAAGCCGTCTGGACTACTGTAACGCACTTTACTCGGGAATTAGCCAGAAAGCACTCTCTCGTTTGCAGTTAGTCCAGAACGCCGCGGCACGACTCTTAACAGGGACCAAAAAACGCGAACATATTACCCCAATCCTTGCGTCCTTGCACTGGCTCCCTGTTAATTTTAGAATTGATTTTAAAATTTTATTGTTTGTTTTTAAAGCTTTGAATGGACTGGCCCCTCAGTATATTACAGACCTCATCCAAATTTACCGGCCCTCTCGCGCTTTGAGGTCTGGGGGCCAGCTCCAGCTCGTGGTTCTGAAGACGAACCGTAAAACCAGAGGGGACAGAGCGTTCTCCATTGTCGGCCCTAAGCTGTGGAACGCTCTGCCCCTCCACATCCGTACGGCCCCCACCGTGGAGTGTTTTAAATCCCGTCTTAAGACTCACTTTTATTCTTTGGCTTTTAGCACCGCGTAAGTTGTGTGGTCCCCCTGTGTCTTTTTATCTATTTTATTGAATTTTATTTTTATTTGTAGTTTTTAATGTGTTTTTATTTCTATTCAGTCTTTTAAATTGTTTTATTTCTATTTATTTGGTGGAGCTCATTTGTATTGTTTTTGTTTTATTGTTATTGTTGTTCAGCACTTTGGAAACGTTTTGTTGTTTAAATGTGCTATATAAATAAAGTGGATTGGATTGGATTAGTACGGTGATGGGAGACCTCCGGGAACATCAGGTGCTACAGTGGAGCTGCTGTAAAGTGCCAAACTGTTGTCGTGTCCTTAGGCCTTCAATGAGTCTGGTGTGTGTGTGAATTGTTGGAGGTGGTCGGAGGGGTCGATGGCACATACTGGTTGCCTCGCTTCTGTCAGTGTGAGCCAGGGCAGCTATGGCTACAATGGAAGCATCCAGAAAATCACTTCATTAAAAAACCTTGTGCTTTTTACCACCTGAGCTCCGCTATTTAATGATGATTTCTTTTTTGCCAGATGGAAGAAGTGAAGAAAACCACAGAAACAGAGTTCAATCAGATCAGTGTGATGGCCAAACAGGAGGTGAGGCTTCATGATTTTTTGAGTACTCTTCATTCTTTTGATTTATAAACGTACCCACTAGCTCAATGAAGCCCAATAAGTGCTCATGAACAAAGTTTAGCTCCAACTCGCTCTGGCTCCTTTTGACTAACATGTAACAGTAAACACCCACCATTTCAGGCTTAAAAAAATCTGTGGTTTAGTGCTCTCTATAACCGTGTTTCCACCAGTCCTGCTCCATTCTACTCTACTTTACTTTACTCTACTCTACACCGATTGGGACTATTTCCACTGGCCCTGTTTAATTGGTACCAGGTCCTTCTTTAGTCCCTCTTGGCCCTGCTTTATCCAGGCCGAGCTGGTACTAAAGTGTTCCAACTGCCAGTGATTGGTCTGAGTGCTGCTGGAAACCCTGGATACCAGAGGTGGGACAAAGTCATTGTTTAGCAAGTCACAAGTCAGTCTCAATTCATTGCCCTCAAGTCCCGAGTCAAGTCACGAGTCAAGACAGGCAAGTCCCGAGTCGAGTCCAAGTCAAAGGCCAACAAATCTCAAGTCGGTCCCAAGTCCTACGGTTTGACTTTCGAGTCCTCTCGAGTCTTTTTGACCGCGATTTGTTTCTTGTTGGTCTCCACGTACTTTTTGTAGGCAAACAAAATAATGTTAGGAATCATTTTGCTGGTGCATTCTCGTTGGTCTCTGACCCATGGACTAACAGTTTGTTCCATGTCGTTGGCTGCTGGTAAATCAAAACTATCTACGTGATCTAATTGGATGTTGTGCCAGATGCAGGCTCAGTTACACATGCACAGACCACACATAAAATCAGAGCAGTCCATGTCAACATACTTTTTATCTTTGGGGTTTTTAATGGGAAGTAGCAAGTGCAGCAGTGCAGCATATATGAATATGAGTATTGGGCTAGGACCTGTATCTATATAATCAGTTTAATGTCCGTAGTGGTTATTGTTCCAAAGGACTGAAGGGACCAATGGAGGGGAAGGACCCTGGCCTGTATGAACTGGGCCAGCATTAGTAATATCTCATAATTACCAATATATCATTACATAATAAAATGTCTCATATAAATTAATTCAATCAGTCAAAGCACTGATTCTCATATCAATGCACCATAAACAATAGTGCAAATATTAATCTAGCTTAGTGCACATAATCAAAACAACTATCTAATGTATGCAAACTTTAGCAGGAGGAGCACAGCAAAAACATACTCATAATAATAGGCCTCGGCGCCCACACAGAAAAATATAAGAAATAGCCAACAGAGCAGCGCAGGCTAGCGCTAGTTTGACTCACCAGTTCCTCTTTAAAACACGGCACACAGTGTGACAACTGCGTCGATTCAATTGTATGAGGCGCCTGTAGTGAAAGCATATCAATTACGGTTTGTAGAACAAAATATGACGTTAGGTCGCGATAAATACCTGCAGCTCGCGATAAATACCTGCAGCTCGCTCATTTCCAGCTCCCCTAGACAACACACCCACCGGTGAATGCAGTGCACTTGTTTAGGGAAGTGTTGCTGCGCGAACTGCGGGGAACTCACGTTCGAACTCTCACGCGAGCGCTACAACTACCGCGAGGCTTTGTTTCTTCAGAGACGGCATAGATAGAAAGAGAGATGCGGAGAAAGGTAAAAATGGCCCGGGTTACGCAAGTCTTTGCAAGTCAATTGGCGCAAGTCCAAGTGAAAGTCAGAGTCATTGATGTTAAAGTCCAAGTCGAGTTGCAAGTCTTTTTACATTTGGTCAAGTCGAGTCTAAAGTCATCAAAATCATGACTCGAGTCTGACTCGAGTCCAAGTCACATGACTCGAGTCCACACCTCTCCTGGATACTGGTTTGTTGTGGGTGGGTTGCTAGGATACGGTATCTGCTTCCAAAGTTTAATGGAAACACAACCAGGTAGAAAAGAGCCGAGTAAAGTAGAGAAGGGCCACATAGGGATGGTTGAAACAGGGCTTTACGATCACGAACACGAATTTAGTGTTCATTTAAAATCCAGATATGAGCCATATAAGGATTGACCAATCGGATGCTTTCTTTCATAAGGGAAACTCCAGCTTGCCTTAGTAACCGTCTTGGCAACGCGTCTGCCGCTTTTATAGCCATCAAACCAACTTCCTATATTAGTAAATTGCCTCCAGCTAGCTTATGTTCAAAACGGCTTCTTCTGCATTAAGGCTAACACTGTGGTGATGTCACACTCGGTCCCCCCCTAACACACAGTCTATGGATGTAACTCTACTATGAACATTCACCAGGGGTTCTGTCACACGCACTAAGTAAAACATAGAAAACTGTTCACTCTCGCTGTTTACGATCATGAAGGTAATATTCATTTGGACGTTACTGGTTTGACTTTGTGCTTTCAGATCATGGAGCTGAAACGAGCCCGGGTGCAGTGGTTTCAGAGGGCTTTAGTGCTGTGGTGTGAGAAGCAGCTGGTCACCGCCAAGAAGAACACCGAACAATTAAACCTACATCTGGAGAAGGTCCGAGCCTTGGCCTAGTCCACAACTGGTCCAAAACTGGTCCTCAACCCGTCCAAAGATGCTCAGAACTGCTGCTGATCCTCCACCATCAACCATGTGTTCAAAACCTTACTATTTTATACACATTTTCTAATCAATAAAAAGTGCATTAAAGAAATCAATGAGTTATGAGAACATTATAATGGATTATGAATCGTAAATGCTTTTTCAAAATCTCATTATTTTTACATTAAAAAGCCTCTTGTGAAATTGTGCCGTCAAATGGTAAATGCCAAATATGTAAAATTAACATGAATATGAGAAATTGGGCAAAAATGTTTGGGGGTAACAACCAAAAACAAATAGTTTGTGGCTCTGGTCTTCTGTCTCTAGTTTTCGCATGCATCTTTGTTGGGCCTCTGTCACAAATTTAGATCAACTTAAAAGAGAAAAAAGTGAGAAAAAGAGGACCACCCTCACTCAGCCAATCATCCCAAAGTCAAATAGTGACTCATAGGGCTCTTTCTTAAAGGTATATGGGCGGATTTTCTACTTCCGGGTTGATCATCAAGACTGGTGCTCGTCAAACAAGACCAGGGAGTTTTCTTTAAAAAGTGGAGTGGACCTACTTTACAATTTGGGAAAATCGTCCTATATACCATTAAACAAACTTGTTTTCTGTTGTGATTTAGGACGATACAAAAATACATTGAATCAAATTGAAATTACAGACAGGAAAATGGTCCCTTTAGGAACTACAATACAGTGCATCATGGGAAAGGTAGTGCTGGACTTTTCACAGTACCCCAGCTTTAAAGAGAACATGTTTTCACCTTGATGTTGCTTTTCAGAATCAGAATTCTTTTTTTTATGGCTATTGTGAGAGACAGGAAGTGACAAACTAGGAAGTTGCTTTGGCTCTCTGTAAAAAACAAGTTATACAAGAAAAAATATGTCTGCTCTTTGTGTTAATAAAGTTTATAGTAATGCTACCTATGTGCCAAATATATATGTGCAATATATGTAATTTTTGATTAATTCTGTTATGTGATCAGGCCACCGGTTTTTGCTAAAGTACACATTTCCACTTATTGTCCCTGGAGAGGTTGATTCCATAATTTGCAACAAACTAACAATAATAGTGATTAAAAATGTTCAAAAAGTAATAATTCATTCCAACTGAACATGAAACCAAAGCACGATACTTCCCCTTTAAATGCAGATGACCCCTTTGCTTATACTTACCACAGTAACAAGCCTCGGCCTCTCAGATCACTGCACTGGGGGAAATTAGACTTGCTAATACAGTCTATCTCCCTGCGCCCACTAGAATATCCATAAATATTAATGTGTGCCCCCTCCTCCTCTGCTGATGCCAGACTCAGGGGGACCAGACCTCCACCTGGGTAATTAGGTTTGTACTGATAAACTGGAGGCTGATGGACAGAGGTGCGACTTACCTGTTCTGTCTAATGTACAATACATCTGTGAATGACCTGGATTACTGTAAAACATAGAAGACGGCTGTCACACATGTCATATGTTTCAGATGTAAAAACATGGAAATCTGCAGCTGGTTAAGCCTCTTTCACATTGATTGAGTCTACGGTTAAATGGCACTTGTCAAAATCTATCGCCACGTTTATCTGTGTGTCAATTTTCTCTGACCTGACTAGTTATTTCCACTGTGTTTTTTAGATTAAGATAAACAGATCCTTTATTTTTCCCTGCACAGTGGGGAAGTTTCAGTGTTGGCTCACCGGTTACAGAACAGTAGGAATGAGGAGCACACAGCACAAGATAAAAACAGGGGCGTGTCAAAGACAAGACTCAAAACAGAAAGTTACACCTAAGTCACAGCAGTGCACCCAGGACCAGAGAGAGACCAGAGTGAAACCAGAAAGAGAGACAAGGTAGAGAGAGACCAGAGTGAGACCAGGGAGAGACATCAGAAAAAGAGATCAAAGAGAGGGTCATGGGAGAGAAAGAGAGAGACCAGAGACAGCCCAGGGAAAGAGACCAGATATTAATATAAAGACAAAAAAAACGTTGCAAAGGAAAGAGCACCCAAACTCTGCCGGTGAGAGCTTCACTCACCCAAACACAGCTCCATGCCTCGTTGCGCTGTCATTATGCTAAGTATTGTCCCTTGTGTGAAATACTGCTGCTATGTGAACACAATTCGACAAAAAGACTAAAGGTTGTGAGGCAGGATAAGTTGTTTTGACTCTCTACGAGCCTCACGACGTCTCCATTTTATTTCTATATTATTCTCAAGATCATGCTTTAGGGACAAAATAAATGCAAAGAAGTTGATTTGTTGGTATTTTTAATGTTTTCAGCAGGAGAGGAAGTGCAGTGGAAGCATCAGGGTCGGATTTGACCCGTTCCTTTAATCAAATCCGAATAATCCGTGAATATAAAAGCGTCGGCCGCGCAATTATGAGCGCGTTTAGTCGCACATTTGTTTTGCACCAAAGTGAAAAACAGAAATACAGCATCTGCCTACCTTCACCATGGAGCAAACATCCATCAGAATAATGTTTTGATCAAATTGTGTGAAGAAAAATGCCCCGAAAACAGGAATTGGAAACACAAATATCCCGCTGTATCCATCTTCTCCAGCAGTGACGAATATATACTTATTTTATGGCAACGGAAAATATGAAGACTCATAAATCATCCGTTTCCAACCATATGCCAACAAAAAGAGCCACATGTGCCTTTATTACTGCCTCGAAGAAGTCAAAGTCTATGAAGAGACAAGAGAGGTCTGCATGTACTGTGTACTGAGACAAGAGAGGTCTGCATGTATACTGAGACAAGAGAGGTCTGCATGTAGTGTGTACTGAGACAAGAGAGGTCTGCATGTAGTGTGTACTGAGACAAGAGAGGTCTGCATGTATACTGAGATAAGAGGGGTCTGCATGTATACTGAGACAAGAGAGGTCTGCATGTATACTGAGACAAGAGAGGTCTGCATGTATACTGAGATAAGAGGGGTCTGCATGTATACTGAGACAAGAGAGGTCTGCATGTATACTGAGACAAGAGAGGTCTGCATGTATACTGAGATAAGAGGGGTCTGCATGTATACTGAGACAAGAGAGGTCTGCATGTATACTGAGACAAGAGAGACACATTAATGACTCAAGTAAAACATACATACGCATACATATTATTATAGTATTTTAAGTTGTGATTAAAACACTCTAACGGTATACATGAGTCAGTATAAATGAGTCCGTGTACATACATGAGTCAGTATACGTACATGAGTCAGTATACTTCAGTCCGTGTACATACATGAGTCAGTATACGTACATGAGTCAGTATACGTACATGAGTCAGTATACATGAGTCAGTATACGTACATGAGTCAGTATACGTACATGAGTCAGTATACATGAGTCAGTATACTTGAGTCTGTGTACATACATGAGTCAGTATACATGAGTCAGTATACATGAGTCAGTATACTTGAGTCTGTGTACATACATGAGTCAGTATACTTGAGTCTGTGTACATACATGAGTCAGTATACATGAGTCAGTATACTTGAGTCTGTGTACATACATGAGTCAGTATACTTGAGTCTGTGTACATACATGAGTCAGTATACATGAGTCAGTATACTTGAGTCTGTGTACATACATGAGTCAGTATACATGAGTCAGTATACTTGAGTCTGTGTACATACATGAGTCAGTATACGTACATGAGTCAGTATACACGAGTCTCTCTCGCTACAGCCGTGGGGACGTTTTGTGTTTGATTTCCCCGTCCTTGAGTCTCTTTGGGAGGAGACCAGGGAGAACAGCCAGAACAAAGTGCGTCCTTCAAAATGGGAGCTCTAATTGAGACCCGCGGGCTGAGGCTGAGCTGCAGAGGTGTCCTTCAACAGACTGGCACTGTCAGGGGGGAGAGTCAGACTGTACAATGAGTCACCGTTTCATCACTGAATCAGTAAAAACACAAATGATTGATAGGGTGTGTCCCCTGGAAAGAATTTCAGTGATGATGATGGGTTAAAAATTGCTCAAATTTGCAAAATGTATGTTAATTTGAGAACACTCTGACTGCCTTAAAACAAGATTTGCTAATGAGACAAGCAAAATTATTTTGTTTTTTAAAGATACAAGAAATGTCTCCCTTGGCAAGGCAAGGCAAGGCAAGTTTATTTATATAGCACAATTCATACATAAGGCAATTCAAAGTGCTGGACAAAAAAAGAAAGCTTTAAAATCATAAATAATCACAGAACTTTATAAAGAAAGATAAAAATATAAAATCCCTCAGTTGTATGCACAGTCAAACAGAACTGTCTTTAACCTGGTTTTAAACATTGTCAGAGAGGAGGCCTGTCTCACATCTTCAGGAAGACTGTTCCAGATTTTAGCAGCATGAATCTGAAAAGCTGCCTCCCCATGTTTAGTTCTGACTCTGGGCACTAACAGGAGTCCAGTCCCTGTGCTCCTCAGAGTCCGGGCTGGTTCATATGGTACTAACATGTCACTAATATATTTTGGTGCGAGGCCATGGAGAGACTTGTACACAAGCAGAGCTGTTTTAAAGTCTATTCTCTGAGCCACAGGAAGCCAGTGCAGAGACCTGAGAACTGGACTAATGTGGTCGTACTTCCTGGTTCTAGTCAGGACTCGAGCTGCTGCATTTTGAATGTACTGCAGCTGTTTTACAGCCTGTTTGGACAGACCTGTGAGCAGGCCATTGCAGTAGTCTAAAGCAGACCTGGAGATAAGAATCTCCAGGTCTGCTTTAGACACTATGTTTTTGATCCTGGCAATGTTGGAACAATCTTCCTGAAGATGTGAGACAGGCCTCCTCTCTGACAATGTTTAAAACTTTCTTTTTAATGTTCTGTGATTATTTATGATTTTAATGCTTTCTTGTTTTGTTCAGCACTTTGAGTTGCCTTGTGTATGAATTGTGCTATACAAATAAACTTGCCTTGCCTTGCCTTACAATTTGTTGTTTTTTGGGCATTTTGTCACTCACTCCACACAGAGAGATGGCAGCAG